TTTTTAAAAAAAAAAAAAAAAAAAAAAAAAAGGTCCAGCTGGGAAAAGTGGAACGTCCAAGGGTGGATGGGGAAACGCTACTGGCAGGAAATAGAGTCCGGAGTGCTTGACCGAGGAAACACCAAAATGACCAGAAAACAAAGGACGTGAAGTGGAAAATAATAAATTGAGAGTTCGGAGATTCAAGAACAAGAAATACAAGCCTGGGCATCATCAACATGACACATGGCGGATGCCTGCCAGTCCGCACAGCTAAACAAGGGGCCTGGCTGGGGCTGGGGCTGGGGCTGGGTCCGAGGTCGCCGGCAACCCCTCCCCGGAAGTCGGACGGAGAGAGCATCTGTTGTCTCCCGCACGTCTCATCACCAGCCCAGACTTTCGGCAGTTCTTGCCATCATCCGGAAGAATCGTTGGCCTTTACGCCTCTACGGAGCACGGGATAGCGCGAAACAGACTAGACCTTATCCACTGCAACTGTGTGACACGCAACAGCCGGACGTTACGATTCAGAGATGGGGGCGGCCGGCAAATGTTTGTCGGGCCCACAGCAGACAAAACCGGACACACCAGACAGAAGGTGACATGCCACCGTCGCGTCAAGCCGTGGTCAAAAAAGTGGATGCCGTCGCCGCCAGACACCGCCAGACACCGCCAGAGCGGGCTTGCTGGCCGTCAATTGGCCGACGGTGTCGTGGCCGCCGCGGAAGGCGGGGACAACGACTAGTGCGGAGACATGAGGCACTATAAAGCGCGCGGAGCGGAGGGGTATTCTGCGACTGTCCTCAGCTCAGCTTCATCAGCTGTTGCAAGACAGCTCATCCTCATCAGGCCTTTGACCAGCTTATTAAGTTACAACCTTTGACCTGTCTTGAGACGATTCTGCCGTCCTCAGAAACCGGGGCCGCGCGCGTATACCGCCACGCGGCAGCCCGGACTGGTAGGCACCGACGCAGGAGTACTCCGCACATGGGGGTGCTTTTCACTGCAGGCTTCTCAACGTGAGCAAGCGGCTGTTGGGTCCGCATTTGCGAGGCAGAGAGAGTCGGTGCGTTGCGTTGCGTTGCGTGTGCGTTGCGTGTGACGGGGCGCCGTGCCTTCCTTGGCTTCTCCATTTTTGCCAGGGTCAGTTGTTTTCTACTCCGGTATAAAATACTCTAGACATCCCGAGCAATAGCTACTTAAGTAAGGATGTACCAAGGTGACTGATAGGTGGTATTGACTCGCTTTGAGGACGTTCCATGAACCCCGATGGCTTAAGCATCAACCACAGGGACCAGCATCTTCGGTACTTTACAGATGGGGCACGTATGTCCCGAGGAGTGCTGCGAGGCTATATTGGCCTTTGTTATGATGCTCGGCAAATGACCTGGGAAATCATGGCCTGGAGGCTTTGCATTGTTGCAGTAGGCCGACTCCTCCCATTCCGTCGCGCGTGCCCACGTTGAGCTGTTACATCGGCAAAAGCTTATTACCCCGGGAGGGACAAGGACATCTGTCTCAGAGTAGTAGCTGCGACCAAGGAATAGCTGTCCAAGGCTGTTTTGGAGTCTCGACGTACGAGTTGTCTGCTTGTTTACCTCTCTACCCCGTACTACTGCGAACAAAGCCAGATTTGCCTTCTGGCCACGTGGGTGAGATTCTGCAGTGCTGATGACTGGTGTGTGTGAGAGTGTGTGTGTGTGTGAGTGAGTGAGAGAGAAAGAGAGAGTGAGAGAGAAAGAGAGAGAGAGAGACAGAGAGAGAGGTGCGGAGTAACCAGTAAGCATCGTCTCTGATGCGGTATGATTAGTAAAGCAAGCGAGCCGTCTTTCATGACAGACGACAAGGAGATATTGCCACAGCCTCTGCAAGTCGGACCTTGTGATGCTCCATGGCACGCCGCTGCTGACAAAAGTCAGCCTTTGTTCACTTGGTTGAGTGGCGCGCTGATGAAGACGGCGCCCCCAATATTCCTCCTCTGTCTATACCACATGTTTCGCAGATCGCTGACCAGCGTACAGAGTACGCGACCGCAAGAACCGTTATGATATGTGCCACACGGGCGTTGTTGCAGGAATCACGCGCTCCACACTGCGGCTGCTGTCAGTACAAGTACGGTTTCTCCCTTGTCGAACGGATCAAATTGCCCAGCATTACTCCGTACGCGTGCTGCCTCTTGTCAGGGCAAGACACAGGTTGTCTGCTTCCCTCGATGAAACGGGGCTAATGATGGCTGTGAAGCTTGGTGTGCTTGTCGGTTTATTACTAGTAGTAGTACTAATCTCCGCAATCTTCCTCGGCCATTCACTCCACTGTCCCGATATTCATAGTGAAGCAGGACGCGCGGCTTGAAGAGGTGCCAAATAGCATCCAAGCATCGACATCCTGAAGGCATCAAAAGAAGTCCCAAAGAACTTGGCGCACACCGACTTGCAAGTTGCAACCATGGACAGGGGAGATGCAGGGCCTGCGCACGTACTCCGGACTCCGGGTGACGGAGCGAGCTGGGGAACAAGAGGACCTGCTCTCACGCTACTCCGTGGTTTTTTTTTTTTTTTTTTTTTTTTTTTTTTGGTGGCGGCGCACTTCTTGTGCTTAGTGAGTGTGTGGGTGACGGGAGGGTTAGATCCCCATGTACGGAGTACAAGTACATTACAAGAGCTCCGTGCAGGCTGCGCCCGCCGCATGTTGGCGGACGTTGGTGGGAGGACCAAAGCGCGATTTCTCTCTCTTGACGGAACCCACTTGAATCACCCAACACGCCATGACGCGGCGCCGGCTAAGCAGCCCTGCTTGTGCAAGGGAATTGGAAGTCGACGACCAACAAAGAGGGAAACTACACACAAGATTGACAGTACGAATCAAAAAGAAGGAAAAAAAAAACACACCTCGTCACCTGTTGCCGCCTGACGCACCGGGACAACGGAGGACGAGTGTAATTTTCGGGGGCCCAAAACCACTTTCATATCTCGCCTTCCATCTCGGCTTGGTGCGTTTCTCTCGACCCAATGGGTCGCTACTCTCGCGTGCTTTTCCATCTTGTGGCACACCGCAATGGTATCTGCAAGTCATCCCGGGTTTAAATATGGAGACGGGATAATTGGTGCGTTTCCTACCTGGGTACGGAGGAGGTACTAGTTAGTACTATCGTCATTTCTGCTTGTGAGGGGGTCTGTCCGGAGAGCCGCCACATGAAAAGACCAAGTTCAATCGGGGGCATTCCATTTTGATGCATCGTGTGTCAAGACCGCTACATGTCGACTGATCAACACACCAACGCCGACTGCCACTTCTCACAGCAAGTCCTTGTCACGGGCTTGGAGAGTGACAACGTGGACGCCGGGTCCGAGGTACGTACCATGGCCGGACCCAACCTCTGTCCTCAACGCCCGCATCCACCCCGGACACTTTCTGCCGGCTGCTGGGTTCCAGCTGGACCTTGGGAACACCCCTGTCCTGGTGTCGTTTACAGCTCAAAAGTCAATCCCTTACCGTCTTCTTCACTAGCTTCGGCTGCTCGGTCACTTAACCCCACAGCCGAGTACGTAGTCTCAGACTGCGGACTGCCCTGGCAAGCAACACGCCCATCCCACCGCGCTGGTATGCCGATCATAACGGAGTCCGGGTTCTGAACAAAGGCTGTCAAGGTGGGCCAAAGCCGTTGTCTAGCTTTTAGGGGCACAAATCTTGCCGTCGCCCTCTCCCCCTTGCACTGTTGAGTAAAGATGCTTGGAATGGGAGCTATGGCCCTGAATTCTGGATACCACGATGCAGTGCCCACACAGACGCCGGAAAGAGACCCAAAACTACCAAACACGCCGCGACCTTCCACCACATCTACACAATTCAAACCACCATTCTGTTTCTGATTACTCGCCATCCATGGAGCAGTTGTCAAGTGCGAGCATTGCCGACTTCCTTGGGCCTGCGCTCGACAGCCCACCTTCTCCCCAGAAGTTGCGGCAGCTCACAAAGCAAATGAAGCGAGCATCCCGTTTGAAAAAGCACCACGGGCATAGGGCTGCTTCTTCTGATTCCTTGTCCTTGTCCTTGTCCTCGTCCTCCATGAACGCTGAGCGTCTGCCTTGGGAGTTGGCATTGGATCACCTGTCCCTCGCTCGCAGGTCATCCATTAGGTCCAACGACAGCAGCATCCCCTCCCGAGATCGCCCCGAAAGCATGCACAATTTTGGAAAGAGCTTCTTCCATCGCCGAGGCAAATCCAAGCGCGAAAGTAGTGCCCAGATCTCGTCTGCTAGCTCACTATATTCGGGAGAAACGACTACTGAAAATCCCGGTAGCGGAGGACGAGAAGGACTCATCCCGTCCATTTTCTCCAGGAGAAGACCATCTCGAGATGAAGCGGCCCGGAGACGACCATATATTTCAGGCCCTTTCAACTTCCAGCACGTCACCCACACCCGGCGAGATACCTTGGCCAATAGCTTGCTTTACGTGAACGGCTCCGCGGCATGGGACGAAAGGTTCACCGGCGAACCTGGAACATACCCGTCTTGTGCTGGTGAGGTGTCGTCGGAATCTGTCCATGATGTGTACCAAGAGCAAACCTCTGGAGCTGTCTCTCGCCCGCCTCTAGTGCCTCGCCATGCCCCCCCTTCCTCAAGGCGCCGACGGGTTTTAGGGCATATTCGGTCACCAGAACAAGTGCGGGAAAAATCGTCACAACCCCCTCCTCGGCCTCCCAGATCGCCAGTCCAGGCCGACGGCTTTTCTCCATTTGGTCCGCTGCTACCTTGTCGAGTTGATAGCCGACAATCCAGCTATCAAGATATCACAGACGCCATCAACATGAATGCAGATGCCAGGACCAAGGCAAAAAACGAAGTCCGCCAACCATTTCCTTTCGGCTATACGACTTCCCCTGAACATGTAATCAATGATTTCAAGGCTTATGAATCAAGCCTCATCCGGACGCAAGACCAATCCTCATCTGTTGACAACCGCCACCCCCCTGTTTTGCCGGGTGCTCGGGATTCCACTTGGCCACTAGCAATTTCAGCGCCTGTATCGTACGAAACGCTACCCGATGTTCCTGAGGAAGGAGAGCAGCAGTACGGCATCTCGAGACCACCGAGGCTTAGCCTTGCAAGCAATAAATCATCTCTCCGTGGCAGCCAATCTGCTCCGACATTGCGATCAGAGACCGGATATTCGAGGCCAACAAGTGTTGTTTCAGAGACACTTGGAGACCTGGGTATCGTGGGATTGGATCGCGACGTTTATGATGATCCCCAATGTCCGGTTCACTCTGGGAGGCCGACAAGAGAGAGCTGGGAGGATCTCATAGACTATTGCTATGAGCATGAAGCAGAAGCTAACTGTGACTACGAATGGGATCGTCCTTCATTGGACACTGCTAGAGACACCATGACTCCGCCCGGAAAGATAGCGGCACTGAATGAGAGCGGGATTAAGCCTGCGTCTAATGAGATGCTGTCGGCCGACAGCCACGATTCTCCATCCTTCCTAGGGCAGGATGCACCACCTCTCAGCCCGGCTAGTTTTTGGTCAACTCCCGTGGAGCATGAGGTCGTCACGCCGAATTCCGCTGTTACGAGCAATTTTTCTCTGCCCAGGTGTGACAGAAAGAGTGTTCATCATCCCCTTAACATCAAAGACGACAGACTCGTCTCTGGTTTTTCCACATTCAAGGAATCTCAAGCATTTATGCCGTCCCCCTCCTTCCCCTTCCCCAGGGATTATCAACAGCAAATGCCGTCGAGTGAAACCGAAAAACAGGCCTACCCTGATTTTGATCTAGTCGGTGAACATTTTGATCAGTCTGGCTTGCATGAGAATACGAACTTATTGACAGGAACTCACGGGTCCTCTCCATTGATAGATCAACGTTGCAGCACCTCAACCATGGAGACCAATTCCACATCTCGCTCAAACTCTACTGGGAGGCAGTATAGATCGACCAACTCGTCTTGGACGACGCTTGCTCGGTGCACCGCAAGTAGCTCCTCGCTTAATAAGATGGCAGGACCATTTACCGACGAGTCTGAACCACTACCTACAGCTCAGCCTCGAGCCCTTGACCAAAATGAACCAGAGTGGGCTGATGCATATCCGCCGCCTCAAAATCATGTTCCAGACATGATCCCAACTCTGGCGAATGGGCTCAGGGAATATTGCCACAAAAGCCATGCTAGCGAGTCCCAAGTTCTTGATGAAGTGCCTCCCGATTTCTCGACAGAGAATCTCAAGTCGGTCCTTCTGAGAGCCAGAACCACAAGTTTGGGCGCTCAATCTCCTTCTCCGGCCGGACAGTTTGCAGCATTCTCGCAAACACAAGTTACAGTTACAGGAGAACACATTGAAACCAGTACATCGTTATAGACGCACGGAACTCTGGTCTTGGTTTATTACAGTGCCGCCTTTGTGAAAAGTCTTTGGTACACCTCTTTATACATAAATATCGACAGTTGTTCCTTTCATTGTGTACACTTTCTTGACTCTCGCTAGCGTTGCTTTCCCTGTTTGCTTATTAGATCTACTCTCATTCTTTGGACTTTGGACTTGAAGGCGCACGACGATTCCATTTTTGTTGTTGACTTGGTGTATTCTATCATATGTGTGCACCAGCCCTCTAAGACTAGGTCATCTAGCGTCTACGTCTCATTTCGTTTTTTTCTAGAGGATCAGAAATGCGTCTCCGCGGGACGCCCTCGATGTATGCAGAAAAGATTTCATTGTCAAGGGTCATCGGTGTCGAAAAGTCGAACCATATAAGCTAACTTCTTTTGTGTGTTTATATTCAAGTAAGTTCGGGATTGACTGCTTTGGAATGGTGGCGGGTGAACCCCTCAACTGCTCGGCCCTAGGTGACTACTCATCCGCTCTTTCCAGGCGAGGCTGCGGGATATACCTGCAAGGTTTTTGATAGAGGTTCCAGACAAAATTGGGAGAGAAGAAAACGACTCTGAGAAACGAAATGAACGTCATAGCAATTCTCGAAAAAAAAAGAGAAGAAAAGAAAAGAAACAGGAAAGAAGGAAAAAGGTTTCCGCCAAAATGACGTTTCAAGTGTATCTGGCTGTACAGTTCAAAGATTAATTCCCTCGACGACATACTATCGACAGAGTCTCAAAAAGCTTCGTATATAGTGCAACCAACACCAAGACAGTGAAGACGGCTATGGAATCATCGGTCCGTTGTCATCTGCTCTCCATTGATACCTGCTAGTCGGATTATTGACGCCGCCCAACCCGTGTCCTAAAAGTACTTGTACATACATCACAGACTTGTCATTTTCCCTGCATCTGACCACCTGGCCTCCATCAGCCAAAGACTGAGGGACTCGACTCAACTCAGTTCCTCCGTTCGTCGACTACCACAATTCTGTGGCGATTTTAACCAGTTTTCTTTTTCTTCTTGGGACGCTCCTCGTCAGCTTCTTCCTCGTCCTCGTCTTCATCCATTTCATCAGCATCAACGTCGCTCTCAGCACTGCCGGAGCCTGAGCTCTCATGTGCGCTGTCATACTCCTCAGCGACGTCACTATCACTGTCAGCCTGGAAATCTTCGTCCACGCTTTCCTCATCCTCATCTGCCGAGCCCCGATCCGCTTTGCCGGCGACAACTTCCTCATCTGAGTCGTCCATATCCTGTTCTCGAAGCGCAGCAGCAAGCATGTTGGCATCCTCGTCAATTTCATTCTTGACACGTAGACCCTTGAGCTTGAAAAACGTCTCCAGAGCTTTGAGGTCCTCTCTATTAATGTTGCTGAACTGCGATGACCCGGCGCCGTTCTTCATCACGACAGTTATATCAAAGGTAGATAAGGTGGAGACGGCACCACCCACTCGGGAGAATGTGACGGACTGCGTCTGCTCATAGGCAATGTACGTGGCCGGCTTGGGCACGAACATGAAGGCCTTTTCCAGACAATATAAGAAACCCTCGCTGGCTTTGATGGAGCACTTGATGCCGTACTGACTTCGGTGACTGGACATGAGCAGAAAGTATAGCGGGTTAGCCGCAATTCAAAGAGCATCACCGGGTGTGCGCGAGGCTTGAAGGATCATAGAAGGTACGTACGTGATGAAGTCTTTGGCAGGCGATGAAATCTTCTTGTTCGCCAGACCACGGAAGATCTTGGCAACAACGTGGTGCAGGGGTTCTTCGTAGTGAGGTTCCAACTTGTCCTTGTATTTGGACTGCAGTTCTGACTCGTCGAGATTCAAGTCGATAGTGACCTCCTCATCTTTTTTAAACTGCATGACAACAAAAGGATATCGGGTCTGACCCTGACGTAGAGGTGGGTCTAGACCGATACATAGCATGCAGTGCATCTCATCGGGCTTGGGCAGAACCATGAACTTTTTGATGGCCTCATATTGTATCTTGTAGTCGTATGTCTTTCCACGGAGTCGGAAAGAAGCTTCGTACATGTCGATATCGAAACGACCTCTGTTGAAAGACGTGTTAGCGACTCAAGTGCAGGACAGGTAGTCGCTTCGTGGGGTCCTTGGAAGGAAAAAAAAAAGGGGGGGGAGTTGTTTGTTCAGGGCGCCATACCTTGGAGTGAGATGAAGAACGTCGAGGAAGGTGGCGATGGTATCGCCAGCAGTCTCTCCAATCTCTGCCTTCTCAATGAGAGTATCGTAAAAGAGCGTAGCGGCGTTTTTCTCCTCGGCCTCCTCCTCTTCAGCATCGTCACCGTCAGTCTCCTTCTTGGTAGTGGTTGTACCCGGAATGTAAAACCGCATTTCTACAAGCTGATCTCTCCCACCACCAGCCTTCTTGCCCTTGCCGCGAGCGCCACCGAGCTGCCCATTGGTGCCCGTGTCATTGGAGTCCTGGGGAAGAAACATTTCGACGGCCACCTCGTTGCGACCAGCCAAGTTGGTGTTTCCGATCTCCGAGTAAGGAAGCTCAAAGGCGGGTTTGTTTTGCACACTAAAGGTCAACTCGGCCTTGGAAAACTCAGCCTTGCCCCAATTCCAGCCACGAAGCGCATGCTCTTTGTTCTCGAGAACAGTGCTGTACCAGTTCTTGAAGACCTTGCTAAGCCGGTCGTAGTCTTCCTGTTGGAAACCATCCAGCTGAATGATGCCGGAACTCCGTTGCAGAATTCGAATTTCATAACCCTTAGCTGCCCGGCTCCATTGCGCCCCGCCAATGTTGCTCTGGTCAAGCGTGAATGTGTCACCGCCATTGGACGGCTTCCACCCGAAGCCGGTCTCGGCAAATCTGCACTTGCCACTCTCCTTGGAAAGATCGAGATAGATGCTGTCGAAGCTCTCACTAAAGAAGTTACTGTTAACCGAGAATCGTCTGCGGCGTATAGTGCGAGTTCACGGTAGCTCAAGCTGCAAACATGGCGCGCGAAGGTACCAGCGACATGATGCATAGCCGTTTCGGCTGCTAGCCAAGGGGGACTGGAAAAGCTGAAAGGATCCTAAGTCACTCACATTGCGGTCATCTTGGACGATGTGCGCAAGGACGCTGGTTCGACATAGAAGAAGAGAGGTTGCAGAAAAACGTGGCCAAACGCGTTGCAGCCAAAGCTGTCGAATTGTCTTCGAGGTCAAATGTTGGCGGTGCGGCTTCGGATTGGCTGCGCCGAATGGAAAATCTGGAGACACGCGCTGCACGAGTGCGCCGCGTTGTCGCGAGGGACTTTTAATTGAAATGCTTAGATAATGATACATCCAAGCGGGGTCATACTTCTTCGGACTAGAGCAAGTATCATGCTTAGTAAGCCGTCACATGTGCACATCAGTGGCCGACCAAGAAACCGACACAAGTCCGCAGCAATTCGAGAGCAACAACGCACACGATTCGTGACAGCTCCTCGGTGCACGTTCGCATACTCCGTACTCCGTACAGGTGTAGAGTAGTAAAGGAATGCATGTGCACGCAGTCGGCGTTTGGTGTCCCCTCGACCCAACAAATACCTAGAGCACGGAGCACCCACTTCGCCGTTGGTCCCCCCCACTTGATGGTCACTCGCTCAAGTGAGTCGTGACAAGTCGGTCCACATGCGCATCCTTCTCTTCCGACCTCAGTCCCCCATCTCGCAGCCACGTTTTCTCCCTACTTGCAAACAACTCCTTCTCTTTTCCTCCTTCTCGGTGTACAAAGAAGCTTTGCATACGCCCATGGTATAGACATCCGCCAGGGCCGGATTCGGCAGCCGTTGACTATGTTATCGAGTCCCAAGCCGCCCCGGGTGTTGGCGCGGTGCACTTCTGCCGGCAGATTTATCTTCTTGTTATCTTTATTAGCAGTTCCTTCATCGACCGCCGCCTCCCGCCTTTCAACCGTCAATGGAGATGCCGTTATAGACCAAAATTTGTTGCTGCCTCCGGCCATCGTTACGCCTCCGAATCCGGAAACTCCCCAACCAGCCGACCACACGTTTACTCTTCGCCACATTTATCATCATGGTACCCATCGACATCCGCGACTCCATCGTAGCATGGACGTCACTCACGATCTTTCGTCATCTCGCGTCTTTCTTGCCGCCGAAGACGGTCATGCCGAACACGACCTACCCCATCTCAAAGCCAGGAGCCGTAGCAACACCATTCAACGCCTCGTGGACAGACGCCCCTCTGTTGTCGATCCCATGGTTGCGCTCGCACGTCAAGAGGGGTATGTTGCTGTGCTCGACGCTTCAGCATGGACGCTTGATCATGTTCCCTCGCCCGATGTCACGGATAAAGGCACTGTGCTTAGCTTGGCTTACATGGCCGCCAACGCCTACGTCGAGAAAGAGGATGCTGCCGACTGGCTAGACATAGGAGAACCTTTCAACCGCAGTGCAGACTTTGGTTGGCAAAGCGATGGGCTGCGCGGGCATATCTGGGCCGATCATGACAACTCAACCATTGTCATCGGCCTCAAGGGAACGTCACCTGCCGTCTTCGATGGCGATGGGACGACAACCAACGACAAAATTAACGATAACTTGTTCTTCAGTTGCTGTTGCGCCCAGCAGGGTCAGTGGACGTGGCACCAGGTCTGCGACTGTGCCACAAGCACGTACTCTTGCAACAACACATGCGTCACCAAATCTTTGCGAGAAGAAAGCCGATACTACGCCGCCGCCCGCGAGCTCTACTCCAACGTCACAGAGCGTTATCCGGACTCGACGGTGTGGATAGTGGGCCACTCATTGGGCGGAGCTGTCAGCTCTTTGCTAGGTCTCACGTACGGCTTGCCCGTCGTCACATTCGAGGCGGTTCCGGAAGCTCTTGCTGCGACTCGTCTTGGTTTACCCATACCGCCGGGCTCCGATCCCAAAGCCCCCCAAACGAGGGGAAATACAGGTGCTTACCACTTTGGTCATACGGCTGATCCCATCTACATTGGCACCTGCAACGGCGCCACTGCGTCTTGCTCCTTCGCCGGCTATGCACTGGAGACGGCTTGCCATACCGGAAGCGAGTGTGTTTATGACGTTGTCGCCGACAAAGGATGGCGTGTAGGGATCGGAACCCACAAGATTCGAGCTGTCATCTCTGACGTCATTTTGAATTATGACGACGTTCCCGAGTGTTCCACGACTCCCGAATGTCGAGACTGTGCCCAGTGGAAAATGTATGAGAGCAACGGCACAGAAACGACGACAACGTCCACGTCCACGACGACGACTCGTACGCGAACCCGAACTTCGACCTGCGAGACTCCAGGCTGGTGGGGCTGCCTCGATACAACAACTACGGGAGTCACGGCTACAACCACCACGACCACGTCTTCGACATCAACTTGCAAGACGCCGGGCTGGTTTGGATGCAAGGACAAGACAACAACCACACACACTATTACCACAACGTCGGATCTCATTTCAACAACCTCTACACCAACGGCCACGTGCGAAACACCGGGCAGGTGGTGGGGTTGCTGGGATGAGGGCGAGACCAGCAGGACCGCAAGGCCTCTACCTGGCACACGTACACAACCGCCAATCACTAAAGCGCCGACGTGGACAACATCAACAGCCGCGCCAACCAGCACTGCTCCATCGAAGCGAAAATGTCTCCGCCGAAATTGGATAGGGTTTTGCAAGGAATGGGAAGGGGAGAAGCGAGTTGATGCCTTTGTTTCAGATGAGATGTAGGGTTTCCTTCCGGGACTGATCTTTCTGGGGGTCGACCTCTGGATGCATAGATGGAAGATTGACGAACTTGTTGTCGTCATGTATTCCTTTCTCCAAGGAGTACGCGCAGTCTGGATGCGAAGTCAAACGGTCATGGATCCACTTTGACGATCTGATTGTGCAAGGAGAGCATTCATACAAGTACACACACGTAGACGCAGCGTTTTGCATGATGGCTTGGTTTTGCGCAGCTGATGTCAGTTTCTTTCCATTTCAGTTTCGGTCTGTTTTCAAGCAGTGCGCTTTGGCGTGAGAGAGAGAGAGAGTTTGTTCTTTCTTCTTTTGGGGCGTTTGCTTTTACTCAGCGAGAGGCGTTTGAATAGTACTTGAGCACATATTGGAGCATGATGCGCATGGATGCGACTCGGCGCTGCCTCTTGGAACGCAGCCAAGACGGCGCACTTATTCTGTAGGGCTTAGAATATCATAGGTCACCGGCTTCAGGAACAAATTTACAAATCCCAGTATCCCTGTGGTTTCACTATTAGCATGCAGCCAAGGCGATAAAACATGTGATGTCGAAGCAAAGCCCGGGTCGTCGTGGTCAATAAGTCGCCTCAGGCGGATTGCGTTCCTACTTGCGTAGGTACCCAGTACGTACACGGTACTAGGGCGCGCAGAGGGATGGATAGTCTAGTGACTGTCCTTGGCTTTCATCCGCCATGAACAAGACAGGACAGCTTGTTGTACTTTCCTACCCGCCTGTAGATGAGATTTGAAATTTCCTTGACAGTTTTCACCCATGTTGTGATGGTTCTGCCGTCATTGATCGCCCCCGCGCGTGGGTTCCTTGGTACTCCGTACTTGAGCAGGAACGGCCGGATGGCAGCGTAAATTTTGCGTCACCTCAAAACGCGACCGCAACTCGACCTCCACACATGCTTGCAACATCACCAACGTAACCCGACCACCAGCTGGCTGGCGACGGATGTCTCTTCCCTTCCCGCCATGGAGGATCCGTCCATGATGGATACAGAATCCAAGACCTCTGACAGGGACACATCGCAACTGTCAGATCCGCCCAGCGACCTGGATGGCTCAGACCGAGACGCCCCGACCCAGCAGACGGAATGGCTTGCGACGACGCGAAAACGCCGGTCCACGGCGGGAAATCGCATGAAGTCAATGCTTGCCAATGAGGAGCCAGACTCAGACCTTGAACTTCTATTCGCCGAAGACGAGAATGACCAGGGCTTCTCCGACGTTGGCGACGACGGTTCCGACGTACACATGGACTCCTCATCCGACGACGAAGATGACAACAATGCCAACGACGACGATCTGGAAGGTGAAAAGGAGCTTGACCGTCAAGCCAAGGAAAAGCGCGCCGCTCTACGCAAACGAAGAGCTCAAGAAGCAATCCCAGCAAAATTTAGAAAAAAGGTTCGCATCGACCCAACCACCAGAGCAGCATCTGTCCCAGCTCCCGCTCCGCGTCCCAAAAAAAAGTCGGAACGAGCCTCATGGCTGCCGTCGCCTGCGGATCTTCCTACCCGTGCGTCATCCCGAAAGACGACTCGTATATCCAAAGAGCAGTTGCACCAGCAAATGGCTGAACGTGAGGCGAAGAGACTAAAGCAGCTCGCGCAAATGGAGAAGAAGGCTGCTCGACTCGAGGCCATGAAGAAACCCCCCATGACGCAGGAGGAGAGGCTAGCGGAAGCTGCCATCGTGGAGAAGCGCAACAGCAAAAGCCTCAATCGCTGGGAGGAGGCGGAGAAGCAGCGCGAGGAAGAGCGAAAGGCCAAGCTGGCTGCTTTGAATCAGCGGACGCTCAAAGGGCCAGTCCTTACATTCTGGAGCGGAAAAGGTCAATGGGAAGATGTCGAATTGCGCTCGCTACGTCCATATGTGACTGAGGTGGAGGAGAAGCCCAAAAAGAAGAGAGAAAAGACGGACAAGACGGCCAAGGGAAAGGGAAAGGGAAAGGATAAGGATGGGGCAAAGACTTATGAAAATCAAGTCCACAGAGAAGGAGACAAAGATAATTCCGACGGTATTGCCCAAGCGAGAAATCAAAGTTCAGACGTGCTCAAAGCTGTCAGGACTTCAACGACAGAAAAGTCGGCACTAAGCGATCCCAAGAATCTGGAAAACGATGGCAGCCTTTTGGCCGAGAAAAACGAGCGTCATGCATCAGTAAAGGCTGGCGTAGATGGGACCGAAGCGATAAATCGGGCGGCGTCTACAGAAGCACGACTGGCCACCGCAGACGATGCATCGAATAGCACGGACGTGTCTGCCCTGAAACCAAATAATACGCCAATAGACGCGAAACCCGAAACTCAAGAGGATGCAATCTTGGTTGCAAGGGACCAAGTCGAGAAATCGACCCAACCCTCACGGGCATCACCCCTGGTTTTCACCCCCCTCCTCAAGGAAGAGACCATCGCTTCTACAGACTTTGCTTTGCCACAACCTTCTGCATCTGGTCCCCCTTCATCACCTATCCCCTCATCAATCTCTGCCCAAGCCTCTACAACGCCTCCGTCACATCCTCCAAGCAGGCTGGCTGCGCCTCTTCCTCCTCCACCCGCCGGTCCCTTGGTTGCCACGGCTGGCCCAACACGACCTGCGGAAGCCAGGCCATCCAGGGTCCTGGCTGCACCTGTGCTCATCCTGCCTCCAGTAGTCGACATCGACACGGATCCGTCCTCGCCAGTAGATGCTGCACCAAAATCGAACGTGCTAGCACCGCCAAATACGTTCCAATCCACACTGGCACCACCGTCCGTACAGCCCGGGAACCCAACGACGGTGGCAGCATCATCTGTGTCTTCAGCAACTAAGATTACAACGGAAAAGGAAGTCGACACGAAGGGGTCAGTCCCGGCCGGCTCCGACTTTGAATCTGCCCATGGCGAGACAGCGACGACAAGTATGCGAGGAAGTCCCGAGCCGCCAGCCGTAACCGAGGCGCCTCGCGACATGGACGCAACCCGAAACGGCATCATCTATCAAAACTTTGATGGAAATGCCATACGTGACAAGAACATCCAGACACAGATTCTCTTCGGGCGCAAAATGACCAAACTCGCCAGTAAGACTGCCCTTTTGCGCTGCACTCCCTGCCAACGAGAAAACTGACGTGTTTCAACAGAGCCCGCGCCTGCACCAATCTGCGTCATCACAAATAACCCGGCGCGTTATCGGGACCCCCAAACCAAGCTCCCGTTCTACAATATGTTTGCATACAAGGAGATCCAGCGCCTCAACAACGGCGACTACCAATGGAGTCGTATCCTGGGTGCATGGGTGGGCAACCCAAAGCAAGCGGCGCGTGGTGTCCCCGAACGCTTCCTCAACCCTGATGGCGGGAAACTAGAGACTCCAGGAGGACACGGAAATTCTAAAATCAAGCAACGGGAACAATCTGAGAAAAGGAAGGAGGACGAGGCGGAGGCGGAGGATGGCGGGATGGCACAAGCACCTGCAGCAGCTGGTAGTGATGCCGCCGTCGAGGCTGAGGAAATAAGTGGCACAGTGCAAACCACAGAAGACGTACTGCACGTGGCTACGTAGCAAGACTTGACGGTCCTGGGACATGATACTCGTGTACAACGCACACCCTCCGGTACAATTACCTCCTTGGCTAGGATATGTGATGCATACCCCAATCAAACATCTGCCATGGAAGACTGGCACAAGGAGACTGTCCGACATCGACAACGACGTACATCCACAAACGTGGCAGCGTAGAAGCTCTCTTTTATCGTCAGAAGTGAACGAGGGACTCATGATAGCCGACCAAGGTATCGACTTAATGTAGAATTCTCCTTTCTACCTCTACTATCCCTTGCAGCATCTATCAGCATGTCCCGCATAGTACATCGAACGGTCCCCCCACGCCAAGAACTGTAAAATAAGAAAAAAAGTACAAAGGCGCCACGTGAGCTCTTACTGCAAAAGCCAAGAGTTGTATCTCTGCCCCCAAACCATGCCATCCTGTCCTTTACATCCTGCTCGAACCTGCTGCCGGAAATACGGGGTATCAAGGTTTTGGTATTCCTGCCGTATCTAATCCTGATACAACGCCAAAGAGAGTCAAGATAAGCAATGCATAATCTGAAAGTAAAAAGTAAATGAAAATTAACGCATGGCGCAAGGAAGCGCGAACATGTGCTCATCGAATTACCATTGGGCATTCGATATTGAATAGATGTTCATTGTCGCAAAACGTCATCGTGCAGCATTGTGCAGTTTATTTGATGGAATCGTGTCCGCCACAGCGAACACAGAGCGTCCCAGGCCGTAGTGATACTTGCACTTAATTGTTCTTGTTGACAATACCACCGACCAATAGGTCGAGCTCGTTAACAAAGTCATCCGGACCCAGGCCGGTATCGATAGGTCCATTAAGGAAGTTGGTGCCGCTAATGGGCACGGTCGATTCAAGTGCCTTGGGAATGGCCGTTGTCGTATGGAAGCCAATCATTTTAGAGTAAGACCCGTCTGTGGACTTGTTTTCCTCGGCATGTCTGGGCAGACTGTATCCTTTGAAAGATTCTTTCGTCGAAGATGCCGCGTGGGATCCATAGGCTAAGCAATCCCCATCATTACTTGATAAAACATCGTCATCATCGTTCGAATCGTAAAAGGGTGGAAGCTCTTCTGCCAGTGACTGTGGAGACATTGGCGTATTGAACGCCGTTGACGAAATCGACGGAGAGCAGCCGCACTGACTGGTAACGGCGGTGTCAAGCTTCCGCGGTCGAGGTGATCCTTCCTTCACGGCTTCGGACTTGTTCAACTCCCTGCCCTGGTGACTGCTTGCAGGTCGAATAGCGAGCGTTGGGGGACTCGAGTTCGTGTTGGTTTGCGGCGTGGCATCCGAGGAGACGCAGCGCTGGAAGGGAGGAGGGGATAATCTCGTCGCAAATACTTGCGTTTCTGATATAGCAGACGTTGCGAAGTTGTCGTCGTCATCGTCTACGTCTTCGGCAAGCGCCCTTGGAATATCCAAGGCCCGCGGCGGACTGCTGGGCACCGTTGGGGGTGGTAGAGGAAGATCTTCTACCAAAAGCCTCCGCAACGACTCGGGTGAGATGTCTCTGGTCCTTCGTCCATCCGATGAAGACGTTGGTCTGCTGTCAGGTAGAGGCCACGTGGGTGGTGTCGTGGCACCATCACGACTTGGTGGACTAGATGAAGAAGGCATGTCAACATCAGCATTTGCTGATTTTCGACTGAACATTCGCTTCCAAGGAGGACCGACTGATTTCGAACGGCTAGAGATGTGGTTGTGCAGCAATGACGAAGCCGAACCAAGTCGACGGATCGTAGGATTAGTTACAGCTGCTGAAGCTGGGACTGGTGTAATATATCGAGCCTCGGGATTCATCGTCATGTACGACTCTTGACGAAGCGAATTTACCGAAGCGCTGCGGTGGCGCAAATTCTGTTCAATGGGGACGTGAAGTGTGTTGATGGTCTGGCCTGGCATGTAAGGACAAGAAGTTGTCGAGGGCTGGGCTGGGTCGTGTATTTCAGTAGAGCCATCTACTTCGTACTGACAGATAGATGTGTGAGAAAGTGGCTTAGACACGGCGTTACAGATTACGAAATTAGAATGACTTACGTAGTAGTAATACGTGTCTCCCATTGTTAATCCCCCATTCCTTGTCGGTGAAGCCTCATCGTGGGAAATGATATCTTTAAATGAATAACATCCTCTCCACTGGCCGCGACCGCGTCGCACGTCTTGCTTCATCGCATACCACGTGGAAAAGTTGTCCCAAGAGCCAATGAGCTGGACCGACTTCACAGACGGGTCCGTCTGACTATTATCACCACCTGTGTTAGCACAGTATTCCGGCGAGGGGCGGCACCCGAGTTGGGTTGTGTCTAATTAGCCCTCGACACGACCGTCACTAGACCGGCATGCTCAGAATGAGTGAGAGAGATTCCGCAGACAATGATTCTGACGCGACGGAGGACAATGCGGTGGACTGAGACACGGAAACGCGCGACAAAATGGAGAAAGGCCCATGGAGCAAATATATATACCTGCGACAAGGCGAAACGCACCGAGAGAAGCAAAAGATTCCCAAAGTGGAGCGAGTGCTGGTATGCCGCAAAATGCAGGTCCAGTTGGGGCCCGGCTTATTCGAGGGAATGATGTATTTGTTTTGGAACGTTGTAAGATGAGAGCGAAACAGAGAGCACACGAGGTGTCTTGAGCACAAGGGAAAAAACGTCGACCCTTTTTGTGTGCGAGACGAAATTGCGCCGAAAAAAAAAAAAAAAAGAACCAAGTGAACGAGGAGCAACGATGACAACATCAATTAAACTCACAGTAAAAATGTAAAGAGAGTGGTTGCAGGGTCCATGGCCAAAAGGTACGGACATGTCTCAGTCTAAAAGCTTCAAATATTATATGCAGGCGAGGCAACGGCATGATATGACGGCGCCTAATGCCGCTTGGATACCCAGCCAGGTCCCTGTGAATCACTTCTGGCTTTTCCCGTCTCCCGTGCTTAACCATGAACGGGACTGCGAGTATGTATTGCTATTGCTGAAACACGGAGCGACCGTTGGTTGCATGTTGGGGACACCGCAGGAACCCGAGATCACCGACCAAGGCAAAGGCAATTGAATTGACCAATGATGGCGTGGGACAGCTGGCGGAAGCGCCGAGATGGACCAACCACCGGCTGCGTCAAAGGCGGCGGCGGCGCCTGCTGCTGAGACGAGAATGAACGCTTTTGGCAGTGCAAATACCGAATGGCCCAATGGCTGGACCTGAACGACCTCTTCTCAGCAAGGGTACTGTGGATATGCTTCCTCTTGGCTTATGGGTTTGCGATGCTGATACGTAATAATGGCTTATTTGTTGGTCCCAGACGGGCCATGAGGCCAGGAGCACTTCGAGGCTGAAGCTGACGCGCGAGCAAAGAATAGATGCGACGAGACCGGGCCAAAAGGCTGTGGCAAAAAGCCCACGGCCTGGTAGTTTGATAAATTTGTCGAATGCGGCCAAGTAAAACGACTGAGCGAATGGAATGGCGTATGGAACAAGGCCGCTGCTCTTTGTTGGGACTTGATTTTTGCTTGTAGTACCACAGCCGCACGGGTGAGCGAGACGAGAGCGCCGTGGACGTTGAACTCGGCCCGCCCGGGAATACGGAGTATTGGCGCCGTTAAACGATCAGTGCTTCTGATACGTGCCGGACGTCCGATGACAATGGTTCGGGTAAAAGGGATGCGATGTACGGTGTACTTGTTAACGATTCGGATGCTGACCGGTTGGCGAATAGCCGTCTGTTTGCTGGCAGGAAAGAAGGGGAAGGAAGAGCAGAACAGAGAAGAGCAACCTGACGGACGATGCGCTCAGGAGACTGGGTGCCGTGGACCAGTTAAGTGAAGAGCGTAGCGGCAACTCGAGCGTTGGCGAGAAGACCTATATGAGACGATAGGCTGCTTTTGCCGGCCGAGCCCACGTACCAGTACCCGCCTGCCCGGTACAAGTGCACGGTTCCGGTCGCTTGCGGTGGAGATTGAGATTGCTGGCGTGCGAGGTGGATTGAGTGGCTTGCGCGGGCGCACGAAACCAGTGTAGCGCGACCGGGTGAACAAGGACTGGATGCTGAAGCAGACGAATATGGGCACCAGGTTCGGCTAAGGCGTACGGGCGGCGGCAACCTTGGTTGATGATGTCGCGGGTCGGTCACGGGTCGGTCACGGGTCCTTTCGTCGCCGTCTGATGAGGCCACGATCTGAGCCTTTGGGGGACCGTGGCGTGCCGGAATTCAGAGAGAGTAGCTGCTAGCTCGCTGGACCGGGCCAGGCTGCCCAGGAGATTGAGAAAGACAATACGTCTGACGTTTAGGCACCCCCGGGAATAATAGTACATGGAGACGGACAAAACGAAGTTGGATTCAGGTGAAGATGAAGCATGCTGTTTGACCAACCGTGCGCAGATATGAGGAGCTGAAAAGACGGAGTTGTCGTCAACTCGAACGAGGCGAGGAAGGAGCGGCCCTGCGTGACGCATGACGCAGGAAACAGGGGCCATGCCTGCTGCCAGTTGCCATTCGACACTCGCCAGCTGTCAAGAATTGTTGTTGAACGGGTCTGGCTGAGTTTGAGAAGTTTGGAGCAGAACACAAACTAAATTACCAGCAGTCTGGTTTGATCGATGGCTCTTGGAGCAAGTCAATCCTTGTTGCTCCTGGCCATGCTTGCACAGGTTCGAAAGATGTCCCGATATGCCCCCCTCCCCCAGCAGCACCCCAGGCTGCCAGGCTCTCCAATTTTGGAACGAACGCCGACGTAGGGGTCCAACGGCTCTCCCTGGAATCCAAAGCAAATACGGAGTACACGGTGCGCCGCTGGACTGGCCAACATCAGACGGTGCCGAGGGCTACGTACGTGCAATCTCCGCGACAAGGCCATCATCTACGCATGTACGGAGCACTTGCGGCTGATGCCAACATGAACAATGGACGAGTACGTGCCAAGAAATCATCAATTGCCTGCTGACTCGCCCCGGTCGCTGATACTACTACTGCCGAGTACTTAAGTACGTACGTAAACTGTGTATGTGCATTGCAGGATAGAGTCGGCCCACCCATCGGCACGTTTCATGATGCTGTTGGCAGACTCCACCTCGGAACTTAAGCATCCGCCGTGGCAACTGCTGAAACCTACTTGAGTACTCACTGGAAGCATAAATCAACGGTCACGCCAGAGTTGAGTAACCTTTGGCCGGACTGTTTCCGCGGTGCACGACGCGCGCCTTGGATGGGTAGAGAACGGCGTCGCCGGCAGAGACACATCACCCGATAAAGCTGGCGTTTCCCAGTTTCCCAGAAAAGCATGGCAACGACTCACGAGACACGCCACCAACCATGTCGACGCATTCATGTGCTGCGTACTGCATGTACGTCACGTTGCACACATGCACATCGTTGGCGCAGCACACATGTTGCCCTTGCCCTCCCAAGATTTGTCTCACATCAACGCAGCTGTTCCAACTTCCAGCAGCGGCCGCCGTGGGCCGCAAAACTTGGTCATTCCAGAACCAGTCGACCCTGGCCGGCCGGCCGCGCAGTGCCTACGTACGTGTTGTTCTGCATCGCAGGCCAGCCAATGCGTTCCGCACGCAGCCCGCTGGCGAATCCACGACCGGGGCACGTGGTGGGTGGTCACTGGTCCGTTGGTAAGTATTGGGACTGGTCCCTCGGCCTGGAGCAGCCCAGCCCAGCCCAGCTAGTCGGGGTGGCCCGTGTCACCGTTCGGAAATGGGAGTTGCCGATCTTGGTATAAAGTTGACGGGCGGACCCAAGGCAGGCATGTACCTCTACATCGTAGAGACTCTGCCGTGACCTGCTTCAATCGTGATGCCCAAGTATTTAGCGAGCTGAAGTCGGGCATTAGTAGCACGGAGTAATTGGCGTCGGCTCTCGTCGACTTGCTCATCAATCTTGTCGCTGCACTCATCCGTGATGAATGACAGCAAGCAACACAACACCAGAATCCAGACAGTGACACACTCGCTCTACTCTACCACTGGGCTGAACGCCGTCGAGCACATCTGCATCTGGGCGGTCCAGGGCAGTCGCTGGCAGCTCCTTGGCGGGCACGCCGTTTGTGTGAATAGGTCAGTAGGCAAAGGCTCTGCATATACCAACGAGCACTGCTGGGTGACTGTCGCCGGAGATGCTCGCGGCAGCCTGTCCCCAGCCGGTCAGTTCAATCAGAATGCATCAAGAACAGGGCCCATGATTTTGTTCTTTCTGTGTCCTCTATTCTTTGTTTCCAACCTATGCTCACCAGCCGAACATTAAAGATGTTACATGAAACCAAAGGCCCGTCTGCAGAGAAACGACGGTACCATGCTCTTCGTAATCCGAACAGCGAGCGCCTCGCACCATCCAATTAACTGCCAACATGTCCGTGACGCACAATGCCAACCCAGCGACGTTACGAGGATGAACCATCGTTGACGCTATGTCTTTTACCTCTACTTTCGTTTTAGAAAGAAGAAGAAGAAAGAAGAAGAAAAAGTTTGGAACAAGGTAAAAAAAAAGATGGTTCCGTTTTGTACAATTGCCAACTGCTCTCAACCCCACCACATCACACTGTCTTTCGGCATCGCGATCCGAGTAGGTGATATATGAGCGTGAGTTAGCGGCCAGAATCCGTCCGCCGCCCAACCGACAGGAGAAAGAAGGCAGAAGAAGATTAAAAGTTGTAATTCGACGCTGAGGCGCTGGGGTGATGACGCAAAACGGTTCCGCCCCAGGGGTCTCACTGAGGCATAATAGTTGTTACAAGTCAGTTAAAACAACGTATTAAAAAAAAAAGCAGAGCTGCAAAAGGGTCCTCGGAACAGCTGTGCATCGGACACGGTATCGAAACAAAGATTTAGCATTACTTAGAAACACGGCGGCATTAAAATCGTCTATTTCGTTTTATCAGCTCGCTTCCTATCAGCAAGTCTGTCGGCTCGAGGACCCTTGTATTTGGTCCCCAACATGCCATCCCAGAAGGTGAAGAATGGCTGGGAGAAGTTGTTCTTGATTCCCCATGTCTGGTGGTGAATGTCGTGATACGCGGCGTTGTTGGAGGTGATGAGCTGCAGGGGGTCCCAGGGAAAGGAGTATCCGCAGTGGTCATCGACAGTCTTGATTGTCGAGAAGGCGAAGAAGCAAGTGCCCTGACGGACCGTCATGCCGGTCAACTTGAATGCAATAGCGGCCCCCAGCGTGTCGAGCAAGAAACCTTCCAATGGGTGGTTGTACAAGGCGCCGTATGCGTATGGAACGTATAGTCGGTGGTGTCTGGAGTGGAAAGTAGCTGTCAACGTGTCAGTTTGTTGCTTTCTGTTTCCATCGCGAGGATAGAGCTCGACAGTGACCGTGTGGGGACAGCAACGGGACTCACTGTACATCCATCGATTCACGTGCATCAGTCGGTGCAGAAAGTACTGCCAGGAGTCGAGAAATGAGACAGCCACAAAGAACTGAATGCCCGGGACGACGATGTGATAGAGGACTCTGGCGACAGCGAGCTCCCAGGGAGCGAAAGCAGGCGCAGCGGACTCGGCCGTGGAGAGGGACGGATAGTAGCCGCCAGCTAGAGCGCCAGCCAGCAAAGGGTGCGTCGCTGACATGCTCTTGGAGATGGCGGTGGCATTGACACCGAGAAGGCTCAGAAAGCCGGGCAGCGCTCGTTGCGCAAGGCGAAGTCTCGTGGCCCAAACGGCAACGTCATAATCTGCCTTTCCGACTACCTCGGGGGGCTCGGACAGGGCCAGGATGGTACCCGTAGCAACCTGAATAATTTGCTGGATAACGACGTCGCGCGCCACCTCATATCGGGAGGCGTGGTTTCTGCGCAGTATCTCTTCTGGGGTGTGAAGGCGATATTGCGGGAACAGGTCGAGGACGTCAATGACGTGGAAAATCAGCGACATTACCCAATAGACGAAGATGGGCAGGATGAGGGAGAGCCAAACGTCGGAAATCCACGAGAAGAAATCGCCTCTGGGCTCGAGGGTATACGAAGGGAGCGGCGGCAAAGTCGAGTCGAACGAGGTGCTGTTTGCCATGACGAACAGGAGAAAAGGGCCCTTGGTATCGTTGACCATGGTACACTGCCGACAGCAGGATCCGCGAACCGCAAATCGCTGCTTACTTGCTGGTTACTGTCCGCAATCGACGCGATGCTTGCGCACGGCGCCGGTCGTGTGCTGTCGACAAGCGAATGCCGCGAACGGCAGCTTCTCTGGCGAGGGCGAGGTGAGGCGAAGTCGGCGTGCGACAGTGAAAAGGAGCACTTTCGGGACGAGCGACGGCCGAGAATATCAGTCAATAGGGTGACGAGGACGGCGTGGGAAAATGCGTTGCCTGCAATGGCAAGACCGAAGCAGGAAGAAGAAAAAGTGACGTGAGTAGACGGCGTGGCGAAAAGGAGCGAAGGTCCCAAGGCGGAACAATGGAATGATGGGATGATGGGATGGGTTGATGGGATGGGATGATGATGGGGATGCCAAGGGTCAACTGGTCTGGCTCTGGTCGGGTCAAATGGGCTTATTCCGACCAGATTTGAAGTGCAAGGCCGGGGCTCCGAGTGCATGGCAAGTGGCACGCAGCAAGCGGCGCGCAGGGCGAAGAGGCGAAGATGTAAGGCGTCAACGGGTGGCAGAAGAGCGCTGGTGGCGTCGCGGTCGCGGCTCGGAGGCTCGGGAAACATGCTGCTGCTAAGTAAAGTACTTACTTGAGTATGCAGGTACGCCGTTCTGCAGCCAAAAGCAGGCTAGCAGCTAGGTACCCAGGGTAGTCCGTGACTTCACACTTCTACGCGTCTGCGCCAATCTCGGTCGCCAGCGGGGTCAAAAAGGGCGTCGTGCGGCGTCGGCGTCGTCTGAAGCCACCATCAGCCCACCCCGATGTCCAGGGCTCAGGACCGAGCTTTGTTTCCATTCAAGGCTCCGTAGTAAGTACTTGGGTTGCTTACGTACCTAGGAACTTGCTTGATTAGGTACCTACTAAGTACTTGGGTAGCATGCGACTACCAGGTTAGAACTTACTTGCCTACCTCCTAAGGCCTACCTAAGTACTTAAGTAAGTACTTGCTTTCTTGAGTACTTACTTGGAAGTATGTACGTAAGCACCTAGGTAGGTGTACTTGGTCGCCTGCCCGGTTGCAGTCGTCAATCGATCCAACTCACTGCTGGGCCTGTTGATGTTTTGGCCGTCCTCGGTTTCGGTATAAATACTTGAGTAGGCTACGTACTTACTTGGGTACTTTACCTACCTGACCTAGGTAAGTGGTAGATCGTCATCGACCCAACGCCTCTGTCTATTTAAGCAGTAACCCTTGCTGCAAACCTCGATAGCTTGTCTTGGTGGCGTGTTCGCCAGTAGGACCATCGCCACATGCTCAAGTACACATGCCTTTTCTGGCATCGCGAGTGTCTGGTAGTGGAATATTGGCCAGCTCTCGCTGCAGAGCCGAGTAGTCTCTGGCTGCATGGCTGTGGTGATGATGCCTTGAGAAAGCAAGCCCCCCGAGAAAAACTCCATGATGACTTGTATCACCGTGATTTTGGAAAGCTTAATTTGTATCTGCGGGGAGCAATGTGTACTTGTACAGGGCGCTCTGATCGCCAGAGGCCGTCCTGTACACAGCGTGCGTGTCTCTTCCGTTGAGCTGATGCTGATCAATGACAAGTACCAGGCGCCCCGAGTAGTACCAGACCCAAATAGTCAAATCGTCGCAAAATTGAAGCCGCGCCTGTGCCTGTGCCTGTGCCTGTGCCTGTGCCCGTGCCTGGTCTGCTAGGTTTGGCGTCAACTGCGTAAATGTCATTAGTGGCCACGCATTCAGGCCGACTGACAAGTACTCAGGTGCTAGAGTGAACAAGGGAGGGGAAAAGAAAAAGTGCGTACCAAATAAGAATTTAAAGCAAAGCAAAAATTTAGAGGAAAAAATCTTCCCCACCAAAGTCAAGCGTCATTGGCGAGCCACATGCTCCCCTCCTGGCCTAGCCGCTCACTCACTCCCAATCCCACCCCACCAGACCTTCTGGTCTCATCTCCACTTGGAAATTTCCTATTCTTCTCTTTCTCCTCGCACCTCTTCTTCATTCGGTATTCCATGGTAATTACGGCCTCGAGTCTACCAAACCGCCATCATGATTATTTACAAGGTATGTCACTACTGCGAAAGAGAATCGTCGCATCTGAAACGCCACAGCCGGAAGCGCAAAGTTTCGCCCGGGACCAGATCAGCCAGCCGCCTTGTGCGGCCGCTACCCCGCCATCCTCTGCCCTGCATTGTTTACTGTCCTTCGAGGGACACTTGTTACCACTCATTATACTGAAGGCGCAATCTCGATAGGACATCATCACTGGTGACGAGATCATCTCCGACTCCTATGACATCAAGCTCGTCGACGGTATCGTCTACGAGGCCGACTGTGCCATGATTACTGAGGCGGCCGTCAATGTTGGTATGTTTGGTCCGCTGCTTTCCAACCTCGCCCGCCCTGCCTTCGTCTCTCGATGCCAAAACAAGGCTATTGTATTTTTTGGGAAGAAAGAAGAGAAAAGAGAGAAGAGGAGGGGGAAAGCGAAAGAAAAACAACAATTTCAACCCCCCCTGTCAATGTCATTGTGGCTACCCGCGATGAAGACCATTATACGCTCTCTGCGCAACATCAGCTATCGGCATACGCTTCCCGGATTCAGCCCGCCCACTAGCCAGCCGGGTCTCTGCAATTCACCTCGCGGGGCTATATAATTCATGTTTCTCAATCCATTTTCATAGGAACACACTTCTGGATGCTAACATACCCAACTTGATAGACACCGGCGCCAATGCTTCCGCTGAAGAGGCCGAAGAGGCTCTTGAGGACAGTGCCGTTAAGGTTAACAACATTGTCCACTCTTTCCGTCTCCAGAGCACCTCCTTCGACAAGAAGGGCTACCTCGCCTACCTTAAGGGTAAGTACAAGTATATTCACCTTGATGACCGTCTTGACCTCCGTCGGCATGTCACTGTGAGGCGCCATCATGAATGATGCTAATGACGCACCCCACAGGCTACATGAAGGCTGTCAAGGCTGCCCTTCAGGAGCGCAATGCCCCTGCTGAAGAAATTTCTGCCTTTGAGAAGGGCGCTCAGGCCTATGTCAAAGAGAAGCTTCTGCCCAACTTCAAGGACTTTGAGTTCTACACTGGCGAGTCCATGAACCCCGATGGCCTGTAAGTACTGGTCAGCCTGACCGCGACCCAGGCGCATCGCTCGATGCGTGGCTCCTACTTGGTCCTGCCTCGGTACAAAAATTGAGATTACTAATCACCCCCCCAGCGTGGTCCTCCTCAACTACCGCGAGGACGGTGTTACTCCCTACGTCGTTGTTTGGAAGCACGGCCTCAGTGAGATGAAGGTCTGAGCGATTTCTAGTCTGATGATGAGCTGCATATGAATTTCGGTGTATGAAGGTTGTGATTTAGAAAAACAAAAGCTATTGTAGTGCGTCATTTTCAGCGCCCGGCGTACATCGCCACATTTATAGCAGGGACAATGAAAAACAACACAGAGGATTGAATCACTTGACACTTCTCGTTTGTTTGATCCACGTAACTCTGAGAACTGAGCCCTCATTGCATCTTTCTGCGGCACAAGTTTCCTTTACTCAGGTTTATTGTTTCGAGATTCCCAACTCCTTGCTTTTCCAATTTAACATAACCATGGCTACAAATGCACACCTCGACGGACAAGCCGTGGGGAGGAACGCCGATATGCGATACTCAGTACACGGCGAACCTTGGTAGCAGGACAACCCGCGTCAAAACAGCAAAACTCTTAAAACTGCGGCCTCGTGGACATTGGGATCGCAGGGGGCCCATCAGCATCTCCCTGCGAAGCAGACGAATGGTTCGAGGCAGCAGCAGCAGCAGCGGCGGCAGCAGCAAGGACTGGCTTCCTTTTAGGAGGAGGTGGCGGTGGCTTCTTCCTACCAGCCAGCCCTGGAGCCGCCGCTTGAGCAGCATCATTCGCGGCACCTGTATACGTTTGGCTCGGACCAGGCAACGGCGGCGGCGTGAATTTCTTCTGTGTCGTCTGCGTGGTCGGCGAGCCGGCAAACGCACCAAGCTTGTCCGAGATGCCGTACTTTTGATTGAAATTATTGGCTGCCTTGGCACCTGCGGCAACTTGTGCCCCGTGACGTTGTCGAAAGTTGTTGGCGGTACTAGCCGCAGCCTTGGCATCGGACAAGGAAACTGAAGATGTATCCTTTCGGAAGGCGGACGCCGTCTCGAGAGCTGCCTGCTTCTGAGCCCACGTAGTGCCCTGACCGGACTCTTGTTCCCGGGCGGATGATGTCATTGACTGGGTGCTCTTTTCGGCAAAATGCCCTTGGAGCTGCTTGGCTTGGGCAACCCAACCACCAGCTCCAGCTTGGGTCAAAGATGAAGCTCGTGCCGATGCAGGCGGAGGACTTGGCGAGGTTGAATGGGCGGCCCCGGCACGACCAATACCCAGTGCTGGGACAGAAACGCCCGCCGCCTCGAGCCTATCCACAGCTCTCTCGTCTCTTCGGCCGTCCTTTTCGCCCCCTCCAGGGGGAACTCTCGGCGGTAACCGAGGCGGCAAACCCGGCGGGCGTGCCAACGGCACAGCCGCCCCAGAAGTCGCTTCGTCATAGGATGGCGGACTCCTGCCATCTGCGCCGTCCCTCCTCCCCGGCGGCTTGGGCAGGTTACCCGTCGACAGTCCCGTGGTATTGGCTTGATACGGCCTCAGGCGATTCCCTGCATCGTTGCGCTGTGCCTCCCTTGTCGGCGAGGCCTCAGCACTCGCCAGGCCGGTTCCCGTGTCCCTCGGCGGCGGCTCGACCGGCCCAGCTCTAGGATCAGCGTATTTTGACGGAGACGTGACGACCTTGCGCTCGGGCGGGACTGGTTTTGGCGCGGGCAAAAGACCAGAACCGCTTCGTTTGGGCGGCGGCGCAAATGACTCGGGGTCCTTGAGATGGCTCAGTGGACGAGCAACGTGGTTGGAGCTGCTGTCGTTTTTGTCATCTTTATTGCGACCCATGAGGCCAGACTAATCAGCAGCAACGGGGCTTTTTAGTACATGGTTTCGTCTTGATTGCATACGCATGTATATGAACTGGTGCGAGGGAGATGGTGCAGCAAGAGGAGTGAGTTCAAGGCCATCTACGTACCATGGAGCCCCGAATTCCCGTTCCCGACTTCTCCGGATGCCACCCGTTCTTCATTATATCCTTGAACTGGGACATGTTTGAGATACTGCGCGGGTGCGTGCCTGATGGGCTGCTTGTGTTCTTTCCCTTGGCGTTGTCAAATGCTGCGGATGCCTGGGAATCCAGGAGCAGCGTTGCCATGAGGCAGCTGGTCCTTGCCGCAGTTGGCGTGCGAAGCGCGAAGCGCGATGACGTACAACGCGCTTGTCCGAGGTTCCCCGAAGTACCGCAGTACCTGGGCAGCGGGTATGGGAAGCCTACCACCGTGGGTTCCCAGTACATGGGCGTGTGATGCGCGGGGTCCCACGTTCACAAATGCATCAACCTTGGCGTGCCGCCAGATGCCGCAGAGTTCCACAAACACTGTTGTTCGTCGTGAAGAGTAACACGAAGCATGATTGCTTCGCACGCCGTGCAGTGAAGTGACGCCGCTTTGATGGACCGCCTGCTCCCCGGACCGCGTGATCAGAAGCAATCCACCCCCGCCAGCGCAGACGCGTCGAGTCGCGCGTCCCTCGCCTCGCCCGCCGTCTGCTCAACTCCGACATCATGGCCGCCAACGGGTCGGACTACGAGCTCCTCACAGAGCATTTCGGCTACCCGCCCGCGGTCCGTACATGCATCCTCCTGAATCCGATCCGCGCACCCACACCCACACTGACCACCTCGCGCGAACCCCCCAGGCCCTCCTCGACGACATCATCAACACCGTCAACGTGCTGGCCGACCGCGCCCTCGACTCCGTCGAGCGCCTGCTCCTGACCATCCCCCCCCAGAACCTGGGCTTCAAAGCCCCCAAGCCCAAGCCCAAGCCCAAGCCAGCAGCAGCAGCAGATGCCGATGCCGATGCCGCCCAGACCGCCCTCGACGCCGCCAGGCTCGAGATCGAAAACGGCACCCACCAGCTCGAGACCCTCCTCAACGCCGCCATCGACAAGAACTTTGACATCTTCGAGCTCTACACCATGCAGAACATCCTGACGGTCAAGCCCCAAGACCAGCCGTTCATGCGCCTGTCGCACTACGACGGCCTCGACTTGTCAAACGACCCCGACAGGCCCACCGTCGAGAGCATCACCTCCCTAAGGCGGAGACTACACGCCAGCCAGAAACTGCACATCGCCCTCGAGGCGGAGAGGGCCAGAAACGACGCGCTCCTGCGCCATTTAAAGGCCGCCGTCGGCCTGTCCGCCAAGGACGACGCGGTCGAGCGGGAGGATGGCGCCGCGGGAAAGCCCGCGAACCAGCTCGCCTTCCTGCGCGAAAAGGCGACGCTCGAACAAGGCGGGACGAACAAGCCCATCACTACGACTGCGGAATTCGCACTGTCGCAATTGGAACCCCTGCGGTCGCTGTCGGAATCCCTGCGAAGCCTGTTGCCCGGACTCGCTGCACAGGCGGCGGGGGGCCAGGACACGGAGGGGCCCGGCAAGTCTTGGCGCCGCCAACGAGCAGAGTACATCGAGGGCGCGTCGCGCAAGTATCTCGAGCGGACGGGGGGGTTGGAACTCGGTCCGCAGGGGGAAGTCCGCGACGGGGAGTGGCAGGGCGGGGGGCCGTCGCTGTCGAGAGGAGAGGTCGAGGGTCTGGAGAACGTTGCCTCGCTGTTGGCGGGCGAGGGGGGGCAGGGGGCCGAGACGTGACGGGCAGCAGGCAACATGTCCAGGACGACCAGTCTTGCTGCTGCTGCTTCTCCTGTCTTGCTTTTTCCTCTTCCTCGAGAGACTTATCACTGGGTTCTGGATATCACGGTGAGCGAGAAATGTCAGGGAGCTAGCTCTGGGCGGCATGCCCTTTTTTTTTTTTGTTCTCTTTTCCCACCATCTACTGGCGTTCTACATGTATATATAGTACATTCGAGTATGCAGTACACGTGTTCGAGACTCCGGTCCACAGTACAATGTGATGCCATCGTCTTCATCATTCACGCAGCTTGGCTGCCACAGTCACTGGCACTTGGCGCCAGTCGACCAGGCCGTTCTCCCTCGCCAGGAACCAAAAATGATGCTTCCAGTAGCGGGCGTCCCTGTCAGACGAGTCATCTGCCGCCGCCCCCTCGAGCCTGTGATGCAGCACCACGCCCACCACGTGCCTCGCGTCCTGTGCGGCCTTGGGGTCGGCCGACGCCAAGAGGGCCTTGAGCAGATCCGTCAAACAGGGCAGCGAGGTGACGGGCCGTCCTGCGCGCGCGAGGTCGTCAAACACCGCCATGGCAGAGGCCACGTCGCCCGTGACGGCGTGCGCGCTCATCACCCGCTCCCACAGCGTCTGATCGCCCTGCGCGACGTCGGACAGGCCGTGTTCCTTGAGGATGGCGCGGACGGCTGCTCCCGCGTCAGGGGGCAGCGGGTCCCGGGAGATGACCCGTTCAATGAGAATCGTCACCATGTGAGGCGTGATGGACAGGCCCGCGGCCGTCATGTGGTCCTGCACGGCGGCAAGGGCCTCGTTGGCGCCGCCATTGGCAAGCCCCGAGACGGCGTAGAGCATCTTGCCGTACGTCTCGTGATTCGCCTTCAATCCCGCCGCTTCAATGTCCCCCAGGATCTGCCTCGCGACATGTACCTGCTCGGCCGCGGAAGCGTGCTCCAGGGACCCGAGCAGCCCCTCGAGGAGGATGGTGAACGTGGCCGAGTCGATTTCGATGCCCCGATTCTTCATGGCCTTCAACAGGCCTTGCACGTCCTCGGCGACGTTGTTGCGGAGGCTCTCTCTCAGAAGAACGTTGTACGTCCGGACGTTGGGCTCGATACCTTGCCTGCCAGCCCAGACGAGCACCTCGTTGGCCGCGCGTCGGTCCAGAACAATGAGGCCCTTGAGGGCGGCATTGACGACCTCTGTGCTGGGCTGGACGGCTACACGGGCGGCACTCTCGATGCTGCCTCTGCTGGCAACCGCCTTCTTCCATAGGCTCTGCATCTCGGCCAGCGCCTGGATGCCAGATTGTGGTCTGCCGGCCTCAATGAGGCCCGAAATGCGCTCAGTCCATATGAAGACGTCGAGCCTCAGGCCCGACTGGACCAACTTATTCCAAAGGGCTTCGATGCGGTCCGCGTCTTTGCATATCTTCCACCCGTACATCATGTTGGTATATGATCGCACAGTAGGCTGTATGCCGACCTCACGCATGAGATCCAATGTCGCCTGCAACATGGTGGGTCGTCTGACGGCACACCAGACAAATATCCAATAGTCAAAGAAGTCTGGGTCCTCGCGCATTTCTCGCGCAATGTCCCGGTTTTGGGCTAAACAAGCCTTGAGATCCTGCCAGATGGATACAACAGCGCCGGTGTTACGAGACCGATAAGCAGAGCGGAGTTGCTTGTTGAAAACTGACAGATGGGACGCCTCGCTTGATGAGCGAGATGGCCCCTGAGACGGTATACTTCCTTCGCGCCACGCTGCATCAGTCCTCAACACCATGTCCTGAGCCCGAGGCCACTGTGGCAGCACGTAAGAACGCAAATCGGCCAGCTTTGACGGTGGGAATTCGATTTTTCTAGAAAAGATGCCATCAACATGGGCGGCGTCTGCGGGCTGGTGCTGCAGTGCGAGGGCAACGAGGTCCAACAGTGGTGCCGCCTTGATTTGGCTTGCCTCTCTAGCTAGACGCGGATCAGAGAGCACAGCAAGAGTCGTCAACAGACCCGGCACAAGTTCACCAGCCTGCTCCAGTCGGTATTGAGTGAAGATACTAGCCAGGGCTTTGGTGGTAGGCGTCATGTTGGAAGACTTCAGCCCTGCTGATTCATTCTGCCTTGTTGAGGATGCTGAACACTTTTCGATATCCTCAACGATCTCTTCCTTGGTCGGGAGCACGAAGGTGAGCCGCTCGACGTGCAATTGACTCATCCTCCGTAGTTGAGAAGTATGCCTCCACATATCCAAGAGCTCGTCGACGAGGGCATTACGCTCCGCCGAAGTATGCTTCCTACTAATCAACGTGTGGCACAGGCTCAAGACGAGCTGGTTCCGCATGTGCAGATCCCATTTTCCAATAATGGCGAGCATTTTCGAAAGAGCGACGCTGATGCCCGTGAGACCTTGTTGAGCAACCGCGTCACAAGTCTGCGCCAAAAACGTTGTAGTTGACACGTAGAGGTGCTTGGGGATTCGTCCGCGGAGTTCCTTGACATGTGGCCATATCTCATTTTGGAAGAGGCGCAGTCTGTCGAGGGTTTCGACGTTCATTGTCTCCAATTCCTTCATCTTGGCAGCAATCTCCCATTCACCAAGCACCGCAGGTGCAGAATGCTGTCGAGCAATCGGCCGTGCAGGGGACCCTCCGCGAGCAGTGGCTTCGTTTTTCTGCACCACATCATTGAACAGAGAGACGGCGGCATCGGCGTCCTTGGTCCTTCTTGGCTGTCTCTTTGAGGATGCTGGTGCCTCCTGGGGGAAAGGAGGCTGCGAAGTTGAGCTCGAGCTCGGAGTCTGATGTGAGGCGCCAGGGGCTGTCGACGAGAACCACGCGACAGGCCGGGCTCCAGCTCCGACTCTGAATGCCGATTTGTACGTCGGTGGCACAGTTGAACGCACGCGCGATACGCATCGTAGACATGTAGTTCTAGAAGCGCACATGGCGAACGCGGGCGCGTCAACAGCCAGGAATTGTCACTGGGCACGAAAGATGTCCCAGGTCGAGGAGTCTCTAGATGTTTTGCGGGAACGTTTGAAGGCGTGGTCAGCGACAGGGTCCAGGGCGACTGCGGATCCACTTGGCCAATCAATGAGCGGGCAGGCTTGTGCATCTCGCTTCAGGACGTCACATTCGCTCCTGCCGCAACATCCCTTGGGAGTCGGTGGGTGGTACGGCGTATTTATTATGTACGGGATACAGACCGCAGATGTAATGGGCGATCGGTGCATAATCAAAAAAAGCCCTCGCCTTGTTGGACTTTCATGCACGCCATTTGCCTAACCCTCCTCCTTGCAAACACAAGCGGCGTGATACCTTGCAGTCAAGTTCGAACAATGCTTCCAACTCCCCGACACGACAAAAGCGGCACCCTCACAACGAGGCCTCAAACGTGCCATCAATAGCCTCAATCTTCTCCACGCTCCTCCTGTACCCATCCTCCGACTCCAACACCTTGACGTACGCGGCGACCTTTGGAAACGCCTTCTCCCACGAGCCGCCCTCAAAGGAGCCCAGCTCATCAAACCGGCTCGACCCAGCAATGACAGGGAAGCTCATCAGGATATCCGCAGCAGTAAGCTTGTCACCACACAGATACTTGCCACCCGAAGTCGCGAGCTGGTCATCCAGAAATGCAAGGTGTTTCTTGACATTGGGGTAGACGAACATGGAGACGATGCGGTTGGCAATAATGGACGTGATGGGGCGCGCGAGGAAAGGAACCTGAGGCGACTTGAGGCCTGTCCTCGGGACTAGGTCAGCTGCCAGGGGGCTCATTCATTACGAAGAGAGGGGCAGAAAGAGGAGAAGAGAAGGGACTGACGAGACACGACCAGCGCGAAAACCAAGTACGGCATCAAACTCCCCTCGGCGTAATGCATATAGTAGCCATACCGCAGCCACGCGTCAGTCTCGCCGCCGACGGTGCCCTCCTTGCCGTCCTGCCACTGCTGGGGCATCAGCTTCTTCCCCTCGGGAACATGATCCACGAGATACTGCGTCATGAAGCCGCTCTCCGCCAAGACGATGGGCTTGCTTTCATCGCCGCCGGGCGGCACGATGCCAATCACGGGCGATTTACCCAGGGGGTGAATCTGCTCCAGCTCCTTGGGCGCAAGGAGGGTTTCCTCATCGCGGTGGAAGACCTCTATTTCGTAGGGGACCCCGAGTTCTTCGAGGAGCCATACTATGCGCTGGGAGCGCGAGTGGTTGAGCCTGTTGGGGGTAGCGCCAGTCGAGTGGGCATACAATCAGTTTCGGCAAGACTTGGGAGTGTGAGTGTGAGGGTGCGATGATTAGAGCAAAGGACGAAAAAAAAGAAGCAATCGAGTCGCTCCCTCCCCCCCTCCCTCTCTCTGTCTGTGTGTGTGTGTGTGAAGTTGAGGTTTGGGGGCCGGTGTTACGCAATAGTGTCATACCAGTACAGCTTAATTTTGGGCAAGTCCGCAGCCATTGTGGCAGTGAATGGCAAGAATGTACATACACGTTGGGCAAGGGAAAAAAAAATTAAAAACACAAAAAATGCAAACACGCTTTAAATATATTGCCCCCCCAAATCAACTCTCCACCACGACCGCCGATCCCATGGTCGATGATGCACTTCCCAACCTCTTAGCTTCATTGACTTTCTGTGAGACCACTGACCAGCCTCGGCCCACGGCGGCGCACAAGATAACCGCCAAGGCGTTCCAACGACGGGCTTTCGGCTCGCACAACTGTTTTAGTCCGTGCAGCCGCGTCCACGGAGATTGGTTACCCTTACTCCGTAAAGCTTACTCCGTATGCCGCCAGACAAAACCCACGCCCTCACATGCAGTCAGTCAACTTGTGATTCCCGCTTCCTACCGGCCATCCACCGGCCTCGTCGGGTCAAGTCAGTTACCAACTGTCTTTTCATTGTCGCCAACCAAATCTGTCTCTGCAAAATCATACACCGTATTCATGACTCAATATCACCCCAGCCTCTATCTGTCCTTCCATGACCGAATGCACTCCCGAAAAGCACCTCTATGCCCACCCACCAGTCCCGTCCCAAACCAACCATGCATGTTCGTCTATACCAAGCTCTTGGCCACACGTCATGTCCAACCCATAAAAGTCCGCTAATCATAAAAGTAACTCGTGCCTTGGAAACAAGAAAACATACACAAATAGTGTTCATGTTCCTTTCTCTTTAAAAAAAGAAAAGAAGAAGAAAAGGAAAGAAGAACAAAAACAAAACAAAAAAAAGGAGCCATCGCAATCTTCGCCTGCGATTCACCTCCTACCCGTCAAACCATTTGGATACAATCAAAGCTCCATCTCCCATGCTCTGCAGCTGCTTAGCCTCGCCGCCGCGTCTTGGCTGCACCTCGACCCGCCGCCTCGGTTTGCGCCTCGCGCTTTTTTGTTTGCTTCCTTGCTCTCGGCGGCGGCGGAGGGTCTGAATGGATGTGACCTAGGTCCTCGAGTGCCATGGTGTTTTCCCACTGCAAGCAACGATACGTCAGCGGCTCGGGCGTCTTCTCCCGGATGCGTGAACTGCTTCTCTTGGTCGCAGCCCCGTCTTTTTTGTCCTTGTTTTCGTCATTTGCCAGATACTTCTTTCTGCTCTCCATATGCTTTGCAATCTTGTCCTTGTAGTTAATGAGCTCCTTGCGCAACTTCAGCTCGTTGAACCCCCGAGGGTCTAGCCATTTAATCAACGCAGTCAAGTCCCCGGGCTCAGAGATGTAACCCCACTGCCTGGCCGTGAAAACGCTGGTCCCGTTCTCCTCTCTGGCCTTGCGCTCCGACACCGTCATTTTGAACTTGGCCTTGTATTCGTTTTGAAAGTCTGGAGGTCCGTCAATGTACCCCTCGCGTTCCATGTCATCTGGTCCCTGCACCCAAATGCATCCGTTGGCATAATCGGCTGCTGCTGTCGAGCTTGTAGGGAGCCCGCCATATGGCATCCCGTTTCTCTCAAACCAGTAGTATCGGTTCCAAAAGCGATCCTTGCCCAAGACTCTCGTCCGCGGGCAGTCGGCCTCGCGAAGATCGTTTTCAATAATCGCCACCTCCTCCTCGCATTCTTTTATAATGTCCTCCTTTTTCTGTATCTCCTTCAAAATCTTGTTGTACTGCTTCTGCTGTTGGGGCGTCAGCTTGGCTGTCTCTTTACGCGTCGATTCCTTCTCCTTCTCCCTCTCCTTGGACTTTTCTTTTTCTTTCCTCTCCTTTTCAGATTCCGAATCTTTCTTCCTCTTGTCCGCTGGTGCACGACCCTGTCGTTTGCCCTTTGGTCGGGTGGGTTCGTCGTTACCTTCCCCAACGTCTTCCTTGTCGACCTGGGATTCATCAGCATCGGCCATCTTGACATCTTCTTCTTCCTTGGTGACATTGAAACCAGCTTCTTCCTGCGGGTTCGGGTCGGGTACTAGCTCTCTGCGCTGCTCGTGCAGTTGGCGAGCATCTTCGATACTTAGGGCCAGTCAAGTCAGCCTCTCATCCGAGGGTTATGCTTCGCATCGTGTGCGAAAATTCGTACGAACTTACGCTTGCTTCTTCTGTCGTTGCCAATCGATTCTGTCCTTGCGGTACTTGGTCATTGTTTCGCTGCAATCTTCCATGTAGCCACGAACAGCTTTCGTCTGCATCGTAAGTAGGCATATGATCTGCAAGGCCTTCACTCGATAGTTGACGTCCAGCCCGGCATAACTCTGTCGAATGGCTTCTTGTGTAGGGTCCGAGTCTGCCGCAACAAGCTGCTCCAGCAGTTCCTCACAGGGTCTCTTGTAGCGATCGTCTTTGGACAGCTGATGTAATAATCCAACCATGATCCTCTCCCATCCCCCATGGGAGAAATCGCGCCTCCGAAGATGGTCTATCCAATCAAACTCCCTCATCAATTCTTCGGCCCGGTTGCGAGATTCTTGTTCTGCGCGTATCTCTTCCTTTTCGGCAGCGGCAGCTTCTGCCGCTAACCTTTCGGCCTCTAGTTTGGCGAGACTGCTGCGAGTGGCGCGACCCTTGGGCTTCTCTTCAGGCTCGGGGGTCGTTACCTCTCCTTCGCCTCCTTCATCCTCATCCTTATCCTCGCCTTCTTCGTCGCTGCGCTCGTCTTCTAGTTCCGGCAAATTGATGCGAACTTTACCTCCTTCGCGCTCCGAGTCAACTAGCACTTTCAGCACAGAGCAGTGAATCTCGTCGAAAAGCTGAACACGAGTCTGTTCGGAGGCCACCGACATGGCCTCGACGAAGTCGTCAAATGTGAAAGAGTCGAGCTTAAAAATCTCGCAGTACACATTGAGGGTGTCCCAGGTTTCCAAGAAGGCACCAACTGTGCCCATGCTGATTTTGTCGGAATAGAGCTGAAATTCGTCAATCTCGGGCTCAATCTTGACTGGAGGATCATGACACAAGAACTTGAGACGAGGACGTACGCTGCCCTCTTTGGGGGGCAGTGATAGGTCTTCAATGGGATACTTTGTAGGTGGAGGGGGCGGCGGCGGCGGCGGCGGCGGGGTAGGTTCACGTATCGGTGGCCTTGGTTGCTCGTGTCGTATGAACCCGTTGATGCCATTGACAGGCTCGTTGAGAGGCCACTTCAGCCCCTTGATGCCAGACTGGCCTTGCTTCCCCTTGTGGTGCTTCGTGGCAGGCTTCAGTTCTGGTAGTCGCATTGGTCCGGTGTGTGATGCACCGTGAATATCAATCGAGACGGCCCGTTTCTGGGCCTGGAGCTGCTTCCGCTCTAGCAGCTTCGTGTCATGTCGAAGCTGAGGAGGGACTCTGGTATCAATGTGATACATGCTAGCACAGTCGTGCTTGACTAGCCAAGGCGCTCCCGTCCAAGCTTCTCTAACAACCGTCTTCTTGATGAAGGAGCGCAGCATAGCCTTGGTGAAAACACCACGATTGCGACAGATGTGCTCATCGGTGACAATGGTTTCTTTGTCAGAATTATTGATACTGACGAGGTAGCGCGTCACGGGTAGTGTCCGGGAGCCGTCAGGTAATATTCTTGGACCGAAGGTAGTCTTGTCCCTGACAAGGCCTTGCATTTTATCGCCACCATCCAGGGTTACCATCACCTCTTCGCCAGGGTAATAATCATGCTTGAATTCGTCAAAGATTAAATCAACAAGGTGGTCCAGGCGAGAAATGGTCTGAAACTGGACTTTGCGGAGAATTGGACCTTTGAGTGCTTCGGGGAATGAAGCTTCCACTTCGCGACCGCCGGTAAGCTGTGCGACAAGAGAACTATTGATAAGTGACTTTTTTCTGACAATACGGGGTGGAGAATGGGTGAAGTCGAACCTCGCTTTTCAAAGCCTCAAAGAAGGTGAGGCCAGAGTGGCCGGTTATTTCGTCGTTGAATCGACGCTACGAACTAGTGTGAGAACCCAGACAGCGCATTCGTGTGAAGCTAGGGTACGGGACATGACAATACCTGTTTATAAAAGTCCATACTGGCGGGGATGAATCATCAGCACACAGAGACTTGCCGTGACATGAGGCACTAGCAAAGGGGCGCATGCCAGCGCAGCAAAGCAGATTGTGCGAGGCTAAAACTTACCGGCTTAAATAGTCCTCATAGCTCACAAAGATCTCTCCGGTCTGGGGAATGTGCCATACCTGGATAAGTTAATCGTCTAAGATTCCGCCTTACTTTGAGCCTTCTGGCTGCGGGAAGGCAGCCCTAATACATACTTCTGCATTCTCGTCTTGAATGTCTGCCGGCGGCAGGAACCGCACTGGCTTACGTTTAAAGAGAACCTGTAAAGGCGTGTCAGCCAACGTAGGCACGACTTCCGGGAGGTGTGAAGAAACTCGGTGTCTCTCCTAGGGCCGGTAATTACCATGGTGGCGAGGGAAAAAGGAAGCTCCGCAACGCGGAGGAGCTGGAAACACTTGTCCAGCAGCAGCTGCTATTCAGGCAGAAGACGCCCCTTGCTGACGACCAAGTGAGATTCGAGACAAAACCTGACGGAGCACTCGACGACGGGTGGAATGGTGTTGCGGGGGCGTAGCACTGATTGGGAGCAGAACAGCCTTGGTTGGAGCTGAGGCTGAGTAGTTTTTGGCGTCGTCGGTCCTCGAGGGAATTCGCCGATACAGACTTACACGCAGTCTCGGTGACGCGGGGGTCAATACATGTACCAGGTGCCAGGTAAGTATATCACGCAAAGGAAGTTGAATAAGGTTGCTGTGCGCGTCCAGCAGAGTTGGCGGCGGGCGACGATCTGCGAGATGCAAAGAGCTGCAAAGAAGAAAACGCGCGACTCTTGTTGACGTGCAACGTACAAGGAGAAAAGGAATTAGGTGAGCCAAGCGGGAGGTGAAGGGAACCCAGCCAAGCAGGAGCAAGCATCTAAAAAACTGTGGGGTTGCGTGGGAGGAGGAAGAAAGGAAGCCTGTCGACTATTTGTCTGGGATTGCATCACTCAAGTCTGGAAGGAAAGGGAACGAGGTTCAAGGAGCAGGAGACAAGAAGCACGGAGAAGCAACGGAAGAAAGACAGGAACCCAGAAGGCAGAAAACTAGAACTGTTCGGACCAGAGCGGCAAGCCAGTGAGTGACAGCGCGTGCAGGTAGCCGCCAGCGAGGACACCCATGCGGACAAGGTTCCGAAACAGGCCATGCGCAGCGAAAAGGTACCTCGACACAGATTGGGGCGCGACGCGGGGGTACATGAGAGCCTTGAACCTGCCACGCTCCCCTCCCCGTCCCAGTACTCGAGTAAACTGTAAACTCTAGAACACCAAGTGCTCAAGCGGACTAGCCAGATTTCTGGGATGTGGGAGTGCTTGCTTGGTACTATTCTGGTACTTTGAGCAGTCGGGCACTTAAGCACCTACGTCTACCACACCACGCCTTTTCGCAAGTACCTACCCAGGTACTCGGGCATCTCGTCGTGCGGCCACTTGGGTGCTCTGGGCAAAAGAGACGGATTTTTTGTGAGAACCAAAACGGCCGGGTGTCGGGTGCGCAAGTGCCTGAGGAGGCATCTGGCCTTATTTGGCTGAGCTCTTTGGAAAACTTGCGCCCATGTGCAGACGCGCCGAGTCCATCTCTCTCGGTTTCCGTTGCGAGCATGCATTAAGTACTTAGTAGTTCCTCCTTGACATCTGGGCATCTGCTCCGAATGGCCCACCGGCTCGTTGCACGCGGCAAAGTCCGGAGAGGCTCAGTTTCTGTCTAAAGGTGAAACGGGCAGGAAGGCCCAGAGAGAAAAAAAAAAAGAAGAATAAGTCGCCGTGCCCGCTCACTCACCAGTGACCACGGTCCGTTTTCACCTGCCTGCCCTTGCCCGCCGTGGCTTGCGCGACCACTCAAATGACACAAAGCCCAAGCCCACCCACACCCACCCCCTGCCAGCCAGACACACCGCACCACCACCGCCCGGCACACGGCCGCCCGTCTGCTTCCGCCTTCTCCTCCCCGCGACCGACCGCCATGGCCATGCCCTCCACAAAACCACCCGTCTGCCCAAACCATGTTATTCCGCAAGTCAAGCTGCGTACTTGGACTCTTCACCCACGTTTTCGGGCTCGTTTTGTTCGTCATTCGCATACGAATCGATTGGGCCCGTGAAACACCCACTTTGCTCCCCGTTCCGTAATATTGTCAGCCGCTATGCCGCATCGTGTCGTTGGACCCTTGCATGTAGGACGTCTGGACCCTGACTCTGGTCGAAATTACCTCCTCTTGCGCCTCTCCTGCTTGCATCACAGCGCACAGCGCCAAATTACTCCGTGCGTAGGGCCGAGTTGACCCCCGCGAGCTTCTTTCCCGGGACACTCCTCGACAGCGCCATATTTTGATTATTCCCGTGTCCTCAGGGCCTCCGGGGACCGAGCCCGGCCCTTGTTTGTCAATGCCGGGAAGACGGATCTGACCTCTGCCGACGCTGAGACTCGCGGCCGTCAATTGTTTCCGCCCAGGACATGTGTTACAGCGTCATCGACGCGTCGTGCACGCTCTTGTTGCGCCGCTTTGGTCCTCGTTCTCGGCGACTTTTACTTGCCACGACGGTCCCGTGAATTAGTTACTGACGGCACAAATCCGAAGCCCTGGGGCTCGAGAGTCGAAACTGATGTTTGTGGCCAGAGCCTTGGCCCCCTGGAGCCACACGTGGAGTTTGTTGACCTGCCGCCCCACCCGGCCTCCCGAAGTCGACGGCTTACTCAGCCTCACTCACTTTTGGGCACGCAGAGCAGCCAGCAGCCATCCCAGCACAGACAAGATGGAACAGGCTCAAGGAAGACTTGAGGTTTACTTATGCACCGTTTTCTTTTGCAACCCCATCCTGAGTTGACTTTCACGGCTACCGGCACTCAATACTGTCTGGCTTCGCATTTTACAGCCCCATGTGCTCGTTTGCTCAAGAAGTAACGTATACCACCATGTATCCAACCCAGCTGCCCACCACCCCTATGGCGGCATACGCGCTGGTAAACATGAGGGGAAGGAACTCATAGCTCTTCCCAAAAATAATTTGGTGCAGCAGAGACGTATATGCGATCAGTGGAATGCTCACCGCAATGTACAGTGTGCTGAAACGATCCAGCAGAAACACCCGTGGCTTACTTGACGCAGGCGCCAGCCGGTCAAACGACATCAAAAATAGAACCAGCCAGAAAACGGTGTACATGGTCTTGACAGGGAATTCAGCCGGAGTAAATAGCAATGGAAACAGAGAAACGTGACCAGCAACCGCCAATGGACGGAAGGCGCCGAGATGTCTTCGGTCCCGGAGCGCGATGAGACTAAACGGGATGATGACCAGCAGAATGGCCTTTTCGTGCACATGCCACCCGAAGAGAAACGATGCATATCCACAAAGAGTGACACTACCGACAAATGCCTCCCATGAAGGATCAGAGGCGAAGAAAAGCTTGAGGAGAGGAAGGCCCTGGAAGATCAGTGTTAACGCAAAGCACACTCTGGGTGAGATCTCGGGCAAAACTGCAAAGGCAGTATCGCCAACTAGTCCTCTAGTGACGCTTCGCACAGCCTCGGGCTTTACTGAGAGGCCCAGCCTTGGGGCAACTGAGAAAATGTCAGCGACGGGCCGAAACATGAGGGGAGAAGGGCTTGTGTCTTGTCCCGTAAGGTGCACCTACGGTGGATTAAAACGCGATCCGCCAAGGAGTAGAGTGCCCACACATTAGGAGCCCAGTATGCGTGGCAAAGCCCACGGGAGAACGGGAAAAGCCTGCCCAGCAGTTGCGGCATCTGCCCCATAAAAGCAAACGGGCCAAATGCCGCGGCGAAAATGGAGATGACGCCCAATCCAAGCTTGGTACAGTTCAGGAATTTGATCCGGAAGAGCGGGCTAGCCGACAGGCAGTAGGTGCGCAGGAGAAACACAAAGTATGCCGGGGCCAGGTAGAGGTAGATATGCTTGAAGCATAAAAGCGCCGCAAAGATCAGTCCGCTCTGCAAAAGCGTGGACTGGCATCTAGCGAGAACCATCGACCACAAAAGAATGCCATACATGAAACCGTTGTACTGGAAGTGAATGTGGTCTGTGATCAATAAGCCGGGAGAGAGCAAGACAGACAGTGCAGCAACCTGGGCGGCTCGCTTCGATGGCAGATTTGTCGTGTCAATAAAGAGCTGGAGCGCGTAAATGAGCAGCAGCTCGGAACCTATGACAGTTGCACGTTGAAAGTACACGGTTTGCCAGCTTTCGTGATTCAAGTTGTAGATCTTAACCATGGCCGGGTCAACCAAGCGAGCCAAGTGCGCAAGAACCCACTCGAAGTAGGCAAAAAACGGAGGATAGTCGAGCGTCCATTCCGAGGTCTTGTCGTAATACCATTCAGATATAGGGAGGCTGTTGGTGATGGCAAGCCAGTTGCGGTGAACCTCAAAATCGGTGGATTTGCTGCGGGAATGTTAGGCAAGAAATGTTGAGGTAATCACAGACTCTGCTTGTTACAGATAGATGGATGCCTCTGGTGCTATCAAGCCTAATATGAAAAAGGAAGCACATGGGCAGTGGGAAAAGAAAACATACTAGGCTGGGAACAAGAGGATTTTGAACGCGAGGGCCACGACCGCACACTGCGTGAGACTGGGATGTGATTCCGACATGACGTCAAGATAAGGGTCAGCTAATTGTGCTCCTGAAGACACCTCATGGCACGATTGCGACCCGAAATGTCGAGTTCGCTGCCGGTGAGGTCGCGATCCGCAAAGGAGTGAAGTCAGGCCAGAGGCAACTACAACTTGGAAGTCCCACAGCAGCCCCGCCAACTGCCATTGGACAGCGGTTCCTGAGTCCTGACTCCCGTCACTGCCCAGAGAAGTTGTGAGCGCCAATCAGCTCTTGCAACCCCCCCCGACGCGGGAAAGCTAGCGATCTGTCCACATCAGTGATATTGATGTGGTTGCAGGCCGACTCTGGCTACATTTGCCCGCGTCTCACTCTTTCTGTCAATCGTCAAGTCATCACCGTTCATGTGTTTTTGAGTGCCTCAGAAGGCTTGTTTCTTTGCCGGTACACACGTGTCTAAGTTGCTGTTCTTATCACCAGAAGACCACCTTGGCAAACATCCACACCTCCTCCGGTAAACCAACCTCGTGGCGCGAGAGCTGTGAGCTTTGCCAAACAAAGTGTCCCTCACGGCATCACCAGCTGGACTGGCCGACCATCTTGATCCACGATCCAATCGTCACGATTTCTGTCCCTGACTCCTGACTGACGTATACTGTACTTGTGGACGGCAGTAAAATTCCAATCCCACCACCATGCGATTCTCCGGCCATGTCGTAGCCTTGGCCATTCTGCTCGCTGCCGGCCCCTCACAGGCACAGGTCTTGATCAATGAGCTCAGCTTTGGCCATTCAGGACGGTAAGTTGATTCCGAGCCTTCTCTAAGGACGCCAATGGCCAGCCCTGACTGACAATTACCGCCTCCACAGTCTGGGAGCTGGCGACGGGAAAATTCCACACTTCACAATCACGGGTCAGCCTCACCAGCCTGAGGTCCTATCCAACAAGATCATCCTCACGCCCATCGACCCCGGCAACCAGCGATCGTCGATCTGGTCAGATGCACCTCTCACGCACTCGACTTGGGTGGCTGACATAGACTTCCGTGCGAGCGGACCGGACCGAGCTGGCGGCAACCTAAACATTTGGTTGGTGAGGCGAGGCAAGGAGGAAGTCGGTACGAACAGCGTCTATACCGCCGGGAAATTCGACGGTCTTGTACTAGTAGTGGACTCACATGGTGGCTCTGGTGGCATGATCCGTGGTTTCTTGAACGACGGCACCGTTGATCACGTATCACAGCCCAATGTGGACAAGCTCGCCTTCGGGCAATGCAACTATTTTTACCGAAATCTTGGCCGTCCCTCACAAATCAAGCTTCGTCAGACTGCTTCCAGTTTCAAAGTCGAAGTCGACGGCCACAGTTGCTTCGAGACGGACAAGGTGTCGCTGCCTCCTGGGTACTACTTCGGTATCACGGCCGCTACACCCGAAACACCCGACTCTTTCGAGGTCTTCAAGCTCGTTGTCCTATCTGACTCGGCTGTCTCCGGAGACAACAAGCAGCATAGTTCTCGACAAGATCAGCCTGGTAATAACCAGGCACGGCAGGCGCAGCAGGCGCAGCAAAACAACAATGACGGCGTTGGCAACGCCATCCCCGACCAATCCGCGGACACGTTCCAAACTTCCAAGGAGCAGTTTGCAGACCTCCACAACCGTCTCCAATCTGTCACTCACCAGATAACCGGCGTGTACGCCGCCGTTTCCAAACACCACCAGATGGACGAGGCGCGACACGAGGAAATGAAGAAGGCATTCGACTCTCTCCGTCACGAGCTCGCAGCTCTTCGACAAATAGGTGATCTGCAATCCAAGATTAGAGAACTAGAGTTGGAAATTCACAGTATGCACCGCGACATGAGGCAGAAGCTTGACGCTCACGGTCAATCCTTTGAGGCCAACCTGCGCAGCCACCATCGATCTCTCTCCGCGGCTCTATCCGACAGTATTCCCGGTCACGGCAAATTGATGGTGTTCTTTGTGGGTACGCAAATTGTTCTCGTGACTGGGTACGTGGTCTATAAGCGCCGTAGGACGAGTAGCCCCAAGAAATACCTGTAAGAAACACCATGTCGAGGCAGCAAATGAATACCTAGAAAAGGGGGGCCATGGCGAGGAAATTCACGGGCTCTACTTGTACGTTATCCTCTCGGGGGGGCTTGAGTGATTACGGTCGCAACAACAGCAGAGCGTATTTTGGACATTATTACCAGGGGAGAGGTGAGCGAGCGGAGCGATGCAAAGCCCAACATATGCATAGTATTCAGAGACTATAACTGTTTTTACATCAAGTTGAACCAAGACGGAACTTGTCCTATTGAACGATGTGATTTGACATGCAGATTTACGTGTTTTGATATCCTGGTGCTTCGTCAATACGCATCCTGGGATTCTACTTCTTCCCTTTGTTTATGACGTCTAGTAGTTCGTCGCCCTTGGGCGCAACCGTCAAGTTCTGATACCCGTGCTCGGTGACAAGAAGGCAGTCCTCGATACGAACACCGCCGACATCATAGTACTCTTCGAGCAGGTCCCAGTCGATGAACTGGGCGTGGGTAGGGTCGCCGCGGAAGGTAGCCTCTAGGTATTCGCGGCAGAAGTAACTGATTCAGGGTCGGTCAGCACAATCGCGAGATTTCAGCCAGGGACACAGATGCACTTACATTCCAGGTTCGACAGTCACAATCATGTTTGGCTGCAGGTGCTGTCCTTTGCTCTCCTGCACGCCCATGTCGTCCGGGGAGGATGCCAGACGTATCATGTCGGCAAGCATCGAGGGCGTCACCACGGCTCTCTTGCCGAATCCGAGCTGAACGCCGTGGGCGGTCGCAGCGCCAAGGGCCAGCGTCCCAGAGACGTCGTGGACTTCTAGTCCGACGTGATGACCGAGGCCGTGGGGGAAAAAGGCAGCGACGGTGCCGGCGCGGGCTACGTCTTCACGGCTGCCCTTCAGGATGCCCAGCTTGAGCAGGCCCTCCATACCTACAGACGCCGCGTGAAGATGGATATCGCGCCACAGCTTCCCCGGCGCAACCTCGGCGATGCATTCTTCCTGCATGCGCTGGACAATGGCGTGGATAGCGGCGGCCCTCGGCGACCACGAGCCTGAGAGCGGCAGCGTGCGCGTGATGTCGCTGGCGTAGCAGTTCCACTCACAGCCAGCGTCAATGACGACGCACTGCTTGCCCTTGAGCGGCGCATCGTTGGAGCCGTAGTGCAGAGTAGAGGCGTTGGGTCCGGACCCAGCAATGATGGGATACGCCTGGGATCGGGAGCCGTTGGCAATGCACACGGCCTGGATAATGGCCTCGATCTCCCGTTCGTTGGTGAGACGCAGGATGCGCTCTGCAACGCTGCGATGGGCGGCGCTCGAAATGTCGTTGGCGCGGCGCACCATTGCGACTTCGTAGTCGGACTTTACGACACGGGCGCGGTCCATGGCCGGCAGCAGGCAAGAGTCATCCAGGGACAGCCGAGACAGACTCTCACAGCCTAGGTCTGGCGCCTGGTCCGGATGAAGGATGTACACGATTGGCGGCGAGGGCTGCGCGGCAAACTTGCGCAGGAACTTGCTCAGCTGCGTCGTGTACCTCACTTCGTCGACGTGGTAGCGGCGCTTGCACTCGACAGCCGACGGCTTGGAGCCGAACCAGAGCACGTCGCGGGGCTCAACATAGGGGATCCAAAGTGTGAGCTTATCGTGCTTGATTTCGTATGTTGCGGCGCAATCCTCAAAGTTGGCGCCTGTTATGTAAAAGAAGCTTCAATGTCGAAGGGGGGTGGGCAAGGTTAGCCTCGTGGAAACTGGGGGCAAGCAGGACAGACTGGACATACTATCGTCGCTGGCGGAACAGTCGCGGCTGGTCGGAATCCTCGAGCAAGATTTCCGGCAGGCCTGGGAGGTAAATGAGGCCATCGTCGACGCCGAGCTCCCTCGCCACTTTGCGAGCGTGTAGTTTGGCTGTTTGTTTTCCCTGTGTTAGGCCGGCCGTACTCGTGCTGCTGGAGAGCTGGCTTGGAAGGAAGCTGTAGGAGGGCCGTAATGGTGACCTCTTACCAGGATATTTGATGTATGAGGCCGACATGGAGTCGTCATCCCGTCTGACATGCAAGCAGCTGCGCAAGCTACATGTTAGCGGACATGCCTCTGGGCTCTCCCGACCTGCGATGATGCGGCCATCGGACGAGACAAGCTCACAGGGCGTCGAACTCGTCCTCGGTTATCAGGTCGTAGTCCATGCGGATTGGGTATTGTCGGCAACTTGCATCTGCGTGGCTAATAAAGGCCAGATCAATCAATGTCCGTGCTGCTCCCGGATGTCTTCTGCGATTGCGATACCGGGTTGGCTATAGGTACTTAGTAAGGTGTCAAGGTTAGTAATAAGTTAGTAATAATGCCTGCACGTCCTGACTTCAAAGTCATGAACGGGCTCGTAAATGATCGGTAGATACAGACTATTTGTTGACATGAATTCGCCACGCCACTGTATCTAGTCACTGTCTCCAACGGCACTCAGCCAAGCCAAGTGGTTTAAAGCTAAACACGCGATAGCGAGAGTCTGGTTCCGCACCCAATCATCATCACCCTGCACCGACTCAAAAACGTTCTTCGTCCCAAAAGGAACAATGCCGGCATGATTGCGCGTCCAACACCTCCCTCGCCCTCACCGTCCCCGTCGTCCTCCGGGGATTGATTTCCGTACCTGCTCATCATCCGATATATCCAATACCATCGTCAAGTCGGCTCCGACGCACCAGCATCAGCTCCAGGATAATCAGCCAAAGTCCTCCGAACCCGGGCCGCAGACGGGAACTTTTTCCCAGACGCACAAAGCAGAATAAACCCGGACAAAGCGGCGATGGTTTGAATCTCATCCACTGTGCTCCCGTAACACTGCTACCCTTTAGCCTGCTTGCTTTCTCCGCCGCACACTCGCCCGTCCACCTTGTCACGCTGTGCTCGGCGATGACGCGTCGGAAATGAACTTCTGTCCATTACATGCCACTGTTGGCGTTATTTGTTTTGACAGGTAATATCGGTCTGCCCAAGTGTTTGTCTTGGTTTTGAGCCTCAACACACTACTCCATCATGCTTCTGCTCTCAATTAAAGATGAGGCCACACTGCTTCTCGGCCTGACGTGATACCGCGGATTTGTTGGAGGCACGGCACGCAAAAGCTTGCAAGACAAGGAATTAAATCAAACAAGCCGTCTGGCAGGCATATCGTAAGACAACCGACCAGTTCTTTGACAGGGCGCATGCGTCCCGTGAATTGTGTACTTCGCCGTAGGTATATACAAATCATACGACTCCAGTCACTCCAGCTAGCCGGCCAAAACTCCCCACAATCAACCAACAACATTCCCATCTAATGTCCGCCAATCCACAGGCCCAATCCCGACCTACATGTATTCTTCAAAGTGTCCTTTCCCGTCTGGATATCTGTAAATTCATGTATGCTGTCTTTCTGCATGTCCCGTACGCGCCAGTCCGAGTCTGTCGTAGCAGTGAATACCTTCAAACCATGTCATGCCCCATGCTTCAACTCGACTCCCATGAAGCCATCGCAAAAAAAACACAACATAGGAAAGGGAATAAAATGTAAAATCAGATCTCGCTACGCCACAAAGATGGCCGCGCTGTAGAAAATTCACCACCATCAAGACAGAAGAGGAAGAGAAAAGCAAGAACAAAATCCGCACAAATTTCCCGCAAATCAATGGGAACTCGGGTCGCGCCTTGTCCCTTCACCTTAAAATTAAAGGAAAAATGGGTATCATATGGTGGTAATCATTCACATTCCTTGGAAGCCACCTCTCCCAGAGCCAAAAAAGCTTCCCCAGTCTGCCTGCATGCCCTGCTGTGTGAACATCTGCTCGATCTGTCTCTCTTGCTGTCGGTCCGCTCTAGCACGACGGAAGCCGGCGAAAATACCGCCGTCGTGCTGTTGCTGTTGCTGTTGCTGTTGGTGCATGGCCTGCTGCTGCATTTGCCTGTTGTGTTGGTGTGGCTGCTGAGTGGAGGGCAGTGCCATCATACCGTGCGGGTCGTACATGGACGCTGCCATTCCCATGGGGTGAGTTTGCTGTTGGGGGGTCATGTACGGTGGAGGTTGTCCCAGGATTTGATCACCCATCTCCTCGAACGAGCCCGTGAAGAAGAATGACGCATTCGGGGCCGCCATGGTGATTTCTGGTGCATCTGCCTTGGGCTGAAAGCCAAGTTCCATCATGGGTTGATTAGGGTAAGCGAAGGGGTCCTCTGAGGGAAACATAAGAGAATCTAGTTTGTTGACAGGATTGTGTATAGCATGGGCATTGAGTAGTTGTGATTGAAAGCCGTGTCGGTGAGTGCTGCTTGCTGTGCTGGTGGAGTCGGGGGTTGCCCGGGATGACAAGTCCAAGGGAAGAATATCGTGCATACTGCCTGAAAAGGGAATGTCATGGAAGCTTTGGTCCGATGATTGACCCATGCTGCCATCAGCAGAGCCTCGAGAGTTGGGTGTTCCGAAGGGCCCCGGAATGCCGCCGCTGCGGGTTCGGATGAAATCTTCGGCCCTAGCCACTGGTATAGTTTGACTGGTGCCTGCGCGCGTTGTTGATATCGACCCAGACTTGAATCCCGCGGCAGACCGCTTCCTGGAATTGCCTACAGGTCTTGCCAAACGGGCCTGCTCCAGCCTTTCGGGAAGTTGGTCGAAGAGCACCTACGAGGAGTATCAGTAATCTGTCGAATGCGATGGGTTATTTCCAGCTGACCTTTAATGCTTTGGTGACTCTGTCAGCCGAGAGACTCTTGTCTGCCAGGTCAGCAATCATTTGACGCCCAGCATGAGCATCGGCCAGGACTTCTTGTGAACCAAGTTTGTCGGGATTCTCAATGGCGTAGAACACAAGAGAGAGTACGGCAAAGAATTCGGTGTAGAGCATGAACCAGTAAGGTCCACTGAGGACGCGCTGCTTTCGAATCTCTAGTCCAATATGCACAATGTTACGCGACACGCTTACGGCGGCAGCCGCGCATGCATATGATAATTCATCAACCTTAGTCCCGTGATTGTGTCGCGGGGAAATATAATGAAGGAAGGGTCGGTATAATACGAGCTGAACGTGAGCATATGCGAAACGCAAGAGGTGTCTCACCCTGCAAAAATCGGGTTAGTATGGCCAAGTCCCTTCTCTTCATGTGGATTTTAAGCAGGACTGGTCCTCACCGCACAACCTCTATCGGACCGTCAGGGCTCGGTCGCCACATCTCCGGCAATCTCTCATACCAAGTCTGCAAATCGGCCTCAATTTCTTTGATGCGGCCGTAGCTAATGAGACAAGACGTCGTGCTGTTGTCTCCCTTTCCAGCCGGTTGCCCTTGCATGTGCATAGGATACACAAACTTGGTAATCTTGCCAAGCACTTCCATCAAGCGAGTATGAGCATTAAAGGCTTCAAAGAATGAGGGCGTGCCGAGGGGAGGTGGCATGATGCCCGTGTTTGTGATAAACTCGTCGTCAACTTCGGTCGGGAACGGCTGGTCAATGTCATCGATATTGAGAAGAAGCGGGAAGCCAAGCATGGTAGATACGTAGATGTCCATCTGCCGAATGACGTAAAACACTCGCTTGCGGACTTCTTGCTCAACCACTCCAATCTTTTCGTGCTCCAGGTGCCTATGTAAGCCAATACGCAATGCTGAACGTAAAGCAATGCCCACAAAAGAATAGCAAGCACTTAGATTGGAGGTGGCTTGGAGAAACAGAGTCATGAACAGCAAGGCTTGAAGAGAAACAATATCGCGGCAATCGGCAAGATCTTGTACCAGGCATTTGGCAGCACGATAATATTTGAGACTACAGCCGTGAAAATTAGTCTCTGGCTTCTCGAAAACTGAGAAGGCGTAAGAATAAGAAAAAAGGAGGCAAATGTCTCAGCTTACCCGTTCTCAATCGCCGTCTTGTAGCCTCCAGCCGTGGGGTTGGAGTCTTCGAGGTTGTCGTACATGCATCCCAAAGCGATGACCGCATGAACAAGTCCCAAAAAGTGAGTCTCTTCCTGATTGAGACTTCCGATTGGCCTACCATAAATCTGCTCGAATTTTTCGTAAAATGTTGGTATATGGATAATTCGAACGAGACACGTTGCGCAGCTGAGGGAGTAATAACAAAGTTTCCTGGCGACATCCTTGGGTGGGAGTTCGGGATACGCAGAGATTGACGAAAATGGAGATGCACCAGCCGCAGGAGAAGGTGTATCAAGCGCAGTGAGCCCTGACGGACGTTCGGCGCGTGGTAAAAAAGGTGCTTTGGTAACTGGACCAAGGAGCCCGCGGAATTGTTCCTTCATTCTCTTCAGAAAGACGGCACCTGAGGAGGTGCCATGAAAATCCCATCCTCCTCTGTCATCCAAATCAAGCTGGCCTATTGAGTCAATCATGGTCATGAGCTTAGCATCACCGGCATCTGGCGCCCCTGGAGCGGCGGATCGCATTTTGCCGGCTCCCGCGCGTGCTTGTTCACGATTGTGGAACTCTTGTTGGATGGCTGGGTCCAGATTTGGATCCGCTAAATCGACATCTGGCATAAATTTTCGTAGCAGAGTCTCTGCCCGTTGTAGTCTGCTTTCCAACGCTTCGATATATTGCGGCGCAGGGTTTCTTCGACGGTTCGACGGCTTGTCATAGGTGCATTCTGTTGAGGCGCAACAAAGGGACACATTGTTAGCAAGTACAATTCCATAAACATGATGCCATACATGACATGCAGTCCGCGATGCTCGCCCACTACATCGCTGGAGGGTTCTGTCAAACCATACCGTAGCTATACACGGAGCAGTGAGTACATGGCTGTTTCCCGTCACACTTAATCTTCTTACGGCGGCATTCATCGCAAGCGCGAGTAACTCGCCGGCGCTTCTGGATTGGTTGTGAAGGCGCATTCGGGTCAGTACAGGTCTTCTCATCCACCTCGCTGTCAGACTTGGAGCTGTCGGCCGGGGAAGCGACATCGGGAATTTGCCAGTCGCTGAGGGACAACGCCCCAGCGTCATCGTCAGCCATTTCCGTCGCCATAATGTACGTCGTGATCGCTCCAGAGGCAGTCGTCGGATGTCGGGATGTGTGTGTTGGGACGAGCGGCCGTCGGACGGGATTTGAGAAATTCAGATTAAGAGATCATGCGCTTGAGTCTAGGACAAATAAACCAACAAGACATTGGCAGATACAAAGACGTAAAGCTCTAAGCGTGGTACGGTCGCAAATATGGCTATCACAAAGCGACAAAGTTGACGCGGTTCGGAAGTAAGAGCTGGGATAGGCAGTCGGCGATAGTGGCTAGTACAGGCGGCTACTAGGGGAGGGTCGACGGTGGGATGGTGAGCGACCGAGGATCCAAGATGCAGATCCGGGGATGCGAAGCCAGAGAGGCAGCGCATATCCCAATTGCCCCGGTGTCTGGCAGCCTAGGCCATCAGATGGGCGCAATGAGCCACGACGCTCAACAGTGTTCGTGACCGGCGACGCGAAGGACAACGAGGATTGATGAGAAAGATGAACAGGATAGGCAGGACAAGAAGTGAAAGAATTGAGGACGCAGCAGCGAGTTGGCGACCGACGACTCAGGCAGGGGGACCCTTGGGGGGGCGGGGGGTACGTGGCTGCACAAATGGTGGTGTCTGGGAGTCGGGATGTCTGGATGTTGCGTGCTTCCCTGGGTCTGTGTGAGTGACGGAGTGGTGTGTGAGAGCGTCGATGTGTGAGTAACCGAGCGAAGAGAGAGTGGGTGAGCAAGTTGGAAGGAGCAATCGACGGCAGCAATACAGCCAGTCCTCCAGTCTGGTCCTCGCCCTCTCAGCTCTGGGGCCCCCCCAGTATCACGGCGCAGCCAGCGACGAGGAGTCAACTGGGCCCCGTTCGACGACCTACTTAACGCAAGCCAGTGTCTGACACCCGAGTCCTAAACGGAACCGCGCATGCTTTCTGGGCCGTCAAGCGCGCCTACGGGAATAACGCCGGATCCTTTGTTGATAGGGCCTATGTACACCTACGGTGCTCCGTACCTGCCCAGGAAACCAAAGGCTCCGGTTGACATGACCAGCACAGACATTTACGTATTTGGTGTCCAGACGAGCCGTTTGGCCCAGACGGGCTGCTCGAGATCCAACGGGCAACGGGCAATGGCGTTGCACCTCGTCACTCTCCCAGTAGTCGCTACAGTAGTCACTAGTCGCGGAGCACACGATTGCTGGGGATACCTGCTGAAGCACGGAGTTTCTGGAGCCTCCAAGTACTCAAGTACCGAGGGCGAAGGCCTAACTCCCACACGCAACTCACGGACACGAGGCAGCAGCATTTCTCGAAAGTGGATAGTTCTACGCCCCCGTGGTTGGCCTCGAGGGCCACGAACGAGATTGGACCTAATGTCGATAATGTATGGCCCGGCATGGCGTTACTACTTCAAGTAAGTACGTAGCACGTACCAAGGTACTAGAAGTACTGCGAGTCACTACTCCGTACCTACGTACTCCGTACGGAGTACTCCGCGCTCTGCGACCTATGAGGCCACTGCGGGTCCTGTACAACAGCCATCGACTGGTTCCTGTGCCACCAAACCCACAGCCGAGCCGAGCATCCATACATATCCGAAGACCGCCCAGCCGCTCAACCGCCCCAGTGCCTGGTGGCAATAACGGGACCAAGCGGGGGCCCCGCGCCGTGAAGTGGGAGGGGCATCGCGACCGGGCAGATTTACAACAAGAGCAAGCAACATGCAAGTCTTGCTAAGCTCAGAGCATCTCAGAAACTCTCCAACTCGCGCGCCGGTGCAATATGATTCAATATCCGATGCGGTCACGAAAGCTCCCGCGAGTCGGCATAGATGGTGACATTGTTCCTTTTTAGGGTTAAGGTTACGGCTCCCAGGCCCGGCACCTAAGTGCGGAAGCTTGCTCCATGTCTGGACTCTGGAGGAGGAAGGCTGCATCCTCCCGCATCCATTCAGCACCGGCGACTACGAAAGGAACGGGGCGTCAATGAGCAGGATGCAGCGTGGTTCAGATAACCACTGCCTGTTGACGACGCGAATGGGACTGCCAGGTTCGGCCCCGACTGGCTCCAGACCTGCGTTCCTATCGACCTTCCACAGGGTCTAGGCGCCCAGGCGCCCAGCTCCAGAGAGCCAGAGAGAGACCACGCCGTCGTTCGGTGCATGTACCACCGGTGCAGACGCAGACATGGCCCGAGCCATTGTCCTCCCAGGAGAAGCATCTCGACCCGCGGGTGTTCCGACAGCCACAAAGATTTCGTCACTAGTCATGGAGCGCGCCAACCAACAGCGTTCTCGGCGTCCAATGGTTGCGGAATAGTAGACAGAATACAGAAATCGGAACATTTGATGAAGTGACGAGGCGAGAACGGAAGACGCATGGAAGCCACCTTGTGCCAGTCGAGATTGGCCTTTTTTTTTCTTTTTTCCCTTTTTTTAACCAAAAAAAAAAAAAAAAGATTAAATAGGCCAGCATGAGACCCTTCGTCTGGCCGAAATGCCAAAACCCCTCTCAACTGATCGGCTATGCCGGCTTTGCAAGAGCCTGCAGGGTTAACGTGGGTTTCAATTCAGCCGGCAGTGGCGAAAGGGTTTGGACTGCTGCTCCGACAGAGGAGTATCATGATTCTCAACCGGTGCATGTTATGCGCGAGTTGGCGACGCCGTTAGCTCCCCTCATGATTCTCCTCGCCTGCTTCGAGGAACCAATTGACTTCGTCGGCAAGTTCGGGCTACGCATGGAGGATCAGATGAACAGGCGGCAGGTGCTCCGTAAAGAAACCAGTCTAAGACCAGGCAACGCACAGGGATGGGGCCGCCTCAACCTCTTTTCGGTTTCCGAATTGGCGTACGGAGAAGGACGCCACAGCAGCTGTATCAAGGGAAGCCTCAAGTCTGCGTTCTGGATAGCACATTGGACAGTTACGACCTCAAGGTTTCGGGCCTGGTTTGCCTCGGTGTCAAGGTTCGATATGGTTTTGGCGGTCGAGAAGTTGGTGTCAACGCACGTCAAAGTCTTTCGGCCGCACTTTGGACTGCGGCATGTTGCCAACGCTATTTTTTATTACTAATGGATAAAATCATTTCAGTCCCTTACGAGACTAACTTGGTAGTATCAAGACATGCTTACCGTCGGTCCAACGGACGGAAGCAGGGAGTAGCCTGTTCAGCGTATCATTACATCAGGGGTCGACAGTAGGTTGTTGGCGCCAAGAACGCTGATACCGGTGTCCATTATCAAGAAAATGCTCACTTGCGAGACGTTCCGTTCAGTGTAGGTTCTAGTTATTGGCATCGGCAACAGCCTGGCCAATGCCGTACTCTGCACTCTCCTCCTGACCGTCCACTCTTCTTTCTTCTTACTAGCCATTTTCCCAAGTCTCACACCAGTGATCTTTGCACTGCCCCATCGACGCACCACCAAGATCTAACCCTAAATCCAGTTCAAGGAGACTACTCCGTACTTTCGTGTCAGTCAAGCCGCACGCTGAAAAGGCGCACCGAATGCATTAGACGGCCCCGCTTGGCAACGCGAGGTTCCCTCTGTCGCAATGTAAGCTAGGGTGCCGTATGAGCCGAGAAGACGCCGCCCGTCCAACAATGAGGGCCTCACCTGGTTCAACTCACGGGAGAAAACACTGCAGTTCAAACTGAAGTCGAATGACAAGACAAGACCCGCGACATTGATTCAGAGGAGGTAATCGACGGTCGTTTTCCCAGGCAGAACATCGTATTCGTCCGTCGTTTCTCTCTTGTCCTCGCGCGCTTTTTGCCTATGGTCAACGTTTCTTAGTTTGATCCATCTGGACTCTGGAATAGCACGAAAGCCTTGCTTGTCTGCTCCGTGAGGTGGTGGGCTGCAAGGGTCCTGCCATATCTGCCACATCCTGTTGTCGAGTCGCAGAGTCGCAGCTCCACGCCCTCAAAGTAAACTTATATATAACGAACCGTTGGCCGGCGATGAAACGAGGCCGAGGCACATGGTGCCGTCAGGCAGACGGGCGGGTGGGGGGAATCAAATCAGGTGGTGGTCGTTGGATGCTGTGCAACTGAGCTGGAGTCGCCTCATATTGTAATAAGAGTTCTGAACGCAGACCGTGATGTGCTTGAGAATTTTATGATTAGGCCGATCTCGAGGTGACTGGATGTTAATTGGCCAATGAGCACGTTGAGCACTGTACAGCGAGGAATTCAACATCGACAAGAAACATGGAAATGCCAACATTCAGATGTCCGCTTCTTGGCGTCGCGAGCAGGCACCCTCGGGCGCTTGAGCTTCCGGTCCAGATGACCCGCCAAGGACAGCCCCCCCAAAGTACCTACCAATCGACGCTAACGCCAACCATCAACTATGTATATTTGAGCCTGCCTGCCTGGTGCCAGCGCCCCACTGGGCCTGCTTGGCACTGCACATATCTGGTAGGTGCTGCGTCGTCAATTTACTAGCTCGCGTGCCGACGTCGAGCTCTGGCGCATAAACATCCCGCCTTGCCTTGTCATCGTCAATCTCGCCACCAGTCAAGTCGGCAACGCTCCCATCTGATACGGCATTGGCTTTCTCAACCGTCATGGCAGCTTCCGATGAAGTTCTTGGCTACCTAGCCAAGCAGAGCAACTTGGGTGGCGTCGTTGTACGAGGTATGGACACCACTATGGATGCCTTCCAGATCCTTGATGCTTCCTTAGCTAACTCCACCCTCCTCCTACTAGACTTGCCCAAGCTTGATCTTGGGCTGTATCTTCAAAACTATGTCGGTACGATACGCCTAATATACTCCCTGAGACGCAGCCACGCTCCCCCCCCTCGAGCAATGTTGGGCTAACCTTGGCCAGGCCGCACTCGCTTCGATCGCCTGTTTCTAATCGGTCAGAGCTCCGTGCCCCTGTGTGTCGATGCCCTGAAAGCTGCTGTTGTCGAAGCCAAGGCAGGAAACGACGTCAACCGGTACCGCGATGCGTGGGATGCAGTGAGGACTGTGGCCCCAAATGAACCGGAGGCCCAGAGAGACGATGCGTGGATTGAACGAACCGAGATGGCGAACAAGGCCGAGACGGCAAGACTCGAGGGTGAGCTCAAAGGATACAGAAACAACCTCATTAAAGAGAGCATCCGGGTTAGATTCCGCTTCCCCCCCAGCAAGCCCATGGAAACTACTGGCATTCATATGGCTAACCCGTGTCTGCTCAGATGGGGAATGAGGATCTTGGTAAACATTTCGAAAGCATAGGAAAACTTAACGAAGCCACCGAGGCGTATACCAGAATGCGTCAGGACGTGAGCACCACCAAACATATCATCGATTGTGGCACGCATCTCGCCAACGTCTCTCTCCACCGTCGGGATTATGCCATGGTCTTGAATAACATCGGGAAGATCACAGCCGTGCAGAACGGAGATGATGAAAAGGCACTACAGGCGTATACGCGAATTGCCTCTGGAATTGCCCTCTTGGGCATGGAGCGCTTCGATGATGCTGCAAAGGCCTTTTTAGGAACAGATTCCAGCGTACCTTCAAGCGAATATGGCCACATCGCCAGCCCAAACGACGTCGCCGTATATGGTGGTCTTCTGGCCCTTGCTATCATGGATCGGAAAGAACTTCAGCAGCGAGTTTTGGACAACCAATCATTTCGAACATTCCTCGAACACGAGCCGCATATTCGAAAAGCCATCAGCTTATTCGTGAATGGTCGATATTCGAGCTGTCTCTCCATATTAGAGGGCTCCAGGGCGGATTATCTATTGGATATTTATCTGCAGAGTCACATCCCAACCATCTACTCAAAGATTCGCACCAAGTGTATTGTCCAATACTTCGTTCCCTTTTCCTGCGTTACACTGGAAAGTCTTGATGCAGCATTCGCTCAGCCAGGCACATCTATTGGTCCCGAGCTTATAGAAATGATCCGCCAAGATGTATTGAAAGCGCGAATCGACGCAAAAAATAAGGTATGAAAAATCCACTAGACCACAGGCTAATCCAAAAATAACTTTTACCACGCTGACGATCTTCTTCAGCTTCTTGTTGCCGTTCGGCCCGACGCCCGAGCCGTAATGCAAAAAGAGGCACTACGGGCGGCCCGAAAATACGAGCGGGAAGCCAAAGAACGATTGCGGCGTATTAGTCTTGCAGCAGCTGGACTACATGCAGCGGGCGGGAAGAAGACAACCTCAGGCGATGCCATTAGTTCGAGTTTGGATGAGGCGTGGTATGAGGAAGACATACAATCCTCCTTGCAAGGGGAGGGGCTGCAAACAGCAGGCTGAAGCGGGCGGTCGTATAACCCTATTCGCAGCCATTGAAGCAACAGGAATTCAGTTCTTGCTTGATTCAACTCCTCAGAGCTGGTCTCACAAAATCGCTTGCAACCTAGGCTGGGCGATACCAGCCAAATTGGTGAAACGATGAGGATCTTATCCTGGAATGGACCCCTCTTGTGGCCATGCTGAATAAATGGCATGGGTACTGACGGTGCCAAGTATCTGAAGGAGCAGCTATGACGACACGACAACTAATCCATGAGAGATGATGGGGATGGGTAACGATAAAAGTAATGATATCTCATTTGCCTATTGACTCATGGTCTCACTCCCTTCGCCACAGTAGTTCAGCAACGCAGCATTCTACTGCAGTTCTCATCAGACCAACCTGCCTCCTAACCTGTTGGTGGATGAAGGTGTCACATTTATACTTGAATCGAGATGCTACGGCTTTACTAAAGTTAATTCACTCCGTCGGTACCATTGCGAGTTTTGGCATTGGATGATGTGCATGGTCCGGCGTGCTGGGTCCATGCATACACGCCGCTCTAAAGCCCAGCTCCGTCTGCATGTCCCATCTATCTCATATGTAGTTTCGACGTACGTGCAGAGAAGGTGGGCAGTTGCCATTCAATGATGATTGTTGATTTTAATTCTGTCCACATCATCCTGTGCGCTTCTCAGCCCATCAACTGTCTCAAATCCGTCGGCGGCCACCTCACTTGGGCAAAGGTAAGACAGCGCTTGATGCTCTGCAAAATCTTGCGCGTGACTTCATCGCCCATGACGTGACCCTTCTCGCCATTATGCAGCTTCTCGCGAGCACTTCTCTCGTGGATACCAACCATGGTCACGCCAATCGGCCATGCAGCTTTGCCGATACTCAAACGGAGATAGTCGTCATTGGCGTCGACGTAGCGCCTTTCCTGGAGGGCTTGCACGATTTGCACTACCGGTGAGAGGAGGGAGTCGTCCACATCGTTGGATTCGAATTTGCGGAAGAGCTGAATTTAATTACTTAGCGTATTACGAACACGATGAATCGTTTCTCTCAGCCCCCGTGTTTTCCTTTTACGGAAATGGTGTGGTTGATGTTATTCACTTACCGGCTTCATATTTTCTCTAGTTTGCACCATGGCGCTATACGCCGTCTTACTGGCGCTCGTTCCGCTCCTTTCCTCCTCCATGGCCCTTTCGTACTCTGTGAGAACCATGGTGAAGTAGCTCGCCAGCTGTCTGAACAGCCACTTCCTGCCGTCTTTATCTGCGGGCACCGTCCCGCCGACTCTCATATCCTTCTCCTCCACCAACTCCAGCGTCGTCGGTATGGGGCCCTTGCTCATCACCGTCGTCAACTTCCTGTACCTCCTTAACCTCGCAGTGTGAGATTCCCCAAAGAGCATCACCGGGTGTCCCAGCTCTCTCAGTTTCTCTCTCAGCTCTTCCTCTGGGACATCGTCCTCCGCGGCCTGTACTCCGTCTTCCTCCTTCTTCTTCACCAGTTCCGGAAGTCCTAGCCGCCTTCTCCTGGCCCGCTCCTCTTCCTCTTCCCTTTCCTCTCTGAGTTTTCTCGACTCTTGTGCTAGTTTGCGTCGTTTCTCCTCGCGGGCTGCGTTCTCCGCCGCCAGCTCTTCCTCTCGTTTGCGCTTCGCTGCTGCTTTTGCTTCCCGCTCCTCCTCGAGTGCCTTTTGTTCCGCTAGATATGCTTTTCTGCGTTCTTCTTCCAATTCGGATCTTTTGAGATACTTTTTAGACGGATCTTTTGTTGTCTTGGCCTTGGAGAGCTCTTTGTTCATGAGGGACGCGAAGTCCATTTTTGACGTTAGCTGGCCTTAGAGCCCGTTTTACAAAAATTGAAAGGCTATATCGAGTCGTAAAGAAATCTCTAGTAGAAGGAACAACAAACTCTGGGGTGTTTGGTTTGGTTATCGAATCGAAGGGATGTGATTGAAAGTTTCGGGGTCGCGATGAAGTCAGTAGAGTTGCCTGGTATGTCGCAACATGCGCGTATCGATTGCGGGTATTTGCCGGATAATATGTCACACACACAGGTACGTACTGGCACAATTGCATCATTCTCCAACCGCCGGATGCGCAGCTGCGAAAAAATGATGGCATTGCATTGTCTTTCGCGGCGTTTCTCCTTTCTTGTCTCATACTCGTGGTGATTCTCGGGACTAGTCATGTCCGTGGCTTCAGACGATGGGGATCGTGACCCTCCTGCGCCGTTTCTCGTTCAGCTGTTCTATCGAAATGCAGGCTTTTACAGGTGAGAAGCTTCACTGTGAACTGGCCACGTTGGATTGACGGAGTTGGATGTTGGTGATTTACTTCTTTTGGATAGGGCGGATGAATTTTCCACTCGCTCTCTGCCACCACACATCTCGGTTTACACTTGGCCAAGCTGTACTTTGAACGAGCTCGCTTTGGAGCTGGCGGCTTCCAAGCCATCGGCCCTCCCATACCCGGCCATAGGGACGAGGCTCTCTTTCCAACTTGTATGTCCTGACTTGCGCGGCATTAGCTTGGTCAACAGTGCCCATCCACGCTACGCCGTCAAGGATCTCGGCAGCATCATCATCGGACAAGATAGTCCTGGGACCAACGACCCCGACTTCGCAGAACTTGAAGGAGGCCCCTCACGCGGGGCGTCAAATCCGGATAAGACGCTTGAGGAGGCCCGATTCGTAGTCGGAGATTACATCTCATGCGCTATTTTGCCACCTTTGGGTGACGGATCTGTGGCACCGCCATCTGCTGCCAGGAGAGACTTGAATGCGTCGCATAGAGACAGCAGGGGAGGTAGGAGCGGAGGCGGGGTGGGTTTTCATAGTCGGGAGAATGGCTTTGGTCGGGGCAGCCGTGAGGGAAGAGGAGGGAGAAGGGGGGGCGGAGGGGCAGGAGGAGGAAGTATGCCCATGGGAGAATGGAGAAGAGGAGAGAGGGTGCCAGACATTCCTCCGTCGAGGCCGCGAGGCGGCGGTGGTGGACGATGGTGAAAGGCGTGATTGAATCATGGCTGTCCCTCTACTGATTTGGCGGTCGTGGAACTGTGCAATATGTCTAAAACTAGGGCTTGTCAACAATAAAATCGTCGCTGCAGGTGAATCCTTCCAACTGCCACGTCGAACAATGGTGTTTCTATTCCGGCCCCGAATACTACTATGTACAGTGTTATTAATACATTCATCACTTCCCAGGCCACCTATCGCTCGTAGATAGTATCGCCTCGTCTCTTTGCACGGAAGTCGTACAAGCCCTGTGGTCGAGTCAACTTTTCTCGTCTCGAATCCCACAATTGTATCAACCTGATCAGGGTATCTGCTCACATCGGTCTTGTAGGCGACATAGCCGAAGATGGCGGGCACAACAGCCACGTACATGAGGGTAATTCTGGCCGTTCGGGGAGTCCATCTAAAAAAGTGGTGTCGAGCCTTTTGCATGGCTGTCTCATCTTCGTTAGAACGCAAAGTCGCTGGCAGTCGGCGTCTGGGATCTCACGCACCCTGGTGCTTGAGGAAAGCCGGGTCGGGCTTTACGTCTTTCGCGTGCATCGAGTTAGCTTTTGGGCTTCTGAGGATGAGTCTGAATATCGCTGAGACATACTGAGGTGCGCCATCTTGTCCGAACGGTAGAGTTGCGTCTCTCTTGGTGCGTTGATGGAAAATGTCGTCGCGGTGGGATTACTTGAGAGTTGGTTTGCAAGCATTCTGGTGGTCTTGGATAGTGTGGATTATGTAATAATTGGACTGCTATGTTTGTACAATATCACCCCTACCCTGGAGGTTCTCTCAACTCAGACAACAACAATGTACACTGCGCGATTGAGCTCTTGGTCATAGTGATGACTGAAGGTAATTACTTGGCATTTGCGTGGCTTCGGTATATTGATTGCTAGCTCAGAGGTTGGGTCCCATTTTGCTTCTTCAAGTATGTTATAATGTTACGGAGGAAGAAACGAGTTTGCCACGGTCGTGCAGTTTTCGGGGAGCTGTGCCATCAATCATCAAGTCAATTTGGTATAGTTCACTCGACTCGTATCTCCAAGGAGCGACAGAAGAAAAAGAGACCATCCAAACCATGCAGATTATATAATAAAATCTAGGATTTCTTCTTCCCCGGCGGTACGAAACTCGGCACATTTGGGAATTTAGGGAAGTCACGTGATCAAAAGTATGGGTCCGGTCCAGAGCTCAGAGGCTGCAAGGTTAGAAAATTGTCGACGCGTTTAGTCTTGTTCAGAGACCTATCTTTTGGTCGCCACCTTTCAAATTTGTCATCTCCATTTTTGGAACACGGAGACCGCAAGTTTACCGTTTCCCGCCGTTTCGTCTCGAAGATAGAGGTACGAACAGAATAAACGTGTTGAGACACGCGCCTCAGCGTGCGGCCCTCACGACAGAGGCATCGTCACATATTCACGAAGTGACCTCGATTCATCCGATCGCGAAGCCATCATGTCAGGCATTCCTCCGCCGCCGCCTCCAGGCTGGGGAGCAGCTCCTCCGCCACCTCCTCCGCCGCCCCCATCATCATTGCCGCCTCCTCCTGATACACCTGCGCCGCCAGCGCCTCCACTCCCAGGTTATCATCCTTCGTCCAATCCCCAGATTGCCAAGTATGCACAGAAGAAAAAAGAATGGCTTCGGGACCGTCGAAACAGATTCGGAGAGAAAAGGAAGGCTGGATTTGTCCAGACTCAGAAGGCTGATATGCCACCTGAACATCTTCGCAAAATCGTTAAAGATATTGGAGACGTGTCTCAAAAGAAATACACCAATGATAAGCGCAGCTATCTTGGTGCTCTGAAGTTTATGCCACACGCAGTACTGAAGCTCCTCGAAAATATGCCTATGCCCTGGGAATCAGCACGTGAAGTCAAGGTTCTGTATCATGTCAACGGATGTCTGACCTTGGTCAACGAGACGCCACGCGTTATCGAACCGGTCTTCTTTGCGCAATGGGCTATGATGTGGACTTTCATGAGAAAAGAAAAGGCTGATAGAAGGCTCTTCAAGCGAATGCGATTCCCTCCATTCGACGATGAAGAACCGCCCCTGTCGTGGTCGGAGAACATCGAGGACGTGGAACCTCTCGAGCCTATTCAAATGGAATTGAACGACGAGGAAGATGAGGCCGTTTATGAATGGTTCTATGACCATCGTCCACTTTTGGATACCTCGCATGTGAATGGTGCGAGTTACAAGACGTGGAACCTCACCCTGCCTCAAATGGCAGCTTTATTCCGTCTAAGTCGTCCCCTGATTTCCGACGTTGTCGACAAGAACTACTTTTACCTTTTCGATCTCAAGAGCTTCTTAACTGCAAAGGCTCTCAATGTTGCGCTTCCAGGTGGACCGCGTTTCGAGCCGCTGTACAAGGATATTGATCCCAATGAAGAAGATTTCGGCGAGTTCAATGCTATCGATCGCATCATCTTCCGAACCCCAATCCGCACTGAATTTCGAGTCGCATATCCATTTCTGTACAATTCTCTCCCAAGAAGCGTACATCTGACGTGGCACTCACATCCGCAAATCGTATTCAACCGTGCTGACGATCCCGATCTGCCAACTTTTCTTTTCGACCGGCGAATCAACCCAATCTCATCCCGAACAGTGGTACCCAAGAATGTCGAATCCACTCTTGAGGATGAAATTTTCGGATCTGGAAATAATCAAGAGCCCGAGGAAGATGCATTTGAGTTGCCTGCTGCGGTCGAGCCCTTCCTTGCTGGTGAAGAGCTTGAAAACGAGCACACATCCTCGGCCATTGATTTGTGGTGGGCGCCTTTCCCATTTGATAGACGCTCTGGAAAAATGGTTCGTGCTCAGGATGTCCCTTTGATCAAGCAATGGTATTTGGAACATCCGCCTTCCGATCGACCGCCTGTGAAGGTTCGAGTTTCCTACCAGAAATTGCTGAAGAACTTTGTTCTCAACGAACTTCATAAGAAGAAGCCCAATGCACACAATAATCAAAATTTGTTAAGGTCTCTCAAACAGACCAAGTTCTTCCAACAAACAACAATTGATTGGGTTGAAGCTGGCCTTCAAGTTTGCCGGCAAGGTTTTAACATGCTGAACCTCTTGATTCACAGAAAGAACTTGACATATCTCCATCTGGACTATAACTTCAATCTGAAGCCTGTGAAGACGCTGACAACCAAGGAGCGAAAGAAGTCTCGATTTGGAAACGCATTCCACCTGATGCGCGAAATACTCAGGTTGACGAAACTGATTGTTGATGCTCAAGTTCAGTATCGCCTTGGAAATATTGACGCCTTCCAGCTTGCTGATGGTATTCACTACGCTTTCAATCATGTCGGACAGCTCACTGGGATGTATCGATACAAATACAAGCTCATGCACCAGATTCGAACCTGCAAGGACTTGAAGCACCTGATATATTATCGATTCAACTCTGGTCCAGTCGGCAAGGGTCCTGGCTGTGGCTTCTGGGCTCCGTCATGGAGAGTGTGGCTCTTTTTCATGAGAGGCATCATCCCATTATTGGAACGATGGCTTGGTAATCTTTTATCCCGTCAATTCGAAGGTCGACACAGCAAGGGTGTTGCGAAGACAGTCACAAAGCAGCGAGTCGAATCCCACTTCGATTTGGAATTGCGTCAGTCAGTGATGTCTGATTTGATGGACATGATGCCAGAGGGTATCAAACAGAACAAAGTCAGCGTTGTGCTCCAGCATTTGTCCGAAGCTTGGCGTTGCTGGAAGAGTAATATTCCTTGGAAGGTCCCGGGCCTGCCTGCACCAATTGAGAACGTTATTCTTCGATATGTAAAATCAAAAGCTGACTGGTGGATTTCTGTTGCTCATTACAACCGTGAGCGAATACGTCGTGGAGCAACGGTTGATAAGACGGTTGCGAAGAAGAACGTTGGGCGTCTGACTCGACTGTGGCTCAAGGCCGAGCAAGAAAGACAACATAACCACATGAAGGATGGTCCATATGTGTCCTCCGAGGAAGCTGTTGCTATTTATACGACGACTGTTCACTGGTTGGAGTCTCGGAAATTCTCACCTATTCCATTCCCCAGCGTTTCATACAAGCACGACACCAAGATATTGATCCTTGCTTTGGAGCGTTTGAGGGAGGCCTACTCTGTCAAGGGTAGACTGAACCAGACTCAACGTGAAGAGCTGGCATTGATTGAGCAAGCTTATGACAGCCCCGGCACCACGTTGGAAAGAATCAAGCGATTCTTGCTCACACAGCGAGCTTTCAAGGAAGTCAATATTGACATGAATGACAACTACAGCACGATTAATCCTGTGTATGATATCGAGCCCATAGAGAAGATCAGCGATGCCTATCTTGATCAGTATTTGTGGTATCAAGCTGACCAACGTCATCTGTTTCCCGCCTGGATCAAGCCATCAGACTCTGAGGTGCCTCCACTGTTGGTATACAAATGGGCTCAGGGCATCAACAATTTGAGTCAAGTTTGGGAGACAGAAGACGGAGAGTGCAACGTCATGGTTGAAACGGAGCTTTCCAAGGTCTACGAAAAGATGGAATTGACGCTTCTCAATTCTCTGCTGAGGCTCATCATGGACCACAACTTGGCTGATTACATCACTGCCAAGAACAATGTTCAGTTGACCTACAAGGATATGAACCACGTCAACAGCTACGGTATGATTCGTGGGCTTCAGTTCTCAGCCTTTGTCTTCCAATACTATGGCCTGGTCCTGGATCTGCTCTTGCTAGGACCTCAGCGCGCCAGCGAGATTGCTGGCCCTCCCCAGAGCCCCAACGATTTCCTGCAGTTCCGCGATCGAGGAACAGAATCAAGGCATTCAATTAGACTCTACAGTCGTTATATTGACAAGATCTGGATCTTTTTACGATTTACAGCCGAAGAATCCAGAGATCTTATCCAGCGCTTCCTCACTGAACAGCCCGATCCTAATTTTGAGAACGTTATAGGATACAAGAGCAAGAAGTGCTGGCCGAGAGACTCTCGTATGCGGCTGATGCGGCATGATGTCAATTTGGGACGTGCCGTCTTCTGGGATCTGAAGAATCGTTTGCCGCGCTCTGTCACCACTATTGACTGGGATGATAGCTTCGTCAGTGTCTACAGTCGCGACAACCCCAACTTGCTCTTCTCTATGTGCGGATTCGAAGTTCGAATTCTACCCAAGACCCGAAATCAAAATGACGAGTTCCCTGTTAAGGACAGCGTTTGGTCTTTGGTCGACAATACCACGAAGGAGAGAACTGCATATGCTTTTTTGCAGGTCACACAAGAAGACATTCAGAAATTCAACAACCGCATTCGACAAATTCTTATGTCTTCTGGCTCCACAACCTTCACAAAAATTGCGAACAAATGGAATACCGCGCTGATTGCCCTCTTCACCTACTATCGTGAAGCAGCAGTCTCCACGGTCGATCTTCTTGATACCATTGTCAAGTGTGAGACGAAGATTCAAACCCGTGTCAAGATTGGGCTGAACTCGAAGATGCCGTCTCGTTTTCCTCCTGCTGTTTTCTACACGCCCAAGGAACTTGGTGGCTTGGGCATGATTTCAGGCTCGCACATCTTGATTCCTGCAAGTGACAAGCGATGGTCTAAGCAAACAGACACAGGAGTCACTCACTACCGTTCTGGTATGACTCATGACGAGGAAACCTTGATCCCGAACATTTTCCGTTACATCATCCCCTGGGAGGCAGAATTTATTGATTCCCAGCGTGTCTGGACGGAGTACTCCCAGAAGAGACTCGAGGCCAACCAGCAGAATCGTCGTTTGACACTGGAAGACCTTGAAGATAGCTGGGATCGTGGTCTACCGAGAATCAACACCCTTTTCCAGAAAGACCGCAGCACGCTTAGCTTTGACAAAGGTTTTCGAGCTAGATCCGAGTTTAAAATTTATCAGTTGATGAAGTCTAATCCTTTTTGGTGGACTAGTCAGCGACATGACGGGAAATTATGGAATCTCAACGCTTATCGTACCGACGTCATCCAAGCACTCGGCGGTGTTGAAACCATATTGGAACACACACTCTTCAAAGCAACAGGATTTCCTTCATGGGAAGGACTCTTTTGGGAAAAAGCGTGTCTTGCGAATGGTACGATGCTGCTTCGACATGATCGTTCTCTGGTTGCAGTTGAAGACGTTAGGGAGGGTGATTTACTTCTTGGGCCTGATGGAGGACCTCGACGGGCATTCAACGTGGTTAGTGGCAAAGACCGACTATACCGTATCACGATTGGCGGCGGAAAAGAAGATCTCGTGGTTACTCCCAACCATATTCTAGTCTTCCACGAAGTAAAGAGCGACTCTGATAAATATTACGATGACATTGAGATGACAGCCGCTCAATATGCATCGTTGGAGTCTACAGAGAGGAGCAACTACAGGCTCTTTAGCTGCACCGGTCTCGACTTCCCTCAGGCAACGACCACTGGGTCCGCTGGAGGTCGCTTCATTCCCCAGTCTCATAGCTTCGCGGTCGAGGATGTAGTACTGGAAACAGAAGCTAGAGCATGGGCAGGTTTCCGAGTAGACGGAGACCAGCTCTATCTGCGACACGACCATCTCGTGCTTCACAACAGTGGTTTTGAAGAGAGCATGAAGTTCAAAAAGCTCACGAATGCGCAGAGATCCGGTCTGAACCAGATTCCAAACCGTAGATTCACTCTATGGTGGTCACCCACTATCAACCGTGCCAACGTGTACGTCGGTTTCCAAGTCCAGCTGGACTTGACGGGAATTTTTTTGCACGGAAAGATTCCCACTCTGAAGATCTCCTTGATTCAGATTTTCCGAGCTCACTTGTGGCAGAAGATTCATGAGTCCGTTGTAATGGATCTTTGTCAAGTGTTTGACCAGGAGCTGGAGTCACTCGGCATTGAGACAGTGCAAAAGGAAACGATTCACCCGCGAAAGTCGTATAAGATGAACAGTTCTTGCGCCGACATTCTTCTCTTCGCAAGCCACAAATGGAATGTCACTCGCCCTTCTGTACTGTTTGACACCAAGGATGTCATTGAGGCGACCACCACGAACAAGTTTTGGATTGATGTGCAACTTCGTTATGGCGACTATGACTCGCACGACATTGAACGGTATACCCGTGCAAAGTACCTTGATTATACTACCGATAGCTCAAGTATTTATCCCTCTGCTACGGGCCTGATGATAGGTATCGACCTCGCTTACAATCTTTACTCGGCTTACGGCATGTACTTTCCTGGGTTGAAGGTTCTTATCCAGCAAGCTATGGCCAAGATCATGAAGGCCAATCCAGCACTTTATGTCTTGCGTGAACGTATCCGAAAGGGTTTGCAATTGTACGCCTCTGAAAGCAATCAGGAGTTCCTGAACTCGCAGAACTACTCTGAGCTGTTCAGCAACCAAACTCAGCTGTTCATTGACGACACCAACGTCTACCGTGTGACGATTCATAAGACATTCGAAGGCAATTTGACGACTAAGCCAATCAACGGCGCTATCTTTATTTTCAACCCCCGAACTGGACAGTTGTTCCTGAAGATTATTCACACGAGTGTTTGGGCCGGCCAAAAGCGTCTTGGACAGCTCGCTAAATGGAAGACTGCTGAAGAAGTTGCGGCTCTCATTCGATCACTCCCTGTGGAACAGCAGCCGAAGCAGCTAATTGTTACCAGAAAGGGCTTATTGGATCCTCTCGAAGTCCAGTTGGTTGATTTCCCCAATATTTCTATCCGGGCATCTGAGCTGCAACTTCCCTTCCAAGCCGCCATGAAAGTTGAGAAACTGGGAGACATGATCTTGAGGGCTACCGAGCCTCAGATGGTGTTATTCAATCTCTACGATGAGTGGCTGAAGACTATTTCGTCGTACACAGCGTTTTCTCGTCTGATTTTGATCCTCCGTGCTCTCCATGTCAATCCGGACAAAAGCAAACTCATCCTTCGGCCGGACAAGACTGTCATCACACACGAACATCACATTTGGCCATCCATGTCTGACGAAGATTGGATCAAGGTAGAAACACAGCTGCGAGATCTCATCTTGAATGACTACGGAAAGAAGAACAATGTCAATATTTCCAGTTTGACCAGCAGTGAGGTCCGTGATATCATCTTGGGCATGGAGATCTCTGCACCTTCTTTGCAGAGACAACAGGCTGCGGAGATCGAGAAGCAACAGCAAGAGCAACAACAGCTCACTGCTGTCACGACGAAGACGCAGAACGTGCACGGTGAAGACATTATTGTCACAACTACATCGCAGTTCGAGCAGCAGACGTTTGCCTCCAAGACTGAATGGCGGACAAGAGCCATTGCAACATCCAACCTGCGGACCAGAGCCAAGAACATCTACGTGTCTTCTGTCGACAACGATCTGGACGACATTACCTATGTCATGCCCAACAATATTCTGAAGAAGTTCATCACGATTGCGGATCTGCGGGTCCAAGTGGCAGGATATCTCTACGGCTCTGCTGCCCCTGACAACGAGCAAGTCAAGGAAATCAAGTGTATCGTCATGATGCCTCAAATAGGTGGCTTGCGCAGCGTGCAGCTTCCTCAGCAGCTTCCTCGCAGCGACTTCCTTGACGGCATGGAGCCCTTGGGTGTCATACATACCATGTCAGGTAGCGAGCTGCCATACATGTCCGCCGCGGATGTGACCGAGCATGCCAGGCTGCTTGATGCCCACAGCGAGTGGGACAAGACAAACACGGTAACCGTTTCCGTCTCATTCACACCCGGTAGCGTCTCCCTCTCGGCTTGGGGCCTCACACCTAAAGGATACAAATGGGGAGCCGAAAACAAGGACACCCAAAGCGACCAGCCACAAGGATTCACCACGACCATGGGTGAGAAAAGAAAGCTGCTGCTGTCTCCGAGATTCAGGGGTTTCTTCCTGGTGCCCGATGACAGAAGATGGAACTACAGCTTTATGGGCAGCGCTTTCGCAGGCATGGAAAAGAAGCCCGTGCATGTGAAGCTGGACACACCCCTTCCATTCTACAACGACCAGCACCGACCAATTCACTTTCATAGTTTTGCCGAGCTGGAAGACATCTGGGTAGACCGGACGGACAACTTTGAATAGTTGTAGCTTGCCATTACAGGTTCCACACTCTCATGGCCGCAACGCAGTCAACGACTATCAGTTCCGGATCTTCGGCGCAAATGTTTTTCTTGGCCGTGTGTTCTGATGATACTTCGGAGGTATTTGCGAAATTGTTGTTTATATGTAGCTATTCTTGTAATTCTGTTTTATTTTGCTTCATGCTGCCATTTAGTTGTTATGCAACCGAAAACAGCTGAGAAATACCCACCACGCATTATGCTGGCGGTACCGGCGCTGCCGAAGACGTCTGGGAATGGGCACACGAGGTCTCGGATGCATTTGTTATTACGTGCAGGGAATGAGCGAAAGTGGAGTTGGCGATATATTACAAGAAAGGGTTTGTTTGGGGGTGGGGAGATGGTTACCGCACAATATTAGCCTGGGATTCACCATGCTTGATATGTCTTGTAAGAGTAGGCTCAAGGGGACAAGTGCACGGAATGGCAATATATGCGTAGATTGATAAAGTCAAGAACCATATCACCACTCCCGTTATTATTCACAACACCACTATTACCTTCGGGTAATACTACCAGCTACCAGTATATCTTGGGTGTCTCTAGTATACTGCCGCCTCTCGCCCTACATGGGGAGAGGTACCCAATCGGGTACGCTGGGAATCTTGGGAGGCGTGACGTATCTGTGTCGTCTGAAGGCACCAGTGACCCCCAACATTCCTTTTTTGGAGCATCAATTTTCGGTAGTGACTTTGTACTACTCAGATCTAGTGCAACCCAACTAAGCGGGAATGACTTGTGTTCGATGGACCAGTGCCCGGGGTTTAAGGAGGAGCCTGCGTGGGACTGAACTGATTCAGACCGGGCGGGACAGCTAATATGCAGTGCTGGTCGTCTGTCGTCGTATGAAGGATCAGAGACAGACCAAGGCGCGGCTTGAGGCAGTTGAGGCAGTGGAGATGACCAGAGTCATGTCTATGCCCCCGTTGATGGGACGTGGCTATACGAACAGTTTGGCGCGCTCGAGCGGCTTCACCGAGGGCGCGGCCCCGCGCCCTGTGTCCTATTGCCCCTCAAACTGCTTTTGCATGGGATCACTTGCCCGTCCAGAGTGTGTATATGTTGTCAGGAGGTGAGTCTGATGTTGAATAAGTCGAGTCGCCTGGGTACCGGTCGGCAGCCTTCATGACCTCTGAGCGGTTTCAGGCCCCAAAGGCCCCTCCCCCAAGTTACCGGCTAGCTGAGTTAAGTCATCACGCATGAATGCGTCGCATGTTCCGCAAGGGTGCATGTGATACGATTGGTCCAGCTGTTAGTTGGGGAGACAGCAAGTATGAAGCCTGCACCTGCTTATCGACGGATGGGGACTTCAGAACTGCAACATCATACAAGCGAGGCATTGCTGTAGACGGACAAGGCTTCCTCAAGGTGGAGGAGAGGAGATTCTATGTTGGTGGACGGGAAAAAGAGAACAAAGCGTTCGTCTGACTAGAGCATTTCTGGGTAATGCTGGAAAGACGGCATTGAAGCTTGTTGAATGTACATGATAAATCGCATCAAGGACGATGGCGGACCATGGGATTGTTAGAGTTAGCAGCAGAACATTGGGGGGTTGAGATGGCCGGTTAGTTGCGGTGTCCATGACTACAATTAGCTTAAACCGGGAATCGCTGTGGAAGCCACATCAACGAGAAAACATGTGACTTGGAGGCTTTCTTTTGCCTCCTTCAGCCAGATGAGCAAGACCTCGGTAGCCCGGCATGGCGGGCCAGATCAGGTTGCATTTGGAAGCGCGGCTGCCACGATGACCTCTAACGTGGTAATATGTATGTATCATCTCCAGATGATTCCAGTTGGCATGGTTGCTACCATGGTATTTTTAGCGCCAGTCCAGAAAAGGTGTGTGCGGTGTGTCGCTGGCCGTGATTATGGGATAGTTTCGACATGCGAAAGAAGACGGGGGAATGCTGATTTTGCCGTAATTACTGCTCAGGACGAGCCGGAAATCTACCGGCACACATTCCGTACAATACCGAGTAATAAGGATCCTTGTCTAAACATCGGCCGCGTCTTCAATGGCACTTGGGGGTCTCGAGGAGAGCAACGAGCCCCCTGCTAATGTGCAGGAACAGCATTGACAGCTGTCCTCCCCTTCGGCCCGCGTGTTAATGACATCGACAGGTATACAGGCATCTACCGGGCCCGACGTCGAGTGGATACCAAGGTGCCGAGTCTATGCATGCACTCCGTATGCATGTCTGAGTCTGAAGGCTGGCGGTATTGCGCTTTCACTCCTAAGGTCTGCGGTGACGCAGAACGTGCATGGCGTCGTCGAATTGGGGAACGTGGTTTGTCTCTATTTCGTCGTTTCGGGGCTGTTCTTGCTACGGATGAAAATAGTCAACGCTACTGTGACGCGAAGAGTGACTGACGAGACCCCGGGGCCCGGGCACCAGTCCACGACATGCGTACCCTTGCGCTGTCTTGCGGCCCTTGTAGAAGCATACCTTGAATTGTGGAACACTTCTCCCCAAGCGACGTGCATGACCGACGGGCAAATGAGGTGTCTGGGCGGTTCATGACAAGTGAAGTCATATTAGCAAGCAGTGCTCGTCAGGTCTTGTCATCCGATCGATCAAGTCGGTGGTGCTGTAATGCGTCATGCTGTCGACCCCAGCCTCAAGACTTCCCCTATCTGGTCAGGCTGGGTTTACATGCTGGTCGTGGACGAAGAAAATGGAGCTCGGGGTGCGTCAGATGACGACGGACACAGACGCGGGAGAAGGTCAATGACACCATATTCCTGACACTGATGAGGATCAAAAAGCGGAGAAGAAGGAGGAAAAGGAAGAAAAAAAAGGAACCAATTCGGTGGCGTTGACGATAGTAACTAATACGGAGCAGCAAGGAAAATTTGATACCCAAGTTGTATTCTGACCGTTTGATCCATTTGGAGTCTTCTTTATTATCTCGAAACTGTTAGCTTTCTCAGGCTTGAAGAAGGACACAAAAGTGTTTTTGAGGAAGGCGCCTTGCCTTGGGTCTTGGGTCAAGCCTGCCAACGACTCCCCGGCCTTGGCAGGTATGGACGGTTCTGCCTTCCTGAGCCGCCATTTTGACAGCCTCCACTCACCCGCAAGCCTCAGTCTGGCGCCATCGTTTCCGTCCACTCTGTCTCTGTCCCTTTCCATTGACACCTCGCCACCCCCCACGAGTCTGGGCTTCTCAAGCTGCAGTTCTCCTCTGCTCATGGCCTCGCCTCGCCTCGCCTCGCCTCGTGTCGCATCGCGTCCCATCAATTGATCCGCCTTACCGCTCCCGCTCCTCGCCTCGGACGCTCGTCGGATGCCTCTACACCCCATTCTTCAGCCGTGCCATGCCACTCGTTCTCCAGGCTTTCCTAGAGTTGAGCAAGGCTTCGCTATAGTTAGCGCCTCCCCCCCACAGGTCAAGGCCACGCATTTCTCGCTTATACGAAGCACGGGCTCAGTCGTAATTTTTTATTTTTTTTTAAATTTCCTGGGGCAGGGCGTTTCGACCTCGCCCGTGTTCCTGCATCAACGCTGGAATAGGACATTGGAAACCCCCGGAGCCCTTACAATTGACCATCACAAGCCCCAACACGCAAGAGGCCTCGCCCATCGGGCGGCTGCGAATGAGGACAAAGCAGTCAAGAGGAACGGACCGCGGCCAGTCTTCAGCTGACCTGGGGTGACGTGGGAGTGTCTGGAGTGAAGTGCGGACTCGGAAGGAAAGAGGGCGATGGAGCCTGAGAAAGCTCACGTTCCAGGCCACCTCAGACGACAATGAAAATATCGAACGCTGAGGCTTCCGAATCACTTGCGCTCATCTTGAATTGGCTGCAATACGGAGTAGGGATCAACTAATGCTGCCCTTGGTCTCTCCCTCTCCCCACACGCCGCCCGCACCCCTTCAAATTGTACACACCTTTGACTAGCGTACTCGGGTGGATTCTCAACGGCCCTGCCGCCGACCGTTGCGTCAAGTTCGGCTTCCTCTCCGAATATTCCATTGTCTTTGCCCTAGAAGGCTAATCTCGGGGCCACGAGCTGCTGGGAACGTACCGCACGGCCCCATTCATCCGTGCCTATCCTCGACCTTGAGACCTTTGCTCCGGGCTTGCGGACGTAGCTGCTTTTGGGCTAGTTGTTCCGGGCTACTTCATGCTGTCCTCGTGGTGCCCTCTTGGAGAGATTGGCCTTGGCTCCGCCAGCTGTGGCATAATCCATACGCTGCGGATGTGGTTGACTGGGAACTCGGTGGCGTTCATCCTGCTCCGCAGATCCACCTGCTGCTGGTGGACGGGTTGACCATTTGACAAGCTTGTAACTTGTATCCGTCTCTGGAATCTCATGTAGGGCGGTCGTTAAGTTTGCAGGCCTTCATACCGGCCCGTCGACCCTCCTCCTTGTGGCATATCTATCCCATACTTGCTATGCATTTCCCTTGCAGAGCACCTCGAACGGCCCCTTCAAATCGCTCAAGGGATAAGCGTCCCCTCGGATTCCCGCAGCATCCTTGACCAAGGCCTCTGTATGCATTTATGCCGTGTGGCGGCCCTTCTGGTGGCTGGTCATGTCGATTTCATGAGCATGTACGGAGTATGCATAGATGAGCAGACCTTTCTCATCCGCTATAGCCTACCCCGGCAGATGTTATACCCCCGTCGTCAAGGTCTTGCCATCCTTTCTGCCATGTACCCTGTTTCTGCACTCGACATACTCCACAGACAGTCGAACGTACTCCCCCGGTCCAAGCCTGAGCACCACCGCGCTACAATACTCCATCGTCCATGCAGTGGAGGAGGGTGATGCGAAATTGTTTACGTCTGCATGTCCTCTGGACGATTACTGCATTCTTGGCCACAACCGCGGCAGATGCTTTGTTGTCGGCTCTAGAGGAACCAGGCGGCGTCAGTTAGGGAACTGCTCCTGCGGCAGGGCCGTGAGTTTAAGTACGGATGTTGACCGTTTCATCTCTTTCCGGCCCTGGATGGCCTGGCTTCTTTTTTTCAGCGGCACAGAGCTATCCTTGAAAGGTTCTTCAAGAGCATAAAGGCCACCCCTGCCCCGTGGATATTACCGTATAAGCATCTGGCCATAGCCTTGGCGGTGCCCACTACTTGACCTCTTTACAAGAGCGAGTAGGGGAGTGCTCAGCAGAAAACCAGTACCAATCTCTGGAGTGAACAGACCAGACATCTTGACGGCATAAATTCATTAAATTATTCTCCGACCCGTACCGAGCACAGTCCGCTCTGGTCGGAGACCTTTCCAAAAAAGACGTCAGCTTGACTTAACGCCGACTCTACGCTTCCATTCTTATGAGCCCACGCAATTCCATACGTACTTACCCAGGCGCCGAACCTTTGGAGGTCCACTCCGGCGTCTTTGTCTTTGTTGGTCTCCATTTTCGGCATCTTCCTTGTGGAACTTGTCTTGCCCAAGGGCTCTTGGGAACGTTATGGTTCCAGTTAAATATCGACCTGGATCCTGTCACTAATATCCTCAGTCAGGGTAAGATTGCCTTGACTGACGGACTCCAAGAACTGCACGGGATCCTTATCACAAGAAGCAACTTCATTGTCAGTACTGCAAGAGGGAAGCTCTGAAAGCACCTCTCACCATTTGTTCTTGCTATGCTTGGGGCTGCACTACTCTGTTGCGACGGCCTTTCACTCGTTACCAAATCCAAATCCTGGTCGTCGCCACTCTCACTCACAGCAGAGTAGCCCTCCCTCTGGGCTGGGGAATATTGGTAACCTAACGTTCCTCTGAGCACTAGCCTCTTCCCTTCGGCAGCATACACGGCAGGAGTAGCACCTACATTCCCGCTCGCAGACGCAGCTGCTACAGGCAGACCCTACGTGCCGGTGTTATTGCCCCCAACGAATTACCAGCCGACTTCCACAACAGCCAATTCTACCTCGCAACTCTCGTTATACTCAGCCCTGAAAACGACAGGTACTTCAGACGATATCTTCTCTCTGGTGACCGAGCCCGTGAGGGGCGTTCTGGCTGTACCAAGGCTGTCTGTCAAGAGGTGAGGACACCGCTCAGGGCTCACTGCTCTGACGGAATCCCTGCGCCGAAGACACGCTGGCGGACAATTATCGAGTCGGGGGCTACAGTGTGGACTTTGCTGCTGGCCATGAAGCTCACACCGGAAACCAGAACCAGCTTCAGCAATCGTATCCGTCTCCAGTCCAACAAAATCCATTTCAAAGTTCCCAGCAATACCACTACAGCAGTCAACAACAACAAAACAGATCATCATTCACGCATTCCGCGGTAACAGGGAGCAGCACTGGAACCAATACCTCTCCAGAGCCGGCACATGGACACCCCTCGTCACGATCAGGACTTCCCGGACAACAGCAATCCCACCAACACTCGCCCACTATGCAGTTAGATTCCACACAAATGGGTGGCCATCGACTTGGCCATGTTCAGTTCGGCGCGGCCACTTCGGTTACAACGCCAATGTACTCTGCAACGGCGTCGCCCACGGAAGGACATGCGTCATTTGTTGCCAACAACGTTACTAGGATTCGAAAAGATGGCTTTGACCTCTCAATGGGCGGCGTGGCCACATTGGGTCAGTCTGGTTTGGAAACCATGTCATCCAATTCCATCGGTGCAGCATATGGACAAGCGACGGCGGCCGCGACTTCTCCCAGCGTGGGCGCCATGTCTCATCAAGCACCAGGACCTCAACTGCACCATCATCACCACCTTCCAGATCTAGGGCATCTATCCAAGTCCATGCGTCGAGATGATGGCAGTGGAGCACCGAGCATGGTCGGTCAAGTAGGAATGCCACCACCAGCTCCACGTCCGCGGGGGCCGAAGCTGAAGTTTACCGCCGAGGATGACCAGCTACTTATAGAACTAAAGGAGCAAAAGAACTTGACATGGAAGCAGATTGCTGACTTCTTCCCTGGCCGTTCTTCAGGGACGTTGCAAGTTCGTTACTGTACCAAGTTGAAGGCGAAGACTACACAGTGGACTGACGAGATGGTATGTCCAGAATCCTAGTGCAAGAGGCTTACGTTAATGAGGACCCGATAAGTGTGCTTCTCAAGAGCGAGCCCTCTACCGATGGTCACTGCCTCCAAAAACTAACGCCTTGCCCCCAGGATCACAAGCTTCATAGTGCATTGGCCGATTACGAGAATGAAAAGTGGCGCATTGTTGCCCACAAGGTTGGATCAGGATTTACACCAGCGGCGTGTAGAGAGCGTGTCTTGGAACTTATGGGCGCCGACGACCCTGATGCCACATGGCAGTCCATGTCACCAAAGTCCGCCTCAGCTGCTGAGGAATCAGATCCGATGGAGCTACCGCAAATACACCGGCCGTGGCATGGAAAGAACGAATTCTGATACTCGCCAACTTGCACACAAAGATGCAAGGGCAGTGCGGTAACCTGGACTTTGAAAACGCCTTGGGCAGTTATCCGCGGTGTTCAATAGGGAATTGTGGGAAACGAGATGCTTCGAATCATGAGTGTTTTGTCAACCAAAGGAGAACAACCCGAGGACGATGGATGGGAAAGGCAGGTGGTAATATTATCAGCAGGTCAAGAGAATACTGGTCAAAAGGAAGAAAAGGGGGCGTTCTGAGCTAAATCCTTCGCACACTGGGTACTCATGGCACATATCATCTAACGACAAATTGTTCCGCACATAATAACGAATATCAATGTTACATGCTTTGTTGGTGGAGTCACTCTTCTTCAGATTAAATCATCTAGAGAAGCCTTCTCGCCAGTTCGGCCTTGGTCAAAATCTCGTTGCCCTCTACAAGCTCTATAAGAGCGCGATGAGCTGAGACATCCACTTGCTGATCCAGGAATGCTGCCGTGTCAACTATCCAACCATTGAAATCTCTGATCTCTGTTGGTTTTCCGGCCTCGACATCTTGAAGCATAGAGCTACTATTTTCACCAACTAGAGCACCAAATTCATACAGCTTCTTCTTTAAATAAGGCATAGAAAATCGTTCCCCAAGCGCCTCTCGCAGCCTTTGAGCGTTCTCCGTGGGGTTCTCTGATTCTGAAGGCTGACTTGGACGGGTATATGAGGCGAGAATAGCAGCACTACTTTCGTGTTTTACAAGGCTTTGGATGGTTGCGCTCGTTTCAGCTAGCAGCCTGTCCAGTACTAGCCCGAGGGGGTTATTCAGATCACCACCGGCAAAGAGCTCGCCGTTCTTGCAGCGCAACAGCGCTGTTATGGGGTTTATGATGACATTCATGACAAGTTTTTCGAGTTGTAGTACCCAGAGCTCGCCCGAAGAAACCGACCTGGAGTTCAGAAGTGGCGCAGTGGTGACTTGCGTCATGAGATACTCAACGCTGGAAGGGGGATGCGGGTTGAGGAGCACCGGGCCGATGGACGCGTCTGCAGGAGCCGTGTGTACGCTCTCAAAAGAGCCCGCGGACATCACGCCATGATTAACGACACAAGCTAGAAAGCTGGGGGCGTTGCCTGCCGCATATCGACTGGCAATATATGCCTGGCCATGCGGCGGCCAGAGCTTAGACATGCCGTTCTGGGCAAACGCAACGCTGCTGTGCCTATCCAGGTATCCTCGGAGTCGATCTGCTTCTGGCATGGCGGCCGATGCCTTGGTCGATATGAAGAGGTTGCGCAGCTTTTTCCCATCCGCCACCTCCCGTACAGGGCCATGGTCCGGGGCAGTTCTAGTCCACCACTCAATGTCGAAATCCTTGTTCTTAATGACCACGCTATCACGAAGGAGCTCGACACCATCGCTCTGAGCCCATTGCGCGAGAAGTTCTTTCCTGTGCACCACGAGCGTGATGGGCGGAGGCTTCGATTGCTTTGCTAGGTAAGTCGCATAAAGCTTTCCAATGTTACCGACCCCAAGGATGAATATGCGTCGATCCAGGTCGTTTCTGCTGCAGGCGAGGCTAGTAGCTGGGGTGAGATGAGTTGCACACCGATCGAGATTTTCGGGCGTCCAGGCAAACAAGGTGGGTGGAGACGCCTGATCTGTGACTAGAGTTTTCAACCAAGCCGGTTGCTGCCTGAAGGGCGTCGTGTAAGTTGAAAATGAGGAGGAAGAGCGGCAGAGCTCAGTCGGCCAAGTGGGCATGTTTAGAGTGTGACGCAGCTTGGGCCCCAGAGTCATGACCGGCAAAGAAAAAGTCAAGGGTGGCAAGTTTGAAGCTGTCTCTTGGCCCCCACAGTAAGTGAGTGTTGAGAGAAATGCTCTAGGCTTGTCCTTCAACGATGTTTGTCCGATCAAACTTGGGGCTGGCTTTGGTGCTCCTCATCAAGGCCGGCGTGGCTTGTTGGACCTCGAGATGTGTTTCTCTCCGAGGTTGTTTGGTCGAGGGCAGCGTACACACGAGGACACGGGTGCTTCCGATGCTGGGATATGATGTGCACGAGCAAGCAGATTTTTAGGGCGCTGTTGACGTTGCCAGACACGTCTTTTGTCATGTGGAAGCGATGGAAATGGTGTACTTTGGTGGTTAAGGGTACCCAGGTACCTAGGTACTTCTGACACTTCCCTCCGCGCGAGGCTGGTCGCTCCTGCCTTACTAAGAAGTTGACTCACAGTTTGCGGGTCCGGCCAGAGGTGTCTTGTGACGGCGTCGAGATGTGACTTCACTTGAAATCAAGCATTTTGAAGGAAGCGCCACCAGAATACTCATCGCATGGACCCCTACGGAGCAATGCAGATGGAGTACATGTATCTTAACCCTGCCGAGGTCAACTGATACGTATTCGCAAAAGACGGTCAACCTCGCTGCCATACGATGACTTCCTTTGAGAGGCATCAGCTCAATCCTTGGGCAGCAGGGATAGAATCGAACCGAAACAACTCTCTAGATCTTTTGGCACAGACCCAATTGCAGGTCGGAGCTGGAGAGCTCCAGAGCCTCAGTACCAGGACTTTGGTTTAGCGCGGCATTATCATGGCAGCAGACGACGACAAGAACTGGACTTACCAAGTCGTACCTGGCTATCTTGTGAGCCACACGCAAATTGCGGACCATCCGACTACCGTGTGAGATCGGTAAATCGGGATGCTCCGCTCAGTGTGTCGTAAAAGGTCTTGAATCTCAATCGTCATGGGTCTGGATATCATAAAGGCAAGCGCACGGAAGTGGGTACCGAGGCATGGGACGTGAGTCAAACTCGCTAGTCGTCTACGACATGGGATTATAACTGATATATGCCAGAACCACTGGTCTTTGCGTGACGGCGACGACGGGACCACTTGGTTTAATCCATTCCTGAACGAAGGCCCGAATACAGCAAGGCTCGAATACAGCAAGCTTGGAGCCTCGGAAAGTTTTGGCTCAGTGCAGTGCGAAACCATGGCGTACCAATTCCTCAAGCACACTCTCTACACTGGCCCTTGGGCAAGGTGCCGAAAAAGATCAGCGTACGTTTTTGGCAGTGCAAGGAAGTCTAGAAGAAGACTCGAAATCGTCTCACTCTTTACGCTTGCGATTTGAGGAGGCCCCGGTGTCGTCTCAAATGTAACTATCCTGGATGCAACAAATGAGGACAGTGTCTCAGCCGTTTGATCAATTTCAGCGCAGAAGCACTGGGAGACGGATGAGGAGTAACAAGTTGGAAAACAAGACGTACTGGAGAAAATAATCTCGGCTCAAGAAAATGAACTTGTGTGTCAGTTGCCGTTTCCGCTTCGCCGTTCCCGAAATATTAGCGGTAACTATATAATGCTGGTGAGCCATTCAGAATCTGGGGGTACATGGGCCGCCGTCTTGGTTTGAGGCAGAAGCATTCCAACCCAGTTGCAAAGATGAACGGAATTAAGATGGCAGACGCCTTGATTCCAAATTGAAGCGGTCCGCGAAGCTAATCGCTCTTGAACTACATTACACAATGCGTAATAACCTAGTCATTATCGAACCGAATATTGGGGAGTGCACCCCGCACGAATACCAAGCGCCCAAGCCGGCATTCTCGTCTGACAGCGCAGAGTCTGCCGATGTGATCCCTGTTTCTGACTCTAGACAGGGATTGCCGGTCAAGGTGGCCATTAAGATGTATACGCAGCTACTATTAGGTCGCGGCATCTGAACGGGACCCTGGCACGCCCGTAGACATGGGCTTCTCTGCTGAAGTCCCGAACCCGCTGAAGCCAACAAATTGCCAAGGCATGCGGATAATTAATTTCACAAAAGTACGATATGACCCAGTAGGCAGCCCTCGCTTTCTCAAACTACGCGGCCTCGACCCGTTGATATTAGTACTCGGGCCATAAAACGGCCCACCAGGTCCGCCGTAACCTTCGCGAGAAACTTAAATCCTACAATGAAGCATCCGCTGACACTGGGCTCTGCCCTTGGTCAACTGGCTTGGCATCCCTTACCCGGCGATTCCGGGCGATCTTTGAGCTTGGCTCTGATACCTTGGCATGAAGAGGGACCGACTGCTTGTCGACACCCCCCGGAAGTTGCTGAAAAAGCAAATGCCGTGACAATCACCATGGGGCCCCTCGCCGAATGCTCCAAGGGGCGTCTCACTATACCGAATGGCGGATTTAGCCCACTCGCTTTCACATGACTGAAAACAGTTTGAACAGCCGAAATTGCCCGTCATTGCTTGCTTGGCAAAATGGTCCCAACAGGCCGGGTTCTAAGCGCTACTACTATGTACTACTTCCGAAGGCAAATGCGTGGAGATGGAGGAACTTGATGGACCTGAAATGTTGAACCACAGCGTGTTCTGAGAATGCAGATGATCAGACCATTGCTCGTTCACCCCTGTGCGTCGTCACACGATGGCACTCATATTTCCGGGTATGTGCTTCTAGTAAGTTTCTCGGGAGCTCTCCTGCACGATAGAGGGACGACACGATGAGTAAGATAGATGGTGCTTTGTTCAGACTGTCTCGGGTGGTATCTGTGTGTACCTTCGGGCACGTGTGTGGTATGAAACGGCCAATATGTTGCTGTAATTGAACGCAGATTGTGTCCAAATGACAAGTGCGCACGGGCAAACCACACTCAAAGCACCAAAACAATATCGAGCATACGCATCTTAAAGACTCGAGGCACTCTGATATCAACGAGGTTCGGTTTCCCAGGCCGCGTCTCGAAATCTCTCGGAATGACATCAAGAGGGAAGACGGAAGGCCCCATCGGGAGCACCACCGCTCTACGGCACACTCGCTGCCGGTCAGCAGAACGAGGCGGAAAGTATCTTGATGGGCGTCGAGACTCGCACGCAGCTTCGCAGTCTAGGATGCCCTCCACATGTGTACATGGCAGCTATAACGCAACGACAGCGCTGCGTATCTCGAAGGGAAAGAAAAGGTTGGGTTGGGAGTAGGACGTCTGACCACCAACCCGGCCAACACAGACCTGCAGGAGGAGAGAGAAGCAAGGGGACGAAAAGCAGGGGAAGTAGGGGAAGCAGGAAAAGGATTTCGGCGACAAGTGTCAAAGTAGTTGGCCGCAAGTCAGTCGTCTGCCGCCGCCCGAGGTCTGGATGTCTGGATGCATCGAGTCTGGCTGCATCGCCTACGGCGAGCCACGGTTGTGCAACAATGACGACATGTTTGCGAGGCAAGGATAGAGGAGCTGAAGCAGCCGCGCAGCGTCTCCTTGGACAAGGTTTGTGAATACGGCCGGCCGCCCATACGCAGTGCGCAGCCAGGTCCGCGAGACGACGGGTGTCTCCTGTGCCAGCAGGTCGCGGCTCAAGAACGGATCTAGATCGACCCAAAGGTCCAGGACGGGCGGCACCCGGTCTGAAGGCTCGCCATGATCTGCACGAGCAACTGACAGCAACTTGCAGCGCTAAACCTACATGGTTCCAATACGAACAACCGTCGTGGCCAACGAGACGCGAGATGGGCTCGTGTATGCCAGCCACGGACGAAGAAAGGCGGCAGCAGAACGGACGCCGTGCCAACATCAACAAAGGAAAAGGGCCTGGCTCTGGAGCACGGATCAATCGAGTGCTTGCAAATGGACCAGATGCCACAGCAAGCAAGCTCTCACCTCGGATGGACCAAAAAAAAAAAAAACCCAAGGCCGACCACAGCAGCAGCATATAAACCATCACCGAGCCCCTCACACATGTCGATGTCGAACCGAGCATCAGACAAATCGTCCAATAACAACAACAAACTCACCTCCTCGCATCCAAAGCCCCCTCCTCCTCTCCCCTCCTAATTTCCACCATGCGCGCCTCTGCCGCCGTCATGGCCGGCATCCTGGCTCTCGCTCAAGCCCGCATAAGGGGCATAGCCGTGCCCGAGACCATCAAGCCAGGCGACACCATCAACGTCACCATCGTCAACGAGAACTACATCCAAGCCGTGTATGACGTGGCCATTGCATTCGGCTACGCCCCCGGCCACGGGATTCCCCAGAGCCTAGGACTCGTCGCAGGATTAATGTATCTCGGTCCCCGTATGCTCAACAACGTCAACAGCCACCACCCCTCAACTGTTTGACGCACGCGCGCCGCTAACAGAAAAGCGCAGTTGAGTCGAACCAAGCGCACAGCTCCATCAAGCAGCTCACCATCCCCAAGGACGCCCCTCAAGGCGAGGCCCTCCTCACATCCAGCTTGATGAGCCTCTACGGCGCGGCGCACATGCCCACCCTGACCAACTTCAACGTCTCCGTCACCTTTGGCCACGAGACATCAGCCCAGTACGTCTACAACCAGCAAGACGGCTGCTGCTCGCCGCGCCACCCCCCAACGGAAGGACACTCCCCAGGGGAGTAAATAGCCACGAGAAAACGGGACGGCGCCTAGATAGAATGCCCATACAAGAATAACGAAAACCAATTACCAAGTCACACGCACGCCGTGCGCGCAAGCAAAGGCCCCCAAAACGACGGGTATATTGATCGTACAAGGGCTTACTGAAGCCCCGTCTATGCAAGTAATGACCTGGCTTCCCGCATCCAACATGCAAAGCAGCGACGTGGGTATCATGCTGCAACGCTCGCACCCCTGCTCTTGACCATGCCGTGCGATCAAAGAAAGAAAAGTCGTCTTGTAGCGCCCTGGCCTCATCTGCCCCTGGGCTTGGGGAGAAGACGCACCCCGTTGGCGCTCGCCCACACGCTGTCGGATGCCCTCACGGGCAGCTTCCGCCCCTTGAGCCGCTGGTCAATCAACCACATGCCCACGATGAACTCCTGCCTCGTCAGCATCCCCGCGTTTCCGCGATCAACCAGCTCCCAGACCTCGAGGAGCTCGTCGTTGGGCAGCCTGGACCGCTTCCAAATCTCCCTGACCACCACGTTTGCCACGCACTCTGATGCGGTCCTGTGCAGCCCGGCGGCTTCGCCGCGCGGCGGACCGTCGTCGCCGAGCAGGTGGCCGCGATTAGACGCCCAGACGGCTTCGTATCGTCTGCGTTCCCTCTGCGTGATCTGATCCCGCCATCGCTTGCGTGAGCCTTCGTGGTGCGGGTGCTTGTTGCTGGACAACTTGTGGCGGTGTGCTATTTTCAGCCGTTCTGGGTCCTCGTCCGAACGGCTTCGCGGTTGCCGAAGAGTATAGAGCAGACGAGGCGACTTCTGGCGGGCGGGCAAACTCGGTGGAGGAAGAGAAGATGCCGTGTCGTGAGGTGTGAGTCTCGACGAGGCCAGGGAACCGGCCACTATGGCGTTGCTGAGGGGATCCAGTCCCAGATGGCTGGCGGACGTGTTGGCGGGTGGGTTTCGACGAGGCACATCGTGATCGGGGGATGCTGGGGCACCAGCCACTGATTCTCGCCTCACGGGAACAGGAGGCGGGGGAGTTTTCCTTGGGCGCGGAGGGCGAACGGGTTGTTGTCGGGGGGGAGGCGAGACAATTGGCAGGCCGAACTCCGTGAGAGGCCTGGCGGACAAAGGGGTCTCTGAGTTCCCACGACGCCGACCTCGGCTTCCGGATTTGCTCGTCACCAACCTGTGGCTCCCCGGTAACTTTGGGGGCATTGGCGACCGCATGTTTGCGGGTCGGGTGCCCTTGTCGGGGTCAGGCGAGGGCGAGGAGTCAGCCTGACGGGACGCGTCGGGGATGCTCAACACAGGTGATGCCAGCGTGGGTGTGATCAACCTCATCGGCTTGGGGGAGAGAACCTCGGGCGTGGACGTGCTGATTACCGAAGGGGAACTTGGAGGTCGTATCCTCAGAGGTTCGGGCGCCGGCTTGACAACAAGTCTCGGGGGCGGCGGCAAGATCCCAGACTGCCGTGACCTTGGCGCAGCAGCTGGAGGAGACGAGTGAGGCTCCTCAAGCTTGGGAGGAGAGTTTGGCCCAAAGTTCGGTTGCTGCGGCGGCTTCGGCTTGGGCTTGGGCATTGGCATAGCGGATATCTTTCCAGAGCTTCTAGGAGTGACAGTCGGCGGTTGTTTCAGCGGCATGGAGCTCGAACGAGGTTCGTGTACGCGCCGTGGAGGCGTAGGTGGCCGCACATGGCCGCTCTTTGGTTCGGGCGACGAAGCCGGCATTCCCTTCTTCGCTAGGAGAGATTCCCGCCGCGTACCATGTTCCAATCCTTCACGGGGCGATGTCCGACGCCGCGCTGGTTCCCTCGTCGTTTCCGTGTCCGCCTTGGCGCCTTCAAACATGGATATCAAGTGCCCCGTGGGAGCGATGCTCTCCGTATCAACAGCGTCCGGGTTCCCCGTTGCGCTCGCCGCCCCAAAGCTGGTCTTCCTCCGCGGTGCTGTCGCCAAGGGACTCGGGCTGATGCTCCTGCTGGCGGCCAGGGTGGCGGCTATAAAACTCGGGCTTTTCGGATCCAGGCGCCGTGCAGATGCCATCGGCTGCAGCTGTGCCGCCGAGCCACCGTTCAATTGATGGAGTGGATTCGGAGCTCCTCCAAGCGGACTCGTCGACAGACCATCCTTCTTGTGATGCGGCAGCGGCAGCGGCAGCGGCAGCGGCGTCGGCGTCGGCGTAGCTCCCGCTGCTGGGCTTCGCCGAAACGCAAGCGAGGCGCCTCTCAAGGCGGTCGTAGCATCGTCCTGAGAACCAGGCCGGCGAGACGCCGCGGCGGGATTCATCGCCGGGTCAGGACGGACGGCAACGACATGAGGGAGCTTTGTGTACGGGAGGCGAGCGGACGCGTTGGCCAGACAAAAAGGGGTCGAATACGAGCACAAATACTCCGTAGTAGGCCGTACTCTCTCTCCTTGGAGAACACGTGCGTCTACCGTCAGACGACAGCTCTGGAAACGGACGACGCAAAATGTGGAGATGAGACAAAAGAAGGCAGCAGCCATCAAAGGCGAGGTGAGCTGCATCCACCCTGGGCCACGTCTGCGTCAACCCTGACCCTGTCGTGGGCATGCCGCATGCGTCCTGTATTTCACGACCGACACATCGCTTTTCGAAGCACGACTGACACGACTGTCCAGATCATGCCCAGCTCAGCAGCAAAAGTCATTCAAGTCACACAAACAGCCAGAGAGCCGGAGCAGGACGTAGGCTCGACGTCGACGCAAGCACCAAAACAAAGGCTCCCTATTCACACGACAATATATCCTATATGCAACGCGCAAAAAACCTCCCCAGACGCCAATTGCTTTGCCCCTTGCCCGGGCGTATGCCTTGTCCACTCCGTCAATCCCGCAAACCATTGTCGTGCCGCCTTGGTAGTAAGAGTCCTTGGCGCTTTTGCAAGCCGGTCGCTCAGTATAAACACCATTCTTCAGCATACCTCCGACGGTAAGAAAACGGAGAAAAAAATAAAAAAATAAAAATAGAAAGAAACAGAAGCAGCCAAATCCTAGATAGGTGGTACAGGTTTCAAATCGGCGGCATGCCCATGGACGCCAGGCCTGGGCAACAATGCTCCTGTGATGGGTAGGACAGATATAAGTGTGCTGTTAGCCAATGCGTGTCGAGTTGCTTCGAGTAGCAACGACACTGCTGTTCGCGTGGTGAGAGAATGACAAGCGTCATGTATAAATTTCTTCATAATTGTCGGCGACGCTAGCAAGAGTCCCAAGATGGTCCCGAGATGAGCCAAGTGCGTCGTAGGGGACGCAGAGTACGAGACTGGTCCAATCATGTCTTCAAAACACATCTTCATCCGTCCATTCGCTACCGGAGATGATCCGGTCGCCGTCATGATCAAGCACGACTGGCGCTGCTGCATAGGGCGTCCCTGGCATGCCCCTTAGGCGTTTAGCCTGGCTGCTTGCAGGTCGACAGCCCTGTTCTGGCTCATATCTCTTGCCGCGTGCTGCTAAAAGCTTGCTGTAATAGTCTTCCGAGACGTCCACTTCCGGCTCGCTGTTGTCATCGTACGTCTCCCAGTTCTCAGATCCGGACATGGCAGTTGATGTGTGTGAGTTGTTTGATGTTTGCCTTGAAGGCGCGGCTTGTGGGTATGCAGAGCGTGGAGCGCGAATTGTCGCGCAACGACCATCGTAACCGTCGTCGTATACATCCTCGCAGTACCTTGGTTGCGCGTGGTTGGATAGGTTGGAGTTAGATCGCGTCCCTCGACAAGTCTGAGGACGATCGCCGTAGACATCCTCGGGCTCAACTTGGCGCACAATACTCGACTCGATGCCCGTCCCCCTGTACGGATTCCTCGGCGTCTGAAGTTGGGGAACCGCCTTCAAGTCACGCATCTTTGGCGGCGGAGCGCGGACTGGCGCACCGTTTCGAAGAGTCTCGCCCCGCGATTCTGGTCGGGATGCGCGCTCGGGAGAATTCCCCCCCGTCCTCAGGTTGGACAGGGGAACACGAGCAGGAATCCTAGAGGGACTTTCTCTGCCGTGCATCGCATGCGTCTTGCCTGGAGACTGCATTTTCTTTGTAACAGTCCGCCCCCCAGCTGTCGGAGTCTTGGTCATGGAGCGAGGCGGCGCGGCCTTTGCGCTCTGGGCTCTTGCGAGACCTGCTGATTTTTTCACCGTCGACGGAGGTGCTTTTGCGGGAGTTTTGCATCGCGAAGCAGGGCCAGCCCTCTTCGGCTCCTCTGGCTCTAATTCGTCCAGATAGCGCTCTCCAAATACCAAAAACGGCCGACCATATTCAGCCTCCCAACTTTCGAGCATCTTGCGGACTTCGGCAGACACCTTGGGGAGTTCCTTGGCTATCCGCTTGCGCATCTTTTCCTCCCTGAGAAGCTTGCCGGGGTCTCGCTTCTCGCCCTTTTGGCCGCGCATCATCAGACGAGAGGCATCTTGACTCGATGCCGCGAGGTCGTCCCGGTCCTTGATCAGGCTCTTGTGTCTGTCAACAACCGCCAGAATTGGCGCGCGCTGCTCTTTCAGTGCCTCTAGTCGTGCAACCTCCCGCTCGTGTGCCTCCAACAGGGCGTCACTGTACACGTCGGAAAATGCAGGAGTGAACTCGAGCATCTCGTCTTCCGAAAAGTACAGCGAATCCCACAGTTCCTGGAGCTTTACGCGGGAATCTTCAACAAAGAGATGCAGGTTCTCTCTCTTTAATTCGTTCAATCGCGCCAGCTCATCTTCGAATTCATTGATTTGACGGACGCCGCATCCCCTGTTTTGGTTAAGGAAAGCCCTAGTTTCGCCTTCATGGACGCCAAGCTTCAGCCACAAGGCCTCGACAGCGGATTTCAGGTCCTTCAGCCTCTTCTCAAGGTTCTTTTTCTCTTCTGACAGACGATCCCGCTTCGTCTGAAGCCTGTTGAGATCTTCCTGGTGAAGCCCAAGCTGCTCAGGCGCATCTCTGTAGTACTTGACAATGGCGCTGTCTTGCTGAGCTTGTGGGGTGCCAAGTTCCGCCCAGAGTTGAATGATCTGGTTGGAAAATGCCTGCACCGAAGCAACACGGCGCATATATTCGTCGTACACTCGAGTAAATTCAGCGTCCAGCTTCTCGACGTACGTGTTGGAGATGTCGAAAGTGGGCGGAAGAGACTGGTTGGGGCCCGTGGGTGGAAGAGCGATCTGAACAAAGGTTGGCTCGAGATGTGATGAGTACGACTCGAGGGCTTCGACGAGCGCTGTATCGAACATTAGCACGACGAGCCGCATTGTTCCAACATGACAAAGTCCTACTTTTTACCTGCTCGAAACGCTCCTTGTGCAGACGACTTATTTGGATATGCTTCTCTCTGAGGCCCTGCAGGCAGCGGTTCAGAGGGTACGTGATTCTGAACTCGTCGTCTTCCTGGTACTCTCCCCTCCGGGGCTTGGAGTCGTCCAACGACGCTTCCATTTGTCGAATGGTGGTGATGATCTTCTTCGCTTCATCCACCATTTCCTTCTTCTCCGTCGTCACCAGGCGCACTTGGTTGTTCAGTGCTTCCGACAGAGCGGTAAAAAGCTGCGAAGTGGTCAGCCTTGTTTTGCGAGGGGTTGCATGTGAGGCGCAAAGGGCGAGGGGGAGGGTACCTCCGATTCCCGAGCCTCGCGCTCATGGTTGGGCACTCCAATCTCGTCAAAGAGGTCACTCAGCTGCGCAATGCTGCCATTGACCTGCTGGGCCAGGTAACTGGTGTCCATGATTCTCGTGGGGCGTCACGGTCAAACGAGAGCAGATTTGGGCAAAGTGACGCTTCCTTTGCGTGGATGACGAAGCTGAGATGAGGACAGTGGTTGTTTTGGCTGGTATGCCCGTGTCGAATTTGCCGCAAAGTGGCGCCCTTGTCTGTTCCAAGTCGGTGGGTTGCCTGCAGTTCTATCTCCGGTCCGTGTTTACTTGGCGATCCGAAGTTGTTGCCGCAGTCAGTCCGTCGTGCCGAAGTCTTGTACTATGGGGTCGACGGAAAATCATCATATGCGGACTATCGCGAGAGTTGGTGAGGCATCTGAGCCGGCGGTGGAATAATGAAGCCCCCAAGGTTATTGCCCGCGACCAGGAAGGCGTGAGAGGAGGGAGAGATGTGGGAGAAGCCATGTTGACCCAATGTTGCTTTCGATTGGCCACGAGGCCATGTTCCGCTGTTTAGCCATGTGTTCGGCAGAGCACCGTTGCCATGACAACGTCGTGCCCCGCTCGCCGCCTGGACATTGTCGAAAACCATAAGCTGCGCAGTTTGTTCCACAGAAATCGCCCATTGGGATTTGAGTCAACTAATCGCCGTTTCAGATTCGACAGCACCTGGACGCCATCCTGTGTTTTGCATCCGCTTGATTCAATAGCCTGAGGGGGGGCTCAGTGGCTGCATCAGACCGAACCTGTTTGCCGTCCACCTGGTCGCCGCCGGGTAGCAAGAACCGGACCTCGTCTACTCAATGCTTGCTAGCCACTCAGTTCTCTGCTCCAGAGCGAGGCATGCATTCTTATAGATACCACTAAGAGTCGTATAGTTTTTCGTTGTTCCTAGGAAAGACCTACGTATAACTCCTTGCTGCGCACCTCGGCGTGACTTGTGACTTGAGCTGACGCCTATTGCAAGAATCACCTCCTCACTTGACACCTTCTTGTTTGGATGGCACCAGACCGTTGATCAGCAGGAGAGACAGATTTGCAAAGGAAATCTACAGCATTTTTACTCCTGCAAGTTGTATCAATGCCGATGCAAGAGGACCGCAATCGCCCGCACCATGGAGTTCACTACCCAGGATGGGAGGCTTGATACGTAACGCTTTTCTGTCATGCTCATATTGGGAACAGGAATATAACGGTTGATTCTCAGCAAGGCTCGGATGGTCTGTCAACTATGATTATTTACATACATGGACAAGACCGTATCGCTGCTCGTACATAAATTGCTGGCATTCCCTCAAGCACCGGCGGCAGAGACAGCTGTACCCGGCTCCTGTGCCTTGGTTCAAGTATATTGATAATCCAGCCCGGACCCTGTATAGGGCAAGCACAATTGCCTTGGGCCTGAACTTCTTTGACTTGGGTCAGCACGTCGCTCGATTTGGCATTGTCGAATGTGCAACCACCCGAGCCGCGGCAGTTGATGCCCCGAGCGGCGGCGCTGGCGACAAATGCGGCCATGATGCTGAGGGATACCATGGTGATGCGGGATGCGTGACGGAGTAAAGCAATCGTCTTTGTGATGAAGATGAGAGCTCCTGGGTGCAGCAGCAGGCTGTTGTTATATAAGATGGTAAGACGTGGGAAAGCAGAAGCGTCCTCACTGCTCAGTCGAGAGACCAGTCGGCAGACCAAACTGCAAAACTTGTCGACGGCGAAACCTTCACCGCAGTCGAAAGCCGATTCTGGGACAAACTCCAAGGGATGTACCGACTCCCTGCTCTGCCTGCAGTATGCTCTCATTGACTCCAACCGCGCGGCAAACACGAGAATGCATTGTCACACGGTTTCGAATCCTTCCACTACCCTATTCGTCGTACAAACCCCCATGCTTTCCGCTGTCTTCTCAGTCGCTAAACCAAACATGGGAAGCTACGGAAGACACAGGCGAGATTACCGCTGAGAGGAGGTCCACATGGTTGGTCGGGCCTGGATGAGACGCCGAGCGGCAGATCGTCGTGATAGTTCAGCCCGCCGGCGAGTTCCGTCTAGCTTCTTGATGGACCCCAATCCCCATCGTCAGCGCCTACATCCTTTCGTCCAGCTTGGATGGGGCGAGTTCGGGGTTCTGGATTGATGGAGTTGCTCATATGTAGCTTTCCTCGGCGTCAAAGCACAAATGAGGTACTCCATCGTCATCTCTGCCGCCGCTCCCACCGCCGCACCGGGCATCAACTGCCGCGGCTCCGGCCTCTGCCCATCCGACGGCGCCGCCGGGAACCTCATCAACCTCAAGGCCATCGTGGACGGCATCCAGCCCCGTCATCGACGCTACTCAACCGGCCAGCAGATTGCCTGCACCGGCACCCTCTGCGCCTTTTATCAAAACGGCGCAACGGGCACGGCGAGGCAGACGTCGGGCTTTCCCCGGGCCTTGCTTGACCACGGGTGCAAGAAGTGCGGCTCCGTGCCTACTCAGCCGGGCAACGACGTGAGCAAGGGAGAGCTCACTGTGAATGTTGTTGGAAACCCTCACTGCCAGGGTGCTTGCTAGAGCGGAGCACAGGAAGCCGGATGACGGCCATGTACTTACTGTTTTTTTGGGTTGGCGTACGCAATTCCGCATTTGGGCCTCACACCTGAGCAACGAATCCAACACAAGAAAATACTTGGGCTTTGCGAAGCGTTCCGTCATAGTTTCCATATTTCCGACACATCACGCGTCATGTTGTCGGCAGAAGAGTTGTGGTGTGCCTCAGTCGAGCCGAGCCTCTTCAATGTCGCATCAGCCTCTCCGCCCAAGGGAGTCAACAATCCCGCCCTACATGAAGTGATCAGGGAAGCGAGACCACAGACAAATGCTAGCAAGGCATCCATGTTGTCCCTACAGAGCATCGTGCAGGAAACTAACGGGGTTCTCTCTGGTCCGCACACATTGCCCCATTCTTCGACCCGTGACATGCAAGGCCGCCTGAGAAAAGAAGCTATTCCGAGATGCCACGCCGCCCACGCCCAGGTCTCGGCTGTCGCTTGTGATGCCGGTCAAGCGGAATCAGGCAAGAGAGCATTGGAAACAGACAAGATCTACCGACCTGCGACGCCTCGCGGCTTGAATAAGCACTAAACGTAGCGCGACCCGTCCAGGCCTTCCAGGGGCCATCATTGCCCCGAGTCGCCGGGCACTCCAGGCTGGAGGCGTCTCGCTGCCCGTTGGAGCATCTTTGCACGACGACTCCTGGCCGGCTCCCCGGATTTCAATATCGAAGCCGGCTGCCACCCCATCGTCGACGGCCACAGACGTTGCGCTCCGCATCCCAGCCGGTGCAGAATGTAGTGCAGACGATATGGACAAAAGTACCCGTCCACTTCCTCGTATTTGTCACGAGCCTCCTTTCCATGCCCACGCTCCATGCCTGCTAGAGGCCGCCATTCTGCCCAAGCAGTCGATTCCCCAGAGCCCAAGGCGGCAAGGCAAGGCCGTGAGTGCCTCGTTGCCATGGTGCGTATAAGCTCTGCAAAGAGCTCCCAGACGACCCAGGGGAGAAATGGCATAAAAAGCTGCCCCGTTGCCGTCTGGGGCAACTCCCCGGCAGAGACTCCCCCCCTGACGCCGACGCGCACCTCGTCAACATGCACATCTCTCTTCTCCCGGTCTTGTTCGTCTCCGGCGCCGCGGCGCTCGGAATCAACTGCCGCGGCTCCGGAGTCTGCTTCTTCAACGACGCCTCCCTGCAAGCCGTCCACAACCAGGTCGGCAACATGATCGCCGCCGGCGGCGGCAACCGCTACTACTGGGACGGAGGCAAGCGCGCCGTCGTCCCCCGCGGAGCCCGTTGACAGCCTGGCTAACACGGAGGCAGTGCAAATCGCCTGTTCGCAGGGCTCCCAGGGCAGCGTCTGCGCCTTCTACCAGAACGGCGCCTCGGGGTACGCCTGGGACGCCTACGCCCAGATCCAGGGCCTGCTGGACCACGGGTGCCGGCAATGCGGCTCGATTCCTACCCTGCCGGGCAATGATGTCAACACGGGCGAGCTCACCGTCAACTATGTCAGGAACCCGTGCTGCCTGGGCGACTGCTACTGCTAAGGAGACGAGGCTTGTGCTTTCTGTCGGCCGTGAGAGATCCATCGAATCGTATCGCGTAGGAAGAAGGTGAACGATTACAAGGGATGGATGAGGCTGCCGAGGGATCATGTTCTGGGCTGTATATACGTGTGGGATGAGCTGCGTTTGACCGGGTCAAGTGCTGCGTCAGAAGACATTCAGTCGAGGCACAAGTCTGACATGCCGTCATGGGAGATTCCTTCATCGTATCTCAACACGGAAAGAAGTATCGTCATTGCAGAAACAATCGACTCGTGGTGTATCGGTATGCAGGTCGTACCCCGATTCCCGTCGCCAACTCGCGTTCCCACACGACGAGCGGAGAAAACGAGACTGATCTAGTCACGTCGTCGCTGCGAGACGTGTAGCCTCGGCGATTTGTGCCCGCCGAGTCGCGCCATTTGCGAGACGAGTGAGGATGCTGTAGTTGAAGTTTGGAGTTTGCGTGTGCGTCGGTGCGTGCGTGTGTCGAGTCCAACAGAACAGTCAGCAATGCTTTTGAAGTTGACGGCGGTCAAAGGTCGGAAATCCAGACTCGCAACTGCCACCAAACATCGCGCTGCGCACATGAACAATTTTGCATCGCATCCATACAATAATACATGGCGCAGCCTGGAAAACGACAATGACGCAACAGGAGGCGCGACGACTCAAGATGCACACCTACGTGCACACTTGGTGAGCGAGAGTCCAGGCATGATCAATGACCACAACCATCATCAGACACATCTCCAGCATCCGCATCTCCGTTTAAAAGAAACATGTCAGCCAAACAAGAAACAGGCCAATGGTTGCCCTCAAGTGTCAGCACCGCACGACTCAACTTGGCGTCTTCCCGCACCATCGTTCCAGCAGTCGTGCTCACGGCCGTGAAGCTTGTCCAAGATTGGGCTCACCGGCTGAAACCGCTCTCTCACGTTGCAGACCTCCTCCAGTAATTGCTTGAACTGCAGCCCCCCTTCCTTTTTGACCTCGAATGCCAGCAGCTTGTGTCGGATTTCCATAGCCCTCGATCTGCCCAGCTCAGTCACCCGACCGAGTGCAACCCCCATTGCTTCTTCCCATTTGCCAACCAGTCCAGCTTGTTTGAGTAAATATTCCTCCTCCAGCTTCAACATTTGGTCTGCAAGCTCAATATCCATGTAGATGGCGAGCCGGTTGCGGCAGGTGACGTCGGGAAGCTCGGTTTCATCGCGGCTCGCACCGCTGCCTCTTGCGTCACCCTTTTTCGCCTTGTCAGCCTTGCACACCCGCGGCAGATCTGCCTTGTTCACGACTTGGTGTGGACGTGGACCGTGGTTGGCAATCCTGTCAGCAGACTTGCGAGCTGCGTCATCCGCGCCGACACGGTCTGCGCTTGGTGCCGAGTCCGAATCTTTGCCACCAGCCTCCCTGCTCTGTGTCTCGAGATGCAGATGCACACCTTTGACGCGCGACTCTCCGACAGAGTCCTCTGGTTGTTCTGTGTCGACACCAGAGGGGCTCTTCACGAGATGCCGCGGCGACGGGACATCGTCGTCAGGTTTCAAGTCATTCTTGGGTTTGCACGGTCGAGTGACATCGCTTGTCCAAGATGCGCGCGAATCGATGTCGCCAGCCATTATGTACAGAGACACCGCCAAAGTACAGCCTTGTCCTGCTCTGCAGTTCTGGAACACTGCAAGCTCTGCACGACCACCGGCCGCGCTGATGTTATCTTTATATAAAAAGAGCCCGATGGTTGAGGCCTGACTTGTCCATCGCCGACATGCAGATGTGCCCAAAGATGACCAGGTCTCATGGCGGTCTCAACAGGCTTTCTTGACGGCATGAGATGAGTGGGCCATGCATGACGATTCTTCCCTCTCCATCATGACAAGCTCGCATGCATTCGACAGCGAGGGTCGGAGACCCCAAACCGTCCCAAGGCGTCGGCAGCATGAAGAAAGCGCCAGGTATCGTGTTTTCGTCAGCTGCGGTCAACTACAGTGTGTTCCAGACAAATCTTCAAAGCCGTCTGAATCGTTCCACGTCGCGGCCGCATCATTCAAAGACACGGGTTGTCGATAATTCAAGGGGAAAACAGCCGACTCTGTCTCTTCCAAGGACAATCAATCAGCTGATCGACTTGCATGCTGTGCCAGCCCAGATGCGATGCAGCACGCCACAGCTTGCTTCATAGGCCACGGAGAGGCAATATCAGCAACGAAACCACTGATCTCCGATTAGAAACAAAATAAAGCAGTGTGAATTAGAAGGCCGAGGGTTGTCTAAATATATTGTCCAGTGAGTATCATGAGTCGCCAATATTTTCGTGTGCAACCATACAGCTGCTTCAGAGGCTCGTGGCCGACATTCTTTAAAAACGCTGGTTTCTCAGTATCCCGAAATAGCCACTTCAACCACTTCCTTGAAGAGAGCATCAATATCGATGCTGTGCCTCGCCGTGCTGCTACGTTGCAGAGAGGTGGAGTCAGGGTTGGGGGTCACGGCATCTCAAAGGTCGTGCCATCGATCTACGGCGCGGAGCAGAGCGGGGGCCGCTGCAGACTTGTAACGTCTAGATGAGTCAGTCGAGATGACTCGAGGCTGGTGACTGGAATTAATTGATCGTCATTCCACCAACTCGTCTCCATTGATGGCTCGATAGACTTTCCTTGCTGACAAGAAGCACACTCCCCGAGGTTGGTACTTCACTTCCTTCGACTTGGCACAATTTCATCCGAGATTGATGACGATTTCTCTAGCCGTTCCAGGTGAGACGCTGGCGCTGTTGTGATTAAACCGGATGATGTCAAATTTCGGCTGGAATTGTTGAAACTGCTGAGATTATGGTCCAAAAGAGACACAAAGTCAAGGAGCAAAGCTGTCACCGTCCATGTTCATCATGAGCAGCAAAAGAGGCTGGAGGACTAGGCGGAACGTCAAGATGCGCCACCTTGTCGTTGACAGCTTGGTCATTGACAAAATGTTCCAGCGTTGACTCGGTACCATGTCTGACAACACCCTTCAGAAAGACAGGATTGGAGACCGGAAGACTAGCACGAAGTTGGGCTTGCGTACTCGGACTTGAAGTAGGCAGCGTCCATCTTGCGCGGAGCAACCCGAGTCGAGTCAGAGACACCTGAGGTTTGTTGTTCGGGCCTCGGCATCATTAGTCCGAGGCCGCAGTAGGAAACACGGAGAAACCAAGCGCCGGCTGACGGGCTGGACCGACCTACACCCGGCCATGGTCCCCTAGTGTCCCTCCCCTCCCCTCCGCCTCCGCTCGCGGCTCCGCAACGCGCTGCCATCGCATCCAGGCAATGCCAGGCAGCATCAGCATCAGTCAGCCGTCTGACATCTGGACCATTTTCCTCCCGCCTCGCAACCGTCAGCTATAGACGACACGCCTGACCCTCGCCTCACGTCATGGTATTCGACAGTCAATCTCTCGAGGCCTCCCAATCGCCGCACCACATGACGCAAAACGGCCATATCGTCGCTCCCAACGCAGCCTCGGCCGTGCCCCGCGCTCTCCCCGACATTTGCTACACCTTGCGGCGGATGGTGATTGCGTTCCTGGACCAGCAGCCCGCCGACAGCGATGTTGCGCTGAAGAGTACACAGAAGCAGGCAAGGGCCTCGATCAAGACTGTCGAAGAGGCCCTGCGCCGGTACCAGTGAGTCGCCGCATTGCCGCCGCGGCCCGCCGTCGCCAATTTGGAGGCATTCTCATTCTCAAAATTGCCGAGGAAGCTGACCACGTCATCACCGCCAGACCCGACCAAATATCCCTCTCATACAACGGAGGCAAGGACTGTCTCGTCTTGCTCGTCCTCATCCTCGCCTGCCTGCCCGCTCGGTACGATTCCTCCGCCACAACCAACGGTGACGGCCCCGTCTCCAAAAACCCGCCGCCAACCATGCAAGCCGTCTATATCGCGCCGCTCGATCCATTTCCCGAAGTCGAAGAATTTGTTTCACGCACAACAAGGGAGTACCACCTCGACCTGACCCGCTACGTTCTCCCAATGCAGCAAGCCTTGGAGGCATACCAAGCCGAGAAGCCTGCCGTCAAGGCCATCTTCATGGGCTCGCGACGCACCGATCCATTCTGCGAGTTTCTGTCCGAATTCAGCCCCACGGACAACGGCTGGCCCGAGTTCATGAGAGTGAACCCTATCCTAGACTGGCACTACACAGATATATGGACTGTAAGCTATCCCTCTGCGGTGACAACGTCTCCCCCGAAACACAAGCCTGACCTGCTTCCCATCAATCAGTTCATCCTCCGCCTCGAGATTCCCTTCTGCACCCTCTACCAACAGGGCTTCTCGTCACTCGGCGGCGTCAAAAACACCCGCCCGAACCCCGCTCTCGCCGTCAACTCTGAGGGGACCAAGTTCCGGCCAGCATATGAACTCACCCGCGACGACGAAGAGCGATTAGGCCGCGACAAGTAGACCAGCTGCCGGCGAACAAATAACGACATCATGATGGCAGAAAATCTGTAAAAGCCGCTACATACGGAGCAGGCGGGCGGCGGACTGAATGAATGGCGGCCCAGGAGTACTGAGTTTTTGCCCGTTTTCGCCCAGACTATTTGGATGAAATTCCTGCCAAGACGTACTAAATTCCAGTGTATATACCATAGACCATAGAGCATCACGGCGTTGAATGCATATATTATTCTAGGCCCTCTCGTCCGCCCACTCAAACGGCTTCATCAGCAAAGGCGCGCGTTCAAATTCCATCGCCACCTCTGGACGTTGCGAATCGTACCGCCCCAACATCTCTCCGCAGCCAGCGCAAGATATCGCGCGCAACTACAAGCCACATCCCGATGCAAACAATCTGGACCCGACATCAATTTCTCGTCGCCTCAAAGTCTCTACCTAGCCTCTTGCCGCGAGTCGCGACAAATCAACGAGCGATGTATGGTGTTCCGCCCCTGCAACGAACCCGTCTGTACCTCCCAAAGCCTACCGTGCTAGGAATTCAACACTCCTGCGAATAGCACCGGCAGGCAAGCAAGATTCAGATCCTATACCCGCCTTGTTAAAAATAACTACACTGTTCCCGCTCTCCCAAATGCAGTCGCACACACTCAGAGAATGCCCATCACGACGGCGTCTCGGAACGACTTGCCAAGGCCGGCAACGCCACTCTCTCGTCGCAGCTTATTTCAGACGATGCAAGAGACTAGGTGGAAAGCCTTGTCATCATGCAGAGTGCTCGATCCGTTTCCTTGGATAGCTTCAACTGCAAGCTGAACAGCCGACCCGCAACAACTTCGAGTCGATGTACCACTTACTTGAATTCTTTTAAACCGGGCACGTATCATGGCAATTATACTGTTGAGGTCGCACGACCTCGATGTCAGCGATTCATGAATCGGCATCAACCACTGACCCCCTGGCGAAGGGATGTAGCAATAGCGGTGCGGGGAATTTTAAGACCGTCGATCTATATCTTGTGGGAAAGTTGGCAAACAATACAATACACCTCATCGGCATATCTCGACTTCACCGTACTGATTGTTTTCCTTGACTATTCCCTCACCGCTCTGTGAGGGCCCTGGTATACAGGCCATGTGCCGCATGCTTTCGGGTTGAAAAGGCTCGCTGGAACTGGAATTCTGGGCATAAGCACAGCGTCGCAATTAGCTAGTCATCAAAAATTGCTCTCCTCACTGACATGACGCCTGTTTATATTTCCACGATTGTATCACATGTCATCATGGCCGACGAAAGATAAATTCACCAGGCCCACATATCTATGTACATTTTCCGCAGTTCGGACCGATGATGTCCTTACTTGGGATCGGTCTCCTTCTCCCTGGGCTTTTCGGCTTGTTCCTGGCCAGGAAGTGACAGAACCGGCAAGTCGCGGTCAAGAGCATACATGGCCTCTTCCTGAGCATCGTAATGGTGGAACAGGACCCAGAATATGCAGCCAGTCAAGGCAGCTGCGACAGCTATTCCGGTGTACATCCAGATGAACTTGGGGTCCTTGGCCACGGGAACAAATCCTTCAGAAATTGCGGAACCGAAAGCATTGGTGAAGAGATACAGAGACTGGACGAAAGACTTCATACTCGGAGGAGCCTTGGTGTAGGCATACTCGAGGCCAGTCACAGAGATGAAGATCTCAGAAACACCAATGAACACATATGCCGGCGTCTGAATCGCGACGTGGACATCGTTGGGCAGCTTCTTATTCTCAGCGCTCAAACCTGCCGGACACGCCCGGGGACTATCATAGCAGGGTCCGGCACTATATATCAGCTTCTGCACAATGGCAGCGTAGGCCATGCAAAGTCCAGCGAGCCAGAAGCCAATGGTGATTCGGGCAATGGGGCGCAACTCAATACCACGCTTGCGCAAAGCAGGGTAAACAATCTTCTCCAGGATTGGGGTGAATATCAAAATGGACAAGGGGTCGAAGTTTTGCATGAAGTCGTTGGGCATGCCATGGACCTGCATCTGACTGGCTTGAGTGACGAAGTTGCTGGAGAACTGTCCGTAGCAAACCCAGAAAATTGGGTAGAAGACAAAGACCTTGCAAGCTTTGAGGGCGCGCTTGAGTTCCTCAACAAAATGGTCATCCCACGCGACCTTGCCAGCCTTGCCGTGTTCGGCACGCCATGAAGGCTTGGCCCCGTCCAAGGAGCGAGTCGTGATCATCATACCAATAGCCTTGAAAGCATCGGTGATAATTTGGCCCTGAGGAGGGCGGATGACGTAGGACTTGCGCCGGAGGATGAGAATAGCAATGCCAACATTGAACATGCAGAAACAAAGAAGGAACGCGGTCCAGAATCCCTCGTACTTCTCCATGAAAGGTGTAGCCATAAGTGAGAGGGCGCCGACGTTGATGCACCAATAGAAGACCATGTAGATCCTCTGGTAGGTGATGGCAGGGTCAATGATGACGCGCTCTCCGCTGGCTTCTGTCCTGATGGCCATGGTTCGTCGCTGATACTGATCGGCAATCAAGGGGGCGATATTGGACTTGATGCCGCCGGTGCCCAAGCCAATGACCACCAATGCAGTGACATAACCACCGAGGCCAGCACCATTCTCGATCGCAACGGGAAGCGAGGTGGTCCAGAGGATGAGGAGGCCAAGCCAGTAGACGCCGCAGAAGATGAGGATGGTCTTGTACTTGCCGAGGTACTGATCCGAGATGATGGCACCGAGGATAGGCGTCACGTAGCAAAACCACTGGAAAAACAGGTTGAGACCAAATGCAGCCTGGTGGCCCATACCCAAGCCCTTTTGGCCGTCGCTACCATCTTTGGCGTTGCTGACATAGTTTTGAAACAAACCTTGGGCACCGTAGTAGGTGAATCGCTCAGTCAACTCAACAATGGCAATCATGAAAGCGGAAGCGGGAAGGTTCTCGCCGACACGGCGAAGAGTGTTCTTCTCATGGACGTTGGGCTCCTCGCCGTCGGCAGTAGGGCCAGTCTCGGAGTCGGAAATGGCGAGATCGCGCTTCTGATCCAACGAGGGCTTTTCAATATAACCGCCGGTCAAGTCAGTACCCCGACCAGGAACGCGCTCACTGAACTCCTCGTGGAGCCTAGATGATTGGAAAGCAATCTGATTAGTAGGAGTCTCTTTCGGCTGCTGATAGAGTTGCCGTCACTACAGTCACAACTGTGAAGATGGGCACCGACTCGACATGACGGCAAAGTGAGAAAAGGAAAAACATACTCGGCGGCCATGTCCTCGTGATTCTGTGCCATGGTAGCGATTGCTTCTTGGACAGCCCCCGGTACTTGGAAAGGTCCTCGCAGCGGTGGCGGGGGAGATGGGAAGACGGCGAGACAGCAAAAATATATGCAGAACCAAAGAAATACCTAGACGGAGAGGGGAAAGTCAGACCAGTCGACATTTAAACAAGATCTCGACCATAGCCCAGTCCCGGGGGGGACGTGAAGTGGGAAACTAAGTAGGAAGGCACGACTGGCAGGGGCGTGTCCGGATCACAAATCGGCAGGTCAGGATGGTGGATGGTGGATGGTGGATGATGGATGATGGTCCATGGACTTGGGCGCGCCAACCCTCGTAGAGAGGCACAACTTATCATCCATCAATGGGCCCTGCCTATCTGTGGAGCAGGGTTGTTTCTGCTCCGCGTGTTGTTTCTTGTGCTCGGCGCAGAACAGGGCCGAATGGCTTGCAGCGCCGCCTTCAGCAACACCAGGTCAGCTGCTCTAGCGTCTCTCTTCTCCGTCGCCAGATGGTTCCCTTCTGACTTCTGACCAGAGGGCCATGTCTCGCCCGCCCCGGTCGGCTTCAGCATGGGTCGGCGACGATGGGAGGCAAAGACAGGCGACGGAGGTGATGAAATGATGGAAATGGGAAACGCTGATGATGGCGGTGCCGGGTGGCTGCAGGCCCAAGCCCAAGCGGGAAGGCGAACCGACGGCCCTGCAAGCCCAGGCCACGGCCCACTGTAATGGTTTGTGGCTGCGGAAGTGGATACGGCCACTGGCGCCATTTGCACGGAGTACAGTACGTTCCAGCCCAGCCTTGCCTTTGCCGGTTGCCGCCTGGGCATTTTCTGGGCATTTCCAACGAGGCAGGCAACACAGCGCAGCGGCTGGATAAAAAACACTCAATGCTGCAGAATTTTGACTGCAACATCGAGTCATCAGCGTACAAGGACGTTGGCCAAAGCCGTTCCACCGTGCAGTGTGTAGTCCTTTCTGTCTGGGTGATCATGGTATCTCCATGCTGCAACGATACCGGACGACCGAAGAGGAAGTTTCCGGCCGTCACAGGATCTTTTGCTGTTCGACGCACACCCTGCTCAATGATAAGTCACAAACCACAACGCATCCCCGAAGCGACGTCGAGGGTCCGTCTGGTCATGTTCAGCCCCCGAAGATCAGGGCTTCTGGAAAGAGGCCACGCAGCGGCCCAGTCGGGACGCCAACGCCAGGCCTGTGATTACTCCGTAGGTTCTTCATGAAGCCGCCTGAACCTGTAAATCATTCATGACAACCGACTATATGGATCCCTCGGCCAACATACTGCTTGCCAGAACAAACCAGGGACACCACTGACAAGAGGACATGGACGCCACTCAGATCCCCCGCAGATTGGGTGAAGAAACGGGCCTCGACAGTTTGCGATGGATGGAAAGTGGCGTTGCGCCTCTGGCGAAGCTTCTTCCTAGCGCAGCTTCACGGTTATTTCCAGACCTGCAGATATTCCCGGCTTCCGAGGCTGCCCTCGCAGACAGGAACACGGTCGGCTATTGAGCGTCGTCGCCGAAAAAAAGCACGGCTCGGAAGCCTGTGAAGTGAAAAGAAAAGAAAAACACCGGACAGCCACTTGCTGATGGAAAAGGTCCGCGGGGTTGGGCCGTCGTCGTAGACCGTGGTGCACGGTCGGCGGCACGGACATGTGGCTCTCTGCTTTCTTCTTTTCTTCGGGACGTCGAGAGCTGATGCCCGAAGTGGACTAGCTCTCCCACAGCAGACGATCCATCTCCATGCCCATTTATTATTTCTCCTGATTAATCATAACATTGTACATACCTTGTGTACTCCGTACTTGCTGCTCCGTACTTTTTCAATGTCAACCTCTGACTCGACGGCTGGGCCCTTGGCTTGGATGTCGTTGGTCGGCTCCTTCTTCCCCGGAATCCAGTGACCAGCCTGGTCCTTGCTGACCCCAGTTTACAGCCATCATTTCCGCGTCCCACCTCTTCCTTCGACATTGGACCACCACCCATGCCAAGTGGGCTTCAGGAATTCTCATTTCACTGACCCGTACTCCGTATTGTCAATCATCAATAGTACTACTGCGTTGAACTTTCCGAATGCGGCAACATGGCTCCCGTGTCCAACACCATTTCAGATACAGCAAGTCACCAGCCCAAGGGCCAAGACATCCCGCTGCACAACACAATATCTATCCCCATGTTTTCATCGTCAACATCTACAGGGACCATCTGTTGTTGTCGTACGCAACCTGCTCCTCCCAGACTTGGCCACAACAAGCAACCTTCCCTGCCAATGCAACTTCTCCTCCCCACAACATCAGTTTGCAAGCTAACCTAAGCCACTTGTCCAATGCTCCGCCCATCTTCCTTAGACCGTGACACACTAGGTTGCTTCCAGATGTCGAAAAAAAAATGGTGAATTCCGGGGAAGCGGGCTTGCTCGGTTCTCCATGGCTTTCTCTGCGTTTGCATATACCGGGTCTCTTTCTTGTCTTAGTTTATGCCAACTACGCATTTACACTTTGCCCTCGAAACGGTCACACGATGGGGTAGGCAAGGCGAGGCGTTTCATGTAGAGCCTCGATGCCCATCATCGTCGCTCACAAGGAACTATGCCATGATTTGTCGTCATTTGTGACGAACAGGACGCTATTCAGCTGGGGGCTGTACTGATGAAGCATCCTGACCCTCATCTTCTGCTTTATTGCTAACTGCGCTTAGCAGAATAGAGACCAGGTCTTTTCCGCACCGTATAATGCAACTAAATGGTTGTAATAAGCGTAGTATTACCATGTAACTTGGCGTCGTGCTGTGATATTACCAGGAACGGTGAGCAGACGACGTGCAACTACCCTGTTTTCTTGCATTTGTTGGTGTGAACCTGATGACATGTCGGTCAACAGGAACGAAGTGTATAGCCATAACAACATCTAATGTGTGTACCCTTTGTAGAATTAGCACTCGAGTTTCCATAACATGTTCGCCGCGTAGCATCTGTCTGGAGCCGGCGTGGCGATCATCATATTTTGCTGCGTGTGCCACTATTGCCTATGAGACCTGACTAGCCATGAACATAAACCCTCGGTCATGAGCGTTCTCCTCGAGTCTTCAAAGCGTTGACCTTTCTCCCTACGTCGCCGCAAATGATTGGAGTGAGAGGAGGAAATGACGGATAGGATTTACTTGTACTGCAGGGTAGGCGGGACGGCGCTGGTTGTATTTCCCTGCCGAAGAAACCAAACAGGAGCTGTCATGAACTACGTGATATATAAATCTTGTCCCATTCGGCTGTGTGAGAAAATAAAAAACAAGTCAATGTCTTCATTTGCGTGTTTTGGCCATTTCAACCTCGTGTGCATTACGCTACGGCCAGACTGGCGTGGATCGTGACATTGTCAACTCGAAAGTTCAAACTCATGTGCTGACACTATTGACTGTAGAAGTACACCTTGAAGGAGGAAAACAGCACATCATTTCTCTTGACGACTGTTCACGACTCATGGGCTAAATCGTAGTGGCTGGCGAACGATCAACACCACTCACCAGCTTAAAGGGTGCTGTTAGAGCCCTCGCGGCCTTGCTCGGTCCTCATTCGACCCTCTCTGCGGCCATCGCCCAAGGTTGAATGTCAGGAGTAGTATCCGGAGTTCTGCAAGAGGCTGGTTCGAGCTGTGATCTTTCCACTTTGACTTGGAGATGGCAATCTGGATGCGCGGCCAGCTCATCAGTCGAATCTCTCTGGCACTCTAGAGCAGATGTAACAGTTTTTTTTAGCAACACCGAGTGGAAATTAGGCAACCTTGGCATCTTCGCCCACGGGCGTGCATTCCTCATCATTTTTCCCAATTCTCATCGCTTCGATCGACAACGGTGTCATTGACTTGGTCGCCCGAGAGTGTTGGCTCTTTCCTCGAGCCGGTGATATCGCCAAGGTCGATCGGGATGCAGATAACATGACTGGCGTAGCTTTTGGGGGAATTCTGAACAGTTTTAGGGGAATAGTCAGAGAGTGTTGCCTCTGTGATGTCCTCTTTGCAAAATACAACTAGTTGTAGCCATGGTCGAAATGCTTCGATTTCGTAGGCGCAGGGATTATTTTGGACTGTGATGAATGGATTCGTGGTTCAGTGTCCGTAGCTTTCGCTAATACCCACTGCCTGATAATGTTGTGTTGCAACGTTGTCTCAAGTGGACGAAAAGTTTCACGAAGCAGCAAAAACAACGGTGGAGTACATTCTTTTTCTACTTCCCGTCCTACGAGGTAGATGCTGTTCGAGCTTTGACTTGCTCATGGCTCGGCCACAGCCCTGGGCGACGAGCTGACACTTCTATCATTGTGCTAGGTGTGGAGTGCAGTCTGCAAGCTCGAATAGTCCGTCCTTACGGGTTCTCGTCTAATATGTGGTGGACGGTCACCGACCGAGGCTCAGCCCGACAGCTGACGTCGTTTTGCGGCTCTAGTGTTGTCAATGAACGGTCTGAAGCATACACATCGTACGCTATAACTACAAAACACTGGATCCAAAGAAAGTATGTCAATGGCAGACGTGCTACAGCAACCCATGCCACGGACTATCCTCCAAAATAGATTTGCAGGTCCAAAGTTGGGGGCGAATTATATATTGGTTGGCTCCTCCTGAGCCCTGGCCGTGTTTACATCGACTCTTTCCAATAAGACTGCACGCACTGGCACTCGCCCTGTACGTCTTCAGTGCTGCCAATAGAAAAACTTGCTCTCGGCTCACCGCTCTTTCTCCCTATGGTACCATCATGTTGCGGCCAGATGACATTGTACGACAGATTGTGGGAACAAGTTTCTGCGTCTCCACGTCTCTGTGGTCTGATGAGAAAAATAACAGACTTGACAAGCGCTGCCTTTACTGTATATCCCTGGAAATTGGAATGATGAACTTTGACTTACGATTCGTCAATGTGACGGAGCATCTGAATGGCTTGTGGAAGCTCCCGCTTTCGTCCCGTTTACTTTGATGCACATTCAGTCACATGCAGCCAGGTCGATATGTGATATCGGGAGACACATACTCGTCGACATCTGAGCAATATCATATGCATAGGGGGCTATTTCCCTGCATATATCGAAGCACCCGCCGCTGGAGGTCCTGCTGTCAGCAGACAGCTTCATCTGTGAGATGAACAGTCAGCCGAATGGGACAAGAGGTATAGATATATGCATAGTCGGATCATTTCTGCTCCTCCCCACAAAAGGGGGTGCTTTTCTAGATGCGTCTCTTCCGGGCTTGTGGCTAGAAAATCATTCGGATCCGAGTCTGACAATCTTCCAGAGTCAAGGACTTACTTCGTGACAGAGTATGTAATGAGAGGGTTGCGATTCCGCCCCTCGGTCTGTGGCCCGCTTTATTATGGCTTTCCTCTGGCGAGTAAGAGTCCTCAGATCGGTGGTGATGCCACGTCAGATGTCACGACTATACACAAAAAGGGAACCCGTGGCATATGCACTCCATATGGGGATTGAAGCTGTTTAATGGTCCGAAGTAAGCCTAGAAAGTGAGTGCAAAATGGAAATCAGAGCGCTGACATGGGAGGCGGCTGTGGAAGCGGCCAAAGATGACAGGCCGTGTTGGGGACACCCGAGAGGTGCGGCGAGCGCTCGAATTAAAGGTCAATTCTGCATTGGCATCGTCTGTTCGGCCAGGCCACAGGGTGGTATTTATTGCACCACACGTCTGCAAGCGGGCATTTGCGCGGGGCAGAGAGGATTCACTGCAGCAGAAAAGTAAAGCCGGAATAAATGGAAGGCGAACCAACTCTCGTTCTTGCGTCATTGTTGAAGCCAGCGAACACATGGCTGGCCAAGGGTTTATCATCTTCAGCTCATCAGCGCAACGTCAAAGGCCCGGGGGTGCAGCTGCAGGTGCGGTACAGAGGAGTTGGAATGCCTGGGGGGACGGGGGGGGGGGGCAGGCACTTGAACCACGTGGCTAGGAAGGATATATTATATAAAGTCTCACCTTCTGGGTAGGACGAATTACGTTGCCGTTCAGGACACTCCGTATTGTCAGGGTTGAACGATTATAAGACTTTGGACAATGGCTGAACGGCGCAGCCAACTGAAGGATAGAACAGTTCCACAACTCAGTTGCGCCTTGTGCCGAGATCGCAAGCTCAAGTGCGACAAACTCGACCCTTGCACCAATTGCACATCATCTGGGGTTGTCTGCGTCCCAGTCTATCGTCCACGATTGCCTCGCGGTCGACACGCTCGTCGGGCGGGAAACAATACGTCCTCAGTTGCTGCAACACGTCCGCCTACCGCATCTCGACGTCGCCATACACCGACAAGCGAGCCCGAATCGAAAGAATTGTTTGGTTCGACTGTTCCCTGCAGAGGCACTGATCGCGGCGACGGTGGCGTCCTTGGTTTCCGAGTAGACGGACGGGAAAGCTTGGCTCGACGCGGAGATTGTTGCTACGCCAACATCGACTTGAAGAATGATGGACTAAGAGATCTCGTAAGTTTAGGCCACCGTGCATCGCCATTGCATCAGATCATACATGCCAATCCTCGTTCCCGCCTCGTGTTGGGGTCCAACTCCAACTCTTCATTGCGGGTCGAATGACACCCTGCTCGTCTTGCCATGGGGGAACCTGTCTCAAAATTGCAGGCTCACACACTCCAACGCAAGCAAATGGACTGAACAAAGCAGGCCGGCCATGGACCGTTGGCGGGAGTAAGCATTAAGTCTAGGTAGTTACTAACATTCGTGACGATCCAGGAACTTTCCGATCGCATTCGGAGGCTCGAGAGTCTTGTTAAAAAAATCAGCTCAGCCTCTGGCAACCAGGCAGGAGCGATCCAGGACTGCCGAGACTTCCACGAGCGCGCATGTGGCAGGCACAGGGCTTGGACGGAGTCATCCACGGCAAGTTCGCACCCTCGACCACACATTTGATGGATTCTCATGAGAAATGCGATAAGCTAACAGCTGCTGTGACACACAGCCTTTTCGATCGATCGAGGGCTCCGACGATGCCCAGCTTGCCACTGCAAGTCTCCCAAGTCCCAGTTCATGGAAACCGGAGCCTTCCGTCGGTAGTGATCATGACGACGGATTTTGTGCACAAGGAACCAGTGACGTCTGGGCCAATTTGATCCACGGGGTATGTCTTGGGATAAAGCGACATGATATTCGGCTCAAGATCAGAAGGGCTAATATACCCCTTCATTACTCAATATAGGAACGAGGGACAGAACATGCCGATCAAGATATCGAAACGGACGGGTCAGGACAGGACGAGCCCGTCAATGGGGCTGCCTTTTGCTTGAACTTGTTGGGACTAAATGAAACGTGCATCTCCAGCTCAATGCCCTTCTCCCGCGATAAAGAAGCAATCGGAAAGTTGTGTCGTGTCTATCTCCAAAACGTGGACCCCATCATTAAGGTGCTTCACAGACCATCTCTGAGTCGATGGTTGTTGGAAGGAGATAGGTACCTTGGCTACCCGGAAGAACATATTTCTGTCATGGCATTGGAAGCTGCTGTGTGCTATGCAGCCGCCATCTCTTCGACAGATATTCAATGCAAGGCCCTCTTCGGCATGAGCAAAGCTAGCATGGTATTGACACATCGCAAGATTTGTGAGAATGCAATTGAGCGGGCCGGCTTATTAACGACGCGAGACAGAATTGTTCTTCAGGCATTTGTCCTATATCTTGTAAGTTTTGTGAGAAGGCCAAGCTCGTAACGTTTTCAAATTTTACTGGGCCGCTGACGAAACGCCGGCTTTTACAGATAGGCCGAAGATCAGAAGAGAAGGGCACAGCTGTGTGGACTCTGGTGGCACTAGCCGTAAGGCTCACGATGGCAATGGGCCTAAATCGAGAACCCGACGGATTGGCCCAATCTGCTGAAACTTTTTTCGATCAGCAAATGAGGCTTCGGTTGTGGCTGACCATCTGCCTCCTCGACCTACAGGCTTCTTTTGCGCAATCCACGAAACCCTTGATCAGTTACATGGATGCTGAAGCTGCCGTGTGCAAAGTTCGACACATAAATGATGACGACTTTGAGTCTTCTACCATTAACGAAGTGCCTGACCGAGAAGAACTTACCGACACAACCTTTGCTCTTGTAACATACCGGGCACAGGTCGCGGGGCGCTTGCTGAATTTCGCGGGATCAGAGCCTGGTGTTGGCAGCACCGCAAGTCGCTCCCCTCCCTCCTCTGACGCTTTCCCAAGTCGGGAACAACGAAGGCACTGTGTCAGTCAGTTTCAGCAACAGTCTCTGGCGCTTGTTCATTTTTGTGATCCAGAAAGCTCCCCGTACGCTTGGTTCACCTGGCATAGCACACAGTGTCTTGTGTCTGCGATGAGACTTTCAGAGCTGCTGCCCTTCCAGTATACCTCAAGCTCCCGGAGCCTACCATCTCAGCTATCGCCACGGCCACGAGGTGACGCAGATTTGCTTCGAAGGGCTCTCCAAAACCTTGAAAAAACGCAGCTCATTTACACGGACCCCCGCGGTGAGGGCTTCCGCTGGTATATCACAATTCCATGGCTGACACTTTCCACCGCTATAAGTGAATGCGCATCATGTACGGACACGACGTTGGTGCGTCGGGCCTGGCCTGTGATAGAGGCATCGTACATGCAATACGAATCGCACTTTGTAGAGAGCAGCATTGAAGCATCCCGTCCGTCGCTAGCTTTTTTGTTCAACCAGATTCGAGAGAAGCTGTCACCGATATCGCAACAAGGAAATCTTTCTCGCTGCAGTCCATGCGAGAGTACGGTCAGAGATGCAGCTTTAACGTCACTTGACCAACTCGTGGCTGGAAAAATCAACCAAGGCTCTTCAGCAACTCCAGTCGGCTCAGCATTGAGTGCGGAAGAGGCGTTACAGAACGGCTCTTCTTTCGGCTCTGACGCCTCATATACCATATCAGCACAACTCTTCCCGCAGCATGATTGGCACCCTGACTCGGTCTCCTTGGAATACGCGTCTGCAGCGGATGACTGCACAGCGACCCCCAACCTGTACCACACAATTTCTTCAGAGATTTTCGAGGCTTCTTGGCTAACTGGCGATGTGATGGGCGTGTGCTCGAACATGAACGAGGAGGATAATGCCTTGATTACTAACAATGAAGCGAAAAATAAAGAACCCCTCCAAATATAGAATAATGGGAGACTCAAGGGGTCGGGTGTGCTGTAAAGGCGGAGATTGATTGGTTGTGAAAAGGGCCATGCCAGTAATCCGCGGGTTACTCTGTCTTGTTAGCGAAGCCAGGCCGTCTGTGCTGGGCACATGCAGAGCACGCATTTGGGACTTATACGTCGGCTACGAGGGACAACAACACCATGAACAAGAAATAATTTCACTTTGATGTATGAGAAGTCAGTTTTGTGATGCTTCTGCCATTCCTTATTGGCGTCACTTCAAGCCGCACACCCGATCGTCTGCAACCGGCACTGCGCTCTCATTGGAAGTAGATTGCAGTCTGTTGCACGACAAAACGGAGACGTTGCTTTACACGAATCCCGGACATTTCGGAGACGTTATTGCTGTTGTGGTAGCTTCTGATCTCAGCCAACGGGAAAGTGGCTTTTGACGGGCCCGAAGCGCGGCTTCGACCGGAAACTCACGTCCGGACCGGGCTCGAAAAGACGTCCGGGCTCGAAAAAACGTCAGGGCTTACTGGACCGTCAGCCACCGCAGGAGGCTTGCAGAAAAGGGATTGACGTGGCAGTCAGTACATGGGAAGCGAGACAATGCCGTGGCCAGAAACTGAGAAAAGGGGGAAGTATCTGGTGATTTTGCATAGGTACTTACACGACTTTGCAGATTGCTCGACGTGTTCGGGACATGAGCAGTCTCGTTACGAATAACTGACATGAATCATTACGGCATGCGAAACATACAATATGCTTGACTTTGACATTTCCCACCAACAATGGGGTCACGTAAAAGCTATGCTCACATGCGAAGTTCATCGTTGCCGCTACTGTTACAAAAACCACGCGAAAATGCCCCAGTCCTTCATGTCATAGAGTATAGACAAGAGGGTTCAAGCCGATGCTTCTGAAACGAGGACCTGCCGAGTACAAAAAAAAAACGGTGTCCGCCGGCACACCAAGGCGAACCGCTTCTGTCCCTGCGTTTTGGACGCCCCAAGACCTACAACAGCAGTCCGTGTGTCTGAATTAGCTGCGCGGCTTTTGACTCAACTTCCATACTCCGACAGCCGGCCAAGGTCTTGATTTGCCCGTCGGCGAATGTCGGACGAGCGGTCCAAGTATTCGATCCCGTGTGCTAGATTTGGCAACTTGACAGATTATCTTGGCGATGAGACTAGCATGGTCCAGGTCATGTCATCTCCGATCTATCCATATTCCCGGCAAATAGTGCAGCAAAGCTCCACCGGGGAACATGGTGGTGTCATCCCAGATGGAACATGTAGTGAGAAGGTGAGAAGGTGTTGTGCCACCTTTTCTCACCATGGTCTTGCAGATCAAAGTCAGCAATGCATTTCGAGGTGAGATGACGCCAATCTTTGATGCGTATGCGGAGACCTGTTGGCAGAAGAAGGCAGTGAAACCGATTTTATGCCAAGCTGACAGCTTGCTTGAGCGGATCGTGGTCACATCGCGGCCGACAGCAACCCCAAGGATTCCTGCAGGCCCAAGGATGTATATATCCCGAGAGAGATGGCGATCTGCAGCCGCAACGTTGTGATTCTCTCACAACCTCTGCATCAATTTTGGTACCAGGATTGTGGATTGACTGCAGCTGAAAGCTGAAGAACGGAAACTGCTGGGCCAAGTCTTGCTTCATTTCCCGCCGATCACCTGAAGGCTCGAAAGTTCCTCGGCTCCTCAGGGATGCGCAGCTCAGCTAGTCGTAGCTCGGCATGGAAGAGTGGCATATTTTGGAGTGTGAACGTTGCGAGATTGAGCTCAATTATGTAGCTTCTAATGAGTCCAAGCTGTAGCGTCTCCTCCAAGAACCAAAGGCCGGAGTGCCCACGCTGACGGCATCTGATACATTCGCTCCAAATACATTCAGCCCAGGTCAATGTGAAACTACCTACACGTCTATTGGGAGAGGGAAAATCACGCTTCATCTTCAGACTATGCACACACTACCCACCCGTCTCCATGCTCACTCGGCATTGTCAGACTTGGGCTTCGCAGCGCGAAACAGGAACACGGCCCCAACGACCCGGACCTCGACCTGGTGAAAGTTTCGTCTCAGGGCATGCTCAAAGTCGTACGGATTGTCGTCCGCGTTCTGGAAAATACCCGCCTCGACAACCTTTCGCCGCATGTGAGCCGCAAACCGGCCGTCCTTCCGCACCCCCCTTGCCACCACGGTGGCTCCGTGGATGACGCCGTCGGAAGTCATGTTGTTCCTGATGTGCGAAAAGATGCCGCACTTGTCCTCCACCGTGGCAGGGATGCAGTGCAGAAGATAGTACATGGAGACGGAGTCGAACTTGTCATCCACGGGGAGGGGCTTCAAAATATCAGCCACGATGCCACGCGCGTCCGACCGCCCGCATCGCTTCAGGCCAAACTCCAGAGCCGTCTTTTCGATATCCACAAGGGTGACCCTTGTTGTCGCCGGGAGGCGGCCCTTGCGGAGGTAGTAGCCCGTTCCGATGCCAATGTCAAGATGGTTCTTGCCGACGTTGGCGCGGAACTGAGGCAGCGGGTATTGCGAAGTAGGACATCCCCAGGCGTAGGTGCTGACGATGCCGAGGACCCAGTAGTCGTAGACGAGGAGCCGTCTCGTCTTGTACAGCTCTGCCGTCTTCTCGTTTGCCGAGGAGGCCGACAACGAGGCTGGCATTTCCTCGTCCTTTGAGGCACAAGTGCGAAATACGGTGTTTGCTACACCAAAGGGCTGTGAAGCTTCGAAGCGCCGAGAGGTGGGGTGGGAAAGTAGTTGAAACGACGAGATAAAGTATGAGGTTTTGGCTCGTCGCCGCCGTGCGCGCTGCTGCTTGTTCGACGTCCGGGGCCTTATGACGGCGACCAACTGGACTGCATTGGAGTCTCGGAGTTTGCGCGCAACGGGAAAAAGGGAGTGCTCGGCGTCTATCTGTACGCCTCCGTTCCTTGCTCTACAATGGCGATTTCGTGAACTCTTTGCCGCAAAACCCGGGGACAAACCCCGAGCCCGCACAGCCGACCAAGCACTCCCACGGGACTTGAACGGCACCGGTGGAGGGAGCTCATCGTGCGAGTTTGTTAGAGACCAGCACCTCGGACTTCTGTCGAGCGGCCAAGAACATCGCAGGGTCTTCAGCCCGACCGAGTTGATTTGATACCGGCGGGAGCAGCCAACACCCTCCGGCGTGGTTGTCCCGTGCAATTTTGGCACCGCAACAGGAACAGCACAAGAGCAGCCTCCAGCATGGCGACACGAATTCCATTCGACGAGTCCGTTTGGCAGGAATATCTTGCGGGACAGGAATCTCAGCTGCCGCCGCTCCGTGACGTCCAACATGTGACGGATCGGGTGGTGCGTATCATGGGCGGAAATCCGGGCATGATGCAACTACAGGGGACAAACACGTACCTCGTAGGGACCGGGAGGTCGCGAATTCTCATTGACACCGGCGAGGTATGTCGGACTCGGAATGACTCCAAAACTCGCGCCTGATGGCGACTGACCTGTCGGGAGGGACTGCCGTGCTGGATCGAACGCGTCGTCCGGGTCCTTCAAGACGCGCGGCTGGACCTCGCCTTCATCCTCCTCACTCACTGGCACGGAGACCACACTGGCGGTGTCCCAGACCTCGTGGCCTACGACGCCAACTTGGCCGACAGAATCTACAAGCATCAGCCCGATCGCGGCCAGCATCCCATCGCGGACGGGCAGATGTTCTCGGTCGACGGCGCCACCATCCGCGCCGTCTTCACGCCCGGCCATGCCATCGACCACATGTGTTTTGTGCTGGAGGAGGAAAACGCCCTCTTCACGGGGGACAATGTCCTCGGGCACGGATTCTCCGTGGTGATGGATCTGGCCGTCTACATGAGAAGCCTGGACCGCATGGCCGCGCAGAACTGCGCATCTGGCTATCCTGCTCATGGCGCCGACATCGTCGACTTGCCGGCGAGGATACACCAGTACGTCCACCACAACGAGTTCCGCATTCAGCAGGTCGTCTCGGCTCTGTCTTGGCATTGCGCAAAAGGTGCCAAGGGGGGGATGACGCTGCAGGAAATCGTACAGTCAATCTATGGCAATGTGCCGAAGGAGATTGTGGACAATGCCCTGGTCCCCTTCTTGTCGCAGGTTCTGTGGAAGTTGGCCGAAGACCGGAAAGTTGGTTTCTGTCCTGGTGAGCCCAAGAAGAGGAGGTGGTTTGGGCTGGCGGCGGCTCATTGAGTGGCCCTTCTTACGGCATTGCATTTTGGTGCTTTTGACTGAATCGCTCCCTGATAAAAGTCTGGTGTTGTAATGAGATCATCTTGAAAGGCGGTCGACTTCTGACTGAGAGCGTGAAACGAGTCAGCGTCGCTCTGGCTTTGGGTGGACGACGGAAACAAGAATGCTCTGTACTTGAAATGAACGAAGAGGACGAAGACTGTAGAGGCTATATTTTTCTTGTCCGACATCTACAGTGTATATTGCCCCAAGGGGACCGTTAAGCCGCTACGTCCGCAGCTTTGGCTGCTTGTGCCGTCTTCTTTCTCCGCTTCTCCGCAATATCTTGCCATTCAGCCATAGGCCTGTGCAACACGTAAAACCGAGTTCTAGATCTCTTGACTGCCTCTTGGACGCGTTTGCAAGCCCCATCGTAGTAAGCAGACACGGCCTGTTCCAGGCATGGATTATTCACGATAGCGGAGGCAAGCTCGACACTATCCAAGAGGGCGTGGTTGCCCCCTTCGCCACCGAAAATCGGCATCGCATGCCACGAGTCCCCAGCAAAGACAATGCCCTGCTTGGCGCCTTTCCTGGCATCTTCGGTAGACATGTAGACGCATCGGCTAACCCAGTGAAATACTGAATGTTGCTTCATAGTCTCCGGGTTGACGTACCTGGCCCACGGTTCCGCAAGTTTGAGCGACGAGAGTTCTTCCACCAGCGACTGAGGGATATCGGTGGACATGTCGTGGGACTTGGCATCCTTGTCAAATAGAACATCCTTGGGGCCACGAGCTGGCCTCGAGTACGACCAGTCTAGATAGACCTTGGACTTTGTCATGTTGCAAATCGTGATGGGGGTATTGAAGCCGTCACCAACACCTGCTAAAATGTTTGAACCATTGGCCAAAGGATTGATGTACTGATCAAACTCCTGGCGCGGCATATGGAATTCGCCGTGGTAGACGACAACAGGAATGACTTCGGGAGCAATATGAGGAAGAATCTGACATCTAGCTGCGCCGGCGTATAAGAAACGTTGCCAACTTGTCCAGGGGCGAAGAAACCACTCTAGATTACTTACCTGCAGAATGCACTCCGTCAGCAGCAATGATCAAGGAACCGGTATACTGGGCTCCATTTTCAAACACAGCCGTCATGTTTCCGGGTGTGCCGCATACGTTCTTGAGCTTGTGCCCGTATCGCACATCCAGCTCATCGTCGCCGCAGTCGGCAATCCATGCCCGCAAGGCATTGCGATTCGCTCGCATTACCACTGGCCTGTTTTTCTCAGGTGGTGCGACAAGCACCTGGCCAGTTGAGTTATCACGCATACACAAATCGACCCATCCGGTACCGCCGACGTGTCGATCCGGGGCGACGGCTTTGGCCATGCTCTTGAGGGATACTCCGCCGAGACCTTCGAGAAGGGCCATGTAACCCCAGTCGTGCAAGCTAATGGCGAAGCCTTGACTGCGCTCTGGAGGTGAAGACTCAAAGATGATATTCGGAACGCCGTGGTTTGTCAAAATTCGTCCGGTAGCAAGGCCCGATAGACCTGCTCCTATTATCAGGATGGGAGTGACCGGTTTGTTTGCCGCCATTTTGCGCCGATGAATTGACAGTCCGTAGCTCGACAGCCTCAATGGGAACCAGATACGCTAAGTGTTTCTCCAGATCGATGCCGACAGCGCCTTGGATATTTCACATATTTAGGCCATGTGATGAACCACCACATTGAGCACGCAGTTGGCATCACACAAAATAGCTGACCAGGCCTCCACCAATACTAGCTGTCATGGTGTCCATATTCACATCGACGGTTTTTATGGCTTGTCGATCCGATTGGTCCGTCGCATACTACCAAGGAATCTCATCGTTCTTCGCAAGGCTGCAGGATTGCTCAGTGCTGGTTCTTAAAAGCCGAGTGGTGGTGGTTCGACGAAAGTAACATTCGTTGCGCAATGGTCCAATTTTCCCCAACACTGGCGTCAGCGCCAGCGCTGAGAACCATCAATTGCATTCAAACATAGAAATAGTATAATGAGAAGCGAATATGCCTGACAGCAATGACAATATTTTGCTGCCAATATCGTCACAGCCCGCTCTGTAGTTTGCGCGAAATGACTTGGTGTTTTCAGACGGGAAATAATGGAAAGTCGGTCGACGACGCGTGGGCTCATGCAACGTTCTGTTGGTCAAGGAAGGAGCACAGTGCACACCGGGTGGCAGGTACTCACTGCTGACTCATCCTTCCTCAGATCGGTGGTGCAGAAATAATCTTGGGCGCGCACGAATCTCTTGCTTTGCAAGTACTCCGTAAGCCAGTGACAATTCCATCTCGCGTCTAGCCTGGCATCGGCATCATGTCTTTTGAAAGACAGTCGGCCTTGAATCGCAGGGTCCATACTGTGGTCGAAGACCCGAGCTTGTCGCCTTTGTCGTAAGAGGAACGCTCTTCGACAATGCCACAACCACTTGCCATAGCCCCTGCTCCGGGAAAGTCTCCGTCTATGGAAGTCGGCATCGCCTCAACTCCGGATTCTGAGGCAATGCATTTCAACTGCCAGTCGTGTGTTCGCAAAAAGGTCAAATGCAACAGGGCCTTGCCCGTTTGCTCTAGGTGTCACAAGGGCAAACTCGAGTGTACATATCTTGCTCCACCGCCAAGGAAAAGAAGAAGAAAGCACGATGAGGATCCGAGTCAACGCCTGGCTAGATATGAGAGCATTTTGCGAGCTCATGGCCTCCTACAGGCAGCGTCGGTGTCATCTTCTCCCAGCGAAGATGTGCCAGCTCAGCGTAGCAACCATGGAGTAACTGAAGTTTTGTCCAACAAACAAGGTCCAGCCGAGGTCGGCAAGCTGGTTTCGGCGGATGGTAGGTCTCGCTACATTGATAGTGTTCTTCTTCTTCCGGCTGGAGATGGAGATTTGTGTGAACTATCAGATTCGGACTCGGAGGCTGATCAGGATCACGCCAAAACTCCGACAAGAGACCAAAGTGCATCCGGTAGTCTAGGCTTCTTAGCAGGGGAAGCTATTCCGTTGGCTATGTTTGGACATCATCAAAGTCTAGCAGCTATCCATCCAACTCGCGATGAGGCCTTGACCCTCTGGAACGTCTATGTTCAAAATGTCGAGTCTCTGTGCAAAATTCTTCACACTCCTACTGTTGGACAGATGGTCGATGCGATCTCTCGGAAGCCTGATTCAGTCTCAAAAGGGGATGAATGCCTAATTTTCGGCATTTACTACCTTGCCGTGTTCTCCTTGCCGGATGCCGACTGTTTGCAGACATTCCATGCGCCGAAACACGATCTTATCACAAAGTACCGCGGTGCTGTGCTTCAAGCACTAGTCAATGCGTCATGGTTGAAGACCACTTCGTTGCGTGTGCTACAGGCCTATGTCATGTTCCTTGTGGCGGCACGCAGTCAGGTCGACCCGCACACATTCTGGAGCCTGACAGGAATCGCTATCCGACTCGCGCAGCGTATGGGACTACATCGTGACGGGGAAAATCTTGGTCTTCCGCCTTTTGAGGTCCAAATACGCCGTCGACTATTTTGGCAGCTACTCCCTCTTGACACCTATGCTGGCCAGGTTTCGGGGACGGGCATTTCGATAGCTCCAGACAGCTGGGATACCAAGCAGCCATTAAACATCAACGATGACCAAATTTACCCTGGAATGTCTGAGAGACCAGAAGAAAAGAATGGGGCCACAGAAATGATTTTCAGCCTCGCAAGGATAGAACTGTCCAGCTTTTACGCCAAAACGGGTGTCAAGTTGAAGGGCGCGGCGGTATCTTTCAGAAACTCGGAGGATTTCGAAAAGTTGATCAATGACGTCGAGGGCTCAATAGAGATAAAGTACCTTCGGTACTGTGATATCTTGAACCCTCTACACCTTTTAACGCTCGGGGTCGTACGGTCAGCTGCGAATATTGTCCGTTTGCGCAACCGAATGACACCAGTAATGGATAAGACCGTGACGGACCTTGAGAGAACCGAGCTTTGCGCTCTTTCGGAAAGAATTCTTGAGACGGATAGTACTATTTACCGAAACCCGTCCTTGAAGAAGTTCCAGTGGCAAGTGAAGAATTTTTTCCTCTGGGATGCACTTCTCTGTATTCTACTCAGCATCACGAAATCTGGCTTTTACAAAGGAGCGGAGTTGGACAAAATGTGGAATTTGGTCGGGGAGGTCTTCGCAAACCATGGGGATCTGCTGGAGAGAAAGAGAGTCTTGCATTCCATGATCTGTGAGGTCACATTAAAGGCTTGGCAAGCGAACCCTCCCAGGCAGCATGGACCTGAACCTTCCTTCATATCGTCTCTCCAAAGCCAGCCTAAACGCAAGCTCAGGACGCAGCAAGACGCGGCCGGTGAAACCGCCAGTGAAGTAGATAGTAGTCATGATGCGATAGAGGATGCTTCTACGCTCGATGGGCTCTTCGGCAACATTGACGGTACGAATCTGATGATGGAAAGCAGTTTGAAGTCGAACTCGTCAGATTGGTTGTTCTGGGATCAATTCTATCGCGATACAAATCTTTGTTGAGTGACCAAGGCTTCGGCGTCGTGTCGCCGGTGCTAGGCGCCGTCACCTGAGGCTCGACGGTATATGCGGAACGTGTTTACTAGTCGGGTGCCTTGAGTCATAGGAAAATTGCAAAAAGTCGACTCCTACATACTGGAGTATGAGGCGGAAAGCTAGTAAATCAACGCATGCGGCCATTTCACTGATATCAGGATGAGAATCACAATCACAATACGAGACATTTTGTCAGCTCCATATTGTCGGGCTTAGGGCGGCAGTACCACGTCGGGTTTTGCACTCGAGAGTTGTTGCTAAGCCGGAAACTGTTTCAGTCACGATTCAACATCGGATTTAGAGGTGAAGGTTGTGGCGAAATGGAAAAGCCGGACATGCTATGTCTGAGCCGTGGAACTGGCCTATCTCATGTCGTTGTCCTCGGAGTTTTACGACATTCCTGATTGCAAGCCTTTGTATTTTGTCCGTCAAAACATGAGCCAATTTGTTTAGTTTTGGGACAGAAAAGACTCCAAACTGATCCTTTCACAAAAGGGCCCCTGGTTGATTGAACCGTTGCCACCAGACAGAAAGGCGCTGACCAAGCATCATGGAGAAGTACGAACCAAGGACTGGACCTCTTCCGGGATTCGATGCAATTCGCATCAAAGTGAACCGTTTCATCGGGAAATTCCAAGCGTACATCCAGTTTTGTGTGGCAAGTTTCCCAAAAGAAAAGAAGCTAGTATATTCTACAGCATCCACCGAGGATGAAGTCAGAAGCGTCTCCAGCGAACAAGAAGATGAGCTTCTCTGGTGCCCTCCGTCACCAAGGACTAGTCAGATGTGGGACTTCCTGACGAGAATAAACACCAAATATGGGCAACGCTTCACCACGTACAAGGAACTACATGCCTGGAGCACAGAACAGACCTCCGACTTCTGGCGCGAAGCGTGGGACTACTGCGGTATTCGACACTCGCGACCCTACAAGCAAGTGGTAGATGATGCGTCACGAATGTGGCCAAGGCCAACATGGTTCAAAGATGCGCGTCTGAACTTTGCTGAGAACCTACTATTCCCCCCGCAGCCTGTCTCGGAAGATGACATTGCTGTAATCAGCGTCACGGAAACGCAACGAGATAGCCTTACGTGGAAGGAGCTACGAAAGCGAGTGCACCAGTGCCACGCAGCCATGAAGGCAATGAACATAAAGCCAGGAGACAGAGTCGCTGGCTACGTTGCGAACCACAGCAGCGCATTAGTAGCCATGTTGGCTACGACGTCTCTTGGAGCGATTTGGACGGCTGTCAGCCCGGACACCGGAGTCACGGCAACGTTGGATCGGCTTCTTCAGATAGAGCCTTGCTTACTATTTGCCGACAACGCAGTGGCTTACAATGGAAAGGCATACCCGGTTCTGCCCAAGTTGCGCGACATCGTTCGCTCCCTGCCGACCTTGGCGGCTGCCGTCATCCTGCAAACCTGGCACCAACAGGAGGAGCCTGGTTGCGCTGAGCTCGACGCCAGAGTTCTCAGCTTTGATGCATTCATATCTAATGGAGATGTGTCTCGCAGCATGGAGTTTGCCCAAATGCCGGCAGAACATGCCGTCTTTGTCCTCTACAGCTCCGGCACCACGGGGGCGCCAAAGTGCATCGTCCACGGCGCCATCGGCACCCTTCTTCAACACAAGAAGGAGCACGTTATCCAGAGCGACATCAGGCCGGGGGACCGTCTCTTGTACATCACAACATGCATGTGGATGATGTGGCATTGGTGCGTGTCGGGCCTCGCATCCGGTGCCACAGTCGTCCTATACAACGGGTCTCCCTTTTATTACGTGAACGGAGATGATGCAGTCAGAGACGAGCTGGCCATGCCCAAGATGATTGATGAATTGCACATCAACCAATTTGGTGCGAGTGCCAGGTTCTTCTCCATGTTGCAGCAGAACCGGCTCATGCCCAAAGACCAGGGCATGAAGCTCAGTACGTTGAAGGCGATTTACTCGACCGGGTCGCCGCTCGCGCCGTCCACGTTCAGATACATTTACGAAGCGTTTGGACGTGTGAATCTGGCGTCAATATCCGGCGGCACAGATATCATATCTGATTTCGGCACGCCGTCACCGCTCTCTCCCGTGTACGCAGGAGAGATCCAGGCCATTGCTCTCGGGATGGCAGTTCAATCATGGGGTCCAGGGGGCCACAATCTAACTGGTTCCGGGGAGCCGGGCGAACTCGTCTGCGTGAAGCCATTTCCGTCCCAGCCGGTAAGCCAACCACCATACCACACACTCTGATCCGAAGCTGACGTGGCTCAAGGTCCAATTCTGGGGACCAGACGGAGAGTCGAAATACAAGGCTTCGTATTTTGACCGATTCCCAGGAGTATGGGCTCACGGCGACTACGTTCGCATAAACCCTCGAACGGGCGGGCTCGTCATGCTCGGCCGATCTGACGGAGTGCTCAACCCCAGCGGTGTACGATTCGGAAGCGCGGAGATATACAACTTGATCCTGAAGAAATTCCCAGAGACTGTGGAGGATTCGCTGTGCATTGGACGCCGCAGGGAAGGAGACATGGACGAGACAGTCATTCTCTTCTTGAAGATGCGACGGCGTGACTCGTTTGGTCCAGAACTTGAGGCAGCAGTGAAGGGGGCCATTCGGGGGGAACTTTCGCCCCGGCATGTCCCGGCCATTGTGGCCGAGTGCCCAGACATTCCCGTCACGGCGAACGGGAAAAAGGTCGAAGTCCTGGTCAAGAGGATCATGAGCGGACCAGGGGCGGCGCTCGGTCGACGCTCCGGGACCGTGAATGAGGATTGTCTACTCTGGTACAAGGAGTGGGCAGAGAAACATTGATGTCAGCATTCGAAGCCCATATACTATTAAGAGAGCAAATGACCAACACGTCACGTAGTCGTGAACGCAGGCAAGAGGCCCTTTTGAGTCCCAATAACGCGGTCCAATGTGTACAAACTATAGCCGGCCCAGGTTTGGCCACGCGAGCGACGTGCCAAGTTGCAGTCTGAGCACGTTGCGGAAGGATACCCGGTAGCCCGAATCTTTGCAAGGCTTTAGATACATGGCTTGCGTCCAAAGCAGAGCTTGTTAAAACATGTAGAAGCATGGCTTCAATAGTTGTTCATTCGTTAACCCGAGCCCTCAAGTCGGGGGATACTCCCAGTATAAGTTACTACTCACTGCCCATAACCCAAATTCGAGATGGGCCTCCAACAAGCCCCAAAATCGCCCTCAATTTTCGCCAGGTTTCAAGTCTGGGTCCGGGACAATGGGAGGCCAAAAGCACGCACCAAGAGCGAGTTCAGCCAAGGGCATCGCGTGCAGGCGCAGATGCTGCGGTACATCCATGCATGCTTTGTGTTCAGAGGGCAAAAATGCGCCCCGGAATGCGTACAGAATGACGGCAGCCGTGGGATACGCTCTTTGGAACCAGAGCTCTCGAGGCAAGTCAGTGTGCTCGCGTCCCCGGGATGGAATCTCTCCGAGCCCGCTGAAGCGCCGATTACACATGTCACGCACAAGCAGTCGATCATCTCCTGGCCAGTCGTGCCACTGGAACAATCTATACACAATCCGTCACTCTATACACGTTGGCGAGCACCAGCGACTTGCAGTCTCTACTTGACATCGCCCCGGGCGCCGTTTCGCTTCAGCCACGCATCAACACGTTGGAAGCCGCACCGGCAAACCTCAGCAGTTTTGATCAATCCATTCCCTGACCTCGCCGATGGTGGGACATTCCAGAAACAGGGAGCTCTTGACGTCGATCCCGAGTTCATTACGAAACTTCTCCGAGAGGACCAGGGACATGAGGGAGTCGACGCCGAGCTGGGCAAAGGTAGCGTCCGGCGTCAGCTCGCTCATGTCGAGGTTGGTCTCGCGAGCAATGATTTGAATGCACTGGCCCACCACACCTGCGTCCAAATCTGCCGCGTCTGGGGGCGTGAGAATCTCGGGGCTGGCGTCGCTGGTGCTGGACGAGGACGGAATCGACTCCTCGGCCCGCGCAGCTGCCTCGGGAGCCGCGGGAGCTGGCTTGCGCGCAGGTCCAGCAGCTTTAGGGGGTGCAATTGCCGCATCTTTCTTGGGACGGGGGGCGGCGGGAGGCGTCTTCTCGGCAGCGTCGCCGCTCCCGGCCTTGTTCGAAGCAGGGGGGGAGAAGAAGCGGTCCATCAGGAGCCGGGGCACACGGCGGAAGCGGATCTGGCTCAGGACGCCGACGATGATGTCGTCCTGCAAGATGTACACGTCGCCGGCGTGCATGTTTCCGGCCTTGGCCGGGAGCGGGAACATGCGGACGTAGCTCTTGTATCTCCCACCTGCCTGCAGGGGCTTGAGGAGGCGCAGACTGTCACTGCCGGGCGTGACGTAGAAGTAGTCTTCGGTGTCTGACGCATCGCTGCCGTTCATGATGAGGCCGGCGAGGTGGCAGACGCTGTCGATCCAGTGAGGAGGTGTGTGCCAGGTGCCGTGACGATCGTTGACGAGGGTCACGTCGGCCACGGCCTCGTATTCGTGGAGGATCATGCTGTCGATGCCGCGGTACTGCTCCGAGTAGTCTACCACGTTCTTGAACAGGGTGTACGCCATACGCTTGGAGATGCGGTTGGCCTTGTTGTCGTTGGCGAGTTGCTGGAGAGCCTCGATCCGCCCGAGAACCAGGTGTGTGGAACGATTCCACTCGGCCGTCCAGCTTGCCGCGTCCTCGAACCGCACTCCGGCGGTTGCGAAGTGCTCGGCCTCGCGCTCTGCCGTGTCCGGGTTGACGTTGAACCAGGCAAGCGACATGTACTGCTTGTCCAGGTCCAGATCGGCTTCGAGGGCGAGGGGCTGCCAGGCGCCTTTGACTTTGCTGGCGACCTGGGCGTGGAGGACCTCGAGATTGCAGACGTTCATGTGTACGTCCTTGACTTGTGGCTGCAGCTTCTTGTACAGATATTCGCCGACAGCCAAGGCCATGTCTGTCCAGATGGATGACGTCGCAACTCCGCACCTGTTCATGGTGTGACCGTACACGGCTTCGCGGAATTCCGGATGCTGCATGTCCGAAAGTGTGTGTAGACGTGCTCCGGCATCCCCGATGACCTCATTCGTGATCTGGTGAATGGTCGAGGTCCGAAGCCCGGACGAAGCAGATGCCGGGCCGACACGACTGTTTCCCGGCCGGGCTCCATGCTTGAGATGGGCCTTGTCTAGAGTCCATGTGCCGTAGTACGGGATCCAGTAGTTTGTCTCATTCCAAGAGTACTTGGGAAGGTTGAGCAAAGCGTAGGCCTTCTCGTTGGCTCTATAGTACTCGCTCCAGTGAGGCGTGATGCCGGCGAGATGAAGGGTAACCAAAGTCTTGGCGACGGTGGCCATGCTGCCCTCGTTGCGTCGGCAAGACGATCCGGTCCTTGCCTGTGGGATGAGCTTCTTGACGAAGCCGACACAGACAGGGTGAGGACCGACGTCGATCCAGATCGTGTTCTCGTCGACGACGCCAAGGTCCCGAGCCGCCTCGGTTGCTGCCGCAAACTTGACGCAATTACGAGTCTGACGTCTCAGGTAACCGGCGGCGATTGTCTTCCCGTCAAAGACAACAGCCCCGAGCATGGTGGAGAGAACGGGAATGCTGGGGGCCTTGAAGGGAACCGTCCGGGCCAGAGCTTCCAGCTCGTCGACTACAGCGTCCATCTGAGACGTGTGGTAAGCAAAGGGGATCTCCAGAGACACGCACTTGAATGCATTTGCCTCGAGAGCCTTGCGGATGGCGTCGATGTCAGCCCTCAAAGCCCCGAGCACCGTGTCCGTGTGTGTGTTCTGGCACGAAACCTCGTACCGGATAGCTTCAGTCTCGGCATCGCTCTTCAACACCCTGTCAATCTCGTCAGGGGCTCCCAGGACCGAGAGCATGGCGTGGCTGTGGGCGCTGCAGCGCTTCTCGGTAATCTGTGCGCGGCGGCCGACGAGATAGAGGGCATCGGCGGCAGACAGAACGCCGGCGACGGCGAGAGCAGCATATTCACCAAGGCTGTGGCCGATCACGGCACTTGGCTTCACTCCCATGTATGCCCAGAACCGGGCGAGAGAAATCTCCAGGACAACAATGCTGAGCTGGCTGATGACGGGGGACAAGACCTCATCGTCGTCGCTACCGGCAATGGCAGGGGTAACGGACGGGAAACCAAGCCGCTGGACGAGCTGGTCGAGCTGCCGGACCTGGTCGCGGAAATACGGCATCTCGTCAAGCAGGTCTTGCCGGATGCCCTTGTAGGAAGCACCTTGGCCGGTGAATGTGAGCACGACCGAGGGGGGACTTGGCGGGATGGGCTTGGCTTCGGATGCGGCCTTGTTTTCCACGGCAGCACCAAGGAATTTCCGAAGCCCAGAGATGCTCGAAACCGTGGTGGCAACGCGCAAGCTGTGGTGCATGCGTCTCGCGCAAGTGGTGTAGGACAAATCAGCCACATCGACGCCCGGGTTCTTCTCCAGAAAGGCCAGGAGAGCCTGGACGTTGGCCTGCAGCGACTTCTTGCTTCTGGCCGAGACGACAATTGGGTGCAGAGCACGCCCGTCTGCGCTCTCGGGGCTGGCGCGAGGTCTGTGTCTCTCCGGGGCATCTTCGAGGAGCAGCGTGGTGTTGCCGCCGTGGGCGCCAAACGAGTTTACCATGGCAATACGCTTCTTTCCTTGCGGCCGAGGCCAGGCCGTCATTTTCATGGCCAGACCGGCGTTTCTTCGATCAAGGTCCTTTGGTATCGTGGGATTGATGTGTGTTTTGATGCCAACGTGGGGAGGAACGGCACTCTTCTGGAAGCTCAGGAGAACCTTGATGAGTGAGGAAATGCCGGCAGCTGCTTCTCCGTGGCCGATATTACTCTTGACTGCTCCGAGGAGGAGCTTCTGATCTGCACGCCGGCGAGGCTTGGTCGGGGCAAAGACGTCCAGAACGGACTCCGACTCAATCGCGTCGCCGGCCTGAGTTCCGGTGCCGTGCATCTCAACAAAGCTGACGTCGAGCGGATTCACCCCAGCTCTCTGAAGAGCGCGACGATAGTTGTCCTTTTGGTGTCCGGCATGTGGGTGTGTTATCGAGATGGCATCTGCGCAGTGATTAGTCGCGGCAGACAGCACGACGGCGAGGATGTTGTCATTGTCAGCCTCGGCATCCTCCAAACGTTTGATGACGATGGATCCGATGCCCTCGGCTCTGCAGTATCCGTCGGCGTCCTTGTCCCAAACTTTGCACTGTCCCGTCTTGGACAAGAAGTGGGCGTTGCCCAGACCTGCATAGTTGTCCGGGTCGGTGATGATGTTTACGCCCCCAGCAATAGCGGTGTCCGTCTCGCCGGCCCAGAGAGACATGCAGGCCTGGTGAACTGCAGCCATGGAGCTGGAGCAAGCTGTGTCGACGCAGAAGGATGGCCCGGCAAACTTGAAGAAGTAGTTTATACGTCCCGTCGTGAAGCCTCGGACACCTCCCGGGACGGCATACGTGCCAATGTTCTGCGAAGCATTGAGCTCTCGCCAGTCATCGCTCGCTTGGCCGTAGAAGGTTCCGACACGCTCGCGACGAGTCGAGGCGGTACGGCCAGGAACTAGGCCAGCCATCTCCATGGCTTCGTATGCCGTTGTGAGGGCAAGGCGCTGCATGGGATCTGTCTGTTCAGCCTTGATGCCGCTTGTTAGTACCGCAGCCGGGCTGGAACATGGTCAACGCAACGCATGAATAACACACCTCTCTTGGAGACATGGTGAAAAACCCCGCATCGAAGAAGCCAGGGCGGTCGATAAAGTTGCCGAAGGGTGTGGTCGCGGCGTTCTCAGTGTTGCCAGAAGGATCGTAATGGGTCTCAAGATCAAACCGATCCGCAGGAACCGTGGTGTGGACGTCACGGCCTTGCTCGAGCAATTCCCAAAACAGTTCCGGGTCATTACCTCCGCCGGGCATACGGCACGCCATGCCGACGACGGCAAGTTTGGCGTTTCCGACACTGCTTGCCCGTCGAGTTCCAAAGTCTTGATGAACCCAGTTGACCATGTCGCTCTTCGAGATTCGAATGCCGGGGAGCGTCTTTTCGAGAGTCTCCAGGATGCCCTTGAAGACAATGGAGGTGCGGAACGTGTCGATTCGCAACGCTCGAGGACCAGAACCGGAGTCGACATGGTGGACTATACCCCCAGTCACCTCGTCGAGATGGATGGTTCCAGTAATCAACTCGGCGGCAATCTCTGGCAGCAGCTGACCAGCCGTGGTGGCCAGAAACGGTTTACCAGTCTTGGAGGAAATAAGGGGAAGCTGTAGCTTCCGTGACAAGGCAACAAGAGAGTTCTCGCTGTCGACGACGGCGTCGATGTCATCCTTCCCGTACAGGTGCTCGGCGTGGCAAAGGCCATCGTAGACGGGCAGAGGCAGAGACTTGGAGTATCGGAAGCTGCTTGAATGCTGGAAAGCAGCCTTGATGCGAGACGGCGGCCCGCTCAGACTGACCGACACCTTGTCGGCGGCGCTGATGAAGACTTTTGAGATTTCGGGATTGCCGAGCTCTCCGTTGATCCTTGACAGCTCTTCGTTTGCGGATTCTTCAGACATGCCCGTGATGACGTGGGCCCAACTCTCGAGGATCCCGTCTGGCTGCGGTGCTTCCAGCTTGCTGCTGAACTCGCCAACGTAGACGCCTAGCCGAAAGGAAACTCGCAAGCACTCTGCGGCGTTCTTGACCACCTCTGCGAGAGACGCAGAGAGGGCCACGGCCGCGCCGGAGAAGAGACCGACGCTGAGGCCGGCCAGGGAAGTCCGGTCCTTGTGCAGATCCAGCTCTGCGTCCGTCGCTTCGTAGTGCCTGCTTTGCGTCAGTTTCGGGCTTGGAGTTCGCCGAGAGGGGAAGGGGACGGTACCCAATGAACAAGCCGATCTGGAGCACAATCAGCAGAGCACTCTCCATCGCGGCTCCAAGTCCGAGTTCTCGAAGGTATCCATTTTCCGCAAGGGTAACGATGTTGTCAAAGTGAGGGACTTGGCTTCTTGTGTTGTGGGGGAGTTTTGCAACTTCCTCCTGGAGGACAAGAGTGGCCTCGTCAAGAAATGCAGAGAGCGAGCGGAATCTACGGTCTTTACTGTGCTGGAGTAGTTTGCGGAACAAGTCGTTCAGGTCATCGCTGGGGAACTCGTTCCCAAAGTAAACAAGCCTTGCTTGGGAGACGTCCGCCATGCTGCTATCGATAGGACCAAAGCTGTCGACGGTGATGATGGTTCGGCATGTGTCGTCCAGCAGAACTTGCCTTTGGTTGACTCGCACTCCGGTTCCTCTGCAACGCAACGCAAGGGGAGGCTATCAAGGGTGGTGTGCCGGTGTAGAGTTTGTGGAAAAGGGGCGACGAACGGGCTGCGCATGCCTGTCCAGATGATGGACAGGATTGGTTCAAATAATATATATACCATCGAGTTCTGAGTTCCGCCGTTGCTCCGAAGTCACACGTGGCGATTATGGCGACACGGTTTTTGGGATAGCATCAGAAGCGGACGTGCCCTTCGCCCGCAAACAAATCTCCCCTGCCGGACGGATTCAGGAGGTTGGCCAATGGGAAAACTACCACAGGTTACACGGCGATAGGGTATAGCATGGGCGACATCGTGTAAGTCGTATTTCTGCATGGCTGGAGTTGCAAAACCCGACACAAGACTTTCCATCCCCAGACAAAAGCCGACGAGACTGGAGTTGGGCGGCACACGAGCTGGTGCCCCTGGCAAGCAAGCATTCCATGTGGCACAAACTCCGCGGCAATCTTTCACAGCAAGGCCGCAGGTCAACAAGCGTTCCCATGCAAGTCCCGCCTCCGGACAAGAGGAATGCATTGTGCTGCCGGGGCTAAAGCCGACGACCAAAGTACACGGAGCTGATCAACTTCATCGTGCCACTTTGAGATGAAATCAAAAGTCGCCAACATGATATAAAAGCCGGATTGGATCATTCGGCGAGCTGTTCAATGCCCAAAGCAGGTGGTAAACCGGAGGCTCCCTGTCGAGGGGTATAAATGAATGACGATCCTTCACCAGCGTTCCCTTGGCAATTGACCGGCTTCGTCTCATCCGCCGTTTCTGACTCCTGTTTCAAATACCATAGACTTGGCTTCCCTGAAATGGACGCATCGACCGAGCCAATGCCATCCCTCGAGGCACGTCTCAGTGTCATCGACTGGAGCCGACTCCAGGGCAACGACGCCGGCGAGAGGAACAAACTCGTCGCGGCATGCGAGGATCAAGGCTTCTTCTACCTCGATCTGAGCTGCGACGAGGCCTTTTTGAAAGATTGGCAAGGTGTCCTCGACTTCATGGCAGAGTACTTTCATCAGGACGTAGGCGACAAGATGAAGGACGATCGTAAGAGCGACACGCACGGGTAAGTTGCCAAACTGCAAGACGCGGTCAACAAGAAGACACAGCTAAACCTTGTGGGAATAGATACGAGCCGGTCGCAACCTCAACCGGCGCAGACGGAAATCAGCTCGACTACTACGAGTCCCTCAAGGTATGACCCGGCAAGTCTCAAGCTCAACCGGATAACCTTGCCAACTAGCCGGCATCCAGGCCTCCAGGGATGAGTTGCTGCGACGAGATGGCCGTCTCGCGCCGTCCATCAAAGAAAACCACGAGCTCTTGCTGCGCTTCACCAGCGCCGCGCAGCATGTGTGCATGAGCATCCTCGGCCACCTCGACATTGGTCTCGACGGCGACACGTCCTCCAAGCTGGTCGACTTCCACCGACAGGGACGGGAATCTCTCACGACGCTCTCCATGTTTCGCTACCCCAAGCAGGACACCTTCGCCCTCGGCGTCGGCCACAACAAGCACACCGACATTGGCACCTTGACTTTCCTCCTCTGCCGGCAGTGGGGACTCCAAGTGCTGTCCAAGGAGCCCGCCGGATGGCGGTTCGTCGCTCCCATGCCGCGCCATGCCATCATCAACGTCGGTGATACTCTGCGCTTCCTCTCCGGCAACCGGCTGCGCTCGGCCGTCCACAAAGTCACTCCCACCCGGGGGCTTCAGCACGAAGACCGTTACAGCATTGCCTACTTCTTGAGAGCGGAGAACGACATCCACTTTACCGACAGTGTCGGGCGCCGAATCTCGGCAAAGCAATGGCATGATGAGAAGTTTGACGTGTTCAGGGAGACGCACGAGAAGCAGGCGCAGATGCCCATCTTGACAGGCGGCATGGAGCGGATGGAAAGCATTGTAGTTTAGGTAACGGTCGTGTAAAGGGGGACTTGCTTGCAGGCTCATTGTTTTTTCATCTCTTGTTTCCCCTTCCGAATTCGAGAGTTTCGGCTGTAGTTTTTGGCTCCGTCACCCGTCAAATACACTGACCAGATTACACGCCAACGACGTAGAATCACATTTGTTGAGGAAATCTCGCATGTACAGCAGGGGGGTCGAGCAAAGCCATAGAAATGGTCACATGTCTGTTTCGCTTCACCATCTATCTATCTACACGCAAAGTCCAGGCTTGGCGAATACACACACGACCACAGACAAGACAATGCCGTCCCCCAATGTCTCATCGACTACTCGGTCCAGACAAGACAGCTCCTAAAAAGGTCCTCCAGCCGGCGGATCGCCTCCTCTCCAATTTGGTAGTGGACGACCAGGCGCCGCCCCATGAGCTTGAGCCCGAAGGCCTCGCCCTTGTCGACAAATTCCTGCTCGCTCATCCCTGCAGCGTCGACGTCCAGCCAGACCATGTTCGTCTCGACCGGGTAAAGCAGCCTGCCGCCATGTCCCTCCCACACGCGGGCAATCTGTCTCGCGCGCGCGTGCGCCCCTTCCAGCTTGCGCCCCAGAAAGGTATCCTCGACGGCGACTCGGGCTGCGGAACACACAACTCCCGCCTGGCGCATGCCTCCGCCGATGGACTTGCGCAGCCACCGGGCCCTCTCGCGGAACGCCTGGCTCCCGACGACGATGGACCCGATGGGAGCTCCGAGGCCCTTGGAGAAGCAGAGGCTGATGCTGTCGAAACACGCGCAGTACTCCTCCAAGGACCCTGCTCCGGCTGCCACGGCCTCCCACAGGCGAGCGCCGTCGAGATGCATCAGGACGCCGTGCTCGCGGGCCCAGCTGCTGATTCTCCGACACTCCGAAAGGGGCATGACGACGCCGCCCAGGGGACACTCGAGCGATATCAGCCTCGTCGGGCAGTCCGTCACCAGCGCTCCCCTGTTGAGCTTCCTTGCCAGGTCCTCGAGCGTCAGGTAGCGCCCGTTGGCCGGCTCGACCGTCTGCACCATGGCGCCGCAGAGGCTGGCGACGCCGCCGGCCTCGTGCGTGACCATGTGGCTCCTGTGGTCGCACATGACGCTGTGCGGCGGGCCCTGGAGATGCGTCCTGACGCTGAGGAGGTTGCCCATGGTTCCGCTGACGACAAAGAGACCTGCCTCCTTGCCCGTCAGTTCCGCGACCCAGGACTCGAGCCCCAGCGTCGTGGGATCTTGTCGAAAGTCGTCGTCCAGGAGGGTAGCGGCGGCAATGGCATCGAGCATCCGCGCCGTCGGCGTGGTCATGATGTCGCCTGCGAAATCGTTAACCTTCAACCGCGTACGAGTCGTCTCGTCATGGACCGCGCCATGGTGGGCTTCACAACACACTGCGAAAGTCGAATGCAGCAGGCCCTGGCTGCTCCCAGTTATTCTCCCTTTTCCGGCTGTCCGTCGACGCTGCGTCGCACAGAGTCCCGCAGGTTCTGCCTTTGCCACCCTCTTCGGCCGATGCAGTCGTTGCCGCCATGTTCGTCTGGTCCTGCCCTTCTTCTCGTCTGGTTCAAGATTTGGCGGTGGAAAGTGGTCTGCTGCGGACAAACACACTGCAGATAGTTATATCTGTCAGGTGGCTGGCAAGCTTTTGCTGTTGCTGTCTTCTCCGTCTCTCCGCTCGTCAAACCCCGAAGGCGGTCTTTTGTCTGGTCGGCCCATTTACTCGGACGTCGGGTTTTGATGCTTGATCCAAAAGCCACATGGGAGTGAGACGGGGCGACTTTTGCGAAAGATACTGTTTCAAAAAAGTCTGGGGATCTTCAACAGCCCCAGTTTTCATCTTGGCAACTGTCGCGATCAGCATCGGAACACAAGGCTTTTCGGTCCACGCCCCGGACTCTGGAGTATCACCAACACTGCAAGTCCTCCAGCGGCCCTCAGCGCAAGTATTCGGAAGCAACCGAAGCGGCTTGGCGGCTGGAGCGACAACCTACGTGCCCAGCATCGTGAAACTTGCTGCTGATCGGTGAGGGCACATGGTGGTTGGGTGTTTGCGTATGCACCTTGGGGGCGGCTGAGCTGGGCAGAGGAAGGGAGATGTAAAGTTCACGGTCACGTCGGCAACTCTTGTGAGAGTACTTGGCGCAGCAAGCATTTACGCCACGTACCAAAAGGGCTTCCATTTATCGGCACCAAGTGCAGAAGTAATAGTCGGGCTGTAGAGGATAGGCTGTCGAGACCTTGTGGAATGTTACGCGCCACGGAGTCGAAAGACTTGGAACCAAGACGCCAGTCGGGCGATAGCCAGCATCTTGTACGCCTTAGGCGCCCGCAGCCGCTCGAACTAGTTTGCCCAAGGCCCATGCCGTGCACAGCTTTCGCAGGTGGCGAAGGCGTCGAGTTGGCGCCGAATGCCGGATGCACATCTGCATCTGCCCTTCTCGCCCCCGAGCCTCGCAAAGGCTTCAACGGAACATTCTACCGTCTATAGTCCCTCTGTAAAACTACGTAGACAGTGGCACCTCATGAGTGGCGCCCGGTTCGTGGCAGCGCGGTGCGTACACTACAATCACGCATCGCACGTCTCAGTCCGCCTCCCTTGAAGCCATACACCACGACATCGTCGTGGCACATTTCCACGTATCGGCACCAAAGACCTCTTCTACGAGCTGACAGCACGTCGAGTGACTGTGCGAGTCCGCTTGGCCGTCGTGCAACGGCTCTCTCATGACACCATGTCCGCCCAGGTCGCGGACAACAACTGTCCCGGAGGTTGTTCGTGCAGCAGACTCCGGGTAGAGATCGAAATCAAGCGGCACTACACGTACAAAGTGTACACGCCGGGAAGTCTCATCTGTGGCCATGTGGCGATTCACACACCGTCCGACCTTGTCTTGCACGACATCGACATTGCCTTCATCGGCAGCGCCGCAACCCGAAACTTCGTCCAGCCCGATCCCGTGTGCGCAACCAAGCCGTTTATGAAGCTGAGCATGCCGATAGACAGCGCCTCCTTTCCAGCAGGCCATGTCTTCAAAGCCGGCAGCGTCTACACGGTCCCGTTCCATTTCGTCGTCCCGGCTCAGCTGCTCGCGAGTTCCTGTCGACACCGTTGCAGCAACGCCGCCGTCCGGGAACGCCATTTGCGACTCCCTCCCTCGATGGGATTCTCCCCAGGCAACGACCAGAGCCCCGACGAGGCGAGTATCGTCTACAGCATCATAGCCACCGGCACGAGGTATCTCTCGGAGCCGCCTGTTCCCGTGCGACTGTTCGAAGCGTACAGGACAATCAGGATTCTCCCCACAAGCCCCGAGGACGCACCACTCGACATCGCGGCCGACAACGGTCGGTACGTCCTCTCCAAGACTCAATGTCTCTGGAGGACATTCTTCGCCGGGCGCGAAGGCACGTTGACGGCGTCGGCCTCACAACCCAAGGCCGTGATGCTGTCCGCGGACGAAACAGCGGCGTCACGGTCCCTGGTGCGGCTCACGTTGACCTTCACCCCGGCCTCGTCGGACAATGCTACGCCTCCACGTGTGAAGGCGGTGTCGGCAAAGATGATAACCACTACGTTTTTCGACGTCTCGCCCCTCGGCCGGCTTCCCAGTATCGAAACTTGGGCGAGGAGCGAAGACGCGCCATTCCAGCATTCGACGAGCTACAAGCTGTTTGACGAGCAGGTCGAGGGGCTGCTCGTCTGGACCGAAGATGCCGACGAGACGGCCGAGACGCCCGAGCCCGAGCTGCAGCGACGACGTGCTTCATATCCCGTCGACTCTGGCCGCGCGCCCAACAGACGCGAGACGCTGACTCGCCGCCGCACCAGCGAGCACCAAGGCTCCAGGCCCGCGGCGTGCTTCACATCAGCCATAGACATCCGCTTCAGCATCCCGGGCGATAGGAGCATCTCCTTCCTGCCGTCCTTTGACTCGTGCCTCATCTCACGCGCGTACTGCTTGCGGCTGGCAGTCTCGCTTGGAGCTGCGCACTCGAGCCTCGTCCTGAAACTGCCTCTCCAGATTGGTGTTCAAGGCGCCGTCCCCGAGACATTGCGCGCCGGGGCGGCTGATGACGAGTCGGAAAGGAATAGGACCCGGCACATGGCTGCCGCGCGTTACAACGTATTGCCCGAGTATAGCGTGGTCTTGTAACCTGATGCTACTTGCCACGTCACCATGATGCGGGATCCAGCGTCTCGATCCTTGTCAGGCATGTAGATCACAGCAAACTCCAACCGGAGCATTCGCGAAACCATGGGTGACCAGGCCTAGCATTTGGTCTGTGCAACTCGAAATACCTCCGAATGGCACCTTTCGCTCGACGCCAACTGCAGCAGTCCACACCAACAACCAGTGTCCGGCTGGTTCTCGGTAAGAAGCCGCCTTCGGCACTCGCTCATCTTCGCGCAGAGAGGTCCAGGCTCGGGGCTTTCTCGCCATCTTGATCGCCCTCGAGTGGCGCGGCAGGCGCCACGTTGCCAACATTGGCCACCGGCAGCCGGCGGTGGCATCCGCTCAACAGGCCCGCGCGTCGAGTTTAGTGTATGCCCAGGATTCCAGTGTCACGGCATACCAGATCCCCTGTGCCAGCAGACAGTGCTCACATCGACTACTTGACTGAGAGCTTGCGTCGGGCCGCAACGTTGGCAGACGGCACATAAAGCGCCGACTTCCCCCTCGACGTAAAGAGAAGCGGAGGATCGTCCGACCAGCAACATGCGGCACTTGCTCTGCGCGTCCGCCGCCGCGGGCCGCCGACCGACGGTGGGTTTCGGGACTCAAAATGCGGCGATGTGGAGACGCGCCCCGGTCATCCGGCCGGCCTCCTCCGCGGCTCCTGCCTCCGCACGCGGCCGCAATGCCCGCGCCGGCATGCCCGTCGCCCTGGCACTCGCGTGTGCTGGTGGCTTGGCATACTCGACTCTCCGTCGAGACAACAGCCTGGGCCTTTCTGGCGCAAGCAACGCACCTGCGGGACGACTCGTACGTGACTCCGGTTGGGGAAGAGGCAAAGAGGGCACCGAGCCTGTCTCTCTGCCGTAATCACACGTTACATATTGACATGGAAAAGCAGTCCATTCCAGGCGAAAACGCTTTCCCGACCGTAGGATACTTCAAGTCCCTCGACGAGGAGCCCACAAACGTCGACCATCTCCCAGTCGAGCTGGCCCGACTGGCCACGGCGCCCAACGTCCCGCCCCCCATCACGCGGAAGCATCCCGTGCTTCTTCAGGTGCCCTTGCGGAGCGTGACGCGCCTGTCCCAAGTGACGAGTCAGTACAAGTACGAGGAATGGACCTTCAACGGCACCACGCCGGGACCCTTTATCCGCGCCCGAGTCGGCGACGTGGTGGAACTGTCCCTCACCAACCGCGACGTGACGGGCAACCCGCACAACGTCGACAGCCACGCCTTTGCCGGCCCGGGCGGCGGATCCGCGCTCACCACGGCCGAGGAGAACGAAACGAAAACCGGTAGGTTCAAGCTCCTCTGCCCGGGACTGTACGTGTACCACTGCGCCGCGGCTCCCGTCCCCGTCCACGTGGCCAACGGCATGTACGGCCTCATGTACGTCCAGCCAGAGGAGCAGGACCTGCCCCCCGTCGACAGGGAGTACTACGTCATGCAAAGCGAGATCTACCACGAGGCCCCGGAGCTCGACGACGACGGACGGCCCCTGGGCGTCGTGCAGTTCTCGTACCCCCGAGGCCTGCGCGAGGAGCCCAACGCAGTCGTCTTCAACGGCAAGGAGTCGGCTCTCACCAGAGACGCGCCACTCAAGGCCAAGGTCGGCGAGACGGTGCGCATCTTCTTCGGCAACGCTGGGCCGAACCTCACGAGTGCCTTCCACGTCATCGGCAGCCACTTCCTGAACTGCTACCGTGACGGCGACGTGGTGAGCCCGCCCGCGCGTTTCGTCGGCACGACCAGTGTGCCGCCTGGCGGCACGACCATCGTGGACATGAAGATGGTCGTTCCCGGCAGCTACACCATTGTTGACCATGCCATTTTCCGCGTAGACAAGGGTGCCGTTGGCTTCATCAATGTTTCGGGGCCGCAGAGGCCAGATGTCTATGTGGGAAACCTGCCTCCCCAGCCTTGTGTAGGCTGCAAGCTGCATGCTTGATGGGGGGGGAGACTGTTCTGCCATAGACCTCAGGTCAGACTTGCCGTAGCCAACTCTCCAATTCTGTCACGCGCCACCCGGAGTCAACAATCCAAATACGGCTGAATAGCACAAGAACGAACAAGGTATATAAAAGTATGGTTGTGGTTGATATTGATGCCATACAAACATCGCTACTTACTTGGCAGCTGGCAAGAGACAAACCGGACTTTGAACAGCCCTTCCTGGAATGACTTATGCAAGCTTCAATGGCAAATCTGTCTATTCTTTAAACACTAGTCACTTTGACTCGCGCGTAATAATTCGAGCGCAGCCTTGGCCGACATGCGTTCTGAGGGCAAGAATTTCATCAGACCAGCGATGATCCTTCGCAAGACTGCCAGTCTGCGGTCTGACACATTCCTCAGAAACAGCACATCTAATTTCGAAGTTGCTGCCATGCGCCTGGTAACATAATCTCCCTCCCTTGTGAAACCGTAGCTGGACAGCATCTGGGCCCATGCCGCGTGCTACGCTTCGGGCAGGTCCTCCATAAAGCCTATCATCTGCCGAATGAGCAAGATAGGGGAGAATACGTCCTTGAATGGAACATCACGGAACAACATCATGTATATCTTCATAGCCTTTCATTAGAAGAGATACAAAACAACATCACTAGGGCGACAGGAACTTACAACAATGCCCGCAGACCAGAGATCAATTCGATGGTCACAAATACTTGGGAAGTAAAACTCGGGGGGGAAGTTTTCGGGCGGCAGGGGAAATGTGCTAGGTCTCCCTGAAGCCACCGCTACCGAGCTGTTGACCAAGCGGATGCACTCAATCTCTTCTAGGTGCCAGCCGAAGCTTGGTGATTGCACTATTTGATACGGCAGATCCTGATTCAAATTCTCATCATTTGGTCCGCAAAGGTTGAAGAAGACCATGGGACCTATGACAGGTCTGAGATGGCGCATTTCTCGACGACACTGGGCTGGCAAGGTGAAGACAATGTTGGTGCAGTGAATGTCTAGGATTCGAAGATGTTAGTTGGGAAGCTCCAATTCAACTTCAGAAAAAGCAAGAAAAATACCTCCATAGCCGTAACCCGCCTCATGGATTCTTGAAATTGCGTTCAGTAGCTCGTCGGTCACCATTAATATAACGTCTGTGTTCATTCGGGAGTCTAGGGCGCCACTGTGCTCGAAAATAATAGACTCGAGGGTGGGACCGTACATCTCCATGACAAAACACAAATGTACACCTCGGTGACTCGGTTCCTCAAACACATCGATCATGCGGAGAACATGATAAGTAGTGTTGTGGAGAGAACTGTAGAGGTCTCGCATTGCTTGAACATGGCCCAGATTCCTCGATCTCGCAGCAGTCCAGACTTTCAGAGAGACAAATATATGGTCGTGTATGCTATGTCAAGGTTCAGCCAGCCGGTTCCACAGAGCTTGCCTTGGGGGGTCCATGACAATGCTTACTCGTCGGGGAAGAAATCTTGGGCAATCCATGTGGTGGACCACGAGTCCCAGCCAAGTTTGTTGATGACCTGGTATCGCCCATTTTTCATTGTCTGGTGCAAACGCATGGGATAGTAACCATCGCGACAATAAAATTGAAAGCCTTCGTGAGGCCGCCGTTGGCGATGAAAGCCCTCAGTCTCCCGTGGGCAAGCCATTTGCCAACGACAGGCCTGGAATGACCTGTCCCCATGCACCTGATGTTGAAGTGACCAAGAATGATCTTCCACGGCAGAACGGGAGGTTTGAATGCCAAGTCAGCAGGTAGGTTAAAATTGCCCTCCAAAAATATCGACGAGAGGCCCAGGACGCGCGTATGTACCAAGGGGCCGTGGTTAAGAGATGTATAGAAACTACCAGTAGTCAGTCGACTCATGCCGGAAGAGAGAGGTTCAGTGTCGCCGTCGATGCAACGGATCCAAGCAGCAGGGAGTCGTGACTTGTCCAGTCCAGGTGGGCGAGGCGTCTGCCAGAGGTGGCCTTGCCAAGTCTGAAGACCAGATTCGGGGCCAGTCAACCGGAAAGGAAGTCGCACTTGATCCCGTAATGTCCCTTCTGTCCTTCCTGCCTTCCTCTTGTCTTCAATTCTATTCATACGGCACTTGGCAGCAGCTGGCACGGACTGTCAATGAGTAGTTGGGCCAATAAGCGACGAAAGACGCGCTTGGAAGTTGAAGTTGCCTTCTCGCGTCAAGTAGGAGGGACTGCCCTTCGTCTTCTTCTCAAACTTCTCGACTCCACGGGTGCTGTCTAGACTCTATCGCCACCAGCGCCGAGACATTTTAGCAAAACGTACAACACACGCCAACCGTCGATTCCATCGTTGGACTTTGCGCGCAATCGGGTCTTCGACTGCGCTACGCATAAAAAGCAGTTCCGGGACCTGCTCGTGTTCGAACCAGACCGAAACGGCGAAACGGCGAAACGGCACGCATCAGAACACGACAGGCGCGCGTGAAATGGTTAGAAATTCAACGATTCCCCTGCCGGGTTGGATCTGGAGACGGCATCTGGAGGCGCTACTACTCGGATTCTACTCCGTACCCGCAGCATGCCGCATCATCCGAAGCTTGGCGTCGGGATGCGGCGCCAACCAGAGCAAAGGCGGCCGCAATTTTCGGCAATGCTCTTAGCCAGCAGGTATTTGTTGCGACGAGGCGTTGGGCAAACGAGAGATTCTGTGGGCTGGGCGGCAATCGGCCCTGAAAAGGCTGCTCCCGAGTCCCAATGCAAGCCAAGATGTGGGAATCCAGTCTCGCGCGCCACACTTGTCAGCTCATGAGATTTGACAATTTAACCGATATGCAGTCAGCACCTGGGCTGCATAAGAGGAGGCTTGCATCAACTGGGCACTCCCGCACGAGCAACAATGTCCTTGAGTGCGGCATGCACGGCTGAAAAACCATTGATCCAGGAGAGGAAATTCTCTTCCTCCTCCTCCTCCTCCTCCTCCTCCTCCTCCTCCTCCTCTTCCCGCTTCTTCAAGAATCCTTCATGTCTAGTACTACTCGGTAAGTCACCAACCGCCTCACCAAAGACTCTTGACCTGTCTGTACATGGCTTCCGCTTATCCGTGCACCGTCCTCTCAGCCTAAAAATGTTTCGGAAAGCTCAAACTTCTGTACCCAAGACGGACGAACAGTCGCACGAATACGCCTTGGACTGGCCCCCATCACAGCGCTGGAACCCAGACTATAACGTCCCACGCAACTCTCTTGAAGATGCCCACAGCCTTTCGCAGTCTCCGGCGTGGCCGTCAACTCAGCCCGAGGGCTCGGGGGTTCTTGGCAATCAATCGGTGGATAAGGAAGCTGCACCAAAGAGAGAGGGTGTGCCGCAAGCCAAGGGCAGTCATGATGCCACGGACTCAAAATCCCAGCTGCCTGACTTGTCGCACTGGCTTGAGACACTTTCCGAAATTTATATGAATAACCTAGAGAACCGCGCCCGATGGGATCCGCGCTGGTTGAGCATAACCCGACGTGAACGGCACCGAGGCCTTGCATCCAGCTCAGTTACCATCTTGGACTACCTGAACAACGAACCAAGACCCCTAAAAACGACTGCCGCAGACATAGCTCAATTGTGTGTCGCTTTGCAGGAAAGGCCGAAAGGTTGTTACTTGCGAGTATTAATGGTGAGCGACTTGAGTCGGTTTCTCATGGGTGCCTTGGGACAGCTGTATACTGTTGACCCGGAATTTTGGTTTGACCACCTCACGAACTCTGGCTACGCAGCAAGCGATAGTCAGCTCAAGGTTTCGAGCGCAGTGTGGATGAATTGGGCGGAACGAGAAACTCGCTTTCGCCATCGTTCGCTTCCGGGCATTGGCCAACAAACTCAGTGGAATACCCCAGGTAGGACTAAAAGTCGGAACTGGGGACATATTAGATGGGCGAGATTAGGCTTAATGCATTATTTGGGAAAGAAGGGTTTCAATGAGGACGAGATCGAGTGCCGGCTTGGCGATGGCAGATGGCTTGTCGAACGGGATGTGTTCTTGGACAAGTACGGATTTCTCATGACGCCACACAGACTACTCAGGCACGCTCAGATATCTAAAAGATCACCTCAGACAAAATTACGCGACTTGTACTCAAGGTCCAAAGGCTCCAACATCTATCGCGCGTACAGTACGTTCGACGGCCTGCCCAAGAATGTAACGGCATGGAAAAACCGGGATTTGAGAGTCGTGGCCCCGGAAGGTGCCAGCTACTGGACTGGAACAGACGATCTGGCCCGGCGGATAGGTAAAAGCCACGAGTCTCAGAACTGACGGGGATGTGTTAATAATCTCGTGCAGATATCATTGTCTTGGACCCCCCACGGCGAATGCAGGACGGCATAACGAACGAGGCAATTCCTTCTCTCACCTTTATGCCGAGAGCTATGGAGTTGGAATCGTATACCGACGATGATCTTTGGCGCATGGCCGACGTAGAGGAGACTTTTCTTGATCCTCCACCGCCCCTTGCCTCTAGACAAGAAATGAAAAGGAAACGGAAGGAGGCATCAATCCAGAAAACAAAGAGGGCCAAGGAGTCACGACACAATGAAGGCGCTGATGAAGAATTAGGCATCAGCGCAGCGTCTGGTTCCGAATCTGGTTCCGAATCTGGTTCCGAATCTGGGCTCACCAGTGACGACGAGTATGACCAAGATTACATGAATGAGTTGCGAGCTGAGTACCAGAACCCGAAGCCTCATTCCAGAGATCGCGACTTTGCCAGAAAATACGCACTGTCAACGTCCAAACTAGTGGATCGTCTTCTCACGGCGACGCCGACACAAGCGCTGTTGCGTGATCCGTCGTCCATTCCGGCTCTACTCTACCGACTTGTTCTCGATGACTTTTGGCAGCTTCTAGCGGAGATGCGTTTGCAGCTGGATCATTTGGATAATGATCTAACAGCAACTCTATACGAGCAACTCGTTGAATCAATTGGCAACTCGACGCGGCAAAATCTTACATGGATGCGGTCGACACTGCAAGAATTACGTGACTGGGCTAACCACTTGCAAAAGTCCAGGCTCGCTGTCAAACTCCCCGTCGACATTCAGCAAGAAGTCTCGGAATTGAATGTGGATGTTCAAGATTTGCAGCGTCGAAGCGAGCAGACAATGAACTTACTGGTGTCGTCAATGACACTTGCCCAATCGTCTACTGTCATCGAGCAGACATCTGGCATCAACAAACTCACAGAGCTGGCTTTCTTCTTCATTCCGGTATCTTTCATTACGTCCGTCTTTTCTATGCAAGTCTCGGAGCTCACATCGGCGCCGCCGCGGATCTGGATTTGGGGCCTCTCACTATCAGTCGTCGCCTTGACTACTTACTTGGTCCGAATATCACTGCGATCACCGTCCATCCGCATCGTGCTGTTGCATTTCCGGGCAACAATAATTAATCGTTTTTCCGCACCCGGTGCGGGCACGGCTTCCAGGCGTCTGAACACGGTCGGGAACCGTGCAATTGCCAAGTTCATATTCTTCTTCACGGCTGCCATGACCATGTATTCGATGGTGGTCATTCCCGTCTTGTTCCTTCTCTTCCTTTTATTGGGGGGCCTCTGGCTGGGCATCATGGGCGTCGCCTTGTACTTTGTAGTCACCCGGTGGCCCGAAGCTACGGTTCTAATCCCTTGTTTCATCTCGATTCTGATCTCTCTTGCCGGAATGGCTGCCTGCTGGCACTGGCGCCAAAAGATTTCGGACGGATGTCTGACGGCAATAAATTGGAGTGCTGGGTGGATTAAATCGATGTTCCCAGCACAGTGGACATTGGATGCCGTGGATGATGAGGACTTGGCAAAGGAAGGTATCAACGTATACGCGCGGCAGGCACTCGTGTTAGCAACCTAGGACCAACTGCAAAGGCTTGTCGGATCGTGATTTCAACACGGCAAGGCAGATTTGAGACCAATAAGGAGGGAGGACGGGACACGGCAGCCAAGTCGTGTTGTCGTCTTTGAGATTATTATTTGGGCCTGAATACCAAGCAGTGCTTGGCCACATCTACTCCCTTTTATTCTTGTTCTTGAATCGAAAATTAAACCACCAGATATCTAGAAGGCCTTTCTCGGCCTTTTGATGCCTGTACTTGTCTATGCAGAGTCGTGCCCCATGTCAATCTAGGGATTACGACGAGCGCTTGAAGGAAACAAATGACTTGGCAGTCAGCCCCGGTCCGTTGGATGACTACTACTGCCTGAAAAGACGAGCCAAACGCAGCCGGCTCTCAAAGCACACCAGACCCCCAGGCGTCGTAGAAGGATGCCAAACTCAGCCCGCAGCAAACTTGGACATGGCCCTCAGCTTGGGCCCCCAAACCCAAAACACCACGGGGGCGACCCAGCCGATGCCGATGCTGACAAAGGCTAGAAGACTGGTGCCCCAGCCGTAGCCCAGCTCCTCGTACATGTAGGAGGCGAAGAGGGGGAACGCAAAGCCGGCAAGGCTCCTCAGGACGGCGCAGGCGGCCATGGCGCTCGCCGCGTAGACCTGGTAGCAGTCGACGATGTACATCTGCATGCCCTGCAGGCAGCAGATGACGCCGGCGCCGCACAGCAGGGCGCCGAGGTCGGGCACGATCCAGTGCGCGCGCCCGATGCTCCACGCGTACCAGAACAGGCCGACGGTGAGGAGGACGGACCCGACGGCGAGGCTGGGCAGGCGGAACTCGGGGCGGCCGACGCCGCCGTTGCGGCGCTTGAGCCGGCCGTAGACGCGGTCGACCATGCCGAGCTGCAGCAGGACGCCGGCGATGCACCCGACCGCGATGGAGAGGTAGTTGAGCCCGGCGACGCCGCGGGGCTGGCCGTAGACGCCGGTCCAGACGTCGGGGAACGTGGCGAACATGAGGTACAGCGTGCCGAAGAGGTAGGCCATGTAGACGGCGATGCAGGCGACGATGGGCTGCGTGGCGAACATGCGCACGGGGGTCCCGCCGCCGGCGCAGGAGCGTCGCCGGGTGCGACTCCCGCAGCCACACGAGCCCGACGGCCTGGACCACCGCCGCCGCCGCGCTCGTCGAGTAGAAGACCCATCGCCACGTCGAGTACTGCGCGATGAAGGCGCCGGCGATGGGCCCGACCACCGGCCCCAGCATCGGGGCCATGGTGTACGTGCTCATGGCCTTGCCGCGCTCCTCGGGACTCCACATGTCGCTGCGGCGCGTTCGCCTCCTTGTCAGCCGGGGCCTCGGCGGACGGCTCGGGGGTTGCTTACCTCACGGCGCCGCCGCCCACGGCTAGCGGCGCGCTGCCGCCTATGCCGGCCAGGAAGCGGAAGACGAAGAGCTCGGCCTTGGTGTTCGCGAAGCCGCAGGCCAGGTTCCACACCAGGTACCACAGGTTCGTCGCGTGCAGGATGGCCACTCGCCCGTAGAGCTCGCTCGCGGGGCCGAAGACGATGGGCCCCACGGCGTAGGCGAGGATGAAGATGGACATGGAGAGGTAGACCTCGACGCTGCCCTTCATGTCCAGGCTGCGGCCGAGGTCTTCCAGCGCCGGCGCAATCATGGCGCTCGAGATGGGCGAGACGAAGACGAAGAGGGACACGGTCAGCGTCGTCTTCCACTTGGTAGGCCGGGGCCAGTTGCGCGGGTGCTCGGGGTCTGAGGGCGCCCACGCCACGAGGTTTGCGTCGCCGTCCTTGGGAGAGTCGGTGTCTGTGGTTGCCGCCGACGGCTGCGCGGATTCGATGTCATTGTTTTCGGCCCGCTGCTTGTCCTCCATGGTGGTGCTTGGTCGTGTTGACGGCGCGGGAGAGCTGGCACGGATGTATGGCTGGGCTTCCAGGACATCTTTTGCTCCCAAGGTTGGCCTTGAGCGTGTAAATATATATATATATACTGCTCTTGGGATCAAGTCGGACACGGCTGGGCCATGGGCAACTGCGCGGCGTGGCCAATCAGGGAGCTCTGTGCTTGTTCGGGCCCGAAACACGCGGCGACGGCCGGCGGCTTGGCCAATGGCGTGTAAGATTTGTTCGGCCCCGCGTGTCCGGCGCCCGTCCCGATGGTGGTGCGAGTCAGAAGAGCCGCGGAACCTAATTCCAGAGCGGATCGTGATCGTGTCGGGCGGTTCATGGAAGCCACTGTTCCTCGGCTCCTAGCGAGCCTGTGTCTCCGGTTTCCTCGAGCGACCGAGGCCTCGGCCGCGCTTTTGGATCAACAAGCCCGATTGACTAACCCTAACCCTATCACACATCACCAGGCAGACACATCCATAGCCGCTGCAAGGTTGCACCAAGTCAAGAGCAGGACGTCGTTATATGCACGGGTCTGGGTCTATGTCAAAATCATCAGCTACTACTGGTCTATTTCTCCGTTTTCTTGTTGGCGGCCCTCGCCGCCGCCTTCTCCGCCTCACTCACAATCTCGCCCGCCCGCTTCGCCTTGTCCTCCAAGACCTTGTTCAAATCCTCAACCGTGTCCTTCAGCAGCTGCTCGCCCTCCTCCCTGTGCTTCTCTGCCACTTCCCATACCTTCCTCAACTTGCTCACCACGTCGCCGCCCCGCGGAACCACGTCGAACAGGCCCTCCAGCCCGGCGCTCGACGCCGCCTTCTTCGCCTTGCTCCCGGCCTTGCCAACAACCTCGTCCACATACTCGCGCAGCTCGTCCACACGGCCCGACTTCTCGGCCGAACGCAGCCTCTCAAGCAACTTGGACAGTCCGCCCTTCTTCAACGCCTCCGCATTCTCCTCCAGCAGCGTCCTCACGTTGGGGTTCTTGTCCAGATACGGCGCGACCGTCTCCAAGCCCTTCTTCCACGCCTCGTCCCCCAGACCCTTGACCTGCTGCGTCTTCTGCTGCAGCAACTCCCTCACCTTGGCAAGGCTCTCCTCCGATACGCCGCCGGCCAGAATGCCGCCGGCCTGCCTCCACGCCCGGTCGACCTGCTTCTTGGCCTCGGGGCCGTAGCTCTCCGCCATACCCTTGAGCTCGTCTATGCTCCCGCCGAACCTGTCCCTGAGTCGGGGATGGTTGTCGAGCACATCCTCCAGCGCATCCCTCGACAGCGCCGCGATGCGCTGCGACATCTCGGCCAGGACGTTGGCGGCCTGCGACGCCGTGTCCAGGCTGAGGCCCGCCCTCGACACCTCCCCCAGCTTCTTGTAGGTGTCTCGCACGATGGCGTCGACCTCGTCCCCGTGGGCGTCGCGCACCGCCTCCCAGTCCTTGAAGGCCGCGTCGACGTAGCCCCTGCCGCCGGGCACCCACGCCGCGTACGAGTAGGCAAACTGCCTGATGGAGTCGGCTGCCCGATCGGCGCTGGGCGAGCTGTCCTGGAGTGCCTTGGCCGCCGCTTCGTACTTTTTCCTCGCCTCAATCGCGGCCTTGTTGATCTTGGCGGCGGTTCGGCCCGCCGGCGTCAGGGTGTAGGCGCCGTATGCGAGCGACGCGCCGACCACGCCGCCCAGAACGCCCGTCGCAAAGCCGGACCTCGAGGACCATGATAGGAAGCTGCCGCTGTCGCTGCTGGAAGCGGTCGATTGGTGACGAAGCTGGCGGGCCGTGTGGGGGATGCGTGCCCGTCTTGTGGCGAGACGGGGAAGTTGTCTTGACAGCATGTTGGGCTGGGGGCTGGAAATCCTGACGTGGCTTCTATGTTCGATTTTTGTTTTTTTTTTTCGGTCGGTACGATAAAGGGCTATTTTTGTGTATGAATACGAGAATCGGGGACTCGGTTGTGTTGCAAGATGTCAACTGGTAGCTGGACTTTTGGCACACGCGGATGTAAAGCAAGCTTGGAGCTGGCTGGATGTGGAGCAGCTTGGCGTAATCGATGACGTCAGCGGCTCGACGGTCGTTGGCATGCCAACGGCCGGCAGGGGTATTTACTGTTGAACTTCATGTCGCCGTCAACGATCGACGTCGACCGCTTTACATAGCCATGGCCGCAAGCCTTTCGCGTCCCCCTGCTTCCGTCTCTGAATCAGATCCTAGCGTGCGCCAGAGTATGCATTTCCGCTACGTCGGCCTCGCTCGTGCCTTTTCAAATTGTTTCGTTCGCGCAGGTCCGTGTTCAAGGAAAAAGTCCAGCTTCCAGCAGAAAATGCAGTTTCTAAAACGAGCATCGCAATCCCCGTCTACATTTCCAAACTCTCCAACATTAGCCAGCACTCGCAGTCTCGTGATCAATCATGGCTGTGTTTCAAATACCCGCTTTATAGCTAATGTTTTTGAAAACCTGCAGAGCGCCTTGTACGTGAAAGCCAATCTGTCCACATAGTACCAAGTCGTCGTCGCCGATATCGAGCCTGTTGCATCACGTCACACCTGGATTGCGGAGTCTGGTGAGCATGGACAATTAAGTGATCCGGCCAATGGATGCCAGTTTGTACGCGCATTTGCCGGCATCGCGGGGCGACGGCTCTGGTGTTTGAGTCGGCCCTCAGAGGGCACTAGATCGCTCCGGTCCAAGACTGCGACACAGAGTCGTCCATATCCTCGTTGAAAACCGAACCGCCCATTTCCATGATTCCGTACATGTCCCAGGACAAAAAGCTTTGCAAGTCGTCCAGGTCAAGCGCATCGCACATGGGCTGCGTTGGGCCAAGTTTGCGGAGTGGATGAAGCGGAACAGGCCTTTCATGCTGCAAACTGGATCGAACCGACTGTTCCTGGCTGAGCCCCACGAGTTGATGAGCCGCAGCACTAGTTCCGTCCCAGGACGCCGCTCCCCCGGCATGAGGATTCTGCGTGCTCCAGCCGGCGGTTCGCGTAGCCGCATCCCCCTCCATGCCACCGAGGTCGCTGGTCCCGGAGCGGGCGAGCGAGTGAAGGGACAGGGGAGGCAGTTCGTAGGTCCCCGTCTTGTCCGGCTTTCCGCCTGCGTTATCTGGTCTATGCCACCCAGCCTATCAGTCCTTCTTCTGTGAATACTAACACTTGATGACTTACAAAGCTGGGTGATGCGTTTCAAGGTGGTCACCCGCTTCGAGGCTACTCAGGAGGTCGTCACTAGCGACTGTTTGCTGCATCTTGGATAGCCAACGTTCAATTGTTGCAGACTACAAATCAGGTTATTGGAGAGTCCAGCATAGACGGGATGGGCGCCTCGACAGCTTACCAATGACAGGGCGATTGGAAACAATGTAGACATCATGCCCAAAATCCTATTGTTGCTCTCCACCGCCTTCACTGCGTCTCTCAGCTTGACCTCCGCGTCGGGTCTGGTAGGGTCCAGCAGGCGAGCAACATAGTACAGCATGACACGGCTGCTGTCGTAGACAAAGAATGGCAGCAAACTATCCGAGAGAAGCCGTGAACCGTGCTCCGCAGCTTCAGCTAGTATGTCCGCGATTTGCTGGGCATGATAGTAAGCGTTGGCTTGGGCTGTCTGGAGGAACTCTTGATGTTCCGGGGGAAACGAAAAGGGCTTCGGAAGCTTGAAGAGGTCGGGCATGGTGAGCTTGTAGAGTTCCAGATAATTATGGTGATAGGTGCAGTGAATAAGCACAAGTGAACCAAGTTGGTTTGAGTCCAATCGTGCGTAAATTGTCTCGGTGGTGTACTCGACAAAATCTGGCAACTCTCTTCGCCATAGACCCAAGTCTGCATCCAATGCTGCAAAAAGGGAGTCTGGCTGCCAGGGAGGCGGTCCCGCATGCAGGTGATTGACATATCGGACAATCCTTTTCCACAATGCCACAACCCGGATATAGTAAGCCATGATGCCCATGTTGGCGGCGGGCCGTCGCGGAACAATTGCGGGTGGGAGAAATTGCAAGACGTGGCCGACGCCGAGCGTTTCTGTGACAGACGGTATCCTCAGTCCAAAGTTTCGCTCGTTGCTTGGAAGCTGGATCTTGATGTCATTCTCTCGTAGCAAGGTAAGTTGGTCGACACCGCTGCCCGCCCAGGCATCGAGAACATAACAAGCCCACATGAGTCGTCGCCTACTCTCTCTTGACGCCACCGAGGGCGCACTACTATCCTCGTCGGTGCACAGAATGTCAGAATTGTACTCGGTGTTTATCTTCAAGGCGTGGGCCATTCGCACAGCGAGGCCGCTAATCATGAGCGCCTGGCCATATTCACCAAGTCGAAAATGAAAGTCGTGAAGGAGAATTGCCGTCTACCCGCCGGTTAGCATCCTCGTATGGAAAAGAGATTGCCATTCCTCACCATCAGTCTTTGGACCGATATCTTTCCGAAGTTGGCCAGCAATAAAAATTCCGCCTTTTTTGCCCATTGATTTCCTGCATGTCTCAACAATGGGGGTGGGGAGCTGGCCTCGCCTTGGTCAGCGCTCAGGACGAGAAACCTGAATCAGTTTTGTTAGTATATACACTGCTGGTTTTTTTTTTCTTTTTTTTGTCTTTCCAAGAGATATTCCTGGCAAAGCCGACTTACTTTGCGCCCTGTGCGCAGATAATGTGCAAGAGCGCTGACTCGTCATCAGAGGTGAGGCCCTTGTCTAGCTGGCGCATAAAGGACGGCTTATGTACAAATGCGAAGCACCGGAGAGGATGGACATTGGAGAAGTACTGTTCAACGACTCGGCGAAGGTTCCGAGCTGCCGGCAAGGCAGGAGATAGTAACCTGGGAGAGGCCGTCGTCAGCGACGTGTGGAACCCGACATGCTCTAGGGTCCCCGTCATAGCCTACCACGCCAATGGGTTCGAGCTCAACTATCCATTCGATCCATTCTGCGAGGTTCCGCCGGTGATGGACGTCGAGGCAGCTTCGGACGCGGCAGAGCCCTTTTCGGCGGCTTCGTCGGATACCTTGCTGACGCTTCCCGAAACCGATGCGCGCTCGTCCGTCTTACTCGTGGCAATGCCCCCCGACATGCCACACCGCTCCGTCGGACTACCGTCATGATCATCGACGGAAGTCGCCTGTGATCGGTCCAAATTGCGAGTCCATCTCGGCGCGGCGCCGCCATCGTACACGCACTGGATCAGCTTAGCAGCACACCTGGTGCATTTCGGCCTGTCACCATTACACTTGGTCTTTGACAAGCGACAGCTTTGGCAAGACCGATACGTTCGGATCTTCCTCAGCGATGATATAGGCGACAGCGAAACTCGGTTCCGGCTTGGGGTCGATCCATCGTCAGCGACACATTGTAGCTGAAGTCGCTCGCAATTGCGACAGCCATTCGGACGGCCATCACATTTGACCTGCGTGTGGTTAACGTTGGGGGTTTCTTTCTTCTCAACCTTTTTTCCTTTTGTCCCTTTATTGCCGGTTAGGAGCTTCCTACCTTGCGCGCACGACACACTCGACAACCCATCTTCAGCAACGCCGCAGCCGAGAACAACGCGTCAAGAATGTAGATTCACACTATAGACATGGTCGAAGCCCCCAGGACGAAACTCAGCCGCTCCTCGACAAGATGAACGAATGCCAGAGGCGCCAACAGAATCGCACCCTCTACGCAGAGAGGTCACGTCAGCGAGCAACACAGAGCAGGAGCGACCGACCGAGGCCTTTCTCAAGCCGTGATTGGCCCAGACGGCTGCGTAGCTCTATCGAGGGCCCGAATTCCGCGACTGACGTGATCGGAAGCTGGCCACTCAAAGGACGAAGGCGTTTTGTCGCACCACGGTTGCGTCATGCGGTGATGCGCACCTTGTGCCGTCTTCGGGTGTCTCGTCAAGGTGAAATAATTCTATCCCGCCAACTGGAAGGCTTGTCGCCTTGGTACGGAGCATGTTCCGTGGTTTAAATCAATTGAAGGGCAGCGGCATCTTGATTGGCCGACGGCCCACGCGCCCAAGGTACCGAGGTACTTGGTGGCTGTCGGGCCGATACCGATGCTCCGAATTGCTGGTTTTGTACTTAAGTACCTAGGTACCTATTAGGTACTTATATAGTACTCCGTAGCCTGTATTGTACATACAAGTCACTCGAACGGCTTTGGCCCTCAGTGATGGCCTTCCCCGCAAGGCAATGTAGACATCCTCGACAAGATGGATCGAGGTGAATGTCGACATTTCCTGCAAAGTCGTTTCCAATTTGTGTTTCGGTATTTGTGCCGAATCAACACCCAACGCCCGTGAATCCACACAATATTTCATCTTTCAGATTCCGTGGCTGTATTCCTCGAGCAGTGTTTTCGCCTCACAATCATCACCAGATGAAATCCCATGCTGGAGTCAAGTTTTGAACGCAGCCATTCGGCTGGCGCAGTCCGGTACCACTATGTACGCGCAGTCACAATAAACGCGCTTTTTATCCCCCGCAACGGAAACCTATTCTGCCATCTCCTCATCCTCCTGCTCCGCGGCCTCTGCTTCCTTTTTCGCCTTATATAGCGCCGCCCAGTCCTGAGCCTTGGCCATGATCTTGTCTTTGCCCTTAACATCCAGCTTCTCCTCCCAGGAAGCCCATCTGCGGAACCACTTTTCTGCCTGCTTGGGCTTAAGACCCTTCACACGTGTACGCCGCTCGAACACGTCACGGACCGCAGTCGGATCGGCACCAGCAACTCCCATTTCAAGATCCAACAACTGATTCCACAGGTCTCCCTTCTTGGGCCAGTTGGCTAGTAAGCCTTCGAACATGGTGCGACCGCGTTCTGGCTCGCCATTCGGGGAGCGAAATTCGAGGGCAGCGAATCGGCCAACGATATTTTGGCTGTCATGGGCAGGCAGCTGCTGCGTTGCTCGCGGTAGCAGAGCTCTTGCCCGGTCCGGTTGATTCATGGTGACGGAGAGGAAGTGGGCGTAGTTTGTCCAGACGCTGGGTGCTTTAGCACCAAACTTCCTCAACATGGCTTCGAACAGAGCATCGGCATCCTACCCCATGTTAGTATTTAAACTCAAGTATCACGCAACGGGACGTTACAAACCTTGAGCTTCTCGGACTGGATGTAGATACTGGCCAGTCGCTCATAGACTTCCTGCTCGTCATTGTACTGACAAGCGCGTTTGAATACATATTCAACTGTCTGTTTGCTGCCATATGCAACTTCTAGGTTGAGATAGGCAACCCAGACATTGAGCTTCTCTGTCTCTTCGCGAATATTGATACTCTTAATTGCCCGTTCGGCCACTTCTCTTGCCTTGGGAAGTTCGCTGACTTGCATCTGGAACGCCATATATGCAATCCAGAGCTCTGATGAGTCCGGTTGACCTAGCAGCAGTCGCTCGTAGTCGCTAGAGGTTTGTGGGCCGTGGGCATCAAGTTCAGCTGTGCGGTCGACTTCGACTTCACCCTTTCTTCGCTTCTTCTTCGTCTTGTTGTTGCTATCCCCCTTGTCTTGCGTTTTATCCTCTGAATCAGAACCAGACTCGTCAAATGGATCAGTGGACCAGGCGGACTTCTTGCCAAGGACAAGACCACCAAATTTTTTTGTCGGCGCGTCTTCCATTTCGTCATCCTCGTCCTCATGACCATCTATTCCTTCGCCATCCTCAATTGCTTCTTCCTCGTCGTCTTCGTTGTCCTCATCCTCGCTGTCGTTGCCCAAAAGCTTGTCTAATAAAGCCTTTTGCTCCTCAGACCCATTCTCACCATCATCATCGTCACCCTCCTCTTCCTCCAAGCCAACACCTCCAGCATCCGAGTCTTCCGAGTCCATATCGATAACCTCGTCGAAAAAGGAAGGCTTGAGGCCAAAGCTGATTCGTCGCTTTGCGGCGTCAACCTCCAAAACCACAGCCTTGACGGCATCACCTTCTTTGTACAGCTTGGTGGCATCCTTGACTGCTTTGTCGGCCATCTGGCTACGATGGCAGAGACCGCTGACATTGGTCGAGTTATCAACCAGGATGAAGGCTCCAAACTCTTCGACTTTCCGTACCTTGCCAGTGACGACAGAGCCCGCCTTGATGTCGTTGTAGGTAACTGGCGGAGTGTGGTTTTGATTGACCACGGAATCTCTCAGACTCAACTCGACCTGCTTCAAGGCCATATCAACGGAGAGAACGCGGCCCTTGACGAGCTGATCAATCTGAAACGAATCTTTCCAATCCTTCAAAAACCTATCCGAGAGATTGGCAATCTTGACCAAGGCTGTGATGGAGCCGCCGAGCACGACGAAAAGGCCCTTATCAGACACATTTTTTACGAAGCCGCGAATCACATTGCCAGCTGCTAATTGTGACAGATCGGTGATTTCTCTATCGGCCACGGGCAGAGTAGAGCTCATAATTCGAGAGGGACGCATGGAAAGTCTCAAGCGCTTGTTGCTGGCATGCACGTCCACGATAGCCACTCGTACGATTTGATTTTTCTTGTAAATGAGAGTGTTGATATCGTCATAATTGTCTACCATGTCAGGCAAATGGACAGGGCCAGAAACAACCTCGCTGAGCTTAACCATAATCTGACGTTCATTAATCTTTGTAATTTTTCCAGGCAAAACCATGTTTTTCTTTAAGGAGGACCAATCGACACCGTGGGAGTCGGTCGAAGAGCGAGCTGAAAGGTCAAGATGCTTGTGTTCGGTGTCAATAGACTTGACTCTGACCTTCATGGCTGAGCCAACAGGGAAGTTTGCTTCCAAGTCGTTGAGAAGGGAGAGGTCATCTGATGCTTCCATGGCAGAAACTCTACCTCGAACATTGGGGGAGAGATTGACCCAGAGGAATTGAGGTGTAACGTTGTTGACGTATGCGATGTGCGACTCTCCGACCTTTAAGGAGTCGAGTGAGATAGGAACACTGCCTTCACCCTTGACATCGCTGCGCTTGGCGGACAACTCAAGAACCGAGTGAGCTGATCTGTGGGAGAAGGGCAAGAACCGGTGATCCTTGGCATCGTGGACGCCGATGACCCTGACCTTGATCTGTTGTTTTCTGTGGAACTTGCCAAGTGGCTCTTTGGGGTCGGTAATATCCTCCCACTTGTCAAAGACTTGAGACACGTCCACCCGACCTTGAACTTGGGTATGGATTAGCTGCACGTTGAGTTGAGTTTCCTTGATCGAGGTGATAGTGGCCAGAACGACGCTTCCGAATTCAAGACCGTCCCTAGGAGCAGAACCTTTATCCTTCGGGGTCTTGGTGACTTCCTCCTCTGGAGCCGAGGTCGCAGGTGCAACCATGATGCGGCGCAAATCATCAATAACAGAAACAATTTTTACCTCAATGGACTCGTACTTATGCATACCAAAATTCGGCTGAGACCGGACATCTTCCGGCAGCCGTGACTTGGGTAGCAGAGCATGTACCGTACCGGCAAATTGAACGAAAACGGCCGTCTGGGTAACATTTCTCACGAAAGCCGGAACAATGGCACCTTGCTTCGCATCCTCAAATTCAAAAAGCAACTTTCCTTCCTTGGAGGCTTTGATGAAACTGGGTTTCTGGGTCAGGATTATAGCTCTTCGCTGCTCGTTCTTGTCGAGCACCATGAGGTCGGAAAGGGTTTGGCCGGCCGATATGCGCTTGAGAACAAATTGGTTTTTGGAGGCAGACTTGTCGGTAAGATGGCCAACAGGAAGAATAGCCTTCAGTTGGCTGCCTACCAGCTCGACGAATATTTGATCCTCGGTCTTCTGTGTTACCTTTGCGGCGACCAGCTCTCCTAGTTTCAAATTCTTCAGGGCCGTTTGCTTGTCCAGGCCAAAGGCTCCAGGGTCCTTGCAGGAGACAACAAGTCGGCGCTGTGCTGGATCGACATCGACTACGTGCAAGCTCACAACTTGGCCGATGCGGAAGTGCTCATTGGGATCACGGATGTAGGCCTCGCTCATTTCGGATACAGGCAAAAAGCCCTTTAGGCTACCGTAGAACTGGATGTGAGCACCATTAGGCTGAAGTTTGATGATGGTTCCAGGGACTTGCATGCCGACAATTGCATCTTCGTAGGACTTGATGACTGGGGCATCAGAATTGACCAAGGTCTTCTTGAGAGTCAATCGAATCCGTCTCTTGGATGGATTGGTTGACAGTACTCGGGCCTTCACCTTCATACCCACGCGGAACTTCTTCTCAGGGCGCTGCAACTTGATATCTGACAAGTGTCGCTCGGCGACGTACCCAGTGATACCATCAGCAATCTTCAAGATTAAACCACGGACGCCTTCTTCCTTGATGACTAGCTTTTCAATCTCACATGTGATGACGGCGCCTATAGGCACATCTTCGATGCGAATGTACTGCTGATCGAGGATACTCTTCTCAAAGGACAAATGAAACTGGCCGTCCATTTCGCTATAGCCAACAACTCGTCCCTTGTGGACCGAACCAACTTGATAAGGCCCGCTGGATTCGTACAGAGCGTCGACCTTGCCGTCCTTGATTCTGGAAATATGGACGAAGCCGCCCAAGCCAGCGATTCCGGTATCTACGAAGAGACCAATATCGCTCTCAATTTGTCGAACAGTACACTTCTCCACCAAGGACGAAATCGGTAAGGCTTCTGTAGGGAGGGTTTCATTGTCCTTGGCCGGGTGTTTGCGTGTGAGTGAAGTGATGTGGGGAAGCAGGGAGATCCCAAGCTTCGGTTCCTTAGCTGTAGGGAAATTGCATATTACTCTGGCATTGACTTTGGATCCGATCTTGTAGGCAGCCTCCGGATTGGTGCCGTCAGTCCCAGCTCCCGAATGGACAAGATCCGCAGTCACGTCCAAGTGTCCAATGACTTTACCGGCAAGACCTCGTCGGTTAGTGTTGGTAATCAAGACGCTCACCATGGTGCCTGGAAGAAAAGCATTGATGGTGGTGGCCTCTGCTGGGACGTCCTTGTGATTGCCGAGTTTCTTCTGCTGCAGAGAGAGTTGAGCAACATTGCCGTTTGAGCCCTTGCCTGTGACTTGGCACAAGAACACAGATCCTTCTTGAAGTCGGCTTTGCTCAATGGCGGGGTCGATTTCGGCATTTGGTAGGAAAGCTCGAAGATGGGGAATGCCGACATCCATGACGCAACCACGGTCCTCAACACTGACGACGGACGCCATGAGGGTGCTCTTGGCGACAACATCATCCTTGGTCAAGCCAGAATTGGTCTCTGCGGGTCGCAAAGAGAGCTCAATTTTTCTCTTGCTCTTACCAACCACTGACTCCTCCATCGTGGACACAACGTATGCTCGCAGATACTGGCCCACAACAAAGATGGATTTGAGGTCAAGATCTGTTTCTTCGGCGGATTCGTCCTCATGATCGTCTTGCTCGGCCGCAATCTCTTGTGCTCGACTAGTTAACTGCTCCGAAACAGCGACAATTGATACACGGCCAGTGAGGTTGTTGGGAAGAGACAATTCAAGATCTAGGTTGTTAATTCGGGTAATTTGGGCAAGCACGAGAGATCCTTTGACAAGTTTCTGCCGCAATTAGCATCACGCGCGATCTTAGTATTGTGAATGAGGGTACGCAAGGCTAGTAAATTTCGGTCATTACCTTGAAATTGAGGCTCTCCACCTTGACAGAGTCGTTGCTGTCCTTCTTTTTTGATTCCTTCTTGTTGCCTTTTGAGGATATCGTTCTCTTCTTTTGTTTCCTTTGGGCCTTGCCGCCACTAGTATCGAACTCTTCTTCGCGACGGGCGTCGGCCTTGGCCTCCAGCTGAATCTGCTTCTGTTCCAAAGGCGTAAGGACGCTGCCGCCGCCTCTAGGAAATATTGGTTCCTCATTTCTCAGGAGGGACACTACAGGTGCTTTGGCAGGGGCTGCGTCGTTGTTCGACGTCTTTGGCTTGGCGTTGGACGCTTTTGATTTTGCGATTTCGGGACCATCTGTTTTTGAAGGTCGGCCATGTTTGGTATTTTTCGCCGATTTAGCCGGAGGCTGCCCTCCAGGGGCATCCTTTCGCTTGAGATTGCTCATGACGACGAAATGCAGCGAGGAGGCTTTCGCGCCTTGAACGTCAAGCTCGATTATAGAAAGTCATGTCCTAAGTTTTCACTGGCTGGGCTAGGCGTTTTTTTTTTTTCCTTCGCGGCACGGCGATAAGCCGATAAGAAAAGGGAAGGGGGCCTTTCAGGCTTGTGGCGGTGGTGGCGAGAAATATGGCGCATGCCATGGACCATGGTCAGCAAGGCGTGGGCGAGTTGTCAGGGGTCGGCTTGAAACCACCGGACCAGACATGAATTGGTCAAGATCAGATCTGGATCAATGCCATGCCCATGTAATGTCGCCAGAGATCATCTGACTGGATTGTGGACTACGCACATGCAGGCATTGTTGAGCAGCACTGAACTGGAATGAATCTTAGGCTCGACAGTGCGAACTAAGGCCCCCCGTGAATGCCCGTGTCGCGCCGCTCCAAAACAATAAGTTTGATCTCTCCATCCCATCCATCGTCATCCGTACCTCTCCCCATGGCCATACCAAAACGAAGCTGTCTGTCGTGATGCTTCCTCGAAAGCGACAGCGTCCAGACCCGGCCAACGCCAGCAGCACCAGTCGGCCAACAACTGCGCTGAGCCGGGAAACAGCAACGTCACTCTCTCAATCACGGTCAAGACTTGCTGCCGTGGCCCCCCGACTCCGAGAAACCACAGAATCCGCTGCCTCGACATTAGAGGCTGCCAATAACACATGGCGCAATGTGCACGTCGGTCCTCGACAGCCTCTGCCTCTACCACCGCCAATCCCGCCGATCCCGCCGTCTCTATCCACCCATCCTCGCGGTGCGAATTCGAGTGATTCGGTAGCCCAGAGGCAGGTACGCGTCACGCCGGGAAGAAATTCCGTCAACAACAAAAAAATGGAAAGGTCACGGCTCAAATTCAGACAAGACTAACGCCGTGTCGTCCCAGATCCGCAAGGCAAAGAGCTGGTACGGCTCATGGCCCAAAACACCACGGAAGGCCGCCGCCTTGACTTCGGTTGCACGTGAAAACATATCAGGCGGAACCGTCCGCTCCACCGCGGCCCCGGACCTTGGTCGATTCGACACCTTCAAAAAGAGGGTTGCCGAAACCGACAGCATTCGACGCGCTTCACCGTCCGATTTCTTGTCCAAAGTTTTCCAAGAAGACATGCCAGCCGTCGCCGCTGCCGCCGACCGGACCACACCCCATGAAAACGCCCAGCACGCGAAAACCAGCGCACCGAAATCCCCGCGCGACCCAGGAGAGCTTCGAGCTGCACAAGACACAGAGCAGAACGACAGTATAGAACCGCGACCCGAGGTCTTAAACTCGACGACTGCTCTGCCAGCCACGGAGGCTTCCTCTCCCCCTCCATCAGGTTGGCTGTTTTGGTGGTCTAAAGCTCCAGCCGCGGAACAACAAACCTTTGCAGCAACGCCTGCCGCTCTTCACAATACAGGTAGAACGACACCAGACGATAGACCCTTCACTCCTCCGGCACAAACGGCGCCATCGGATTCCATCGCCAGAGAACCTCCGCCAAGTGCACCAGCAGCATCGTCCACCTGGCGATTTGGCTTCTGGTCTTCCACCGACAACAATATGAACAAGACGGATCCAGAAAAGGAGGGCGAGCCAGCCGAGGATCAATCCAAACAGCAACAAGACGTCTTCATGGAGAATGCCCCAGCTCCGGCCGCAGCTGACGTCGAAGGCCAGCCCACACCAAAAGCTGGGTCAACGTGGGCATTCTGGTCCAGGGCCTCGCCGAGCAAATCAAGCAACAACGAAACCGCGGCCTCGGAGTCTGGCGAAATGGCGGTTATTGGTGAAGGATCAGAAGCCCATCCAAAACGCATGAGTGAAGGGGAGGTCTCCAGCCCGCAAGGCCAAGCCTCCAAACAAGACACACGAGCTTTAAAATCAACTTGGCGTAGGAAAAAGAGGGCGCGTGCAGCTCTTCCCGAAGCTGCAACAGATTCAGATGCATCCACTGCAACGCGCTCCACCATTCCAGCTAATGAGGCGCCGCAGGGCCTCCCGCCCCCTCCAAAGGAGCAGAAGACGTCGGCATCATCGTTGAAGGCCGACTCGGCCAGCACCGCAGCAGCTGAGTCCGAGACAGTGGCAAAGCAGCCACCGAATTTGCTGCTGCCGTCGTTCACCAGTACATATCAAATGAAAGAGAACCCCTCAATAATACAGCAAATTGCACAGCTTTTGCTACGGACCTCGCAGCCGCCGGCTAACCACGTCTTCCGCACCAAAGATCCGCCCAAGATCCGCAAAGCCATCGCCATCGGTATACATGGTTTATTCCCGGCAACCTATCTCCGACCCATGATTGGCCAACCTACAGGGACGTCCCTCAGGTTCGCCAATCTCTGCGCAGAAGCCATCCGTCGATGGACGGACGCTCACGGCTCCCCTGAATGTGAAATTGAAAAAGTCGCGCTCGAGGGCGACGGCAGAATCAGTGACCGGGTAGACAACCTGTGGAAACTCATGCTCAATTGGATAGACCACATCCGCAAGGCCGATTTCATCATCCTGGCGTGTCATTCTCAGGGCGTCCCGGTAAGCATTATGCTGCTGGATAAGCTCATCGACATGGGCGTCATCACCAATGCCAAGATAGGAGTCTGTGCAATGGCAGGAGTGGCGCTGGGTCCGTTTCCAGATTACAAGTCAAGCATTCTCATGGGCTCGGCGGCCGAGCTGTGGGACTTTGGCAATCCCCAGAGCAGTAATTCGCAGCGGTTGGAGGCGTCTCTGAGGCGAGTGTTGCATCACGGCGCAAGAGTGACGTTTATCGGAAGCATCGATGACCAATTGGTGCCGATGGCGGTGAGAAGGGCCTTTTTTGTTGTTTTCGTTGTTGTTGTTGTCGTCGTCGTCGTCCCGGCCTCGACTTGACGTGTCTCAGCTGACTCTTCCGCAACTAGTCCGCCGTCTACTCCCCTGCCAGCCACCCATACATCTACCGTGCCGTCTTCATCGACGGCCGAATCCACGCACCAGACTTCATCGCACACCTGGTCGGATTCGCCCTCAAGCTGCGAAACCTGGGGGTCAGCGACCACGGCCTCGTTCGCGAGCTGTCCGTCGCGCTGGCCGGGTCCTTGTATTCAGGCGAAGGACACTCGCGGCTGTACTTTGACCCGGCAGTATACGACCTTGCCATATCCCACGCTCTCGAAACCACGTCCGTCTCATGCCCCGTCACGTGGGAGTTTGGTCCCCGCGAAGGCGTGGCGTCTGCCAATCCGTACGTGCTCCCGTGGATCATGCGCGGCATGCTGGAGGAGGATTTCGTAAAGACAGAACTGAGCAGCGAGACGGAGGACCTGCTGCGGCAATTCGACGACTGGAAGCCGTCGAACAAGGCGTTGAAAGATGTCAAGTACAGGTTGGAGGCGATTCGGTCGAGGCTATAGGCCTTGCCCTTTACTGATTTACCCTTGTCATTTGTGGGACTTTTTTGTAACGTCATAGCGAGGAGTTTTGGAACTGTTTTTCTTCCCCTGCGACATGGCGGATCTTGCATGATAGGACAGTCTTGTAGATGACTGGTCTGGCTAGAGCATGGTGAAAGAGGCGCAGCGGCGGCGGATCGGAATTGTTTACAAGATGGATGAATTCACGACTTGACTAGCTATCTGGCTACTTTGGTGGCGAGTTCCCTGTTCCCATGGACGGGTGCAGTCGTGTTCCCTGGTGACTGGCGCATCAACTACCTGCCTCCTTCGTACTTGAGTAGTCTTACGACCCAGTCGTGCCGTCGTGCTCCGTCTCGCGGCTGCTCTGGCCCCCGACTCATGTGCTTCGACGAGACGCATCCCCCCTTGTCAAGGTCGCTCCCCGGATTCAAAATTTACAAAGTCAACAACTTGACGGCGCATTGGGGCATCCACGCGTCTGCCTAAAACCAGGGGATTGGGCACGTCGAAGAAAAGAGGGCTCTCAAGAGCAAAAGGGACGCAGAGCTCTGCAATGCAGATATAGCTGGTGCCGTATCGGACATCGACATGTCACTGTCCAAGTAGTATACACGGAAGGGGGACGTGTGCTCCCAGGAAAGAAAACCCCTAATCATACACGGCGGCCAAGACACCACAGGCGCTAGCTCCTGCCCAGCTTCCAAGCGTCGACGCGATCCTGGATCTGGTCCCAGGTCATGGAGTGGCTCGAGAGTCCGTACGCCTGCGCCTCCTGGAGGACGACGGTGGGCGCGCCGCTCCCGCGGCCGGGATTCCCGACGGCCCCGTTGACAACCATGCTCGCGACCCTCCGGAGGTCGCGGACGGAGAGGGCCTCGATGCGCGCGCACATGTCCCTGACGGGGACCTTGTGGCCGTGGACCTGGACGGAGCGCCCTAGGTCCTCGAGCTCGACCATGCGCGACTCGAGGTTCATGAGCAGGCTGGAGCGCAGCTGGTTCTTGGCGCGCGACACCTCGCCTTCCTGCAGGCGCGAGAAGCCCGTGTCGAGCGTGAGCGCCCGCAGTTCCTGGCACATGACGTCCAGTATGGCGGACGTGTGGCCGGGCAGGCACGAGGCCGAGATGCCAAAGAGCCCCGAGTCCGTGTACGCGTGGTTGAAGGAGACGCACGACTCGACCCAGCCGTGCTGGTTGAGCACGTTTGTGTACAGCCGCGAGTACATGCCCTTGCCGGGCCCGCCGGCCGAGAAGGACCCCCCGCCGCCGAGGAGCGTCTGCAGCGTCGCCAGTGCGTAGATGTCGTCCGAGCCCACGGGCAGGCCCTCGAACGCCAGGTGGATGTGCGTGAAGTTGGTCTGGTTGAGGGACGGCGGCCGAGGCGGCAGCGACAGAAACCCGCCTGTGTAGTGAGCTGGGACGGCGGCCGTGTCAGAGGGCAGATTGTTCAGCACCGAGGCGCTACGGGGCGCCGACGTGGACAGGTTCTTGATGAATGGGAACTTGGACATGAAATGCGGCCGAGGGGCTGTGGAGGAGGCGGACGATGCCGACGGCGTGTACGAGGAAGAAGAAGCTGCCGAGTCGGTGTCGCTGGCCTCGCTCGTCTCGCTGCCCGTCAACTCCCTCACGCCCGGCAGACTCGTGCTCTTCATATCGCCAAAGAAGCGCTCCGCCAACCGCACGGCAACCCCGTGCTCGACCCCCGCAAAGGCCAGCACCATTCTTTCCGGCCGGTAAAATGCGTCTCTGTACTTGAGCGCCGTGTCTCTGCCGATCTCGCCCAGCCGTTCCTCCGGGCACAGCAGCGGATTGCCGAGGGTGTTGTCCTTGTAGGCAGCCGTGTGCACCAACTCGGGCAGGATAAGCTCCGGCTTGCCCCAAATCTCGGCGATTTCGTACCGTGCCGTCTCGATCTGCTCGGCGACCTCGTCCTCGGTGATTCTGGGGTCGCGAATCGTCTCGGCGAGCAGCGAGACGGTTTCAGGGACCGCGCTGTTGAACGTGGCTGCTTGATACATCATGGACTCTCGCGACGACGCGCACTGGATGTTGCCGCCGAGTTTCTCGACGCGCTCGAGCATCGCGTCCGCCGTGTGCGAAGAGGTGCTCTTGAAGGCCAGCCGGTCCATGATGTGCGACACGCCCCGTAGCGAAGGGGTTTCGAAACGAGAGCCGGCTTCGACGTAGACGCCGACACCGGCGAAGGAGCCGGGTAACGCTTCGGATGCCACGCGCAGCCCGTTGGCGAGAGTAGTGATTTGGTCTAGCTCCGTGGGTTCCTGTTCCTCGGCGTCAGCAAACGCATCGTCCTCGTCATGCCTCGTCCAACGTCTTCTCTCCGGCCGTCAAGCACGTATGGTTTCCGGCACGGGAGAAAACAGACCGGATACAAACTTTCTGCAATCCCTGAACTCTCACCGTCGCCATCCCCCTGCTCCACGCATTTCCCCTCGCCAGAAGCTTAGTAGTCGGCGGCGAGAGCCGCGCCGAAAGCTGCCGCAGCATGATGATGGGTGGAGGTGTCTCGCCTCGTTTCTTCCTTCGTTGCTGTTTGCTGATGCTGATTTGGGAGAGATGAAGCGGGAAATGCAAGTGTCTAGCAGTCGTTGCATCCGCCCGTCAAAGTCAATCCGGGCGATATTCGGTGAGGATGAAGATGGATGTTCGTTTGAACCGCGGATAAGAAAGACCCAGAAAAAAAAAAGGTCGGGTCACTGGCGGCATTGGAGGGTGCGACTGGTGTACCCAGGTACCTACTGCTGAGGTACGTTGATTTACTAGATTCAAGTACATGAACGCCAAGTACCCGGTACTTAGTACTGGTGTACTCCGTACTCGGTGATAAATCGCCACAGCCGACGGAGGCTCCGACTCGACAAAGACGTCAGCCACTACTTTACTGGGCATGATCGTGAGTATACGGTATATCGTCATGAGGTCGCAGCACCTTTATTTTGCACTCCACGTGCAAGACGAACGACCCGCAGACCAAGGCTCGATCCAACATCAAGGTCGAATTCCAAGTCAAAGCGCAGTCAAGTTGCTATATTGATACTGGAGCTTCACATAGATTCTGCGTCCCAAGGCACCTTAACAATGCACACATCCGTGTAGTGATATACCCAATTTAAGCAATCCAGTGCCATACAAGGGGAAAATCAAGGTCGTCGCGCACAGTGGATGTGCTCCAGCTCCAGGCCACTTGTCTGCAACTCAGCCAAACTCCCGAACAACAAAAGCAAGAACGCCGTCTATGACAAGAGCACTGGGAGAATCATGAGGCCCAAAAACAAACTGCCATGTGTCGCTCGCTATGCTCTCCGAACAGATAAGAATGGTTTCGTCAGGCTTGCCATGTGTCGAACTGCTCCCCTGTTGCAGGTCTGCATCTCCATGCCAAGGCGCCTAGGCATCATCCCCATCAAAGACCCATCGTCTCCCCGTGTACACAGTCCGTCCTTGGCGGGCAGAATCATCGGCTAGGGTTGGCACCGCCGCCTACATCCATTTCGGCTGCAGCATCTAGGCTTCGCATCGCGGGGCTGCCAGCAGCAGCAGCACGCTGTCCGGCACTGCCATCAAATACCCACGGTCCGGCATTGTTTCTCGGCGTGATGGGGCCTTCTGCGCCGCTAGATGACGGTGACGGGGACCGATGGTTGCGTAGATGGCCTACACGTCCTGTGCCTGAGGCTGGGTTTGTAATGGGCAAGGGCTCTGAGGCTGCGTGCGACAAGTTGCCCGTTGACGCTGCACCGGGGCTGTCCGACACGTTGACGCTCATTGTGAAATCCATGGCATCCGTGTCCGGCGCCGCAGCCTCCGTGGACTCGGCTGCACAGGGTTCGGCTGCAGAAGATTCCTCCTGTTTCGGATTTTCGGGTTCCTCCTGCTTGTTGGAGTCCGTCTCCTCGTTGAGATGCTGCCATTCTGCAGAAGTCTCGTCAACATCGGCTTCAAGATCGGCTCCTGCGCGACAGTTGGGGCAGACGAAGATTGGATATTGTGGGGACGTCAACAGCGATCGCACGCATTTGAAGTGCCACGTGTGTGAGCACGGCGCAACAAATAGAGATTGGCAGGGCTGCAAATCATGTTAGCACACCTGAGCCCAAGTCCCGAGGTTTTTCTCAGTCACCGAAAGCACCCACCGCAACAGAATTCAAGCAGATGGAACAATCCTGCGAGCTTTGCGAGCTCGATCCAGATGCTGCCCCGGGGGGGGCACCCGTTGCCATGGTCCGGAGACGCTTGTGGGCGGCGACACTAGACAGCGTCAGTCTCCATGTTGCTCAAAAGCGCAGCGCTCTCTACTTACTTGAAGCTGTTGAGCTTGTTCTGCCAGCCGCGGTTCAGCTCCAACCTCATCTTGACACAGCGGAAAATCATCTCCTCGCCGCCCTTGAAGTCAATACCGAGCTGAACAATATCGCCATCGTTGACTGGATATGCTTTGCTCTCCTGCGATGGGGCGCTCAGCCTGATGTGGTTCAAAAAGGTGCCTGATGAGCTCTTGACATCCTTGATGAACCACTTGCCATCCTCGCACCAGAACTCGCAATGTCGGCGACTCACAACTTTGCTCTTGAAGCCCACCGGGGCCGCGGACGGCTGGTTGCTGTGCATGGCGGCGGCCTGGCCGTCTCGTTCTGAATATCGCCCCACGCGGATGACCTCGGTGCCGTTGGGCAGGGTTCTCGAGATTGGGGAAAATGAGAGCGAGGGCCGAGTCGATCGGACGTCGTAGTGCGCGGAGAAGCGTATTGACGGGACTTTTTCGGGGGCGGCGTTGGCCGTGGCACCGGCACCAGCATCATTTGCGGCAGGCGAGGGTGCAGGTGCGTTAGCATCGCTCACAGCACGAGCTCGAGTCGCACTCATGTTGGACGAGGCGCCGCTGGACGTCGAGTCTGGCAAAGCGTTTTGACTCGGCTCCGACGCCTGCGGGAGGATGGAAGCAGTCGTCTCCGGAATCGTGGGCGGGGGGCCGTTCAGCGAGGCTCCGTTGTTCTCTCGCACGCTGACCTGCGGCGACAGAGCAAGCGCAGGGTCGGGGGATGTGCTGACAAGAGTGAGCCGGTTGGGGTTCTGCGAAGCGGGCGAAAAGGTCGACGACGGGGTGTAGCTGACGGACCGGGTCAAGTTGCCGCTGTGTGCCCGGCTGCTGCGGAGGGGCGAGTTGGAGCTGGAGCTGGAGCTGGAGCTGGAGTTGGAGTTGGAGTTGGGGGGGGCGTGGGCGTGGGCGTGGGCGTGGGCGTGGGCGTGGGCGTGGGCGTGGGCGTTGGCGTTGGCGGATGACGAGGATGAATGGTGCGAGTCTCGCGACAGCAGATGGTTGTGAGTGTAGTTGCGCAAGTAGCTCAGTCCTCGCAGCCGGCTTGGGCGAGACGGCGAGACGGGGTTGGCAGCCTGCGGCCCCGGCGGAGGAGACGATACTGGCTGCGTGAACATTTTAACCGCAACAGAGGAGCGAGAGGGCTCTCGGTTTGTGCGATGCAGATGCGAATAAAGCGGAAACACGGCTGGGGGGGGAGGAAAGAAGTCGAGAAGTCGGCGTCAACTGGTCGACGACTGCTCCCTCTCTCTCGCGCTCAGTCTCTCTCTGGACGGACCAGTTGACTGACTGACTGGTTGTCGGCGGAGGTGGCCCAGGCCTGGCCCTGCACCGGTGCAGACAGCACTGGAACGCTCGACGAACGGGGGGGGGGTCAACCGCCGGTGGTTCGAGGCCGAGAAGTCGACAGGTCTACGGAGTAGGTCTACTCCACTGGTTGGCGTTTCGAGGCGCCTGGCCGGCTCAGCGTGGCAGCACTGGAGCTCTGCTGCGGTTCAGGTGCCTAGCAGCTGCCGGGCGAATGAATCAGGTGCTCGTGCAGGCAGGGTCGATGGGCGGGCAGCTGACCACACGGTCCGGTCGATTCTGGACCCGACTGCAGACTGTCTGTCGACTGCCGGTATCGCGTCTCGAGTCTCGTTTCTGGACTGCGCGGCAGGATGCAGGATGCTTCTCCTCGCTCGTCTTCCGTCGAGATTCAGATTCATCAATCTGCGCGAGACCCAGTCACGACCCGAGGCTGTGGGCTGTGGGCTGTGGGCTGTGGCTGACTGACAGGAGATGCGCCGTCCACAGATTCGACGAAACCGCGTTGCAGCGCTGCACGACAAGCCGTCAACGAGTGGCCGGGGATGCAAAGGCCGGCCAGCACCTTCTCGAGGGAATGACGCTTTTTATTTCTCCCTCGACGAGTTGCCCGTCTTTACACACCGACACACTAGACCGCACCAGACCACACCCAGACCAGGCCCCGGTCGACCCCGGCTGGCGCTGGCGTTGGCGTTGGCGCCGGCGCTGGCGTTAAAGCTTCCAGGTCTACTCCGTACCCCGTGCCAATTACAATTCACACAGAAGTGCTCCGTACGTAGTCTTCCAACTTCTGGCAAACCCGGACACTGTTGGGGCAGATGCTGACGCTGATGCTGGTGCTGACGAGGTGGCGATTTAGATTTGATGTGCCATCGTGAGTGGTTCCATGGGTCAATTTCGAAACACAGACAGACGCACGTCAATCCCTGGCTGCTGCTGCTGCATGCTGCAGCAAACCACTCTCAACTCTCTCGTACCTCCATGTCACAGCATCCGGTCAATTGTCATTGGCCAAGAGGTACCTCGACCCAAAGCCCTCCCGGATGAATGACCTGATCACCCTTGCGCCCCCAACCGCTTCCTGAATCCTCACACTAGAACTTGATTCTGACGCCTGTCTGGCGTGCCGTACCGTGCGCCCTCCCATGTATTCTCTCAGGGCTTTACGCAGTGGCAGACTGTTTGGACTGCCTGTGGGCCTCGTCAAAACAAGACGTGACGTGCGTAGTTACTCCGTGCGGAGGAGGGATAATGCAGGTCGACCCAAGGCCTCGCAGCCTGCGACATGCAGTCTGCTGCTGACCGTACTTGTCTATACATATATCATTGCGGAGCGCGGAGAGCGCCTACTTGTTGGTCTCGGGACATCCGCTCGTGGTACGTCGGCGCAGGCCCAACTAGACTTGTCATCATGAGCTAATAGACCGCGCACAGGCAGGACAACAACCTCGAATCTCCCGTAAGTAGAACTCTGTTTCGTCGAGACAACAACCTGGGCATGCATACATGCCTACATACATACTACATACATACACACACAACGCTCATACCTGTGGCGTGTCGTATCTTGGAGATAGTTCCAGATTGCACCCTCACTTTATCGATATATCATGTCCAGCCTGCTCCACGTCTCCCGATCTAGCCACTGGCCTGAAAGTATCTCTGGGAGTCTGGGGCACGGCCAACGGCTGGGTGAGACCATGCAGGGATGGCAGGTCAGCATTGAAAAGCGATCTGCATCGAGGCTGATGGCCCGCGACCGTCCCCAACCGGGGCCCGGCGGTTTCTTTCATCGCGTCATGTCAATGTGCCGGATTGTGAAGGGGCAAAACGCCCCTCGTATCTATATACCTGTCGCGCAGTATGTTGCCCAAGGCGCTTTGACCAAAGGCAGGGCCGTTTTTCCAACACCATTCTTCAGATAAACAGGACAGCGCTACAAAGCTTTGACACTGTGGATATCGGATAATTCTTCTCCATTGTTGCGTCCAAGAGGCCTGCACCCGAAGCGCTTGCAAGGTTCACGGCAAACTTTAAAAGTTGGCATTGTCGACCTCTATTCGGAGCACATGGACTCGTACAATCTCCGGACTCGACCGCCATCCTATGACATCCTGCAAAGCCGGGAGGAGCCCAAGCTCTAACTGAGTCAATCATTTCTGGTTTTCGGGCACACACCATCGGCCGTGGAAATGCTCAGACAGGCTACCTTCCGGAGCGAAAAGCACCCTTGGGCTCGATTCATGTGAGTAAATCAAGGGCGGCTTGTGGCCGGCCGTGCACAAGGCCAAAGCAAACACTCCTGTCCCGGCTAGGGTGAAAACATGAGGAGAGAATAAAGACAAAGAGCCGTGAGCCTGGCGCCGAGAATGGGAGAGTGTCTCATGCATGGTGATACTTGTACATCAAGTCGGATCTTGCCGTTCACACCCTTTAGTCGACATTCAATCCTGACCTGCTCAGCGGACCTGGCTTTCCTAGCCGTGCGCACATCTACTCGACTAGCTTTTGCAAGCCAACAAGCCCGAGCAGCCGACATGCCACGCATTTGCCGTAGCTGCGATGCCAATCGCCATCAGTGGCGTCACAGTTGTATTCCCAGTGGATTCTCCCATCGGCGGCGTTGGCACGCACCGGTTCTCGACCTCCCACTGCTGAACTCCATATCGAACCGCATTCGGCGGGCCATGAAACGGCCCTCGTCCCGAAGAGAATCTTGATTTCCAGGTCTTGACCACGAGTCGTGTTGGCGTGACGAAGGTCCCCTCTCCTCCCCGCACACCGTACAGGCTGACTCTCAAATCCAGCGAGCTCCCTCCATCGTAAATCAATGTCTGCGTCTCAACTCCCAGGCCAGCCGAGCGCTAGTAGCATGGATATTAATAGCAGCTGAGCCGGCGTCCGAAGCCAACGGACTGGACTGACTGGCAGCTCCAACTTCGGCTCCCGGCGGCCGGAATGCTAGGCGCCCATGTAACGACCCTACTTGGCGGGCGACTGCCGTCTTGGTTCGCCGTACGGCCAACTGGCCTTGAGGTCACTCGCCATGGCACGATGAATGAATAATATTCCCACGTCAGTAGAATATTGATTTGTCTACGCGGTCCTCGCACTCTGTCCTACCTCTTCCAGTCCCATGACGGCTCGAATAGCAAGGAACAACGCTTTGCCTGGCCCCCCGCCCGTAATCACTTCTTAAACGCTGCATTCCCAAGTCGTTCAATCTCCCGACCCTCCTGCGAGCCTTTCCCCGCCGCCTCGAGCAGTCGCTCCCAGGCCTCTAGGTTCCTGAGTCGAATTGCCTCTTCGGCCGCCTTGATCCTCATTCCACACTTCTCGTACATGGTGATGGACTGGCCCGGTTCCAGAGCCGTACATTTCGACACAAACACAGCCGCCAGTCGAGGGTTCCCCGCTTGAAGGGTGAGGTTGAAGAATGGCTGCATTGCAAAGTTCAACGTTAGCTCCCGTCGTCGCACAACACAGATTTGGGCCCGGCCTAAACACACCTCCCAGCCAATAGGGCTCTTCTTCGATTTCGAAATCTCTTCGACCTCGCTCCAGTCTCTTTTCGTGACCAATGCACGCAGGCTGCGAAGCAAAGAAACAAAACGTCATTAGTCAAGTGTTGCATCATCGCCGGCACAGGCAAAACGAAATCATCAGTATTCAGCATCCGTCAGTGATCAACGTACCGGATCCACCAGAAGACCTTCTCCGGAACTTTGAACTCGCTCTGGACCTTCTTCGCACGGCCGTTGTAGCCCAGTCGAATAAGCTTGAACATTGTCTCGTTGACGCTCAGTCCCGTAAAGGAATCAGTCAGGTCACGATCCAGAGATTCTTGCATCCGCAGCAAGGTCGTCGTCTCCTTCAACGCATACAGCTCCATCAGGTTCTCTTTGGAATCAGAAAGCAGCTTAGCCGCCAGCGCCAGCTTATCCGAAGCAGTGCGGGCGTCTGGCTGCTGCAGCGATTCGCGGATAAAGACATTGGCCCCGTCCGCTCGGCGGTCGTCTTGGTAGTACAAATCCTTGAGCACGCTGTTGTCGCCCTCGGCAATCGCCGATGCCTCTACCAATGCCGAGGCCGTTGGTCGAGAGTTGATCACGCGGAAGAAGGACGCAAGCGGCAGCTTCTTCTTCAAGTTAAGCAGCACAGACAGGATCAAGTCGCTGTCGCCACTTTCAATCGCTTTGTCCAGTGCAAGCTCATCCTCTTCCATGTCCAATAAGAGAGGTACTTGTCTTCCCCCTCGCGGTTCGTGATTCAGAAGTTCCGTTGCTAAGCGGCCACGGCCTTCATGATATGCTGCCCTCGCGATCTCCTCGAACGAGATTCCTGGTTTGCCGGACAGTCTCTCGACCACCAATCTGCAGATTGTATCGTCATCTTCGGCTCCGTTTCGCACCTTGGCAGATGCCCAATGTACATATATGCGATCCGTGGGCAATTTCAGGTAGGCGGCAATCTTCAACGCAAGAAGATAGTCGTGTCTTTGAAGAAGGCGTCGAATAATTTTCTCCGGCGTAAGACGATGATATTGTTCAAAAGACAGAGGCATCCCAACGTTGAAGTCACGTATTGCGTTCAAGACTCGTAGTGTCTCGCACATGTCAACAAAGTCATCGCTGTTGTAGATATCCAAGACTGACTTGCCGAACGAAGCTGCCTTCAAAAGCCGTTTTTGCCATTTGATGTTGAATTCCCGGCCGGCCGCGTTGACGCACGTGTCGACTGCTTCAGTAAGATTCGCACGGATGAGTTGAATGTAGTCGTCTGCTTTGGGCGATTGAAGTTCCAGTTGGCCAACAGCATCTAGGAGAATAGAGGCAGGGGACGATTCAGATGCAGGGCCAAAGACTTCCAGAGTATCCGCGGGTACTCTCTCCAGAAATTCGCAAAAGTCGTTTGTGATAAGTCGCGCACCATCATACTCTGTTGCCACGTCAGCGCCTTCTGACCAAATTATAAAGCGTGTTCGATTAGACGCGGAGCATACCGGAAATGACATGTATTCTGGTGCTATCGTAGATGTAAGACAATGATTGATCACCGGGACCAATTACATGTACCTCATCTTCCCACGCAATCAATGCATCTGTTCCACACCATTCGACGTATTTTGGTGGTGTTTGGGAGTCGGAATTATGTTCAAGGATCGGTTCTTGAAAGTCGCTGGTGATGACGCGGGAGGTCCCCGTCTTTGAATATAGGTTGACGTATCGACCATCGGGAGAGACGCTGATGTGGCTAAAGGGGCCACCATCAACGAGACGATCTTCACAATCTGTCGCATCCACCACATATACTGTGGAACCAATGCTCAGTAGAACCTCAACAGACCGGGACAAGGTGTGATCGGGGGATATGATTGCCCATGAATGGATCTCAGCCTCAGGTATGGCTGCCAAAAGCCTTGGACGTGGTTCGGCATACGAAGACACCGTTATCAATGTGTTGTTGGCCAGCAAGGCTACCAAGCCGCTGTCGTAAAACCTGTCAAGTCTGTGTCAGGCACTGGGAAGAAGGGAGTCCCCAAGGCAGCCCCTTACCGGCACGATTCGACACCATAGTTGTCTGCGCCATGGCCCAGAGAAAAATTACTGAAATCCCCTTGCAAATCATAGCATCGTACATCGCCGTCGGCGGTGACCACCAATAAAGACTCATCTTCTGACCAGCCCAGCCCTTTGATGCGGCTCTTATCCCAAGGAATGGAGCGGAGTTTCTTTCCCGCCAGGCTGTAGATGTCAATAGCAGGCTTCGTAGCTTTTCCGGGCTGATATAATTGCAACTTTGAGTCGTCACGCCATAAAGCTGAGTCATTGTTAGCAGGATATCAATAATAGGTGACGCCGCTGAGCTATAGGGCAGTCCTATCCCAAGCTTCGAGAATAATCCGGTGTTCCCCGAGCTCGGCAATCGCTTTCGTACCTAATGCGCCTGCATATGGGGCCCCAGCAACGAGGTGGTTGTCAAGATCTACATCCTCATCGAAGATCTCGGTGTACTGCTGGGTCTTGCGAAACCACTTATCCCCTACGCACTCCCAGTCTGCTCTTGCGTCAAGGGTGCCCATCATAAGTTGCGGTTCATTCTGGATCGCCTCACTTCATGCACATTCGCGGGCAAGACGGAGGGCGGGGATTCGGTGCCGAAGCTGCTGCGCTATGAAAACCGGGAGCCGTTGAACCCGACGTCAGAACGGCCTCATACGCGAGAGGCAGCTAGCCGAGTGCTCTGTGGTCGCGTCACCGGGGTTATTCCTCGGCTAAATGAGGACAGAACGCTTCTTGCCCCAAGCCGGCAGGCGTGGACTCCGGAAGGAGCTGCCCCGCCGTACTCCGTAGCTACGCATGATGAAAGCAGCCATCGAGCTTCCTGCACCTGACACCATACTAGTTCCTGGACCCTTCTTCCAATATGTCTAACTGGAAGAACGAGTATCTCTTATCGCTCAAGGATGTCGAGCTTCAGACCCCTGTGAATATGGATTTAGTCCAGACATGTCGGTTCACATCCAACCTAGCGCCCCTCACTCTCACTGGGCACCAGGCGATGGGCCGGCCTGCTAATCGCCTCAGCAGGCTCGCAAATGGCCGATCGAATATCCGCATTGGAAGCAGAGAAAGCTGCCTTGGAATTGCATGCCTCAAACGTAAATGTTGGGAGGCCGGCATTGGGATCGAAAGCTGGAGACGCTCCAGCTACAGACGATCCTGGCGTGGCTCAACTTCGAGTTGACCTTGCCGAATCTCTCCGGTCCAAGGGAGTGGCGGAGACTCGGCTACGGACGGCAGAGGAGGAGCTGGCCAAACTGCGAAACAAGTTGAAGGATGATGCACGATCCATCAGAGACCTTACTGCTGAGAGGCTCGTGCTCACGACAAGGCTGAAGGATCGCGAGCATGAGATACGAGAGAAACGAAAGCTACTCGAGGTATGGCGATGCAGACCCAGCAGTCTGTCAGGCTGACTTGCCGAGTTCCACAGTATTGACTCTTTGTCCAGCAGGTACAGGATGAAATGATTACGTTGAATCTTCAAATGTCAGTGGCCGAAAAAGAAAGAGACAAGGTGAAGAAGGAAAATAAAGAACTTGTTGACCGGTGGATGAAGCGCATGGCGCAAGAGGCTGAGGCAATGAACCTTGCCAACGAACCGATATTTGACAAATAGGCCACGTCCCGGCTGTACTACAACCATTCGAGCCAGCCTTTAAGCCGTCGAGGGAGAAATACTACCGCCCATATCGCGCTGTATCGTTGGTATGTATTCTATGCAAGCTCTTCGTCACTCCAACGAACCCAAAGCAGCGTGCAGCAGCTATTGTATATGCGTATGCCTATGCAGAAATCCTCCTTGTCCAAATCTCGCTCGGCTTTCACCGCTGACCATATGAATGCTTTCTAGTGCTACTACTTGCGTGTGGAGATGAAATATGGTCCACCAGCATTCGTCCAACTAACAAAGCCCTCGGGATATATACACTCCTCCACATCAAGAATGGTGCTACCGACGTCATTGATGTTGTGGCTACTCTTGAAGTCGGCCACGAAGGACCTGAGCGAAATGATCTTGCAGCCCGATTTCAAGTCCAAGAACATGCGCACCAAGTCGTCGTTCAACTGAGACGTAAAGGCCTTGTTGTTGACGAGTACAACATCGGCTCGCTTCAGGGCTTCGTGTATGGCGGCATTTTTACGAAAATCACCTCTCTCTAGGTGAACCTTACCAGGCTTGATCCCCCACAGCATACATCGGGCCTCGAACTCTTTGATCTGAGCATCGGCTAGGTTGCAGGCATTTTCCATCATTTCGCAACCCCAGCTTTCACATCCGATTTCCAGTGCAGCCTGTAGGCAGACGTTTCCGACTCCGGACCCCAAGTCGACAAAAACTTGGTCCGACGTCATTTTGGTCTGTTCAACTAGAAGCTTTGATATGAACGGGTGCAGGAGTTCTCCGTAGACATAGTCGGTGCCATTTTCATATTTCGACAGCAGTTCGACTTTGGGAGCGACGGTCCGATCATAGACTTGGTCTAGAATAAAAGCCACAAATTGTCGTGGGAGTTCGTGCATCTGATCAAGGTTTTTGGCAATGATGCCGTCCTCGACCATTGCTAGCAGAGTCTTGTTGTACTCGTGAAGCGCAGCTTTGAAGCCGGACAAATCTTGGATATTCCGATTTGACGCCTTTTCCAGACGTCGAATAAGACCGGTATTGTGATTGGTGAATGGTTCGGCTTCCTCTTCGGTGAGATAGGTTTCGGCGACATGGCGAACGATTCTTACGCTAGCCTCAACGGCGTCTATCTTGTCCTTCCCCCAGACCAGCTCAAACCTAGAAGAACCGATCAGTCGTATGACTCTTACGGGGAACGGGAGTGGCTGAGGAGACAAGCGAGATGGGAGGGTGTACTTTTCTCTGGGCTGCAGGCTGGGGTACTGCAACTCTATGGCAACATCCTCCTTCTGCGCACCCATGACAGGGACGCATTTCTCTTCCAGCGAGGCAACCTCGACAGCGTGGACGAATTTCAGATTGTCGTTGCGTCCCTCGAAAGCGCGAAAGTTTCTCAGGTTGCGGTTGGAATCTAGATACTTATCCTCGGAGGTGGCTCTGCGATGCCTCTTGCGGGTATCCAAGTCCATCCAGCCATCGTCCTCGGCGTCGCTGTCCTTGTCGAACCTTATACGCTCACTGGCGGGGGAAAGCCCCGTTGAGGAGACAGTGCCAGACTTGCGTTTCCGATCAAGGCGCTTTTCGTCAGACGATGAAGGATAGGGCGAGTGACTGGTGTGGCGGACCGACGGGGGTTTCGGCGAGGGACGATGAGCGGGTGACGAGCACGACGAGGAGGCTCCAGCAGAGGCCGGGCCGGGGCGAGGTTTCGGCCTGGGTTTGCTCGGAGCCGGGGCACGTTCGACAACAACCTTTTCGATCCTGATCTTGGGCGGATCAACCTTGAACTTGTTGCCCTTGCCGCCGAGGAGAGGCATAGCGACGGGGCGGGAAGTAGATTAAACAAGCAGAAGTCGGGGGCGGAAGTACTGTGGGAGAAATTTGCGAGCCGACGGGACGAGTCAGACAAGCTCTTTGGCGGTGGTGGCGGTTCGCGACAGGTTCTGGTGTGTCTTGTGCCTTGTGCCTCGTGTCTCTCATGCACTGAGCCAGGTCAAGCCTCGTCGCAGACGACCAGCGACGACGGCGGGCAGCCGTGGGGTGGTTGGGGGCGTAAGAAGCGTAAAAAAAAAAAAAAATTATAAGAGAAAAAAGCGGAGACGAGTAGATGATGGAAATAGAACAGAACAGAAACAAAGACAATATTCCGTCCAGACTGCTATGCAAAAGACAATGCGCGATAGTGGAAAAGTGTCGAAGTTGTGCGGCGACGAAGAAGTAACTTAGGTGGTTCGGCGTTTGAGGGCGATTGTCTTGCGTGTCTCTGATTGTGCGGGCGTCTGTGCGCCTGGGTACCTGGGTACGTACCTGGGTACCTAGGTACTTGTATAGGGGCGCTGTGCGCGGGGATTGGCTGGGACGAGGAAAGGAGGGGGGCCGCATGCACTTAAGTAAGAAGTTGAATACACAACCAACAGCAAATACATACACCAAGTCGGCAATGGAGTACTTTCACGCAGATTTTACTCGGTACTTGAGTACAAGCGTACGCAATCCTCGGTACATGCGCCATGCACGCGCGCGGCACCAGACGTTGCACGCATCTCATATCTCATGCACTCCATCTATCCATCCTGGCCGTTTTGCTGCTTGCACCGTGTCAAGGTCAGCACAGCACTCCGTTGGCTCGTCGGCTGCGAAGACTGATTAAATCACTGATCCTTGTGTCTCCACGGACCGAGGCCATGTCAGTCAAGCAAGTGGTCATCTGAGACAAAAAGGTTCAGCAGCGGAAAGGAGGCTGAATCCAGCCATTAAACATGGCGGCCTGTGCCGACGTCGGTTTGGATGTGCGACAGGGCGTGACTCAGTTGGCGAGCAAGAAAAGGGGAAATGGCACGGGAAAGAGAGAAGGGAGAAAAGGGACACCGTATCCTCAATATCGTCTCAGATTTCAACCATACAAGATGACGCCCTAAAGCGCGGGAGGACAAAAAATCTCCCCCGGAAAGGCTCGAACTTTCAACCTCCTGATTAACAGTCAGACGCGCTAGCCAATTGCGCCACGGAGGATAGATACTTGATGTCAAGGATTGACTTTAATTGTACTTATATGGGTAGACTGAAAGCGATCTAATGGTCGTGGTCAAAATCTTCGTCCCTGGGTACTGCCTTTTCAACAATAGTTTTTCTTTTGGTGCACCTTTGAGAAAACGGTATTGCAATTCCAACCTTCCAAGAAGACGCCGGAGATGGCTGCCAACGTCTGCTTGGGCAACACACCAGCCGGTGCTGCCCTCAATGACGGGTCAACTCTCGCGTATTGGTCCAGAACGAGGCGTCTTGTTGTGTGACACGACGTTTGGGTTAGTTGACTACATGATATGAATAGCAAGCATGGATGCGTGATCAGAATGGCATTTGCCAAGATGAAAAGGACAACCGACGGCTGGCGAAATAAGTGCCAGAGGAATCGATCAGCGGCCTACCCTGTAGGCATGCAACTTGTTGAGTTGACAAAAGAGAAAGAAAAAGAAAACACGGGAGGAACTGCCTGGACCAAAAACTTTGGTTGCGTAGAGACAGACCTCTTCCAGGATTGGGAATGCTACGAACTTTTGCTGAAAAAACTTTACATGATGCACATTTTGTACTGCGAAGTTGCAAAGCATGATTTTGGGCACCCCAGTTCTTGCCAAATGCAAGAAGATCTTTCTGCAATGAGCTCAGTCGTGACTCGTCATGATGAATCTTTGAGCGGCCAAAATTTGGTCGCGGACTTAGAGTGCGATAAGGGCCGAAGAAGCAGCAATTCCTCCGTGGCGCAATTGGCTAGCGCGTCTGACTGTTAATCAGGAGGTTGAAAGTTCGAGCCTTTCCGGGGGAGACGTTTTTTTTTACGTCTTCGGTTGCTCCTTTGAGCATCACCAGTGTGTGTTGTATCGTTTGCTCACTATTCAAGGTGTTTCTAAGCAGCGCTTCATGGCAACCTGTTTTTCGTCGTCCCGCAAGGCGGATATGCTTGGCTGCTGAAAATCTCCGTCGTCGCATATGTTTCTCGTTTGCGAGCCAACGCGTCTAGACACGGATCCAACATGAGATCACACGAACACGAAGTGAGCCAAAGATAGCTGGAGTTATAACCGTCTCGCCACTCTCCAGGTGGACAAGAATGAAAAAACAACAGCCAGGCATTATAATGCCCGCTGGACAGCCGCAAGACAACGAGGATGAGGTCCCTGTCCAAGACCGCGTCATATCTGATCTGGCGGGTTACTCTCCCCGCCATCGATCCTTGCAATTAACTCTGATGCCGAGCCGGTTCTCAATACCCGGGGTCCATGGTTGTCTTTTAAAGAATAATGAAAATCCTGCAAGAACAAAGACACGCTTTCGTCTGTCCACTTGCCTCTCTCGGCCGTAGAGACGACACGCAGCGCTATGTGGAATAATCTACTTTTTTCTTTCCCCGACACAGCCGGTGGCACTCAGAGGGTAATTTCACTGTCGTCCACGCTATCAAGCGGGTCGACCCGAATGTTGAGGTCCATGGCGGCAGCAGTACCGCCTGCGCGCAACTCACGAGCCAGAGCGTCGCGGCTGGGAAGAGGCGCTCGGGTTAAAGGGCGCAGTGGTATTTCCACATCGCTGAGACCGGTGACGGCATCAATGTTTCAAAAGAGGTCCCCCTAGCCAAAGAAGATATAATATCATTAATCCATTGGAGAGCCTTGTGCTGCCACATGCTTTGAAGCTATGGCGAACTGGGCACTATGGAACAAGACAGCCCCAAGACGCCCAGTGGATTCGAATCTGTTTTCTGTTTCACTGTCGGCGGAAGGAGAACAAAAGGGCTGCGGAGTTCCATGACGAATATGACTAGCTGTGTATGTATGTCCTATACGTGACTGTGAAGGGGGCAAAATGCCGGTGGCAGTACCGAACGTTGCTCCGGTCTTGAATTCTTTGAGCCGCGCCAGATTATTTATCTGACCGAGACAGACGTGAGAATGTATGGTGGCAAGGGCGACGGCCGTGAAAAAGATGTATGAGTATCCGGTGCCGATGGTTATCTGCACACCGAGAAACATGGAATGATGAAAGGACAAGGGGGAAAATCTGCTCGCGCGACAGGCACATCTGTCTGGTACGACATGACCTCCCGGTTTCAAGATCAGGACGGACGACGACTTGGGCACGACTTGAGCCTTTTCGTTGCTCCTGAGCTTATATCGTGTGTGTGCTGCGTCGGCGGCTTTACGCATACAAGGACGGAAATGTGTAGAGGGCGTGTCCAACTACCGCTTTGCTCGTCGTACAAGAAAAAAACCGGGTGTCCCCTTGTTTGATGATATATTTTGGTGTCTTGTTACTGTCACCGTGGCACTGACCTTTCTATTGGGGGCCTCGTACAAGTCCTTGCCGTTTGGGATGCTTGTCCATGTCTTTATTTTATACTCACTGCTAGAAACTTGTAAGCATCTGATGGTGTTGACACGAAGCAACTTGATGATGCGCTTTCCGGACTCATGTTGACGTGGCATTGACTACTATTCGCCGCGTGGAGCTCGTCCAAACTGGTGCGCAACTTATTCGGCCATACAGACCTTGACAGGTTTATTTCTAGGCCGTGAGAAATGCTTGGCTGACACGGGCGCATTCGCAAGCTACCCAGGTACTACTCTGCCGATACTTGCAGATCACTCCAGACTCTGGGCATGGAACTACCAGTTGGAGGGGGATTGCCACGATCGGGACGGTTTTGCGTGCTTGGCAAAGAAGGCAGGATAGATGCACAAAACCAGTCCAGCCAGCCAATTGTCTACCAGTCAACCAGTCCTGACCGTCCGTCGTCGCGTGAGTGAGGGGATCCTGTTTTCAATATTGGCGTCTCCATCCATCGGGCGCCACCCGCCGTTTAATCCTCTGGTTATCGCTTCCTCGGATCAATTGACGGGACGCGAGGATCCTGAGCCGGCTCCAGCGTGGCCTGTAGCCCGTCTTTCATCAGCTCCTTGAGCCGCGTTGCGTCTTGAGCCGGCGGAGACGGGGGCTTTCGGCCAACTCGCCGTGATGGGATGGAGATGCGGGGCCCCGATACGATCGCTTGGGCACTGCAAGTACTACTCTGCATTAGTATTGAAATGAGAAGAAATTTCAAGAATAAAAATAAGAATGAGAAAAAAAAACGTCTAGGCGAGATCAGGCAGAACCAGCCGCTTCGTTGGACAAAGGGCGGGTTTTCCCCCCATTTTTGCCATCAAATTGTCCCCCCCCCTCCGCTCCAAGCTCGATTTTGTTGAGTCTCGCCATGGCCTGCCAGATAAAGGCGTCACCTGCAGTGCCTGCCTGTCTGTCTGAGCCACGGAGCTTGACGATAGGTAACTGGGTACGGCGCGTTATACCATACTGATGCACTAAGTAGTATATGCCTCGATCGGCACGCCTCCAAGCCATGGCGTCTCTGACGTAGATTAGCGATCCGGCTGCCAAGCGAGAAGGTCCCAGATATACGGACCGAATAAGGGTATGTACTTGTCGCTGTGGTGGATGTTCCTTCCATGGAGGCGTGGTATTACTCTGCGGCTTCGAGCTGTGATGGACGCAGCAGCCGGGACTCCGTCGGTTCATTACCCACGCAGCGCGGTTCGCAATGAATAATCACGATACTAATAATAACTCAGTGCGTCGATGTCGGAACCATGGGAGTATTGTATTGTTTCGCATCGCATCGTATCGTAGGGCCAGGGCTGGCTGGCCGAGCGGACATCTTGGCAAAGCAGACATGGTTGCTTTGAGGCCAGCGGCGGCCAACTTGTCGCCTTGCGGGCCGTTTGTAATATCCCATCGGGCAATTTCGAGTGCAGTTGGTTGTTTGCAATCATGCACGAGCCGAGACGTGGGGCTCCGTCAAGTTCGTTGGTTTCCAACGTACGGAGTAGGGACTACCAAATTTCATACTTACGTAATCGAGTTGACGGTTTCCTCCCCCACACAACTAGCCCACGTATTTAGACCCAAGACCCTTGGAGGAATAACACCCTGGGGACGTGAAATGGCATGATTTTCGACACCCATGGCGCCGGCACATGCTCTGCACGCACCAGACCGACGGTAAATTGACAAAGTACAGCTGGTCGTTGGATATAACCAGAGCCAGGCTCGCCCTCGCTCTTTGTCCTGCGACTCTTGTTGTTTTTCCAACCGCATCCAACAAGCGTCTCCGCTGTTGCCATGATTTGTTTTCGTCGCCGCCCGACGTGAATTCCTCCAACAACCCTCGAACCAGACACACTCGTCGGAGGACCTCCATCCAACCTCAGCTGCTGTCCCCGACCAAACGCAGTCACATCAACGCCTTGAGGAAAGCCCTCATCCCCCAACTTACTCCCTCTGCTCTGCCCTCTTCCCAAGAAAGGGTTCGTTACCGTCCAACCAAGACACAACCAATATGCCGTTCAGAGAATGGGCCACGTCCCTCAAATCCTCCCGCAGATGCTCGCTCGACACTTCCACGCGCCGCATCTCTGAAACCTCCCTTTCCAACATGGACGTCAACGACAGCGAGCACACCCTCGTCGATACCCTCGAGGTACAAGACCTGTATCTTTATGGCGATGGCGACCACCACCAGGAGCGCCGCTCGCTCTCTGCCCACTCGTCCACCGCCTCACATGGCCCACGGCCTCAGTCCAACAGCCAGACCAAGGATACGGGCTGCATCGAAAGGCGCGTAGATTATTTCGTCGTCGAAGATGATCGATACGCCGTCCGTTTCGGCAACTACACGGGCATATGGGCCGGCAACGCTGGCGGTTCCGTGCCGCAGACGAGAAGTCGCTACTTTGGAGACCATATCCACCAGCACGCTTATCATACAAATAAGGGCTGAAATCTTGCCTCTTTACAATTTACCTGCACGCAAAAACTTGCCCTCCCTCCCCCTCTTTTTTTTTTTTCTTTTTTCAGAGGTCAGATTTTACACGCCGTCGGGACAAGCACAGAGTTCAACTGTTCTTGAAAGGCTGGTCATTATGATAATCCTTGGCGTTCTTTTTTATCCTTCTGTTTTCTTGGTCTTGGTCGGCCATGCCTTGCTGCATAAGCCCCTACTAGACCTGGATGTTATGACCGTGTTTCTGGATTCCTTGTTTCTTTTCTTTTCATTTACAGAGGTCAATGTTTCTTTTTACGAAGCATCTATATCAGCGTGGCGTCTGCTTGGTTTGTAGAATGATGATGATACAAAAAAATTCTCTTTCCCTGATCCGAGACCCCCTTGTTCAAACTGTCCACACGCTCGGATCTCCATGCCGGGTACGTGTCTTGGCGAATCGAAAGGGGGCTGTGTGCCTGAAAGTATGATGGTTGCTCGATCGGTCTGACTGTGATATCAAGAGCCGATTTGTACATTCATTACACGTGTTGCGCGCGCCTTTGGCAGCGTCCTTCGGGAGCCGAGGTATGACCAAACGAGAGAGGACCCAGTTACGAGCATAATGCCCGACAGGAATGTCAGAAATTGCAAGCCACCCCATCATTACCAGAAGAGAGGAAACAGCAGATCGTTGCATCGCTGGGGCCCTGCTCGCTCGCGAATCCTGTCGCAGCGCGCAGGTCACGGTCCTATGTACTCCGTACTCAGGCCGAATCTATGTATAACCCACGCCTGATACCGGTATGCAGGTATGCAGCGATTTGATTGCTTGTAGTCTTGTCAATCGCGTGCATGTAGTTGCCGCTTCTAGTCTGTTGTGTGCAAGCTGACGGTCTTGCCAATCTTCAATCTTGATGGTGATGGTATGCGTGTCCCTCCAGCCGTGGCGAAACGGACGTAAAGGGCTGACGGCTAGGTCTTTGGCATTAGCCACGGTAAAGGTGTCAAGTGGCCCTCGTTCAAACATCAGACGGGAACGTCTCTTCCATTGACGGGACATGGCGTCGTAGGAGTCCTCTGGCCTTTCGTGTATGTGGGTGGGTGAGAGAAAAGTGGGAGAGAAAGAGTCGCACGCTCGACCCGACCCAGACCAGTCGTCTTGAATTCTATTATTTTTTATTAAATTTTTTTCTTTTACTTGGCATTATAGAGAAAAAAAAGACGCATCAATTCGTCCAACGGCCTTCGTTCTTGCTACCGCTTCATTGTCCTCTGCTTCTCCGCGTCCGTGGCCACATTCCTGCCCTCCACCAAGAGGCCCTTCTTGCGCCTCACGCGGTCCATGTGCCTCTTGGCGACGTTCTCCCTGTCAGCCAGCTCGCCCAGGTCCTCGAGGTCGTCTTCGGTAAAGGGCACCCAGAAGGGGTCCTGGTCGAGGACCTCGAAGCCCGCAAAGACGAGCTGTGGCTGGGCGGCGCCGCTGGTCCGCTTGCGCATCTCGTCGGCGAACCCGAAGCTCTCGGCGACGGGGAGGACCGCCTGCACCGTGAAGAAGGGCGTGCCCTCCTTCATCGTCTCGGCCACCACCCTCCCGCGCCGCCGCGTGAGCACGTCGTACACGCGGCCGAGCACCTCGGTCGACGCCTGGATTTCCACGCTGTACATGGCGAGCATGAGCCGCGGCGACCAGTCGAGGAAGCCTGCCTGCACGGAAGCCCGGAGCGTCTTGATGATTTCGCTCGTGAGCCGGCTGAGCTTGTCGCGGGCTGGGATGTCGTCCTCTGCGATGTCGAGCAATACGTCTTCGATAAAGACGGCTACCCCCTGCATCGGCTCGTTGCAGAGGGGGCCCTGGGCCGTGGCCAGCTGGAAGGCGTACGTGATCTTGTCGGATAGGTCGCTGGCGTGGAGGCGGGCCTCGCCGGCGCGAGGAGCACTTGGCCGCGGCTGCTGCTGCTTGGCTTCGTTGCCTCCAAACGCTCTTGTGAGGATGCCCTTGTTGGTGGCGTCGATGAGCAGGTTGGGGCCTGTTCTTCTGGGACCAAATGCCGCGATAGTCTCGACTCGGTTCTTCCAGACCTCGCGGCCCTTGCCTGTCTCGAGCTGCTTTCGGAGCTGCTTCTTGAGCTCTTCGACGGATAGCGAGTTGGCGGCCGTGACGGCCGTGTCGGCGACAATCTTGTCCTCCTGGCCGTCTGTCGTGGTATGCGCCTCCTGATCCTCGCCGCTGTCGCCGGGTTTGCTTTCCGTGTACAGGCGCTTGATGGCATTCGCGTTTCTGAGCAAGAAATCACTGACATCTGAGGGGAGCGGTCGTACTCGCAGTGATATCGTCACTTGTTTCGAAGTCGTGGTGGCCACCACGGCGCCTCGGCCGAGGTCTTTGTTCACCGGCGGTCTCATCTCTTCCGCTCGCACAATCGTCTCCCTGTAAGGAACAATGGCTTCTCCAGCCTGAATATCGCATCGCGCAAATCTCTCCTTGAGATCGCCAAGACAACGTTCCAGGTGCAGCTCGCCAGCGGTCAGCAACACGTGCTCGCCGTTTCCAAACTGCTCGTACTCGGCACACGGGTCGCTTTGCACCAGAAGCTCCAGGCCGTGTATCATCTTGTCCAGGTCGGCTGGGTTCACCGGCTCCAGTGCCACCCTCACAATGGGCTTTCCGGTCGCGCCGACTCCCGCCAAGTTGACTGCTCCGTCAAGCTTGCTGCACAGAGTCCCCGACTTGAGAATCTTGCCCTCCAGACCACCGATGCCGAAGACGACGCCCGCAGGTACCGAGTCCAATGCCTCCAAGTTCCTTCCCATGAGCAAGTACAGCGCCGTGACTGTCACCTCTTGTGGCTGCGGCTCTGCTTTTGGATCTGCTGGTGACCATTTTGGGGGAATGACGTACAACCTGTCGCCGACTGATAGAGTCCCAGAGTAAATTCGTGCAAATCCAATTAAATGTTCGGGGTCTGCCTTTTGTTCTTCCACCCCAGCGTCACTGATATCGGCCTTGTCCAAAGCCCCCGCCAGATCCCTCAGGACATCTCCGTTTGCTTCTTGCGCTACTCTGGCAGCCTCGGCTCGCTTTCTGCGTGCCAACTCTCTAGCCTCCTCGCCGCTCATCTGTCCGGGCTTTCGCTTGTTCTCTGGCAGCTCGCTTTCCGGGATCGAAACCATTTTGCTGACATAGACAACTACGGGGTCCGACTTTTCGTGTTTAAGCGACAGCATGGCTTCCTTTATAGACTTTTCGACAAATTCTGAGCCAGGCGACTGCTCAATGAGATCCAAGACTCGCTCTGCCTGGGCAGCAGGTGGCGACGGTAAGGTCTCGACAACAGAGACGAGTAATGCTGTGGACAGCGGTAGCCACGAAGCAAACACGGCTGTCAATAGTAGTCTCGGATCACGTGCTCGAACGACGTGTGGCGAAATAGTCAAGTTCAACGATTTGGTGACCTTTTCCAGCAGAGCTGGGTCGCCCTTGCCATTGTCGCCGCCGCATGTTGCCTGGTAGACTGTCCATACGGGCTCCAACACTAGCTGCACAAACATGGGCTTGAGGTTTCGACCCTTCAAGTGTTTCGGGCCCAGGATTTTCTTCGTCTTTGGATCGAGGTAGAAGTTGCCCCATAAAAGTTTTTCCATCAGCCCGCGTTTGATGCCGAGTTTCTTTTCGTATAAGCTGGCAAATTGCCGACAAGTAAATGCCCATCCGTCAGTGGCACTGCTGAAGATGACATTGTTCTTTTCCGGAGCAAAGTATATATCTTGGTCGTCGCGCTCCTCAAACTGCAGTTCGCCGGAGTCTGAAGAGAAATCATCACCTGCTGCTGCTTTGACTGCAGCTGCCGCACTCACTCTTTCCTCCATCCTATCTCTCCAATTGAGATCTTCCTCCATACGCTCGCCCTGAAAGAAGCTTCCCAGAACAGCATTGACTTGCTCCAGCAGCTTGCTCAGATGCACGTAGGCCTCGACAGGGGTCATCTTTAGCTCTGTCACCAACCTGTCCATCTTGTTGATGACCAACAGCGGCTTCAGCTTTTCGGTCCAGGTCTGCCGCAGGACTGTGACCGTTTGACTGCAAACGCCCTCGACCGCGTCCACTAATACCACGGCACCGTCGCAAAGTCGCGAGGCGGTAGACACTTCGCTGCTGAAGTCAATGTGCCCAGGAGAATCGATCAGATTGATAAGATACTCCTTGGCCTCGGGAGCGACTTCGGATGAAGATCGTCTCAGCATGGAAAAGTATAATGAGATGGCCGACGACTCCATGGTAATGCCTCGGAGCTGTTCGTCTGGCCGTGAATCGAGGTATCGAATCTTGCCGGCAAGTTTGGGCGAGATGATGCCGTTTGTGGCGAGCAGCGCATCTGTGAGCGAGGTTTTGCCATGATCAACATGGGCCAAGATACAAATCTACCTCCCTGTTAGTGAAGACTCGCGGGATGTTTTGAATTTCCCCTACATTTCTAATGTCTTTGGACTTCCTTTGCAGGCTTGCCAACTTTTCTGGTGTGACAACGGGCATGATGAGATGAATTTGACTGTCTCCGCCGCGGCTGCCTCCGAGAATGATTGGTTTCCAGTCCAGCCACTCCCAAAAGGCTTGGGATTGCGGCCTCAAGACTCAATCACGATCAGAGACGGTAGCTTGGGTCTCACGAGCGTTTTGAAGCGTTCGAAAGTTGGTCAGCAGAGATCTGCGTAGTGATTTTCAGCGGTTTGATTGGGTCATTGGTGTGACTCTTTGGATGCAAGTTGCTCCACTACCGACCACCCATCATCCGTCACCGGTTCTTGGATAATGTCAAAAGAATGACGGCATATGATGTCTTATGAGTCATTTGAGTCTTTGCTATCTGCCGCAGACACGGCCAAGATTCTGCGCAATTGAGTGCAGAGCTGTGACAGCCTGCCCATCATCATCTACCTTCCTCCATGGGCATGGGTTCATTTGATGACTTCAGCCTTCCCCCCGCCATTGCGATATCTCTTTAATGCCCCGCTTCAGACCTGGTCGGCCCCATCATTATGTTCTCGTTATGTGCAAGGAATATGCATATAGCCCTCGCATTCCTCTACTTAGACGCATGTCGACACCACAAGCCCTAACAACACGAAAATTCAGGAAGCGCTAGGCCCCTCAACCAAGCGCAAAATTTCGGTGCGCTGCCTACTCCTGCAACACCCCGTTCGACTGTCGACAAGACGACGACGAGTGACCGGACAAGAATGACGACGTACCAGAACGGCGTGGCTCCGGCCCGCGCGATCGACGATGATAGCGATGTCGAGGAGGAAGTCTTGGTGGCCGAGTACAAGGAGCACGTCCAGTACGAGGACGGTGACGAGCTCAGCCAAACCACTTCCCTGACCATGGCGCAACAGGCCGACGACATCCAGGCGCGACTTGTTCAGGCAGCTCAGCCTCTCGACTTCTCAGCTCCCTTGGACGTCAAATTCCAGAGCTACGACTCTTACTGTAGCCTGTTCCACTTCATCTTGAACTCCGAGGGCCCTGTCGACCTTGAGCCCCCTTCAGTTAGTCTTCCCACGAGATAGGCATAATAGCAGCTATTGTGTCCCGGAAAGGAGAATCTGGGCTAACGACTTCCCTCCATAGTACTACTGGGCTTGGGATGTCATTGATGAGTTCATATACCAGTTCAACTCTTTCTCCTCATACAGATCTCGAATTGCTCGCCAAGCCTCCAACGAGGAGGAGATCCAGATTCTCCGAGAGAACCCCAACACCTGGGGCTCATATAGCGTTCTCAACGTGCTGTACTCCCTGATCCAGCGCTCTCAAATCACTGAGCAGCTCGCTGCCATGAAGCGAAACGAGGACCCGGCGGCTGTCGCTGGCGATTACGGCTCCAAGAACCTGTACAAGATGCTGGGATACTTCTCCATCATCGGTCTGCTACGAGTCCACTGCTTGCTTGGAGACTTTGCCCTCGCCCTCAAAACGCTCGACGACATTGAGCTCAACAAGAAGGCCATGTTCGCTCGGGTCATGGCCGCCCACTTCACCACGTACTACTACGTTGGTTTCTCCTACATGATGATGCATCGCTACGCTGATGCCATCCGCATGTTCAGCCACATCCTCATCTACGTCTCGAGGACCAAGAACTTCCAGAAAAACGCGCAGTACGACTCCATCACCAAGAAGAATGAGCAGATGTACGCCCTCATCGCCATTTGCGTGGCCTTTCAGCCTACGCGGCTGGATGACACCATCCACAGCGCCCTTCGAGAGAAGTACGGCGACCAGCTGCTCAAGCTGCAGCACGGCGGCCCCGAGTCGCTGCCCATCTTTGAGGAGCTCTTCCGAGCCGCCTGCCCCAAGTTCATCTCCCCCGTACCTCCCGACTTTGACAACCCAGAGTCCAACATTGATCCTGTCGAGCACCATCTGGCAGTGTTCATGGACGAGGTGAAGACGAACATGTGGAGCCCTACCATCAAGTCGTATCTGAGACTGTACACCACTATGGATCTGAACAAGCTCGCTGGGTTCCTTGAGGTGAAGCCGGAAGAGCTGAGATCCTGGCTCCTGGTGACCAAGCAGCGCACCAAGCAGCTGCGGTGGAACGACCAAGGTCTTCTCGATGGCGAGCTGGTCAACGTCAGTGACCTTGACTACGCTTTGCAGGGAGTGAGTACACCCTCGTGTTGATTAATGCTTTTCTCGCTGGAAAACTGTCCAGACTAACATCTTTCCGTAGGACCTGATTCACATTTCCGAGGCCAAGGTCGGACGCAAGCTAGTAGACTGGTACCTCCGCAACCTGTCCCGTACCTACAACTAGGCTTTTCATACATGATACAAGGGGCAAGATTACAAAAGGGGACCTGGCCAGGCAAGAAGCAAAAGGGAAAAAAAAATCACATGTATAAAGAGCCGCCTATGCTTTACTCGACGTTCAGTGCAGACCCAAGCGCACATGCGAAGGCTGCGGCGAGACGCGCTAGAGCAGGCAACGGCCGGGCATGTATGCAGACCCAAGTAGTCGGTCGCATGGCATTGGCGTCACGGAGTTGAGGGACACGCCACAAATCATGAAGGATTGCCGAGGAGGGAAGAGAGGACTGACCTGGCTGTGCAGCCGCAGCGTGAAAAAGAGAGGGTGGTGTTGGGGAGACGTAACCCGCGTCGATGGACAACGATGTAATGTTCATGTTAGCTACAAGATGAGAGAGTCCAGCACCTCGACGCATTGAAAAAGAAATAAAGAAGGAGTAAACGGGTTTGAAATTCAACTCGGGCATCACGTGGCTGGCCTGCGTGCAGAGCAGCACCGAGACGATGCTGTGACGTGGCAGCCAAAACGTCTGGAATAGCATCCACGTCGGACACGCCTGCGCAGGACATTACACATGACGGACGCCCAGCCCTCGGAGCGCAAGCGCCCGCTCCGATCACGATGACGATGCTGCTGACGGCCACGACGCGAGTCGAGCTCGGCAGCATTTCCGCACGGAATGCCACGAGACACGTTCCAGCCGCAGATGGCGATCTCCTTGGCGGCAGGGATAACTTGCATCTCTGCATCCACGGGCTCCCCCTCACGAGGTCGCGCGTCGTTGATCAGATGGATACTGCGTGCTCGCGCGCAGGCGGCATTTGCGTACGGAGTACGGAGTATTTGCAGGAAAGAGACGGGCGTCAATCTACATCCGGGGCACGCCGGGTAGCTGTCGTGCGCGTCCTGGCCCTCGGTATCCCCAACTTCAACCCCATCTCCATCTCCATCTCCATCTGGACGATGGTTCGTTTCTACGCGCCCCCTGTTTTTTTCTTGTCAAAGAATACCTTTGTCCCCCTTTTCTGTTTGATTTCTAGTCAAATTGTCATATTCCAGAACGTGATGGCGCTCTCGGCGGCGGTCTCGTCCCGCGGGACCAAGCACATACGACGTCTCGGAAACTTGGTCACAACCGTTCATCCATGGGGGCTGCTTAAGCCGCAACAAGTCTCGCCCGGCGGCGACCTGGCATGGCAGCACTCACCGGATGCATGATGCATGATGCATGTTTCCAACCAAAGGCACACGGGGGCGGTTCTGCTGTGCAGCGCAGGTCAGGTTTGCTGAAATGTGTCACTTCCTACTTTGGCAGCGTCTTGATTCAAATGTGCCGACTGGGGGTAGGAAAGGAGAAGGGGGTGGGGTGGTCAGTCGACATGTATTGTGTATTATGTAATATGTAGCTGAGTACGGAGTACGGAGTACATGGAGGCGCTGACTGGCGATCTGTGATCTGGGTACGGAGTACTCCGTACGGAGCACGGAGGTACCGTGGACTATGGACTACCGTGCGCATGCATGTCCGTATCACGTACCCGTAAAGGGCGCTCGCGGGCCCTGCCTGTTAAATACCCAACGTGGAGAGAAGCATAGTCTAGAGCAGAGTATGCTATGGCCTTGCCTTTTTTCTTTTTTGCTCCCTTTCCCTTGTAAGTTGTGGCAGGCCGGAACGCGCCGGGCCCAGCTCCCAGTCTGCGGGGCCTGCGTTCAACGTCAGTGCCAGCCAGGACCGCGTTGGCTGGCTGTGCACGTGTTGTGCGATGGCGGTCTGGATCTTTTCAGTTTCCATGCCTCTGCAGTCACGGCAGCGCCTTTCTCAGCATAGATAAGCCCGGGGAAAAGGGGGGGAGAAACTACTGCAGAGCACGGACACGCTCACCCTAGAGGCGGAGGAAGAGGAGCAAGAGGACGCCGCCTTGACAGGCTCGGCGGGAAGACGGCTGCTGCATCCACACCAGACCGGTTCCGGCGGGCACAGGCTGTTCAAGCTTAAGTGATAAACTTGTTCGCAGCTGGCAACTTGACGGGACGCGGCGCCGTTTTTTGGCGCGCGCTAGCTCGTCAGGACCACCTCGAAACACGGGGCCGCGGACGGGTGCGGGGAAAAGGACGTGGTGTTTCGAGTAATGAATTGACCGACTCATTAAACCATTCATTGAACGAGCTTCTTCTGTACTTGTGAGCGCCGTGTAGCCCCCACCCTCCTCCGTCCGTCGGTCTCGACTCTGGGTGGTGGTGGTGGTGGTGGTGGTGGTGGTGGTGCCGGGAATAGCTGCCAGGGCCTTGGCGGGAGCAAGACGAGCAAGACGAGCAAAAGCCGGGGAGAGGACGACGAACAGGTTGGTTGACGTTGACGTTGACGTTGACGTTGTTGTTGACGGAGGACCTGACAACACAGCCCTCCGTGGTGGTAGCCGCGTGTGCGACTGATGATAATTCGCGAGGCTGTACGATGCCGGATGACGACGGCGTTGCAGCCCGTTGCAGCGGCATTGTTCAGCGAGCCGACGCATGCGGGGGGTTTCGCTGGATGGTATCATGTATGTGAGCAATAACCGTGGTGGTACGGAGTACTCCGTGATGAAAAGGAATGGTACTCGGTAATTCAAGAGTAACAAGTGACGAGCTTCCAGTTGCCCTGCCGCCTCTGTTCCCTGCAGGGAAACAAGCTGATTTGTGGAGAGATGATGGACGGACGGACGGACGGACGGACGGG